CATGCAGTACCGGTATCGGTACCCCGCACGTGAACCGAATGTGTGCTGGGGTGCCGTCTCAGGCAGCTCCGTGGCCGCCGTGGCCTCCTGGCACCTTGCAGCTTCACATGGCCTCAAAGCTGGCACCAAAGTGCACAAAGTGCACAAAGTGCACAGCTGCACAACCCGCCAGGATTTCCAGAGTCTCCAGCCACTGGCATGCTCCGCTGCATGCCCTTTAGTAACTTTAGTACGCCGACACTCGGTTCCCTCGATCACATTGCGGAAAAAGCCTTTCCGGTAACGTGCATTGTCTTAGATGACGATCTACTGGGGGGTTGAGGAGTTTCGAGGCTTGCAAGTTCAGCTTTCTTTTGGTATCTGCGCAACAAGCCGCCAAGATTTTGGGCGGGGAGCGCTTCTTCTCGAGATGCGCGCGCCTGCAGCATCTTTCTTGTTTGAGCCAAAGAGCACGTGGCAGCAGTGGTTGTAGAGTCACCGCGACCGCGCTCTCCGCGACAGGTCTGAGGGCTCTGGGAGGCCGAGGAAGGATTCCTTTCCCGGTCGAGGGTTTGTGGAGGTGTTAGCCTTTCTAATCATACTAGTCTCCTCGCCCGGGTCTCCTGTACTCCTCCGTGGGGATGAACTCAGGGTACGAATGGAAGAAACTTACTTTAGGCCTTCCTGCCCATGCTCTCCCTGCAAAGCTACTAACGACCTTTCTTGCAGAAGCAACAGCAGCAACTGCACACGCGGGATTACCACAGTCACAGCAGAAGCTGCGTGGCTGACCTGCCAGTGCGATATATTGTAGTGTATGTCATCGAGTGACCCTGTGACAGCGCGGGTTCTAAATAAGCAACAGTAGAGACGGCTTGCATATAAGCTCAAAGAGTTCCCGCCATATTGTTGCATCAGGCCCTTGCATCCTTGCTTTCGTTCATGGCCGTGCCTGGTCAGCGGACTTTGTCGGAGAAACATCTCCATTGCAGCCCTGTTTCTGCCCTAGTGCCTGACCCTACAGCCTGGGGACCATCCGATGCCTGTCTATGATCTGGCTGCGGCTCTTGCACGAATCTGGATGCTGCACAAGGAAGGCACGGGTGGGGTAAGAGCATGAAGAGTGGGGCGTCCGCGTGGCTAGACCTTCTTCCTGACAGCTTCCAGCTGAAAGCTTCGCCGAACTTGCAGTCCTCGTGACATGCTGGCGGTACCCATGCGCAAGCACCAGCCACAGTGCAAGAGCGCAACGTCTATGCCGTGTGCGCTGCTGCGCTTCACTGAGTGGCCTCGGATGGATGGCGGTCATACTTGTTTGACTGGGCTGGGGCCCTTGCGTTCAAGCCGCGGCAATGCTCAAAGTCTTCTTGGGCCATTCGCCCCTGAAGCAGCTGTGAACTGCGCCGGGGGGCGGATGCCGTGCCAAGGCTGGAGGTCAGACCCAAAGGTCGTGGTCGTCTTCGAGTTTGGCGTGAGCGTGTGTGTGCACATATCTGTGATAGGGAAGCAACGTTGAGGAGCGAAGGTCACCTGAATTCTGCCAGACATGCTTGCAGCCTGTGCAGTCTGCTATACCTCATTGTTTACCTTCCTAAGGGCCACCGATCCTAGAACATGTGCATAAGCATGCATAAGCGTCACAAGCAACAGCAGGAACAGGGACAGATTTCGTTAAGGTACGGCGAGGGCATTCCCTTACTTCCTCTGCGCTTGCCTGTCCCGCCATACATTGCCGTGCCAGGTGCTCAGTGCACACAGGAGTTCAACAGGGTTGTGGCTGCCCGATGCCTGTTCAGCATCTGGCCATGGTTCTTGTAAGGCTCTTGCTTGGAGACTCTTCCGGCGTGCCGCAATGGAGGCCCACACAGAACTGCTGCTCTTCCAGCCACCTTGAGCATGATTTTAAAGTGCACATTGTCCTTGCATGTCCGTCGTCTGGACGTTAAACTAACAGCAACGAGCCAGATTTTTGCGCATCGGTCTGACTCAACAGACAGGGAGGCAGAACTGAATCGCCTGACTCTCGAATCAGTCGATCACCTTGTCTGTTTTACACGGCCCCAAAGCTTACATTGCCCTCTGCCGCAGCAGGGTGCTTCTGCTCGATGCTGCCGCCCAACAATGTACCAGCAGGTGTGTCAACATGTGTGGCGCGCAACGCCTGCATGTTTCTGGTTCACGTCTTGGTCGAGACCTGCGCAGCATGTGAAAGGAGATCCCCAATTCTGCTGCCGTGACGGATTTCCAATTCTTCTTTCGAGTCCTTCTGCTGTAAGCAACTCATTGGGATAGTCTGACCACAGACTACAGGCATCATGTTGTCCTGGGAGTTTTCTACCCAGCTTTCAATACTAGGCTGCTAAAGTTGCTCAAAGAACCTCTTTCTCCGTCTTTTTCTTTAATCATCTCTTCAACCACATGCACAATTTCTTCTGGAACCTGTGCAATTCTGCGCCGCCCTCAGAAGTAGGCGTTGGCGGGCTGCTCTTGCTCTCCAGATGTTGTTTTGTTTGTTCGTGCCGCCCTTAGAAGCAGGGGTGAGGATGCTTAATGCTGCAGACAAGCCCCGCTTGTCGCAAAGTGCTGATTGGCCAAGCAGCATGCGAAGACCTGCTGGCACAGCGGGTTTGTCAGTTTGTCGTAGCGGAACGCTCTGCGGGGCTTGAAGTCGGTCCCGCAGCTTGCGTCCTCCTGAAAAGAATCTCTCCACAAGAGAGCTTTTGCCCGTGGAGCTAAGCTGCGCGCTGCAAGCGGGCGGAACATTGCATAGACGCTTCATCCTTTGAGGTGTTTGAAGAAAAGCATCCTTAATGCCAAGAGACAAGAGAGCATAACGCGAAGCGCCAGCTTTGGATGTGCTGCACCATGCAGAGACACGGGTGATTGGATGACGTCGGAGCTACCAGGACTTTCCAGTTAAACAGTTGAGCATTGCAGCATAGAAGATAAGAACAGAAGTAAGCGAGCAGACTATGACATCGGCAGCTGCCTGATACGTGGTTGGTCGACGTCTGCAGGTGTTGCCGTTTCTGTGCCACAGCCATGATCCTGCTGGTCTCCAGAGGCCGATGAGCGGGCATGTCACAACCGAAGTGCCCTCGGCAAGAAAGACCTTGGGAGCATTTGGGAGCATTCAGCTGCACGCGTCAGCCCTGCGCAGTGGTGGGTCATGCGCTGCGCGCGTCAGTCATGGCACTGGCAGCCATGTAGCCAGGAAGCTCAGGCTTGCGTCCGGGACAAAAGTACGGTATCGATTGTCATCATAGTCCTACGCAAAGCCTACAGGGCTTCCCGCGCTCCAGTTCAGCTGCGGTCAAGCTGCTGTGGCTTTGCCCGTGTTGCGGCTGTTGCGGTGTCGGAGATGTCAGCTCGATGACGCATGTCCTGGGGAAGCTGAGCCGGCGCACGAATGTCAAGAGGAGAGCACGTGCCTCCCGTGCGAAGTCATGGTCCTGGCTGTTGCAACATAAGAGGCACTACGTAGTCGCTTCCTCCTAGTACCTCGCTTCCCTCCCGAACCACCGAACATCGCCGACCTGAAATACGGGCTAAAGTGCGTTTGGTATTCGGAACGTCTAGTCTAGTAGGCAAAAGTCTTTTATGTGGGTTGCCAAGATCCTTCATGCGCAGAAAAGGCTTTGTAGGGAGATTAAGAATGGTCAGAAGGCATGTGATGTGGAAAAGCGTGGCTCGGCCCTGCTCTGTGTGGGGACCAGACAAGACACGAGACAGCTCCGTTAGAGATCTTGCAGCCATCGACCGAGTCCATAGGGTCATAGGAGCTCGGAAGCCGATTTCCAGGGTCTAGGGGAGGACTCGAGCTGCCGTATTATTATAGGGCGTGACCTTCGCAGGAAGCCGTGACTCTGAAAAACGCCAGAGACCAGAGAAGTTGAGGGTTTATGATGAGGGTTCATGAGGGCTTAGGCCCCTAAACGCTCCCATTGGCTCGGTCTGCAAAGAGGCTCCTTTCGTGCATCCATCGGGTTCTAGTGGTCAGCGGTGCAACCCACAGATCCCCTGAAGCAGCCTCTGCACTTGTGAATCGGGTGCTGTGTGGCGTGCGGCCCTCGAGATCGGCAGCTTGGTTGAAGGCCGCGTTCACGAAAAGGTCGAACAAGAGCTCCAGTCTGTTCGGGGCTTCTCTTTAAGTTGTAATTGAGGACTGCTTGGGTCCTCCCTTGCCGCCTTGCCTTGCCGCGTGCCGGTTGGTCCCTTTCCGGCCTTGCCTGGACATGTCACCCTGAGAGAGGCTGTGCCCCATTGCGCGGCTTGCTTGTAACTTCCCCTCTGAAAACCCGAGTTTGTTTCTAGGTTCGTGCCACACAAGGTGCATACGGCTTCGAGTTTACAGAAGGAATTGAGGACTTTATTAAGGGACGTAAGGGTCTCCAGCCTCCTCTGGCAGCAGCCTCTCAAGCCTTTCAAGGCTTTTGCAATGCTTCGGACCAGATTCGATTGGCGGGCCGGACGCAAAGAGGCAAAAGGGGGTCAGTAACTAAGGTTACTCTACTTAGCGGGTCACTTGCAGTGGGTATACAGCATTCTGAATCATTCAGCAGTGCAGCAGTGCTCCTTGTGTTGGGCAGCCGTGATTTTGTCTTCACGCAGTCATGCGTGTTTGAAAGCGTGCCAGTCTCCACCTGGGTGGGTCGTGCGATGCGCATGCCAGTCATGGCGCCAGCAGCCATCTCATGCTTGCCAGGATACGCAGGCTTGCGTCCAGGACTAAAGCATCGTATCGAAATAAGCAGGGGTAGTTCACATAGGCCTACGCAAAGCTTACAGGGGCGACCGTGCTCCAGTTCAGCTTCGATCAGGCAGCTGTGGCTTTGCAGTGCCACTGTTGCCGCGGAAAATTCGGCAGCTGCGGTGTCGGAGATGTCAGCGGGCTGGCGTACGAGTTGAGCCGGCGGACTTGTACGAATGTCAAGAGGAGAGAATGAGCCTTCGTATGTTGTCAAACGGATCTCGTAGCTTTTCTGGGTCGAGACAGGATGTCCCAAACATAGAGGCTAGACATGAAAGTCAAGCCCGGCATAGTTTGCTTTGCCGCCGTGGGCAAGGCCCTCGGCGGGCCCAGATGGAGACAAGCGCTAGTGCTGCGAAGGATCGATGCTCAGGTAGCACTGCTCGTTGTGAGACTCGACTCGGAAGCAGCTCACAGCGATGCGGTGTTCAAGATCAGTGGGAAATCCTATACCATTGTGGAAGGCGAGTCATCCACGCTAAAGGCGCGCTGCAGTCACGCCTTCTTGGCGCTCGAAGTGGAAGCAGCAGACGTTCTAGCAGAGGGCGAAAAGTTCATGGCCGAGAACCAGGAGCTTGTTTTCACCACTGCATCAGAGGATGTGGCCACGCCAGGGAAGCCGGCTGCAATGGTAGACAAGGGCAGCAGCGAGTCCGAGAGGTCTTCGGACGAGAGTGCCATGGGTCCCGACGAGTTGCTTGCTCAGATCACGAAGATCCAAAAGCAATGGCAAGGCAAGGGTATGTCAGAAGACGAGAAGCCAGACAAGTCAAAGAGAGCGAGCGCCGCAGGACGGGCGTCTCGCTATGCCCTCCTAGCTCGCAGGGAGACGGACCGAGAGATGAAGACGTCCAAAGGACACAGGGAGCGTTTGGGCAGAGCCGCGTCCAGCAGCGAGGCCGACCCTCTTCAGGCCCTCGGAGCGCTAGAGCTTCTCAAAAGGCTCGGTGCCACAAGCAAGCGTCGCAGCAAGGAAAGCAGTTCTTCAGCATCTGCGGACGGGACGTCAGACAGCAGCTCGAGCGACAGGCGCAAGGGCAAACGCTCGACTGGCGTGGCAAGGGCTATGGGGGACTACAGGCGCTTGAAGAAGGACATGAGGAGGCATCCCATGAGACACGTCCGGCGATATGTAAAGCAGGTGGAAGAGGATCTCGGCGTCAGTGCCGAGCTGCCCTACCGCTTGACGGACCATGGAAAGAAGATCCCATGGGGCAAGCAAAAGGGGTTGCAGAGAGTTTACTATCTGCTCGGAGCCATTTTGGAGCAGCAGCTGAAAGGCAATGTAGAGCAGGCGGCGCTGCTGACAACTCAGTCGCTACGTGCCGTCCACCAGACCGTCTTAGACGGTGGAAACTGGAGCGTGGCCTGGATGCTGACAGGACTTCAGGATCCTTTCGTGAAGCGAAAGTTTGGGGGCGAGGAGGAGTCCTTGGAGACAATCGCGGCCTACATGCGTGCAAGCCAAGAGCTGGAGCGCCGTGCCAGGGCGTGGAGCCTTCACCCAGACAGCAGTGTCCCGCCAGAGAACGAAGAGCCCGAGCCGAAAGGACCAGTGAAGGGGCGAGGGCGTGGCGGGAAACAGCAAGAAACCCAGAAGAGCGAGACCTGAAGGCTAGCCGCCGACAGGTCACGGATCGTGATGCCTTTCTCTTGCAGCAGACGCTTTTGAGTTACCACGGTTCGTTTGCAAGGTTTTTTAAGGTTTACACTTCGTACTGTACCAGGTGCGAGCCTGGGGCCAAGACATCGCCTGCCTCAGGCGAGTGCATTTTTCCGTCCCTTTTACGCCTTAGAAGTTGGGGCAGCCTTTCTAAGAAGTCTAGATGGCGACAACGCCAGCGGGGGCGAGGTGTGACTCAGGAAGCTGAAAGTTGGTGTCAGCTGATATGGGGGTATTGCAACTTCTTGCAGGCGGGTTGCCCCGCAAAACTCCAAGATGCAGAAGCCTGGTGCCAGCGCGCCCTGTCCAACAAATGGACGGAAGTTCACCAGAGTCACGCTAGTGCAATGTTCAGCGCCGTTCTTGATTTTTGCAGCCTTGAGGTTCCTGATACCCCAAGTAGAGGCATCAAGAAGGTCAACGAATTAGTGGAAATGATGACTGCCACAAGTTATCGTAATGTAGGTGCATGCCATTGGCAGGAAATGCAGCAAGCCGCCAGGTTTGTGGACCCTGAACGCATGTCGTTGCCAGAGCGTGCTGGCATACTCGACCCTGCCGACTACCTTAAGGGGCCTGAGTGGGAGCAGTTTACTCATATGGACCAGCGCGTGCCAATTGAGATCGTGCCCACTGCACGTGTGAGACCTTGCCACAGGGTTCGTAAGAAGGAGGTTGTGCCCGTGTATAGCAAACTGCTCCAGTCAGGTGTTGCAGTGCTCCTTCCAGAGGAGGCAGCCTTGCATGATGCTTCTGGGCGCCTGATCTCAGGGGGATTGTTTGCAGTCGCGCACAAGCAGCACAGCGACAGAGTCATCAACGACCGCAGGCCCTTCAACCAAGGAGAGCGAAGGCTCGTTTGGGCGCGACTGCCCCATGGTACTCTCCTGACTCAGCTCGTGCTGGGTAAGGAGTTTTCGGTCCGAGCCTCTGGGGATGACCTTAAGAACTACTTTTACCTGTTAAAGCACATTCCCGAGTGGTTACCCCGCAATGTAGTTGGTCATCCCGTCAGCGGTGCTGACTTCGCCAGATTTGGCGCGGATCCGGCCCGGCGCTATGTCTTAGCCTTCAAGGTTGTGTGCATGGGTGACTTAAATGGGGTTGACATCTGTCAACAGACCCATGTGGAGCTTTTACGAGACTGTGGAGTCATGCGCCCTGAGCATGTGCTAGAATACCAGTCGCCTTTGCCCGTTGAGCCCACGCTAGAGGGTCTGTACATAGATGACCATATAGTCGTACAAGTCACCCCGAAGAAAAGGCATAGACGTAAAGACCCTGATCCCAAATGGCATCTCGATGAGCAGATCGTTAAGCAGAGCCGTCAGCAATACGAGCGTCTAGGCATTCCTGTGTCCACCGACAAAAGGTTTACCAAGCAGTCGCAGTTTGTTGCGTGGGGAACAGAAGTCACCAGTGCCTCTGGAAGGGTGGGAACACCCAAAGCCAAGCTTCGCCAGCTCTGCCGTGTAGTATGCCGGTTGCTTAGGCTAGGTAGGGCCAGTAAGAGGTGCTTGCAGCAGGTTGTAGGCCTCTTCGTTCACCCCTTCACCCATAGGCGCCTGTGTATGTCCATCTTTTCGGAGGTTTACACTCTAATCGAGGGCTGGCCTGAAAAGGGGCAACACAAATTACCCAAAGTGCTGGTTGAAGAACTGCTGGCGCTTGTCTGGTCCTGCCCCTAGCTTTCACCAACATCCGTTGGCCCGTCAGCCAGCGCATTTCATCCACGGATGCGAGCCTCACAGGAGCTGGCCGCTGCGCGGCCTGCACCGCCACGAGCTTCAGCAAACTCTTGCACAGAGCCGCAGAGCACAAAGGGGAGCGTGTCCGCTTAGATTGGGCCGAAGTAGGTGCAGCCCCCTTAACGGACATGAAACTTCCCAACCAGCATGTTGAGCGGTTCGCTTCACTGCATCAGTGGCATGTCACGGAATCCAAGCCGTTCAAGACGAAGCACCATATCAACCTCCTAGAGCTTGAGGTTTTCCATCGTGAGTACTCTGATCTGGTGTCCAAAGTTCAGGGCGGGCTGCGTTGTATCAACCTCACAGACTCACGGGTTGTTTTAGGAGCAGTGGCAAAAGGGAGATCCTCAAGTCGTAACGTCAACCGCTTATTGCGCAAATGTCTAGCTTTGAGTTTGGCTGGCCAGAAAAGTGTGGATTTCCACGCATGCGAACCCCTCCGACTTCCCTTCTCGTTTCAAGCGCGTGCCCAAGCCAGAGCTTCCAACGTTGTCTGAGCAAGAGCTGCTAGGAGCAGATTGGCCTGAATCCCAAAAGTACAAGACCAACCATCAGCTGTGGGCCTTATGCAACAGAGAGGCCTCCGAAGCAGTCTCAAGACAGTGAGCCTCTAAGCTTTCCAGTCTCGGGGATGTTGGTTTTCTTTTGTTTTGGGTGCTTTGTTTGGTGCTAGTTCCGTACAGGGTTAGGCCATGGAGAGTGCCGCATCTTGGTGGCATCTGAAATTTGCCCGGTTGAGTTCAGCGTACCGCGCCCGGCTTTTGACAGCTGCCACTGCGTTGTATCATTACTTGCGAGCGCAACATGTGGGGTCGGTAGACCGGCTCATGCGCAGCGCCCGCCGGGCTGATGACCTCTTGCACACCTTCGTGCGCCACACTTGTGACGTGCCTACGCCACGTGCCATTCGGTTGGCCAAGCACGCAGTCTTGTATTGTCAGCTTGTGTGGCCGCGACTCCGCCATAGCTTGCCGGAGACTTGGGCAGCTTTGCGCATGCTGGAAGACTTGCATCCCAAAAGGGTCCGTGTCCCGCTTCCTTTTCCCTTGCTAGTATGCATGGTCGTGGCGTCGCGACTCCTTAGTTGCCGGCTTCATGGCAGGTCAGCTCGTGAGTGGCTCCTTTTCGCATGTCTGTTAGAGGTCGGCTTCTTTGCCATGCTTCGCCCGGGAGAGCTTTTGCAACTTCGTGCCAGGGATGTTGGCACGCTCAATAGTTTAGCGTTGGGGTTCCCTCATTGCACGTTGCGCATCGCCAAGCCCAAGAATCGGCGCAGTGTCGGGCCCGAGCAGTTTGTGCAGCTCACGCACCCCTGTGCGTGCATGTGGCTCACTTACTTCGTTAACAGTTTGGCGCCGGATGAGCTACTTTGGCCTTTGTCTGCGACCGCTTTCCGCCAGAAGTTCCATGCGGTCTGTGCTCACTTGCGCATCCAGGGGTGTCGGTTGACGCCCGCCAGCTTGCGCGCCGGGGGTGCTAGCTACTGGTTTCAGTCCGGGGTTACGTTGGGCGCTCTTAAGTTTTTGGGTCGCTGGGCTAGTGAGAGCAGTTTATTCCACTACATCCAATTTGCCACCGCGCAGCAACTGTTGCTTCGTGTTCCAGCTGATGTCACTCAGTCGTTGCAGCGCTTGTTGAAGCATGCATTCTTCGTGGTTGTGCCTTCGGCTCAAGTTCTGAGTGCCCTTCATGCGCATCAACGCCTGCCTGTCAACATGCGCTGCCCTGACTCGACTGTAACTCCTGCTGCGGCTGTTCATGCGTATGGACAACTGGCGTCAGGGCTTTAAGCGAGCCGTGGTGCGGGCTGGACCTCTTGAGGGAGCGCGTTTCCTGGACGTCACGGACGAGTGGCTCGCTCGCGCTGCACGCCAGTACAGTGAGGACAAGCGGTTTGAGAAGTTCGCACGTATGGCCACGGGCTCAGAGCCTGCCCCAGGCACGCCAGCGCCTGCTTCGGCGCGGGTAGTGGCGCAACCCCTTGTGCGACCTTGCCGGGTGGCTCGCGCGGGCGTGGCGCGCAGCACTCCAGTTCAGGTGCGTTTCATGCGTTGGGCGGGTGACCGGCTTCACGCATTGCCCCGCCTTGCCAAGTTGTGCTTGCTGTTGAGCTGCGTGTTGCTCCTCGCCAAGCCCCTGGCCATGACAGTTCTGGCACGGTTGCTCGGCGCAGTGGCCCGCCTGGTGTTCAGGCGTGTCTTGCACCTTGTTGGCTTCGTCGTTGAGCAGCTGTTGGAAGAGCTGCTGCAGCAAGCCAGTGATGCAGTCACCGTCCCGTTTTCACCTGGACAGCACCAGTGTCCCGCCCAGCTGTCCTGGCCACTGCTTACGCAGGTCCTTCTCACCGCGACTAGCTCCCTCGCCGGAGCTTTTGTCCACTGCTTGTACATTCGATTGACTAGGCGTGTGATTCGCCTTGCTTAGTGCCCACCTCCGGCCCCTACTCCGCCACTTGGTGGGTGGGGTTGGAAGCAGATGCAGGCACCTGATGTGCCAAGTATGTGCCAAGTTAGGCCTTTTGGCCACCCAATGCTTCAGCATGCTTCAGCAAACCTTTGTGTCCAAGCCTTTGGCCAATCCACAACGCTTCAGCATATGCTGCAGCATTAGCTGCCTTGACACCGATTACAGGATGGCCCCAGAGAATGAAAAGGAGCGAAGCTGCTACTGTGAGTTGGTGCAAACTCAATCCTCCAGAGTAGTGAGACAACATCCTCATCCCGCGCGATGCGGGCCTCACAGGCCAAGCACCGTGTAGTAAGTTCTCCTCCCGAGCCGCTGCCCCACCCCACAATCGCAAGCGTCGTCTCCGGGATTTTCCGGGCCAAAGTCTGTTTCGTATTCGGGGACCCCCTTGGGTCATGAGGAGGGTTCAGGGTTTAGGGTTGGAGGTCTTGCCACCGCCAGTGACATGTCAGGTCTTTCAAGGCTTCTGCAAGGCTGCGGATCAGGCAGATACCCCTCTCTCTTCTGAGTTTACTTGGAGTGGGAGAAGCGCCGAACAGGAGCTTGTTCGGAAGGCGCTTGAGCCCTTGCTTCCAATCTTTGTCTGCCCGCGCCAGCTTGTGTACCCTTGCGGCACTTGCGGCCCTTGCAGGCAGGCGTGTCTCCAGATGGGTCCCGCAGGAATGGCCCGTGCCTGCCAACAGGGCTGCCACGGCTGCTTTCAGGCGCGGCCCCAGCGACAGTGCTGGCTGTTGGGCGAAGACAACGCGTGTAAAGTGCTTGCGATGCCACAGCTGCCTTGCTGAGAAGACGTGAGGGTGCTTTCAGTGTTTTGGATTTTCGCCTTGGGCAGCATTGAGCCTTTCTATACGTTGTGCTGGTTTAGCAGAGCCCCATGCGTTTTGCAGTGTTGGCAGATGCTACTGGCCTGTTTAGCCTTGGTCTGGCCATTGATGCCCGCGTTACAACCTGCGGAAAGACCTAGACCGTCCGGAGGCAGTGCCGTTAGACGCCGAGCTGCAAGCCAGTCCATTGGAATTAGGGCTGGAAGATAAGTGGTCCTAAGGCTGTCATGGCTGCCGGAGGTCACGACTCCGTACTGGTAGAGATGCCGGGTGTGTGCAGATTCAGACTGCGCAACGTTGCCGGTTCAGGCGGCCCTCCGTGCCGGCCTTGCTGTTGCAGCCCATGCCTAGCCCCCTGGCCATCGCTGGTTTTGCGCCAGGTTGAGGCCAGCAAAGGCCTGATGAAGCACGCGCGCACCAGCTGAAATGCGGCTGAGAAGCAGCGACGTCCTGCTGTGCTGGCGCGACAAAAGGAGTGAAAGGTACAGCCTCCAGAGATAAGTCTGCTAGGCTGTTGTGGATTAACTGTTTGTGGCGCGGTGTGTTTGTTTTGAAGCCACTGCTCAAGGATGCACATTTTTCGACAGTCTCCTCAACCTGGCCTGCAAAATCAGGTGTCAGGTTAGCGCTTGTAACCTTGCCAGCAAGAAGCGAGAGAAAGAAACGAAGGAAGAACATTGGCATATTTCATTCGTTCACCAACAGTATGCATGAAATGTACAAAAAAAGTAAGGCAAACAAAAGGAGTAAACAGAGAGGGCAACATGCCTCACAAATTGTAGCTAATTTTTCTAGCCTTTTTACCTGAACTTCACAGGTTTTTGCATCATGCATCTTCTCGTCCAGCCGCAGCATTAGAATGATTTGTGCAGCAGTTTCCGCTTCTTTTGGTGGTTTTCTAAGCACATGCGTTCAGCAGCGGCACTGCCACGCAACAGCAGCTCCACAGCAGCAAACTTCAGATGCATGATTCTGCAGAGTCTGACCTAGTTTAATTGCAAACGCTTGCCCTAGCGAGTTTGGCAGCAAGTAATGAATCCGATTCTCCTTTTTTCTCTTGAAAACCAAATCGGCGCCAATCGAACCCGGAGCCCAAAGATCGACCACAACGTGCGCCGAAGGTAACGACCTACGCCCCTGCACCATAGTTCTTCGATCAAGTCGGATTTCGGGGTCGAAAGCAACGATTAAGCACACGCACACACACAACCGCCTAGACAAGTGCAAGGGGATGGTGGCGGGAAAGCAAAACTCTCACGAGGCCGCGGTGCCCCCAAAGCAAATCGAGCCCAAAACTGCCGGACATGGAACGTGCATGTTGAGATATTCAAACAAAAATGTCAAAATATCAACGGGCAGTAGATGCCAAACAGAACGGTTTAAAACCCTACTCCATTTGGCATCCAATGTCCGTATACGCTCGCGCTCGATTCAGAAAATCACATAAACATTGTAGAGAAGGAATTTAATTCAAAAATGTGGCAAGACCCAGGCCATGGAGTGCACTGAAGACAAACAGGTACCCGCTGCTGCTTCAGCTGCGGAGTTGTCGTAACGCATCGCCCCACCTCCAAAGCCGAGTCACATCCCGGGCGTGCTGCACCAAGATGGGATCGACGGAATCCTTGGTGTGCAAGATCCAACGACCGCGCTGCTTAGCCAAACGGATGCACACTGGACGGTTATGTAACGTGATGTATACTCGACCCCGCCTTCCGAGTTGCAACCTAACTCGCACTTCAGCTGCTCGGCTGTCCTGCCTGTAGATCACTCACGAAGCTAGTGCCTTACAAGATGTTGTCATGAAGTTGTTGCTAAAGTTCCTCCTGGTGTCAGCAGGCAAATTCGCCTCGGCCTGGCCGACAACAAGCAGTCCTGGATTTGGGCTCCTTCCCCCCTTCCCCCACACCCCAAACCCCCGTAACCCCCCCCCCCCCGGTTGGAGGAGCGTGATATGCTGTTTTTACATCAGTTCTTCCTTCTCTACTCCGTTTATGCGATTTTCTGAATCGATCATGCACGTCTGCGGACATTGGATGCCAAACAAGACAGTCAGTCTCTCTTGGGTCCGCAACCATCCTGGCGTGCCTGCAGGCCATACTGATGCAAGCACACCAGACGCAACATGTGCAAAGTTGCCCATGTCTTTCTTTTCCGACATTGAGAGTAATTCTGACGTGTGACCAAGTCAGACGGACGAAGAGCTCAGGGTCGAAACATGTCGAGTTTAGGCATGGAGCATGCTGTTGGTCCAAGACCACCTGAAGTGGTCAGTAGCAGGTAAACGAATGTCCACCTTTCGCCAAAAACTGTGGAAAACACTGCTCGCTTACAAGGGAAGTTTAGCTCCCTTGCATACTTTCGAATCGGTCAGACGACCGTTTGATACGGGAAGTTTACTTCAACGTAACATTGGCAATCTACACACCAGTTGCTGTAAACGGACAAGCCTTCTTGACCATTCTCATAATTTGAAAGCCCCAAGTCCGAAACCGAATAGCCGGCTGAAGCTCTGTAAGCCTTAAGCCCTCCGCCCGCCCAGCCACGGAATGACAACGTGTGCTCTGTGTTGTAAAGCCTGTAAAGCAGGAAGAAGAGCGTTCGTTCATCAGCTCAAGGGTAGATCCTAACAGGACACTTGCAGAGTGTTAGATCCAGGACAGGCATGGAGGCGCTGGGTCTAGAACGCTGGCTCAGGGACGGTAGGTTCACGGGTGGTGTCGGTGTAAGACAGCAGAAAGCTGCGATCCAATAGCAGTGGCTTGTTGGGGGATGGCAGCGCTCCAGCAACTTACCTGGCATGCTCGGCCTGCGCACCCTCGGGTGCTGCAAGCTACGGCTCGGGCTGCTCGGGCTGCTGCTCGGGCTGCGGCCCCAGTGTGAGTGGACGAAGGCGGTGTCAGAGTGTGGCAGTTTTTGGTGCTCGATGCAAGCAAGGATGGCGCGGCAAATTCTAGAGCATCCAGGGCCAGCGCTTTGCAGTCTTCAGGCTCCCATTCTCTTCTGTTCGTGTTCCCATTGTCCACTGCATGAGATCCTGCAAGCTTGCAAACGTCTGCAAATGCAAGGTGTGCTGGGAATTAGCCTTGGTATCGGCGCTTGCCATGCTGGGAGACACTGCCGGAGCAAGACGTCCTATCGGTTCCGACGTGCCCCTTAGATGAACAGGAGCAGTGAAACTGCAACGACCGCCTAGGAAGAGACACGCGCAGAGTGTTGTTGAGTGAGGTGCAAGTAAGCTCGAGCGAGTGATAGCGAGTGATAGCGAGTGCGAGAACAATGTACCTGTGGAACAGGTCTGGTCCACAACGGTGGAGGCGGTTGAGACACTTAAGTCTCCCGAAGTCACAGAGGTGAAGGAGCCTCCAGATGAGCCAAATGAGCGCAACCTGATAGTCCCAGACTTGGTGATGTCAAGCTTTGGCAGACGCAGCATTGTGTTGGGCTTTTGCTTGTTCATCTTCTAAGGTTTTGCTTGTCGCTGCTGCGTGCCTTGGTAGAACCTCCTTGGTAGAGAGTCGTAAAGACTTTGTTCGACAGTTCATTCGCAACAACGACCAGTGGACTGCACAGGTATGTCATCTGGCAAATGGATAAAGTGAACATGTCCGTTGCCATCTTGCCTATGGCAGAGCAGATGGGCTGGGATTCGGCCGATGAAGGTCTTCCGACACAGCATGGACCATGAACAAGCTGTGTGTTCTTGTCGTGGCACCTACTTGGCAGGCGTGATACAGAGCTCCATATTTTGGGGCTATGCCGCAACCCAGATTATTGGTGGCTTTCTAGCGACGCGATATGGCCTGAAGCTCAGCAAGAGATGTTTGTGGCGACATGCAAGAGACTGTTACCTGAAAGCCTCGGGGATTTGGCCAGGCGGCAAGCGAGTGCTCCTGTTCGCCGTGACGCTTTGGTCCTGCGCAACGATGCTGGCACCACTGGCTGCCAATGTCTCCACGCAGGCCAGGTCTTTAGCATGCTGAGGCTTAGCATGTTCAGGCCAGTACAAGATGCAGGCGCTAATTGCTGGCTTGCAGGTGTTCATCGCAAGCCGTGTTCTTGTTGGGATAGGCGAAGGCTTGGCTCCTGCTGCTGGCCTTCGGATGGTGGCCACTTGGGTACCGGAATCCGAGCGCAGCCGGGCGGTTTCGACGCTGGGCAGTGGAAAGACGACTGGTTCGATTGCCGGCTTGTTACTGGCTCCCGTCGTCATTGGTGGTTTTGGCTGGCAGGCCATGTTCTATTCTTTTGGATTCCTGGGCCTGCTTTGGGCCTGGATCTGGCTGGTCAAGGGCAAAGACCGGGAGGGGAGTGCGACCGTGGAAAATGACGAGCCCATCCCCTGGCTGTCCATCCTCAGTACGCCGCAGCTTTGGGGCGTGGTTGTGGCGCATTTCTGTCATGACTGGGGTGGATATGCACTGCTAACGTGGACCCCAACCTATCTGAACCAAGCCCTCGGATACAATTTGGAAGGCAGTAGCGAGATCACCGTCATCCCCAGTGTTTGTGCTGTTGCTGTGGCGGCAGGGAGCGGGATCTTGGCCGACAATCTCCATGGCAATGGCATGGACCTCACATCGGTCCGGAAGCTCTTCCAAAGTGTGGGCTTCTTCATTCCTTGCCTGATGCTTGGGTTGTTAGCCACCACTGGGAATGTGGAGCCAGGGTCGCTCATGCCCATCGTGTTGCTTACCTTCGGCATCGCATCTGGTGCTTGTTCGTATGCTGGTCTCTACTCCAGCCATGCTGACTTGAGCGCGAAGTACAGTGCTCTGGTCAATGCAATCTCGACCACATTCGGAGCGTTGGCGGGTGTATGTTCGAATGCTTATGCCGGCTACATGCTCAAAGCAACCGGATCGTGGTCGCAAGCAATTTTCTTGCCATCCATAGCTCTCTATGTTGTAGGATGGGCAGTGTACACGTTGCTTTATGATGCAACGCCTGTAGATTGGGATGCGCAGGATGAGAAATAGTCTCGGGTCCTGCTGCATTTCGCTACCGTGCGTTCTCAGACAGCTCCAGAAAAGCCGCGGAAGCACAGTGCCGCGATGCTTGTGTAGGCGTGTTGAAAGCCTCTGGCATCCGCTTGGAGAGCCGACTAGGAGTTATATGATTTACTGGAGCCTCTAGAGGGCCAGGAAGTTCTTGTCACCAAATGTTGAGAGCACGAAAGCACCAAGCGGTTAGGGGAATTGCCATTCATTCGAAATTGCTCGAGATGCTATACGGATAAGTGCTGACGGCAGTTTAGTCAGCATAGCATCGTGTAACCCGTCCGGGCAGCTTGCTCTCGGCTCCACTCCTCCAAGTGTGGCCGGCCATGTGGCGGCTAGTTGCAGCCCGAAGCTTACCCAATCGGTTGCGTTGCTTCTTGAAACTTCTCTGATCCGCTTTGCGAACCTTTCCCGAGATGCCAAGGCGAGCCAGAGGCGGCTTGGGCTTGGACAAACGGCAAGGACAGGGGTGTAGCAGCTGTAGCAATGGTCGTCCGGCGATGGTGGGCAACCATTGGCAAACAGGGGGAGGGGGGATGGTGGGGGTGGTACACGGCGCAGGACGCTGCCGATGCTGGATCGAACCTGTGCCCCGGGCATGCCCATCGTGGGGAGCTTTCCCAGTGATGCCCTTATGCGGGCTCGATTAGCCTCTGGGCAAAGGGATGCTTGGCCAGCATGAGAAAGTAGACATCCTGAGTGCAACGCGCAGCATAAGGCTGGTTTCTGGAGAGTCTCTGCGCAAAAAGGATCAGCTCAGGACGAACACGAAAAGTCCTCGGCCTCCTCGAGGCCCTCGCGGCTGCCTTCACCCAGCGAGGGACAACATCAAGGCCTCAAGGGCCAAAACTTTAAACTTGCTTGTGCTCAAGGTCCAGAAGCTTTAAAGTTGAAGCTGCAGTGGGTCAGGCAAGTGCAGATTTCCGCATGGCGAGACTGGTCAGGACCGTAGCAGCTGTAGCACTTGCCGAAAAAGTCAAGGGACATTCAAGAGCATCAACTTGGCTTTCTTCTGGCTCTTAGGACTTCAACCTTTTCGGTTTTCGTAGAAACTACAACAAGGAGCCCAAAAGTTAAACTTTTTGGAGGGGCTCAGAAGTCAGCTAAGTTAAAGAGCATTCAAAAGAGCGGTAAAGAGCGTTAGGAGGCGCTAAAGAGCATGAAAGAGCCTTAAAGAGCGTTAAAGAGCCTTGAAGAGCACTAAAGCGCATGAGCATTCAAAGAGCCGTAAAGAGCAAGTTGCAAGATTGGAGGAGTCAAGGAAGCTGGAGCCCATGATGGCGGACGTGCCTTGCTCAAAGCAAAGTCGCCACCGTTTACACCCGACTTGGCCAAGTTCAGATTCCATAAGGCCAGAGTGCTGCTGGTGGCCGGGGCTCTTCTCTGCTTTGGAGGAAGCCTTGTCTCTGTGTATGCCAGGACCCCAGATGCTCCGAAGCCATGCTTTATGCCAGAAATGATAAGTTGTGTGGGCAGGTGGCCGTCACGCACGATCCGAACCGCAAGGAGGATCGGCCTGTGCTGAAGCGAGGGGAGTACATCGCCGGCGGCAGTGTTGTTGGGACCCCGGCATGGAGTGATATAGTGTCCTGGTTCATGGTGACAGTGAGAACAAGCAGCTGCACAGGTCGGTGCCCTGGTCATGATGTACCTGATAACGCGCAGATGACCCAAGAGCATCTAAGACTAGGCGTGTCAAGATGACATAGTCCACGACGATGTGTGTTGCAATCGAGTGAATAGCTGAGCTTAACATGTTCGAGCTTTCAGTGTAGGCTGCCATGAGATGCAGTGCGTGCACGGATGTGTCAATCCGTGGGCAGTTGTTTCACCCGCTAGAGTATCGTCTCGCTTGTGTACGAAGTATGCGTTGCCATGGGAAGGGGTTGACTTCAGGATGATGATGGATTTCTTTATTTTCTGGAGTCCGGAGTGCTGCGTGTCCTGCATGGCTGTGGTGCCGCGGTGTTGCGCCAGTGCCATTCAAGCCACGCAGCTCGAATCACATGTGTTCGCATGCCATGCACGAACCGCGGGCCAATCTACTGTCTAGGGGGCACATGTGTGCATGTGAGTGTATCATTGCTTGAGATTATCACGGTACGTTCCTCCTGCACCAGCGTTCGCCCTTTCAATCCATGCCGAAGGCATCGGGGTGTTGCAGTGCTTTTTGCCGGCATGGAAGGAACAAGCAAGAAGTGTGCTGTGTAGATCGGCAAGGCTTCTCAGCTGCTGATTTCCCTCCTGTCCGAGCCGCACGGAAGCCAGCAGGGTTCCGCTCGTGGGGCCACCTTTCGAAACTGGAGCCAGCACGTGTTTCATCTTTGCTTCCTTGTAGCCATCTTCAGCTTCTGTTTGCTAATTTTGCGGTTGCGGCAGGAGCAGCTTCAGTAGCGCTCCCGGTCCCGGCCCTGCACCAGCTACACCAGCCGTGAATGGTGGTGGCAGCGCTGGGTACCATGGTGGTGGCGGCGGGTATGGCGGGTACGGGGGTGATGGATACGGTGGTGGCAGGTACGGTGGCGGCGGGTACGATGGTGGCGGGTACAGTGGCGGCGGGTACGATGGTGGTGGTGGTAGGGGTGGATACAGTGGTGGGTATGGTAGGGGTGGGTACAGTGGAGGCGGCGGCTACGGCAGCCAGGGCGGGCATGGAGGACATCACGGTTATGGAAGCCCTGCAGGTGCACAACCTGGGGGTTATGGTGGGGATCCCTATTATGGGGATCCGTACAGTGATCCCTACGGGATGCCTCCACCCAAGGGTCCGGAGGGAGCTGACCTCGGTGAGCAGGACGCGCTTGATGAAGGCTGCCAAGATGTTGAATAGAGTTGGGCAATGTTGGGTGCCTTTGCTTCTCTTGCCTTCATGCATATACCAGGTGACGGGGCTGGCCTTGACGTGGAGGGAGCGGGTGCTGGCCTGCCCGCACCGGAGCCTCTCGAGGCGGTCCTCCGCTTGTGTTAGGACAGTTCAGACAAGCACTTTTTCTGGGCAAGAAAGGTGCAAGGGCTAGCAGAGGAGTGATCATTGCTTTTGAAGGCTGAGACGGAGGAGCCTCCACTGTACGATGAGGAGGTCCCTGAGGAGGGGGTTTTCGAAGAGGGGGTCCCTGAAGAGGGGGCCCCCGAGGAGGCCGGATTTGGAGAAGGACCCCCGCTTCTGCTCGCCCCGACCTCAGAGCTGCGCTGTCCGATGGCCCAAATGCAGGGCAACTGATGAGGTCAACAATGAAGGCCAGAACATTTTGGCGAAGGAGAAGACGAGGCATCGGCTGCGATGTGCTGATGTGTGACCTGTGCTCCTCTCCTTCAGAGAATTCTGATGATGGCCGTTGAGAACGAGGCAGACTGTGCGAGGAAAGCATCCAGCAAGGTGTGCAGAACGGATTTGCTGCCAAACCCGAGGCAGTTGATTAACAAAGTCAACATCCTCTCCAAGTCACTGGAGGCTCGACGGTGCTCCTCCATCGCCTGCAAGGGAGAGCCCATGGATGCCCTGAATACATTGATGCAAGAGCACACGAGAAGTGGAAGATAGCAAGGGGGCAAAGGGTCGTGCCGGAAGGCCCTTCGTCCTCCACAGTGTTGGCTTTCCTGCTCAGGCCAAGCTCCCGCTGTATGATGAGGGCAAGTGCCCGCCCCGGTCGCCAGTTTGGAAGTAGTAGCAATTCGTAGCTGAGTGGTAGGAGTAGGTATTGAAGGAGTGGAGGCTGCGCTGCTACTTCTCGTTTTGAATCGACATGGCTGCATGATACAGCTGGCAGAGTTCCCTCTCTTCCTTGGGCAATGGACTGCCTTGACTCTTGTGATCACCATCCGGCAGCTTGACTCAGGGATCTTCCGGAACCCGAGGATGAGATGAGGGAGATCTGCAGGGCCAGGGAGGCTTGTTTGGGGGGGTGGATTCAGAGAGAATCGTGGCTAGCATCGGGCGAGATGAGAAGCTTTCGGTCTCGAAATGCTGCATGCTGTTCCGTGCTCACGTGGGCAGGTGGAGATCAATAAGCTGGAGCAGGTGTGCTGTGTTGCAGCAGTACCTATCAAAGAAGTCAATTGATCCTCAGGGGATGGTTTGAATCATTGAACTTTATCGGAAAACCCCAAAAAAGGAACAGAAGGCTGCACATCGCAGGCGAAGACAGCTGCTGAGATCGCTCGCCTGGAGAATGAGGCCTCCACGTGCTCGATGGCTGAGGCAGTACTTGCAGCACCTCTAGTTTTGCTCGAAGAGCTCTCGTGACTTAGGATGAAGAGCCCGGGACTGACATCAGCATCGAGGAGGAGGCAAATCTGTCACCTGCTTGATGTCAAGCATCCCGTCCTCGAAAACTCCTCGAAGTGCGGGTGCACAATGCAGAGGCGAAGAAGATCAGGCAAGAGTGGCCAGCATGAACCCAAGCAAATCCTCGCAGAGTGAGTGTGTGTGTGTGTGCGCGCACCAACAAGGGCGACGAGTACGATGACTACGGGGGATATCCTATGGCACCTGCGCCTCGACCGAGACATACCGAGACTGGGAATGAGCCCTGCTGCCTGCTGAGCCATTCTCGAAGCAAAGCCCTCTGAGCCCCAGGATGCCCACTACGAGGGTGGCTATGGCTACGACCATGGCTACCATGGCCACGACCATGGCCACGACCATGGCCATGCCCCAGAGGCTGCCTATGGCGCTCCCGCTGTGGGCCCCCCTGCAACTGCCGGCTGCCCGCCTCCCATTGCTGGGAGCTGAGTATCCACTGTTAACACTGTTGATGTCCTTGCTGCCTTCTCCACATTGCTGACCCTAGAGGTCAAATTTGGTTGGTGCCTCTAAGGTGGCCCTGGCCCTGCTCCTTCCGCAGCTCCAGGAGCGACGCAAGCTTCGCCCTGCCGGCTTCCTTAGCCAGGCCGTGTTCTAGGCCACATGGGCCCCTTTGGCCTTGGGCTCGTGTCACCACTCTCAGCATCTTTCCTGGCTTGGCAGCCAAAGCCGCTCGCCGTGCCCATCGTGCTCAGCACGGACTCGTTTGGTGAGGAGAAAGGAAGCTGCAAGAGGCTGCCCGAACAGAGCCTCTACATCCTCTGCACCCTAAAGATCCCTAAAGTGGCTGCATGCACTGGCATACTACCGGCATACGAGTGGCATATCTGCGAATGAGCCGAGCCGACAGCACTTCTTTTTGCTTCGTAGGACAGGAGGGTACAGGGTTTCACACTCACAAAACACTGAGAGCACACTTGCATGCTGGTGTAGCTTGGCGCCCTCGCCAGCCCTACCTCTTAAGAATCGTCTCATCTGCAAGCCCCCTTAGCTTGTTTGACATATCTTGCAACTTGCAACATCCTGCAACCGCACGGCAAGCACGATTCTGTCACCTGGCCCGATGCCAGCGCTGCTCTTGGCACTCTCGCTGAGCCTGACAATAGGGGCGCTGGGAGAGGAACGCCTGGATTTTGCAGGCCATACAGGGCCGGAGGATGTGTCGGGAAAGAGGCTCCGAAGTCTCGAAGGCTGATCTTTCTAGTTCCCCGCCGGGGAACTCTTGCAGTGCCCGCTCACTCCATCTCAGTCCCAAACGATCCCTGTGTGCCATCGCTCCATGACTTGCTGCAGGCCCCTTTCCCCCGATCCCCCAGTTGATCCCTAAGGCCTTAAGGTGAGCATCTGTTCCTTGGTACTTTCTCCATTCGTTCTGAGTGGTACTCGAGTGGTGCAGTAACTGAGGAGGGCTTGAACGGCATGTGGTATCTGGATGGTAGATTTAGGTTGAACAGCCTGAAGGTGACACATCAGGCCACTGTGCCACTGCGAGAGCGCGCTGCTTCGGATTTTTGAGGTACAGTCCCAGTGAGTTTTCGTACGCTGGATTGGCGAAAAACTTGAGAGCTGTGCATGAATACGTTCTTCCTTGCGTTTGAAACTTGCTGCGAAACAGCAGCTCGCCCGTGATGTGGAGTGCTTTGCGGTGCGGTCTTGGCGCGTTAGCCACGATGCCAAGAGGGTACGAGCCGCTACGCTACGTCCTGAATGAAGCAAGTGCTCGCCTTCCCCAAAAGCAAACGCCGTATGGCAAGACTTGCTGCTAGCTTTCGTTGGCCTCGCTGCGTCCGCAACTGCTCATTGACTTCCCGATTGCTGGTTTGTGGGTTGAGGGTGGAAGACTTCAGAATACCGCTCGGGAAGCACTGGAGTCAGTCACTAGAGAGACCCCTCATGCCCCTCACTCCCTCCATCTCCACTGTCCCCATGCCTTCTTCAGCCTGTCTGCTCTCTGAGATCTCTGGATCTCTTGAGAGCTCTGAGACTCTGAGTTGCAGGTAATTTTGGCGGCCGGGTGGCAGGCGACGCGCAGGCCTTCTCACTGCCTCAAAATGTCCTGAGAGCAGCTCTGGAGAGTGCCACCGGACACAAGAGCACCAACAGTTTGCTTGTAGAGGTTGTGGAGGGAACTGTCAGCTTGAATGGCACCATTACGCCAGAGATTGTGAGTAACCCGGCCATGCATTGAGAGTTGCAGGGCGCAGAGAGCCCGCTAGCATTCTCTCGCTGACACACCTGCCCGGGACCTCGTCAATCTCAGGCAAGCTGAATTGGGCAGCGCAGAATGCGCTTGTGGAAGCGTGTGGCCACGGGTCCAAGGTGCCCTGTGCCACTTGTACTCACCCATCCTTTGCCATTTCAAAGCTTGGCTACGCCATTATCCATGGGTGTGTGAAGGTACAGGCAAGCACGAAATTGGAACTGTCGCCCAACGTGCATCGTGCCTTGGCGTGCTTGGTGATTGCAGAAGTTACATGGCACTTGCAGGGAGGTGTGAAGATTCTGATTTCAGCAGGTGCCGTGGACATCAAATTCTGGGTTCTGCCTCGACTTGGTGGAGGCCGAAAACAGTCCACCATAACAGTGAAGCAGTTGATGCGAGCTTGTGTTCCCAGAACATATCGTCAACAACTGGAATTGTGGCCTATGTAGCCTATATGGTAGGTTGCCTGAGCTACGGTCCCTTGTCTTATGATATGTGTATACAGGCCCTTATATGAAAGGTAGCATGGGTACCCTGAAGAAGAACCATGATTTAGAGGGCTGCTTGCTTTGCTGAGAGTGAACATGGGCCCGTCTTGAGAATGGGCTGCGTGGGGAAGCTGTGATGGCATCTGGATGGAAGCAACGGAGCTTGTTGAATGGGGTGTTATCGTGCAAGGGTGTGACACTACCCTAAACCCTAAGCCGTAAACCCTAAACCCTAAACCTTGTTGAGAGTCATCTTCTTCATCCGCGCACTGCATTGAACGAAGTTGGGATCGATAAGCATGAGGCCTCCATCCTCTCCAGGAACACCTGAGTGTAAGCCTACCGACTGGGCAAGCGCTAGACATCTAAAAGAGGTCATTGGGGTTGTAAAAAAAAATCCCTGTTGAGAGATTGGCTGAACAGGTGGCGACTGTGCCATGACACTGGTGGAGGCAGCGGCTGGCGGATTTGCCCCTCCGTTTCCTCTGTCCGGACCAGACAAGAGCCTTCGGCAGAGCTCGATCTATTGCAAAGAGTATTGAGCAGTCATGTTATCAGGTGTTAAAAAAGTAATGTATAAAGATTGTCGGTCAGATTGTCTTGTACCTGATCTATGGTTCCAAGGAAGCCTCTGTTTCGCAACATGATGCAGAACCAATTGTGCCCTGGCATCCGTATCAGCGCCGGAGCAGTTTTGTTAAGCACCTCTATCCGCCAAACTCAGGTCTCGAATCATGGACACCAGCATCATGTCAGACATGTACCTTCGGCTGTGGCGAGTCACTTGCGCCGTGAAGCCCGTTTGGATGACGCTTGGTCGAAAATGTTAAGCCAAATCTTTGGACAGATGGTGCTGCGCCGGGTTATCCAGCTGACTCCTGTACGGGTATTGAATCCAAGAACTTTCGCTGATGTTCACACTTCACACTTCGGAAGCTCTTATCGATGTGCGCAAAGGTTGCAGTTGACCCATGTACAGAGGTCAAAATCCGGCAAGGGCGCAGCCAAGCGAAACGAATTTCCCAATATCAGCTCCAGACACCAAGCACCTTTTTTGCTTTTGAACACGTGTTTTGAACCAATGGTTGTTTGAGGTCCGCTCATGGAACACAGATTTGCAGAAGGACACACGCGGCAGGGGAGACAGAGAAGTAGAACTTGTTGATGGTTTGGGTGCACACCACACCCAAGCCGGAGATGTTGGTTTTTATGCTAATACTCGTACTGTTGCGAAATGCCTTGGCACGTGCGACTTATTTCTTCGAGAAAAATGCACTTAAGCACAGTAGGTCCCGCTCTAAGTTTAAAAATGCAAATCATTCAACTACTGTGCAGAACACAACTGGAGGCCCACTATACTTTCAACGTGGTATGCTTGGAATAGCCGAGAAATTTGAGAGAGAATGGAGGACAGCTACTTGCACGCCCGCTGCTCCAAACAATTATTCTGACGAGGCTAGTTCTTGTTGCTTTGTATCTATAAGGGCTAGATGCACCCAGTATCCGTGGAGGGATCTGTGGAGAAGCATGCTGAGCAACATTAGCACGTGGCCGGGGACAGCCCAACGCAGAGGCGACGTTGCTTGCATGGCTTAGTACCCTGGTGTGCAGCTAGTCGCTTACTCACTCACTCACTAGTTCGTTTGATACTCACTCCTTCAAGTTTAAGCTTGAACTGCTGACAATGTTGGAAGAGAATGAGAATAGCTGTTGGGACTACCGCCGTGCCAAATGCAAATACCCAGAGGTTAGTTTTTCATTTTGTAGTCAGGGTCTCCTTGTGCGACTCGTTGTTAAAAAACTGGCGTGCAACCCAAAACATGTTTGAATATGTTGTGCTGTGTAAAAAAACTGGTAACATTGCAGGAGAATGCAACAAGCTTGAAAGGCCGAAGATATGTGGAGAATGAAGGACAGTTAGTGGGACAACCGACGTCCCCAATATGATTTTGTACAAGCGTGGTCTAATTTCAACTTTTTTAGATTACGTTGAGTTAACATAGGAGATTGCTTGCAGCTTGAACCCCTTTTTGATTTGTTAAAGCATAGTACCGGCCTCCAACGTGCTGTCAAGTCCGAAGCTTGGTTTCTGTGCTGTTTTGGGACAGTACAGCATGTTGCTTATGTGTTCTTTAAAAAGAAAGGTGTTTTGTGGGAATGCAGTATGTTTTGTACTGTCCCAAGACAGACGGAACGTTTGCGACGGGGTAGGTCTGGATATGGCCGACGGACACGGCGAACCCTCGAGCCCCCTACAACCCTGCAGGTTCAGTCATGCATTTCTTGAATGGTCTGAGCAGCTGTTGAGCATCAGGCATTGTCCGGTAACGTGTGTATTTGCCAGTGCCGAGCGGCCGCTTTGGATGCAGAAAACGCGAAAAACAAAAACACACCAATCTTCAGAGACCTCGCAGCACGTGTAGGCGTGGAGGTTCCCGAAGACTATGTTTTTGTTGTTTCAGGACAATACAGCATCTGTGCTTTGGTTTTCTTGTGACCAGACGGTGTTCTTGCAGTCTGAAGCCTCAAAAATCAGCCGTAACACATGCCACAAGATTGTACTGTCCAAACAGAAACAAGTGAAAAACAATCTTCAGAGACCTCTGGGCACGAAGTGGCCTGTTTCCGCTTCTTCATCTTCTAAAAGCATGGTTGCCCTTGCCCTATAACCTGATGCGTAGTCTCAACCGCGCTCAAGCGATGCTCAGCTTTTTTTCTTAAGTTGAACTTTCAACCAGAAACCCTCCAACAAGACACGTGTTGAGCTGCAAGCGAGATACCTGCAGCAAAAAGCAGACTATGCACATATACATCTGTTCAGAATGTGTTGTCATGACTGTGAGCTTTGGAAGGCTGGGAAACCAGCTGAGCGAGTCGAATTCGAACATGGCTTGTTCGACCTACGCTTCCGGATGGGAGGTTCCTCGCACTGTAGGGAAGGGTTTTCTTGGATTAGGATGGATGTGGGATTTTGAAGATGCCATGCAGGATGCACGCCAATGTGTGTATGGTGTGGGACCAGGTGGTGAATTCGTCCGTAGCCGGCAGATCGGGCAGAGGTTGTTTTCGGGTTAATGGTTTTCGGGTCGGTCCCCACGGGCATGCAGATTCCAAAGATTTTTTTCAACTCTGTCGGCTGGCGCAAAAACTCCCAGAACAGGTTGGAAAACGGACTTTCTTGCCCGTACCCGGGTAGGTTAAGAACCCCGAAAACTCAGAAAACAGGAGGGGTTTCTAGAGCGGGGATGTAGAGAGGGAATCGCGGGCACCAGCTGACCTGTCCATCTACGTCTTGCCTGTCAGCGATATCAGGTGCGCATGTGCGTGTGCAGGAAGTCGGCATTCAGGGGTCATGCCAGGTGTACTACGCGCCCAGCTTGACGGAGCCAGCCACCGCTGAGGGCGGATCCTGGGTCCCTGGATACTCCACGGGCAACTCCAACAATGTAGTGTGCCTCAGCTATCCTCAGCGTCCCCGGGTCCGAGCATCAAAGAAGGAATGCACCTGTTAAGGTTGAGGGCAGGGGTCCACTACACAAGCATCAGGACTGAAAACATTGAAAACCATCCCAAGCATAGCAGCGACATGACGATAGACTCGACAGACCAAAGCCCGTCCCGAAAGCCCAGATCTGCTCCCAGGCGGTGAAGAAACCTGAAAAAGCTTACCGTTGTGTCGCACCGAGGGGCCAGCTGACAGATCGTTGCATGCTGGCGAATTCTGCGTGCCCCGTGGAGCTTTTGGGGCTTTTTTTTTTGGGCTTTGGAAGTTGCATCTTTGAGTTTGCCTCGCGTGGTTGTGGAGCAACTGTATAGGTCGTCGTGATGTTTGTGTTTATGATGCAGTTCCGGTGTTTTTCCGGCCTTTCTGACGTCTTTCTTCTTCAAAGTTAGCCATGCTTCTCGCCTGTGTGGTTTATGATGAGGGGTGGGGGGGTCTTGAAGTGTTTCGCCTTTGCGACTCCGTAGTCCTGAGCCTCCAAAGCTTCAACCTTGGACTCTTAGACTGACAGTAGAACGGCTTGCCAGAAGCCATGACTTCCCCCAGCACCCAAAAAGCCAACATGATCGGCCCAACAACCTGCTGCAATGACACAAAAAAAAAACGGTTCAACGATGACAATACCCGTATTCCGCACAGCATAACGTTCATGATCCTCGAAAGCTACTCGGAGAGGCTGCCTTCTAATGCTGCGCACAAAGTAGAAACGAGGACCCAGTCATGGGGAGGGCTGCCCAGGGGCAACATGGGTTCTGATTATCATAGGGGCTTGGGGGTGAAAGGGAGGGGGGGGGGCGTACAGGGGCTTCGTTCCTGTATCAAGCCGTAAACTATTGAAGCCTTGATGCCTTATACGGGCTTAAAAGGCCATATTTTGAGATCACGGTCCTTTCACCCCACCTCCCTCAGACCCAGCCGGGGCCATTTTTACCCTACGTTGGCAGTCGATCGACTATCACTCTCACTTCTCTAGATGTTATGGAGTTATAGAGAACGTGCACTCGGAATGCTGTAGCCTAGCCTTCAGCACCTCGAAGTTCGGCTCATTCCCATCTATCAAGAACTCATGGAACAAGTAGTAGTGACGGCTAAGAGCAACACAACCCAGCTAGTAGTATCAGTTAACACCAAGAGACTCTCGAACAGAACCCCTACAGCCTAAAAAGCCTAAGCCTCCGACAGGTGCTTCTGTGCTGCGCTGCAGGGCTGCGGCTGGCGGCAGCAAGCAGCCGCTTGCCTTGCCAGATCTTGCCAGCCTTGCCAGCTCCCGGTCTCTGTCACTTCTCAGTTTTTCTTGGTGACTAGTGTAATAGCTTTTTGCAAGTGTTATCATGAGGTCAATGGTTCTTTGATTGTTCTGACGATGGCGGCTATTGTTACGTTTTTTTTTTTTTTTTTTTTTGCGGTCGCTGTTGCTAAGTATGAGCTTTCGTGACTTTGGACATCAATACGGCTTCAGCAGTCTAGAAGATCTATGCCATCTGTGTGCATGGCCCAAGGATGGTTCTACCGCTTGCATGACTATCTCCGATGGCTCCTTTGAACTGACAAGTTCCACTGCAGGGTCAGTTTTCGCGGCCTTTTGGTACCCCCAACTGCCAAGGAGAAAAAGAGATCCCAAATCTCTTTCAACAAGAGACCCCAAACCTATTCAGAACCAAGTCTGACTGTTTGTCCAGGCGATACCGGGACGCCTGTCAGCTGTGGTGCGTGCTCGAACCAACCTGAATGCCCGCCGCAATGCAGCTCTGCCACCTTCGCGTGCACTTGTGCAGCCTTATCGATCAGTTGTTTGTGGGAGACGCTCCGACCATTACAGTGAGAGGTTAAGGCATTTAAGGCATTTCTTGAAACACGGCACTTTTGACACGACTGTCGCCACAACCACCCGTGGATTTGAGGAATGAAGAATGCAAACCTGCTGGGGGTGGCCCGAGCAACATTCCCTGCAGCGCCTGCGTGCTGCAGGATTGCCAAACTCTTTTTTTCTTCTTTCTCTTTTGGCAGTCGGCCTGTGCAAGCAAAGTTTCTTGATGTGAAGATCTGCCCGTGAGCGCATCATTAACCAGTAGCTCCACTCCGCCCCTAAGATGTCCCCATGTCCCCTCAAAACCTCTTCAAGAGTCAAGTAGGAGCCTCCTTGGAAGAGTTCCCCCCGAAAAGCAAACCTGCAGGACACGTGCCAAGCGGCCCGGCCCCGTGCAGTGGACTTCGCCCCGAAGACACGAGGTTGACAAAGTGCAGGCTTTCCATTTTGTTCGAGTTTAGGGTGTCTTGAGGGGATTCGGAGTGTTGAGGGCTTTCAGAGTTTTTTTTTCTGTTGGGGTTGCTGAACTGCAGCTTGTTGTAGGAGGTTGCGGGAGTGTGCCGGGGGCTGATCTTGCCGTTCTTCGCAATTCTTCGCAGTTCTTCTGGACAGCCAAGGACCATCTTCGCCCTGCCACGGGAGGGCGACCTGTCCATCATCGACGCTCGCCCAGACCATCCCAAACTCCAGCAAACCCGAGTTCGGAAGTCAGCGTCGCTTCAGTCTTGCCAGCATCCCCAGCACCTTTTGGTGAAGGTTCTCTCCATTTCTCTCCCAATCCACCCTGTCGACCCGGAACGGCCCAGATCCCAAAACCTACATCATCTCAACAATGCCATTGATTGCCGCGCAGTATTCCTTATCAGAACTAGATTCTCCGGGAAAGCCGCGAGCTACACGTTAATCTTACAGCTCCTGTGCCCAGTAAGGAAATCTCTTTCAACACGCAACTGGGCCCGCTTCGCGCAGCGCGCGGTGCCGTTCAGTTCATCTGCGGCACCGCGGGAAGGGAGCCGACTCGGACAGGGTGCTTAAGATCCGGATGAAGGGGTTTTGATAGTTTCAGGAGGTTGGAGTTGCGGTTGGGGGTGTCCTTGAAATTCCAGGCTGGTGGATGTAGCGTTGCTTTGTCGAGACGCCTGGAAGCTAGGGTTGCGCTCAGCGTAGAAGGGCTGATAGAAGTGCAGAAACCTGGTGCTTTACCAGGACCTCTGTCACTCTATTGGAGTACACGGTGCCTCTCTCAGTTCTTTCCGTGGATCGTTCTGCGCCTTGAGCATTCTTGCATCTCCCATCCTGCTCTTCGTGCGAGGTTCCGGGCGAAGGGCTTGAGGTCGCAGGCAACGTACTCAAAGTGGCGTCTGGAACAGTCCCTGTCGCCGAATCAACATCCTGCACTTTGTTGGCCGGAGAGGGCGTCGTCACCAACGTGGATGGCTTGCCTTCGCAACCCATCGAGTTTGGCTCCTACATGTTCAAGATGAAGGACTCTGTGCCTCCGATGATCTTATCCTTCTTACCCTCTGCTGGAGCTGGAGGAGTGCTGCTTGGCTGAATGAATAACATTAGGGTTTAGGGTTTAGGGTTCAGATGGTGATGGGCTTGACTCTATATCGTAGCCCTGCGCTATCCTCCCGTATCCCCACGCCAAGGTTGACCGCACAAAAGCACCTTGACAAAGACTTCGTGAGGGAATCTACAGTGCCGTGTTTCTGTTTTTGCTTGGCTCAAAGCAAAGGGCCGATGCGGTACTGAAATTTGCTAAGGACGGTGAGCATAACCTTCAATGAGAGGCCTTGTGTCTGTGACTTTTTAAGTAGACCTGCTGTGGCGCAGATAGTTCTGACAGATCTCGTCAGCTGCACAGCTTGCTCACATCCGAAGCTGACACAGGGTCCGGCAGACAGAAAGCTTCAGCGCTGAAATCCGGCTCGTGGACTTGTTCGGGGAGCCGCTGGACGCGCCTGTGCCAATCGGCCTGGATAGCGTCAACGAGCGTGTGGTCAGGCTGGACGTGCGAGGCCTGCATAGGGAACCTCTTTGAACAGTCGGTGAGCCCTCTGCAACAGGCCCCCACTGTAATGGGTCAGGGCTGCAACAAAGAAAACTAAATATTCAGCGCCATTCAGCGCTGAGCTTTTGTTTCATGTACTTTCGACACAGCCGTGACAGTCTCACTGAAACCTTGGCGCCTGGTTCAATTCCCGACAACTTCCTAGTAAATGTTCTTTGTGTTCATAACAGCTCCCTCTTGAGGGCTGTAGTTTGAAGCTGATGAGCCAAACGCGGTGTGGACAAAAATCTCACAGACGCGAACTGTCTTTATACATTTTTTCGCCATGAATGTCAAGTCGTAAGAGAAAGTTTCTGTGGTTTGTGATTGGGGGGCATCAAAAAATTCACACTAACTACAGTTGACTTGAGCAAGAGTTTGGGGTTTCATACTGAGAATGAAACATGATGCCGATTTCGGAGGCGAGCTGTATAAGGCATGCTGAAATTTTGTTTCACGGGTCATGCTCATGTCAACAGTTTGTTCATGCCTCCTCCGCATTGAGCCCTTGCCGCTGTTGTCCTTGACCTTTCATCACGAGCCATGTCCAGTTGTGCATGACTGCCGCCAGTGGTAGCATCTGCCTTGCCTTTGCAGGCAAGTTGCAGCCTGGGAGATTCTACGAGCAGCTCGGTGTCAGCCAAGTCATTGACCTGGACTAGGCGGCATTGCCTGTTGCCCGGACATTTTTGTTGTGGATTTCAACGGCGCATGAGATCACTTCTGAGGATCACCATTGCTGCCGGGTCCATCGTGGACTACGGAAATCAGCTTTTCGAAGGGCTCGCCGCGGGTGTCTACAAGTTCAAGACTGACGGCCCCTTGGCCACATTTCTTGTTTGATGTCGCCCTCGCACATCTGATGCCTCAAAGGCAACCATGATGATGTCGTGATCGTTGATGCTCTTGGGAACACTGGCCCCTCCACCGCGGTCGTAGCGACTTGGATGAAGCCACTCTCGGGACTCGCAGCATAAGAGGTCATCGATGTGATTCTAAAGAGGCTCACATAGCGTAGTTGTTGTACGACCTATTTTCTTCCTCCTATTCCAGCTATTGCTCCTAGAGGAAACCCCCAAACAAGGAAGCATTCGTAGTCGAAACAAGGGAACGTAACACAGAATGCTTGCGGAAAAGCAGCGGGCGGTACGGGGAAGCCTTTGCAGCCGTTACAGGGAAACAGGCGGAGTTGCTATGCGAACCAGTGCGTGGATGTAGCATGGAAAGGTTGGGGATAGGGTTTGAAAGATTCCACCCCACCTGTCCGACCCCGTTTGGCTCCCCAGTTTCAAAGGGCTTGCCAGAGACGGAGATGCGCTCAATTAAACTGTAGAGCCTCGATTTTAGGCCGCACGGTAGCCTTGAGCGGAAAAATGCCATCTGAGCCTGAACACTGCACACAAGACTCAACAAGTCAAGCACAGTCGTATAGCCTGGTTTCAGTTTCGCGTTGGCCTGCTTCCGCGTTGCCTTCCCCGGCTTTCCAGGTAACGGTGAGGCTGCTGTTCTTGTTTCGGAGAGGTGCTTCATGGTGCTTCTGCAGTACGACCTGCCTCTTTCTTCCGTGCTTTTTCTCCGTTACGCCCTTTGATTTCTGCGTTTCATTTCTCCTATTCTGGTTCTGTTGCTGCTAGCGGCTGATACTCATAGTGAACTGACGTAGCTTGACTGCTGCTGATAGCTTAGCTTCTATCGAGGCGGGGGCAGCTGGTGGTGGTATGCTGGTCCTCTTGGCCGTGGCCTGCATTGCCTATCGCACCTATGTGGTCTCGCGAGAGCCCCACGACCTCCCGCCGTCGCCGGTCGAGGCTGAGCAATGTTGCTTTGGCGTTTGGGCTTTGTCAGAGTTCGCAGGCCACATCGAACAAGTCCCCGCCGAGGATCCGGTTCGATGAGGAGGCACATGCTGAGTCGGCTTTCTCACTTGCCCACCACCGGAGTCACACCATTCTTGATTCAAGGCTCTGAAAGTGCAATACATGGACGACCTCCCAGACTCTCCAGAAAACAGGATGGTCAGTAGTGGCTCGTGGTCCATCACCCCATTAGCATTCAGCAGCAGAAGGGCTGTCCTGGCAGGAAGTCTTACAAGTTTGATGATGAAACGAACGAGCCTTCCAACGAGCCCTCCAATGAGCTGCGAAAGGCTGCCCAGGACTGGCTGCTTTGCGCACTCGTACAAGTATCTTTCTTCTTGCATGGCTCTGCAGCGCCTGACCATGCCTTCCATGCTCATGGCAGGAAGCAGCAACGGTGCGCCGCAACTCAATCGCTGCGCACATGGAGCTGCCGCGGATTCCCACAGGTCCTACAAACCAGCGCAGGTCATCCTACCACGGGAACACAGCGAAGGAAGAGACGAACCAACCGCACCAAAGAGGCAGCCGGGTGCATCCACCTGCAGAGCATCAGGTGGACAAACGACCCAAGAAGGCCCGCCATCCTGTAAAAAAGCACAGCGCCTCTTTAGAATCGAGTCTTAGAGATGTGTGACGGAAGCAGGGTTCCTTGCAAGAATGCACGTGTGGAGGTTGTTTAAGCCGCGAAACCGCAGCTTGGCCAGGAGCCTCCCAAGCTCAAGACGGGGCACTACCTGTCTTCTGCCGGAGCCGCGTGGAGCTAAGAAGGCGGATTTTTAAAGCTGTATTTCATGTTGAGTGCTGCACAGTTGCGCAACGAACTCGTGCCTCAACCCTGATACTCTTGCATGATCCCGTTCCGCTTTTGCGAGTTCGGCTGTTCTTCGGTTCAGGCATCAGCCTTGGGCTTCCTGCTGGGTTGCCTGTAACTACCTGAACTACCTGACCTCAAAGCTAAATCCCGGAAGGTTGCTCACCTACAGCTTCAGCCCCCACAATCGGGCGATGCCCATTGTGGTCCAGTCCCAAAGAGCCCACCCAAAAAAGCTCCAGCGCCGAGAAGTAGGCAGATGAAGGCAGGAGCCCATGTATCTCAGTCAAAACTCGCGATAAATCAATGCGTCGCAAATGCAAAGCCCTTGCCTGCGTAGAGCACACATACGCGCTGTGCGCAAATAGTTTGGGGGGCTGGATGTACGCGCAACTGTGCACTGGCGAACCGCAGTGCCCAATAGCTGCCGGTCGTCCTCGACGAGGACCCTGTGCGTCTTTAAGGGTGATGTGGTCCCTGCTTGGAGGTGTACTTGCATCTGTACTTATAACCAGATTAGGGCACTTAAGGGGCTTCTAAGTGGGTTATAAGTACAGTGGTGAATGAGTACCATAAACCTTCAAGTATTTCTGCGGGGTTTCACCGGGCCACCGGCCGAGTTGGTGGGACTGGTGAATGGCCTGTGTGCGATTTCCCTGGGCACAGCGGCACTTTTCCAAGGGTTTCGCGTGCTTTTGCGCATTTTGTGCACTATGCCGTGCATGTGCACATCATGCCAACAAGAAAGGCTCAGCAACGGTTCGATGATCCTGTCTAATCTCATGAGGATGCAACGGTCAAGCACTACACAGAAGCCTTGATGTTGACGAACGTGGGGCAATATTATCATTGCTGCCTGCAACAGGTTTCGGAGTGTGAGAGCATGATGTTTGCACATGTCTTCAGTTCTGTGCCAAAGGCACAAAAAGCATCAACCTGGCCAGAAGGCCAGTGGTGTAATTTGGCTGGCCAGAGCATACAATCCTTCTGCAATCCAAAAGCTTTAATTATGCCCATCGTCTTTCACCATGCCCATCGTTACAAACTGCATGTCCGGATCCTTGGCCACGAGCTGTCGGAACGGTATGTTGTGCTCGCCAGACATTTTTGAGTTTTGAAATTTGATGCAAGGAGTCCCCTCTCCAGCCACACAACCCCGTCTTGACGCCGTGAGGTCGGCTGGGCAAAGACTTCTCCAAGCTAAAAATGTGCCAGTTTGTGGACGCGAAGTCAGGAGCAAAGTGACAGTTATGTCTGCCCTCTCCCATGTACTCTGCAGCTCTCTTGGCTTATCTTGGGTTACTTCCATCGCAGTATGTTGTCGAAGCACGTGCCAACAGTCGTAGAAGCGGAAGAGCTGGAAGAGCTGGAAGCAGCAACTGTTGCAGTTTGCCTTGGCTAGTCGCAGTAGTTGTGTTTCAGAAACGAAGAGGCCCAAGCCTACAGATTCCCGGTAGGCGTGCATGGCGGTCACTGCTCCGCTGGCCGGGTGGCTGCAAGGCGCAGCGCTTCTGCCAGATGATGTCAGTAGCCGTCGATTTGAGAGTGGCCCCCCCACGAAGCCGTGAAAAGTATCACAGGAGTTTCGCAGCGTGTCGAAGACCCCAGCAGGTGTCAGCCCTCATCTGCCGCATCTTCTGCATGTGTTCAGGAGAAGCCTGTTTTGAGGTGTTGACAGTAACCTGTTTTTGCCTAGTTTAATTAATGGGGTGTCGGGTGTGGCTTAGGCTTGAATCTCGCTCAGTAAGTGCGAGTTTCGTGATTCTTCCAGGAGCAGAAACGTGCTCGATGTGCACAGCCTTCAGTGCAGCCCTCAGGTGTGTTGTTATGTTCATGTGCACCTTTACGTAGGACGTAGGACATCATATGATTCAGCAATAAGACTCAGCAATGCTCAGTGAGTCGAAGCGACTTGCATGCTTTACAGGCATATGGATGACGGCAGCATGAAGCAGCTGCTGGCCGCCGTGTCCCCAGAGGGATCACAGGGGTCTGATGCTGAGATGCGTTTTTCAAGCAGATCCGGCAGAGGCGCTTCAGCAAGCTGGAGCCAACCACAAGGCCCTGAGGCCGGCTGTGAGGGATTGAGACATAAAAGGGGGGGTGACGTAGGGTGTTGCAGGGTGAGCTCGTGTGATCTGACTGTGATCTTCTCTGACTGTGATGCCTTTGCCACGAGTCTTGTGCAGGGCGCTGGAAACAGCGCTCCGCCCGCCTGGAGCTCAGGCGACCTCAGGCGACCTTCTTTTGATGTGATTGTTGCCTTAGCGGCCCGTAATATCGGCCGTAGCCAAAGCAGCTGCATGTCAACCTGTAGACCTTGCCGTGGTGGCGGAAACACTGAAGGCTGCATCGATGTCGACCAGGCTGGATGGCAGATTCTGCATCTCGGTGAAGCGTTGCCTTTTTTTTGCCTTCGCTCCGGTACTTGCGTCACCATCTTTTTGGGGACAACCCTGTAGCACTAGATCCAGGCATCTTAGTTAAACGATGCCAGCATTCCATCGCACAGGCGGACAAGTCATTGTGTGGTCAGATGAGATGGAGGTGTTGCAGCCAGAATTTGCATCATTTGTGCCAAAAGATGGTCAAGAGCTAGAGGAGGTGGTTGTTTTCGTGTTGGCTCGCAGGTGTTTTCACTAGCATTTGCTTTTGTTGCGTCCGCATCTGCCAGGTTTGGGGTCGCTTTTGGAGGGCCTTTTTGTGGGATCGGAGTCTTCATAAAGGGACAGACACAGCCTTTGAACACACTCCCCCCTCCCGGTGTTCACGCGGAGTTCATGCGTGGCTAACAGTCTCGCAAGCTGAAGCAGGCAGATGGCGAAGACGATCTGCGACCAAAGAGTCCGCCGATCGTGCTGGGAAGAACCTGGCAGGTTCCTCTGCTGTTTGGATGGGCAGGTTGGCGGCCCCCCTCCCTATTTTGAGAATTAAGGATGATGAGCAGTTTGGAGAATCACAATCACAGCAGTAGCAATTGTCCTGATACTTCTAGCGAGACACAATGGACAATTCTGATATGTGCTGATGCTACTGCTGCTGTGCCTGAAAAACATGCTGAACCGTACCACAGTGTGGCCGGCGCATTGAACTCTGCACAGTTTAAGCACAATCATGTGGTCTTATTGCCTGACGACAGCGTGATGCCAACTTGAATCATGCCTTGGAGTCGTCGCCTGTAGTGGCTTGAGCTTTCGCCTGAATTCTCATGCTTTTTGGGGGTGCGGAGCCAAAGACCCGCTGCAGGCGCCTGCCTCAAGCACCTGGCTCTGGGAAGAGGACCCCGAGCCTGCGCAGCCTGCGCGGTGCAGCCTCGCACGCCACAGGGCCCTGGATTTTCAGGTGGGGTCGCAGGGCTGGGGGAAGTGATGGGAAGTGGCGCATGTTGGCGGCTTAGGGTTGTGATGGGGTTGAGGGCTTCAGCAATCCAGTATTCGAGAGGCATGAGATTTTGGAGGCCGGTGATGCAGGGCGATTCCACAGTCTGGCAGGAAGGATCAGATTCAGCATTGTGTGTTGCTGCGGTTGCAATGTTTGTTGCACGTTTTAAAGACCATCTCGTGCTTGTTGCTTTTTTGCCGTGTTTGGCTATCAGGCCGGAAGGGGTGTTGCGTATGCGCTGCGACATGATGTGCCATTGCAGCAGCCGGCAGCCAGGCCAGGAGATGCGGCAACATACCGTGTATAGTAGACACCTGACATTTGTGCCAGTGTATGGTGGCAATGAAGCAGAAATGCCTTGGAGCAAGTGGGCGCTGGCAAAAATGCATCGTTCAGCTTGCTGCATGAAGGGCTGCGAGCGAGGCATGAAGATGCACAGCCTAAAGAGGATGTAATGGCATGCCGATTTCACTGGCCATTGCGGCTTGCTATTGGGATTCTGTTATCGCATATTCTTAATGTCGTTTAGGTACACTACCAACATAGACCTCTATATAATGTAGTAGAACCCCAGTTGAATCTGCACCGCCTGACGTCGAGTTTCTGCCATAAACCCGAAACCCTAAGCCGTTGAACCATCGTGGACCCTAATACATCTTGAGCCCTTTTCCACCTTGAAAAGCTCGCTGAACACAACCCCGAACCAGAGCCTTTCCCGAGCCCGGAGCCCGCTCGAAGGCCGACCCGAAGACGGGCCGCCTCTGCCTCAACAGCTTCTGCAGCTTACCGGGCCAAGGCCAAGGCACCAACTGCAAAGTTTTGTGGAAGAGCAGCTAAGGCACCGACATGTTTCAGTTGGCTCTTCCCAGCTCTCTTGCAGCGCCCCGTATGGGAAAGACCGGTCTGGCAGGACCTGGCACCTCGACCGCCATGGCAGGGATACGACGCTCGGCTGTGCGGGGGCACTTGTAGCTGGCCCCGTGTGTTTTTGTGGTTTTTCAGCCATTTTCGGCCCTTAATTGGCTGGGGAGGGGCGGAGAGTATAATTCATTCGCTACCTCTCTCTGCACAACAGACTCAGCAAGGATGTGGAGCAAGACGCTGTTCATACCATCGGCGAACATGCCCAAAACACCGCTGTTGCCTCCCTGTACAGCATGCTGCACAAGGATGTTTCACGTTTCTGGAACAAGACATGCTGTCACAAGTGTAAGAGAGAGATTGTGTGTGTGTGTGTTTCGCGAACATGGCGCAAAGTAGTCAGTGAACCTCCCCTCCAAAGCACTCTCTTTCATGTCATCTTCCAGAATCGCACGGGAATGCCCTGTGCATTGGGACAAGTGGAGACGTGTAGGGCCATGCTTTCGAGGGTACTGCACTCGGTCGGTCCGCCACACGACCATAGCAGCCGAGGGACGAATTCTGCCACCTGCCAACGGGTAGAGCCGGCACGCGTTGCAGATATTTGAGTTTACAGAGAAACTTATGGCTTTCTCTCACCAGGGCCAGTGAAGGCCGAGTCCCGAATGGCCAGGTTCAGGCGCACCTGCTACTGCGGCTTCCACAGCTGATCCGCTACGGGGATCTATGATGCACGATGGCGCTTCGGAGCCCCCCCAAAAAAAGGCTGCCAATGTTTTTGCGTGCTTGCGGGCTTGGAACGGGCTTGCGTGAGCCAGACATCAGTCCGTCTCAGCCCTGGATGCGCCCAATCTCACGAAGGCTTCAAGGGAGCTCTGTCATCACAAGGCTGTAGCACATGAAGCGGAATCTACCAGATGCTAGTGACACATGAGCCTCGACAATCCTATAAGTACCAGCCACCCAGAAGGGTGTTCCACGCGTGACACTGGCACATCTTCCCAGTAGAGCACGTCCTCGGCTCTGGCCTACGGGAAGGCCGACGGCTCAGTCCAGAAGGTCTTACTGCAAGCTCCGACGTGTCAGGGATTTCGACGGTATCGTTCTATAGTCTGACAGAGCCTGAGGCAAGGCATGTCCTATTCAAGCAAGATTTCCGCTGCAGCGCAGTTGGTGCCGGGCTCGGTTGATTTGTTGGGCTGACCGCTGAGTCTTTGTTTGAATGCCCGGTCCCCGATGCTGGGGCCACTCTTGCGGCAGAAGAAACTGTCCGAGGTTCACGAGGATGAGTTTCGACGGATGCTGGAGCCTGGACGAAAGAAGCACGACAAGCAGATCGGCAGGTGCCGGGAAGCGTGAAGCTTCCGAGCCTGCCCGAACGCGAACACAGACACCGATGAGCACAGTGAGCACAGCATACAGTGTATACAGTCTGACGCTCCGATGATTGCCAGGTTGCCAAAAGGTCAAGAATCGCCTTTTGGCGACTTTCCGCCAGACTATACGCGACCTGGGGATGACCAAAAGAGGTCGAGCTGAGTGCACATTGCATTGGCGGTGCAGCATACGGAGCCCTCGAAGAGGTCCCTGGGCCTCCTCCAACTTTCGGGCACAGCGACTCTGACGCCGCGGAAATCAGCGGATCAGGCGCCTTTCCTTGCTCCTTACAAGTCCCTTTCATGCGGGGGTTTACGATAATCAGGGCCCTCTAGTAAAGACACCCAACTAGTGGGATCCCCTTATAATAAGGTCTCCAATAAGGTACCCCCTAAGATCCTAAACCCCCATGTAGGTTGCTTAGCTTCACACGATGTCGGAGCGCGCGCAGGCACTGCCCTCAGCGCGCAGCTCACTCCCATCAGCGCGCAGTATGGATGGCAAGACGCCGCGTACTGCTCGTGAGATCGAGAGGCCGGAACCCTATGTGTGAGTTTTTAGGAAGGAAGGAAGGCAGGAAGGAAGGAACATGAAGGAACGTGAAGGAAGATGAAGGAATAAAGATGAAGGAATATGAAGGAATATGAACTATTGAAAAAATGAATATATACGTAGGGCGTAGGGACATTGGGACACCTTGGCATGACAGGATGACGCCCCGGATGACGCCCCGTGATGGTGCCTTCTCCAACACTGCACCGAAAGCCTTGCGCAGGCTCCGATGCATTCGTGAGTGCAGTCTTGCCTGGTGCTGCACCATGATGCACGCCATGTTGCAAATCCAGCTTTCGGACCGTTAAATTCACTCCCAAAACAGCCCCTAAGCCGGAGAGCTTGCCTGCCTTTGGGATGCACTTGTTCTGGCAGTTTGGGCCCTCCGGCAGCAGGAGCTTTCATGAAGCCCGGGACCGAATCAGGGGTTTGAGGTTTCGTTGGAAGGGTTTGGGGTTTTGGGGCTGCAAGATTTTGGCTGGTAGAAGGGCTAGTTTTGCAGTCTTCGGTTTTGGCGGTCCCTTCCCAGCAGCGACTCCTTTACCATATTGGAAAACCGCAAGTTCTACGGTGGAGAGCCTTCGTCCCAAGGCGGCCTATCGAGCCCTCAGAGTTCAGAAGGTTCTACGACCGGAACGACTTGCCCATCCAGGCAGGAACAGCTCAGCTCAGATGTCTCAGGATGGGGTCACTTGCACTCCTGGCCAGATCATGCACACGGGCACCCAGAATAGGATTGCGTGGAAGGCAGGTCATCTCAGACGTTTTGGGGGAGCATTCTGACTGCTAGCTTGAGCGGGGTGCTGTCGGCAGGGAAGGTCACATGCCTAGTATTCTTAGGTTGATGTGGAAAAGTTGGACTACCACCACTACCTTCCCATTTTCTTCGATGGGCCGGGGACGCCAGGAAGACCCGAAGGCAGAGGCAAGACCCCAAAACGCCCCCAGGCTGCGCGAGAGAGAGGAGCCATACCGCTTCTTCGCGGTGGAGGGCGTCTACAATCTCCTGGAAAAGGCCTCCGCAATGCCCCTCTACAAGTCCAGATATTGCTCAGATCGCCTCGAAACATCAGGGCGGGTCCAAGATCCTTCCGGTGGTGCCACAGCTTATCATCCCCATCAAGAAGGAGCACACGATAGGGGGTATCTGTCACTGTGATGTTGAGTGATGTCGACCGGCATCTGATTGAAGCTTCATGCGCGACGATCGTCAGGCCCTCAACACGTGGGCCTGGCCGACTTTAGTGTCTAGAATTCGGCATTTGGTCTGGTGAACTTGGCTATCTACTGTATTTTCTTGTCATCTTGCATTTTGATGGCCAGGCGGGATCCAGAAGTGATGGTAACCACCATGAAGGAGGGGCGTTTTGCTCTGAGGAGAGCATGGCTGTGCACGGTGGCCGCCGGTGGACTTCTGCTGCCCGTCAGGTGCTGCAGACTTTGGTGCTCTCTGGGGAGATGGTGGGTGAGGCCTGCAATGGCCTGGCCGTCAAATAGTCCTCAAGTCAAACATTCGAACATCTGCAAGCAAAGCGGTACTGTAGAGAGAGAGAGAGAGAGCGAGAGAGAGCGAGAGAGAGAGAGAGAGCCACCGTTAACTCCTCTGGAGCAGGCGCTGGTCCCCTACTACCGCCAGATCTTGCCGGCAAGCTGCCAGCTTGTGAGCACCCTCGTGGAGTCCGACATTCCTGGCCGTTGCAGGTACTCAACATCTTCAAGTCGGCTACGAAAAGCACCTTCGATCAGATGGCCCAAGCCCTGGTCTCTTACGTCTCGTCCTAGAAGGACTGCCGTGACTTCGGAATCGCCCCAGGACTACTCCCAGCGCAAGCGCATGGACATTGGGGCCCTCATCGATGAGACCCTGGAGACTTTCCGTATCTTCTCGCTGACAAGTCTCCTTGTATATCGTTGCAGTTGCTGAAGCGTGGGCTTGTGAGGAGATTCTGGAAACTCACGGGGGCGAAGACGCCTTCATCAACATCAAGTGCCCTTTCCGTCCTTGCATCTTGTGGCAAGTGGGCACAGTGAGGGCACCAAGCATCACGTGACAGGTACATGATACCAACCTACGAGTCGTGTGTATCTGTTTGAGTTGAGCAGGATCGAGCTGGTAGGGTGCGGCAGTCCAGTTCCAACACCTCGAAGCCAGCTTCATCCTGGCAATGCCCCTGCGATCTTGCAAATCAAGGGGAATGTAGTTCGACAGATCTCACCAAAGGTGGACTCTTTCCAATTACCGCTTTGCCAAGTCTTGTCAGTGCTGACACGAAGCATGACGTGCGAGGCTCGTTCACGGCTTGCGGTTGTTCAGTGCTGGTAGACTCACTGGGCTGTGAAAATCGCAGATCCAGCGAAACTTTTACAGACACCGTACTTGCGCAGATGTACCCTCCAAATTGGATGCACCTTTGGACTTGCGCTTGCCGCATCATCGTGTAGACTGGCCTCGTCAAGTTCGGTGTCTCTCAGGTGTGGATCTATTACTTTCACCCTGATGCTCCCAGCCAGCTGTGTTGCTGAGAGCCGGTTTACGCCCTCGAAATGGTCTCAACGGAGAACAATGGTGCACCTACACACAAGGGGTCGGCGTCTGTGGGAGGTAGCAGAGCCTGTGCCCATAGCTGTGAGATATCGACGTCTGGTTTTGCGCTCCAGGATCCAGCCAGGACTACTTGTGATGAAATCACTCGCCCGACTTCGCAAGCTAGGTCGAGTCCTCTTTTCCCCCCCCGTCCTCATACTTCCCGGGAAGTCGAAGCCTTGAGTCCTCGTAGGTCGTAGGATGTAAGATCGAGTCCGGCCGTTGTCCTGCCCTCATGGCTGCCCTGGCTCCCATTTGGGCTGCATTCTTCGTAGGGGTGGTTCCATGTAGGACACGCGGCAGCTTTCTCGCAGTTTTTCCATGTGGCAGGGCCTGGGCCAGCATGATCTCAGTGGTCTCAGTGGTCTCAGTGACCTACTGCCGCGGCCGGGGCATGGCCCTCGGTTTAGTCTTCGCGAGTCTTCGCAATATACCAAGAACCCACCCCCAACGCACCCAATTCCCTGACCTAACCTCACTTAAACTGAAGCATCAGGAAGCTGTGAACAACCTTGGGGGGTGGGGGGGGGTCTGTCCAACAGCCAAGATGCCAAGGCCGAGGCGGCCGCCCACATCTTTCTATGTCGACTGTCGCCTCTACCGGCCCACCCAGGAGGAGGCGTGGAAGGGTCCGGGAATGTCCGGGAGGATGTGCGAGGATGTGCAGAGCATGGGGAGTGGCCCTGGGTGCGGGCCAACAGTGGACCAGCAGATGTGAGATGGTTTGCACGTACATGTCGTCCCTGAGGCTTGAGATCCGCGAAAATTGGAATCCCCGAAGCGAAAAGCTGATGATCCTGAAATCTAAACCCTCAGAGCCTCTCAGCCTTCAGCCTCGCACTCTTCCCTGCTGGCAGGCCGAGTACGCGCGTCGATCCTTAGGCAGTCTGACACGGGTTTGTCTTCGTTTCTCGTTTTGGACTTTTTGTTGGGTCTTTTGCAGGGCTTGCGTGTAACTAGGCGGCTAGACCCTCAACCTCTCAACTCTTCATCCCCTGTCATCTGTCGCCATTTGTAAGCGTTAAGTCAGTGCTCCTGCTACTGGGTGTCCAGAGTGTGTTTGATGTGTTTTTTTTTTGCTGTTATGCGCGTCATGATTTGTTATGCTGTGAGCATCTGTGAGCCTTGTGAAACGGTAAGGCTGTTCTCAAAGTGAAAAGCATCGCTAGTGGAAAGCTAAGGCCCCTCCCAAAGGTTCTCCAAAACCTAAACCTCCAAGCCCTCAATCCCCAAAATCTTTTTGCTGCGCCAGCTGCGGACGAAATGCTGGAAGTCCCGTCCGACCCACCGCCGACACCGAAGGCAGCCCGGGAAGCCTTGGGGTGCAGGGCAGTCGGAGCTCTAGAACCAAGAGCCCCTAGCCTTCTAAGGGGCTCTCTTGACATTAGAATCCGGGCTCCGCGCATTTGTAGCTTCGTTCTCTTCACTGTAGCCTGTAGCTCCCCCCCCCCTTTTCCCATACTGGAAGCCTCTTCTTTGGGTGCAACGGCCCCTCCCTCTTTCTCCTAGTTTTGTACTGCGGAACTGCAACTGTCTCGGCACGGCGCATCTTGGAGGCCATACCTCCCAAACCGAAGGGCCTCCTTGGCAAGGGCCTTGCTGCAGCCTCGGTAGCAGTGATGCTCGGAGCGGATCCTGAACTGGACAAGCCCTGATGGCTTGCAAGTGCTTAGGCCATGGCCAAAGACTTTGCCATGCAGGCTTTCGGGCAGAACCTGCCTCTGGTAGTTGACACCAGTCGCTGTTTGCTGTGAACCCGCACAGTTCACGCAGGCGGTTTCCGAGTACTTTGGCCGGCTCCTCATTGCTGATTCAGTATCATTGTACATCTTTCTTCGACGTTGCTGAGGAAGTGCTGGTGGCAAGGGGGATCCGGATGTTGAGAGGCCGAGAGACCAAAACCGCTGTGACGCACTCTTGTGCACTCCTGCTGTCTCTTGCGGCTTTCTGCTCTCTGCAGGCAGTGTGCCGAACTCTACGGCCTCTTCCAGCGGAAGAATCTCATGGCGGGAGCCTCGGTAACCCTGATGCGCCACTCGTCGGGCGGCTGGAGACGGTGCTGGTGATGCGAGGAAGCTCGCACCGACGCCATGCTCAGAGTCAACAGAGGTTGCTCATTTGCATTTACATACTGGTCTGGTTATTCTGGTTCCGGCACCATCGTTGCTCCATGCTGAGCCCCTCACCCGAATCTGATGATTCTGTAGACGACCTCTCCCAAGAGGATGCGCCGTAGAGAGTCCCTATGACTCTTATGAACCATGCCACAAGAAGCGACTGCTTACTTGCCTCTGCATCAGAGACCAGCGGTACTGGCTGTTGCATCGAAGCCTGTTCCAGGCATGCCAAAGAGCCTTGCCAACCTCGAGGGTGACAAGGCCATGGCCTTCGCAGCCCAGATCATCTCACGTCCTTCCTTGGTGTTTTTCTCCCCTAAGCCCTAAACCCTAAACCCTAAACCCTAAACCCTAAACCCTAAACCTTAAACCCTAAACCCTCTTAAGATGAACCCGGGGAGGCTCCAGGCGGCCTGTTCATCCAGCACACGGCTTCGCATCAGTGGTGCGCCGTCAAGCGGCTTCACTTGTCGGGCTGTGTAGGAAGGGTCTGCGGTTCTGTTTGTGGACCTGTGGAGGTATCACTGCTTTATCTTGGGCAAGAAGGAGGATGCTCAGCTACAGCGTTGGCCCTGGTACTTCCCCATTTCAAAGGCCTCTCATGCTTCCGCCATGTTTTGCATATTCTGCTGGCAACATTGGCCAGGCCAAGTGTTGTAAGGGGTTGCGGTTGCGCGTGCGTTCAAGATCGGATCCGCATTTGCTCCACCACGCACGCTGCGTGCTAGATTTCCAGGTGCGTGGCGATGGAGCCCGACAAGAAGTTCGCCAAATACAAGGTCTGTGGTGCGCAAGCGTCACCGCCTTGGAGCTTCACAGGTGACTTCCGGCACATCTTCACCATCATTCGTCCCTAGTTGCATGTTCAAATTCCCGTTAACGTCACCACAATTATCATGACCATCAAGATCGTGATGATCGCATGCATCGCCGTCGTCATCTTCACGTTGTTTTTGCCTTTTTCATCAGCTTCTTCACCATACCCACATGGCCCTACTGCCATTTTGGCTCGAGTGTTCGCTCAAGCTCCGCGCTTGGCTGTTAGCTCCCAAATCTTCAGCCTGAAAATACAGCGCATCGGATGTATCCATATCTTCATTTGCTCATTTGCTGCAAAATGTGGCTCGGAGGCGCTTTGCGTTCCGAGACCAAAATATAGAGAAAGAAACCAACTGCTGCTGCTTCAACGAGAGACGGGCGATCACTTACCAGAACCCTTTTGACTTTTCGTTTCACCATTGCCCGACTCGTGGCTGTATGGTGGGTTTAGGTCTCAATGAATACCCTTGCCAACAAAGCGGTTATCCTGCCAAGAACGACCTCGTCTGTCAGAAGAGCTCTGGGCCATGCCCAAATCGCACAAAGCAAGCTTTATGGTCTCGCCTGAGGACAAAGGAAGAGAAGTGTTGCTGTTGGGTGCCAGCTGAAAAGAAATTCTTGGAAAACCCTCAGGAGAAATCCCTTTGCAAGGCTGCATGGTCCACACTACAACAACCAATTCAGAGCCTGTCGAGATGACACTTCGCTGGACCCCAGGGACATCTTTTGCGAAAGGACTTCCGTGGAGTGTAAAAATATGGAGGTGCCTCGGGCGGAGGAGGAGATCGAAGCAATGCGAGACATTCCTGATGATGAGCTGGAAGAGCTTGCAGTGAAGGTCTGACAGAAGCACTGCCCACACCCTGGGATGGGAAAAAAGGACAACTTGTACTACAGGTCGCCTATTAAGAAATTGCCCAAATGATCATGTTATCATATTGGCTACTAAAATGGAATCCCCATGATCACACAATCGATGGTTTCTTAGTGGGGTATTTTTATTACTGGAACTTGCCTTGACTTTGTGGGTCACTTGTGTGCTGAGATTTGGCACTCATGACTCATGGATTGTAAATGGAGTAGTTCTCTAAAGTAGGGTCCCTTCTTGTCTCCAAGATAGTACGGCACCGCTATCAAAAGGACTTCAAAAAGGGATCCTAAATTTCTAGCCAAATGAGGTGGGTTATAAAGTGGGATAACTATGGTTGTAGCCCATCTGAGGGGCTTCTATAGAACCCTAAAATTTCTCATGAGCCTCCACGTAGGCCGTGCTTCCAGGCCTTTGCGGTGTTGCTTTGGGGCCCTTCCCTGAAGGCATCTGAAGGCCTAACCTCGGCACATTTCTCAAACATCCTGAAACCTTGCTTGCCTTCAGTGCCTATGTTCCTGTCCTTTTGTCCTGCGGGTGGATGGGCAGTGGCTCAGGGAATGGTGCTTGCTTTTGGAAGGTGCGACTACGATCGGCTTACCTTCAAGACCGAGTGTCTCAACAGGCAGTGTTCATAAGTCGTGTTTCTGCGCAGCTCTCGCTCTTTAAGCTGTGGTAACACCTGCCCCAACCTATCCCCCATTCCTTGCCACAGCCGCTGCGTAGCGTCTCCTTGGCATGCCCCGAGTCCCCCAGCCAGCAAGGTCCCCAAGCCTAGGGCTTTTTTTTACATGGATCCTTGCAGCATGAACTGGTCCAATGCCGCGCAGGGTGGTCGGCTGGATGGGACGGCCGCAATGTGTGTACGTTGGACATCATGGGCAAGTTCATCCCAAGGACCGGCCTTCGAGCCTTGGAAAAGGGGGTCTCAAATTTGGCCCCGGCTCCTTGTGGCAGTACATGGCACCTCTCCTGCTCCTCCTCCTCCTTCAGACGAAGGGAGTGGAGCTCCTCCTGTAGCCCCTCCCAAACCCAGAGCTCCATATTCGACTGAGCCCTTCTGGCTGTAGGACATGATGGGAACCCCTGTTCCGTATTCGGCCATAGCCCCAGATACAGTGCGTTGACTTGGATTCAAACGCTACATGTGTAGGGTAGCCACAGCCCTCATCCGTGCAGGTCTACATCATGGGATGTCCACCTGTGCCTCCAGCACTGCCTGTGCAGGAATGGAAGCAAGGCCAGGGTTTTCACAATAGGAGGAACGCCAGCTAGCTAGATCAGCGGGCCCCTTGAGCTCTTTACCGCCGGAAGCTCTTTGCTTGGAGAGGCTCCCGCAAGATGGCAGCAGGTCGGGATCGATGGAGAGACTTCCTGGCCCCCGGGTGTGCAACTCAGGAGCTTTGCAGTGTATTCGAGGGCGGAAGCGGATCTGAACGGAGCTTGTGTGAGGTGAAGCCGTGAAAAACTGCACTTCGAGCCGCAAGAGGGAAGCTGACTGAAGGAGGCCCACATGGTCCAGGTCCCGTAGACGCACCCTTCGGACATTCTTGGACCGTTCGAGAGTGTCCGAACATCTCCGTTTCCGTCCTTTCCCTGACCAAGCATTTCACACTCCAAAGTGATCAGAAGGTCGAAGGGCCAACGTCTCACAGAGGGCGCCTGGATGCTCGTGAAAGCTCGTGAAATCCACGTGTGCATGCGTGAGGGTTTGCTAATCGCAGGCTGAGTTGGGGGGCCGACTTACAGTCGGCTGTTCCATGCTTTTGCCGTAAACAACGGGTTCGGATTACCGCGGCCTAGCCCTAAACCACGGCGATGGAAGGTGGCAAGGGGTCCTGCTCTACGAACTGCATGGCCAGGCTAAGCTTCCTATATGCTGTAGTCTTGCAGCCTTCTGGTCGGGCTCTTCCCTCACTGCGCAAGGGCTTGAGACCGGCGGTGCGCCTGGTTTGGGCATGTTCACATTACTCACGGCATGAGAGATTTGGGTTTTAAAGGTACTTGCCTCAAGGTTTAACTGGCCCTCATGAACTCATGCTGCTGACTTGGCCTTGTAAGAGGAACTACTTGCAACCGGGACACATCGCATCCCTTGCATGTGTGGGTTTAATTTGAAACATTGATGCAGAAATTGCACGAGCTGGCCCAAAAGACTACCTCAATCGACATGTGCCTACATCTGCATAGAGCAGAGGTTGGCTAGGATGTTGCAGGCCATAAGGTTTGTCACAGTAACTTGTCTCAGTATCCTTGGACGATCCGCAGCATTTTTGCAGCTTGTTCCAAAGGCATCGCCAAAGGCGGCCTGATTAGTTCGCGGTCGGAGGGTTGCTGCCAAATTGTTGTTTCAACTTATGGGGGCGGAGCTTTGCCCAAAGGGGGTTACCAAAAAACACTCACGGCACACGACTTGCTTTCCAAGTACTTGCCTCCACAGCGGATGTGGTAGATCTTTACAGGGCGGTTGCCATACTGCAGTTTGCCGTTCTTTAAGCACGTGGGCCTCTCAGCTGCGTTGAGGGAAAGCGGACATGTGATTTTCATCGGTTGCTGATCTTACGCGTGCGAGTCTTAGCATCGCAGGGTGAGCTTTGCTTCAGGCTTGGCAGCAATGACCACCCTCCTACCGGCCAAATCCCCAGAGCTATCTCCATCCACTCCAGGCTGTGCAGTGTAGAGCACACTAGGGCACACCGGTTGCTCTGTGCCAAGGACTCTTTTCATGTGGGATCTGTCGGCTGGATGCTGAGGGTCCCTGCCGAGGGCTTCTCACGCCTCATCTGCTGAGCACCGAGGTGCGCAGGCAGATTCAACCAGGCCGACGTTTCCGGCTCACTCGTTTGGTGCGGAGCTAAGAAAAGCAAAATTCAGAGGCTCTTCGCTGTCTCTTAATCTCGCTGGAGATGGCGTGACCCAGGAACCTGCGATCGGGACAGCGCCAGGATGAAAGTCTTCATGTCTAGAAAATTGGAGAAGTCCAAGGCGCGGCACGAAGACCCCCTGCGAACATCTGAGAGAAAATGTCGTTGTGAAGCCGAGTGTAGCAAGGCAACGATCAATTCCCCGGGTCCAGTCTACGACGTACCCTCCGCGGTGCCCGCCTGAGGGCTCTTGAGATGCACAGCCTTCCCTTTCAGCAGTTTTCTGCCTACATTCTGAGACACCGTGATGCCTCTTCGTCTCTCTCTGAACCTGGCCAATCAAGGGCAGACCTGTGCAAGAACTGAGGTCGGAGCAGCGCCCAGCTTCTCTTTCGGAACAGACGTGCAGCGGTGCCCCCCCAGAACACGCTACCCGGTACCCTCCGCGGCGAGAAAGACAAAGCTTCTTTCTTGCAGGAAGCACGCGCCCAAGAAGTACCCGGATTCAACCGTGGACCTGACATGCCTTGGCCTCGAATGCGATGAGGGGACATGAAAGGACAATCAATGACAGCGGGTATATGTTTCTCAAAACTCCTGACGACGAAAGGTGCCACCGTGGACGCACAGAAGGTTAAGTTTTCCACGACTCCGGGCTGCCACTTTGGCACAGAGCCGGGCCCCCGTTGTGCAAGCTCAAGCTGCAAGATGACAAGATGACAAGTTATCGCAAGTTGCAAGATACCCAGAAGAGGCACAGAAGGCAAAGAGAGGCCAATCGATGCCCTTTACAGGGAGAAGCTCAGCCTCAAGAATGCGGACATCATCCGCACGCATGCGGGCCTAGCGCTTGGCACGGAGCCTGGCTGTTACAAGTATCACTCGCGACGCTGGATTACAAAGCCGGTAGCTGATAGACACCGTGATCGTTTTCATTTGTTTGTCGCAGACACGGCCTTCAAACCCTTCGCTCAAGAACACCATTCTCCGTTCGTCTGCATAAGTCCCATCATAGAGGCCTAGTGCTCAGGACGCGGTTTGGAGTGTCTCGTCGGTTCTGCTTCTGAGACTCAGAGTGCTACACTTTACACCCTCCCACCGCAGGCGCGGAGTCTCCAGGTGCCTTGGAGTATCATGTCAAGGAGGTGGCAAAAAGGATGCCTTGGCCTTGGGGGCACAGCTCGGGGTTCATGGAACTTGAATGTACTTGACATCTTCACACATCTTCATGTATGATGTTTTCATAAAGGTTTGAAGGGAGAGGGGTTCGGTCCTTTGAGTGGCAAGCTGGATACTAGCCAGCGGGGTTGGGGTCTTTTCGGCATTAGCGTCACGGCCCCGAGCCCGGGAAGCCGCAAGAGGCCTGCCTATTCTTTCGGGCCCACGCAGTCGATGACGCCGCGGAAGCCAGAAACGAGGCGCAGGGACGGCAGAGAGAAACTTGACCGTCTGGCAAATCTTCCAAGAGGCTTGTTTCTAGGAAGAATCATTCAGCCTGGATGCAATGAGGAGTTGAGAAAGTTTTGATGCAAAAATGTTCCGTCTAGCCATCCTTGGCAGCGCCATGTGCCAGGGTCCAGCTCTTACAGACGAGCACACCAGCACGCGTTGGTCCCGGCAGCGCGCTAAGCCAAAAACGCACAAAATGTGTATCTATATAGGCTTGCAGCTTATGGAAGAGGTTTACACATAGTGTACACGCCGTGGTCGAACCGGGAACAGGCGGTAACTACATGAACGGTCAAACTGCAATGAAGCCCAACCTGAAACTTCTTAACCTTACTGGGAGTTTGTACGAGAAAAGGGACCCCTAATATGGACCCCCAAGTAGTAGGCCCTTGCAGTAAGGACCCCAATAAGGTACCCCGATTTTCGGAAGCTCTTTGTTGTGGAGATGTCACTTTCCATGGGATCCGAGGCTCCCACCCGAAGCCCTCCAGTCTCGGCCAGCAGCCGATGTCGCCGCGTAAAAATGCGCCGGTCGGGGGCTCGGAGAGGCAGAAAGGATGCTGCTTCCGGTGTGCGCGCCGCTCTGGTCGTGGTTTCGCTTGCGTCGCTCGTCTTTGTTTTGTATTTCATTTATACATGTTACTTTTTTTTTGTTTTTGGCTGCTACTGCTGCTGCAACTGTCCCTACCAACGACTACTACCATGCCTACTACCACTACAAGTACCACCACTACCGACTACCACGACTCCTTTGTTTTTGTTACAAGCCTTTTGCTTGGTCTCGGGCCCGGGGGGCGCTTGGGACAGTCCGTGTGTGTTGACTGCTTTGACTGCTTTGGTGTTTTCTGTCTCAGCATAGCTCGGATTTTGATTCAAAAACCCGAGGGGCTTTAGAGTCCCTGGCCAAGCGTCGCAGGCCTGGACGATGTCAGGCCGCAGCCCTCGGGAGAAGACGTCGGGAGTCCAAGCGCATCCCCCTGTGGAGTCTATGGCTATGGTTTCAGGGTTTCAGTCAACATCTGTGAAACCAGGCAGACGGAGGCCCTCGCGATTGAGGACAAAGTCTTCAGCTCCATCGGAAAGCAGGTGGCGACATCCCTCTGCTCAGTGTTCGAAGAGGTGCAGTTTGTTAGCAGTAACATTGTTTTGGTCCGCCAGGTGCTTTCCACGATCCGATCTCCTCCTTCCGTGGCTGCCACAAAGTCGACACGCGACCAAGTCAGCAGGAGTTTGGGCATGACAGCAGCACTGCGATGTAGCATTTCATGCCCGTGATTTTCTCAACAGAGCAGGACTGCGATGTATGTGTCCGAGACTGACAAGACGAGCATCGCACGAGGACCCAAACCGCATTTCCACATCGAACTGCCTGCCGCGGGCTTGGAAAAGGCCTTCAGTGCAGCTGCCATCGAGCGAGAGCCTCACGTCTTTCTGAGGCCAGCGCTCGGGTTCCTGGACCAGGCATGTAGTACGTTGTTGGACTTCTACCTTGGATACTGTGTTTAATGATTGCGTTTGGACGTCTTTTGCAGTTTGCTTTTATTGATGTTGCCACGTGGTTACTGTCCCTATCAATTCCCGATTGCTCCATGTCTTGGCACTAGGATTACTAGAAACTACTTTACACGTTATGGCCTCTTGATCTGTCGCACAAGACGTGCGCAAATCCCACATGTCTCACGTGATAAGGGCAGGGCCGTCATGAATGACGGTTCCCTGGTCAGTAGGACCAACCCGGGGCATCGCCTGTCAGAAGTCGAAGCACAAGAAGTTAAACACATGTACATGGCTTGCCCCGCCAGTTCTAGTTGCCGGCGGAAGTGGCTCACATGCAGTAGCATGGGCTGAGTCACAAAGCGGTCTTATCGCAACGGCTGCGCTCTCAGAAGTTTTGGGAGACGTAACTGGCCTTGGCGGAAAAGCACGTGAAACAGGCGTTCTGCCACCTCTGGATTCCATACTTGTCATCGTGAACTGCAACAACCTTGCTTCCCAAGTTGTCGTGATTCTCTCGCACCCCCTTTGGAGCGCCTCTCAACACCAACGAGTGCAGACGGGGACCACCGGGGCCACTAGGGACCTTTGCACCGAACTTGACGGCACTCGGCATCACTCGGGCCGGTTTCTTTTTACTATAGATGTTATGTTTTGGGGTTCAGAGTGTTTTGGGTTTTGTTGGGTTCATGAGTTCGGGGCCTCTCAGATCTTCCCTGAATTTAGGGCAACGCCTTAAAGGCCGAAATGTCCAGAGCCCCAAGCAGCCATGTAAGCCCTTGATCATTAAACCCTTAAACCCCAAGCCGTTAAATCCTGTAAACCCTCAAGCCCTTGTACCCATGCCCAGCAGATCTTCTCTTCAAGTTGAGCAACTTAGATGCACTTAATCCCAAACCCTCTTAAGTTAATCCCAGACACGCTAAACAAAAGGGTTTCAGGTTGAGGGCTGAAAAAAAGCTTTGAGTACGTAGATAGATCGATAGATGGATGGACACGCACATGTACGATAGATAGGTAGACATAGTTAAATTAAATTGATAGATATGTATGTATATATATATATGTACCAGCACCTGAGTGATGCACTTTTTTCTGCAAGGTGGCACATTAGTGCAGGGCTTGTTTTGCAGATTTAGTGGACCGCGGGCTTTATGAATGGGTTGGGACGGATAAACACACACCCTCAAGCTAAGTCTGCATACATAGATTCATAGAAAACCCAAAGCCCCAAGATGCTACAGACCCGCACCCGAAGCAGATCTCAGGGGGTCCCGAGGTTCTACCGTTGAATCGCTTTGAACATGTTGACTGTTCGCGAAAAGGCAGGCCACCAGTTGTTGCAGCTGCATCACCTGTTCGGGCATTCTCAATGTCGTGGCTCTCAGTCACGCACGCATCACCTGTACGTTAAGGGTTGTCCGGGCAAGCCGAGTAGGGTGTGATGGTTAGTGTTCCCAAAAAAGACACCATAGACACCCCATACGCAAACTCACCAATATCCTTCATGAGCCCTAAGTCACATTCACCAAACCTTTAATGCGATAACCTTCTACGAAAACGAGAGAAGAAAGCAGACAGCAACCGGTTCAAGCCACCTCGCCCCTGTGATGGCAACTAGTTTGTCTACTGCACAGCACTTGTTCTTAGTGGTGAAATCGGCCGCCGGCCGCTGAAATCACAGCATGCGCAGGCACTCCGCCAAAGTGGCTGCGGGACCCGCCCTGCAATTGCCCAGTCAGTCTGCTCCAAGCGACAACAAGTACTAGTGTATGGGGAACAACAAGTTCTTCCCGAGTCAGTAGTCGACACCAAGCCCCAAAGCGCTTCATGGGCTCGGCGGCCAGTGTGGAGGGTCCCAGTTCCGATGGCGCTGACGAAGCGGCAAGTGCGCTCGGACCGGCGCCCCAGACCGTTCTGCTCGGCGTGCAGGCGCGGTGACTGAGTTGACTCATCACGTGAGGTGCAGCACTTGGCGTAACTTTGCACGTTATGTGTATCCCCTCCCAAACAGCTGCACGGCCCTGATTTAAGGGGCCCGGTTGTTTGGCCCGCTCTGCGAAAATACTTGCCGCCCCGAACTGGGCGAGGCTCGGATCTCCGCCTTGGAGCTGGAAGGCATCGTCCCGGCTGCTCAGCTGGAGCGGCAATCGCTTCAGGGTTTGGTACAATTGGGATTCGTATGATTCGTTAGGGTTCGAATGTGCGATTAGTTTGCTGCTGAAAATAGTGCACTTCGTTCCAGGTGTTCCATCAAAGGTTGTGACCGGACTTCGGGAGAAGCCGACAGTGCTTCAGACAACTCCTTCCTGAACTCTCAACCCCGTCTGACCCCACGGCTGCTCACGGCCCGCAACCCCAGCACGCCCCAAAACGGCCCTACGATCCAACATGTTCATACATGTCCAAGGTGGAAACCCTGGCCCCTCTGAAAAGCCAGCTGACCGATGCCTTGTGACTCGGCGCTGAGTTGAGGTTTCACAAGGTTCAGGGCCCTTCACCTTCTTTGCTACCGAAACTGCCGGTGTGCTGTCACACTATACGGGGTTCCGGAGGGCCCACATCTGGGGACACACTTGTGAGGCCTCACCGCCACGATCTTCCGGAAGCCTTCCTGTTCCCCGAAGAAGAAGCACCCTTGCAAGCCCGATGTTGAACCGAGATTTTCGAAATTGCCAAATGCCCAAGGGCCGAAGCCTAAAAAGACCTCAGCCCCTAGAGCCGCTGAAGCTGAAGCTCAAACCAGCTCAGTGACCTGTCATTTCAGAGATTCCTTGCCCAGGGCCATATGTCCTGCTGGCCCCATAGTCGGTGCGGAGGCTGCTGAGGCGCTAGAAGCATGACACACGCCACCAGCAACAATATCCGCACCTGCACACAGCGGCCCACCCCGTCATACGGAAGCCTGCAACGAAGGCGGTGAAGGTCGGCCCGTGCCGGTGTTAAACCAAAGGCAAAAGTGATAAAGCGGATGCGAAGCTTCGGAAAGTTGATATCCGTGAATCTTGCTCCGAATATGCCAGGGATGGATTTCTTGACATTCCAAAAGCCAAGCACTCGCCGATGAAAGCAGCTTGTTAGCTGTGAGTCTTGATGCGCATAGTGCTGGCGTTTGCCTGCGCCCCAACCCTGCGCGGAGGCTGTGCGGCGCGTGGCAGAGCATTGCGTTGCCCTTGCAGCGGAGGAGGGGAGGGGAGCTCAAAGAATCATATCCATCCTGTTGGTTGCTCCTTTCGGTCGCTTTTTCAAAACATTGGAGGACAGGGGTTTGTGAGACGTGTGCGGCATCTTTTGCGCTGGGGCTCCGGACTTTGCTTGGGGATGCTGTCGGCCCTGGCCCTTGACCTGAAATTGCTTCTGAAACCATGACTACAGTGGAACTCTGCTACCTGGTGCAGCCTGACGTTGCAGCTTCTCTTGTGCCGCACAGGCGGGTCTCACGTCAGTTGCTCGCCTGAATCAGCATGGTTGGGCCTCGAATCATGTAGTGCTTTCCGGGTAGCTAGCTGTCAGTTCTGACGCGAGAGAGTTCGCTGCGTGGCTGCGTGGCTTTTGCACAGGCTGACGTGCACACATCGAAAAGTGTAAGTATGTATCTTGTGAGCATGCAGGGGATGACGCGGTGCTGTGCATGAAAGTTGAAAGTGCATCTGTGGATACGCATCTCTGACTGGTCACCGAAGAGCGGGGAGCCACTCCACACTCATCAATGCACGGTTCTGGTGCAGGATAATGTACGTGATCCTCCCCATCTGTTTGGGGTGTACAACATGAGCTGATTGATCAAACCCAGAATCCTACACATGTTGTTCACATGACAGTCCTACATCATTCTTCGTCCCAAGCCCTCATTTGCTGGCTCCTGCGGAGGTCGGGGTAGCCGAGCTACTTGCGGAGGCCACTGGAAGCAAGAGGAGTGTAGCGCCAAAGGTCTTCACATCGTACTCTCCTTGCTTCGTGTCCGGAAAAATGATAGTGAGCTAAACCCTAAACCCAAAACCCAAAACCCCAAACCCCAAACCCCAAACCCTAAACCCTAAACCCAAATCCGAATCTTCAGGGCCTCAGCTCGGCCGCGAGCCTTCTGTCCGCACCTGGCTCTGGCGTCGAGGCGGGCAGCTCAGCATAATCATCCCGCTTCCTTCTCCTGCGTTCCTTCTCCTGTGTTCCTTCTCCTGTATTCCTTTTACCGCTTGCTTCAATGGTTCAACTTGGTGTGGTTGGAGTGCTTGTGGGAGTGAGGTGATGGCAGTCCTGGAGCCTTTGGGGGAAGCATTGGTGCCTGGCCTGCATGGAGTCGACTGCGATGCGTCTCGAGCCTCGCAGAGTCCGAGGACAGCTTCGCTGTGCAAATCCTGGAATCTCGGCCCAAAGAGGAGCTGATCATCGTTTCTGAAGTTTTCTGGGGTGCAATCACGGTCGCGTAGATCGGAGTTTGACCTCCGGAGCTGGAACACCGAGGCCAACCTCTGGCGTGAGTGCCTGAGCTAGGTGGAGCTCGAGCATGGAGCTCCACCCCCTTGACAGTCCACTGACCCTGTTTCAAACTGCAGCAGACTGCCGCAAAAATGTCACAACGCGGGGATGGCAGAGAAGTGCGAGCAGTGCGCAAAAAGTGAGGCCTCGACGGGCCAGTGCAGCCGGAATGGAGCATGGAGCGCCAGGGCAAGCCGGGAGTCCTTTGCTTCGCGGACACCACGCAGCCCTTCTGCAAGCATGCCTTGGACCTCCGGCTTTACCAGGCATTGCAGGCCTGGAGGCAAGTTGGCAAGCGCAGCTGTTTCCATGCTGTTTCTCCCCTCCTCCAGCGAAAGTCATGCAAGCCAATGTAAGCTGGGAAGCATGTGTACATCTCATCACAGTGCCGACCGTGAACGTACCATGGAAGCCGAGCTCGATTAGCACGATGCAGGCCGTGTGCGTCTGGACGCTGGCCCTGCTCCTCCGCGCCTTTGGACCGGGTGCGAGGGCCCAAAATCTCTGGGAGCCCTCTGGCGAGCTTTTGGGGCTTTCACAAAAGATAGGAAAGCAAGGAATGGAAGGAAATGTAAAGAAAGCTCCGTCTTTTGGGGAGTCTTGGTCCTTGCGGTGCGAGGTTCTGCAACGCAGACGCCCTGTGCGCCGTGGTCTTTGTGAAGGGAGCCCTGAGTTTCCAGCGCGGTCAGCGTGAGACTTCGTGCGTGCGGATCCCACATGACCTGCCGGCGCTGCAAGCGGCGATCCTCTCCAGTGCCCTGGGCCTCGGCAATCCTGGCCTCGTGTTTGTGGAAGCAGATGGCGATGTCGGAATCGCAGAGCGAGAGGAGCAGCTGCTCAGTCACTGTGCTCTCCTGGCAGCTGTGGCCTCTGAAAACGAGCTGCTGGATTGCCTCTTGTCCTTTGACTGGGCCAAAGCCGACCTGCAGCTGGTGCCCGCGCTGGCCGCGCACCTGGCAGTGATGGCTCGCTCGACGCAACTCCCCTACCCACATCTGGAAGATGCTGCCAGCAACTATCTGCGCCACCTGAAGTTCAGGCCGGCCAAAAAACAGTTCCACCCTCTTGCAATAAGCTTTGTGACGTGGAGTGAGACTGGCTTCCAGGTCGTTGATTGTCTGGGACATCTTGCTTTTGGAGACGTCGCCCGGGCGCGGGTTCCTGCGTGACTGCTCCCAGCTGGCCTTCCACGTGCCCCCTAGCCGAGACTCTGCTGAGCTGTTGGCTTCCAGAGCCAGCGCCGATCCCCCCGCCGTGGCCTTCGCCTGTGCCTTGCTGGCCAACGCGGGCGTCGGGCCAACTGAACCGTCTGGGTGCGACCTCGTCCGCAGCCTCAGTGCTGCCATGCGAAAACAGGCCAGGGGCCAGCTGGAGAAGGTCTACTGGTGGAGACAGGAGCAGGCGGACTTGAGCTGACTTGTCTGCTTCACTTGATTTGCTATCTTCACTTCCTGTATCTGTATGATTCTTTCGCCAGTGGCTCAAGCCATTGTGGCATGGACGAGCAGAGGGCCAAGTGCCATGCAGCCAGGCTAGGAAAAGAAACCTTGTACACAATTCTAGGATTCTAGACCACAGTCTGGATCGAGTGTAGCGTTCAACACCCACCGCCATGTCGTTGTGGAGTTCTCCAGTCTCGAAGCGCGAGGCCATGGACAAGCATGCCAGAGATTGGCAAATGGGAACCGACATGATGAGCGAAGGCAGCCGCCTGTGGGGCAAGATGCAAGGCTACATCCAAGGCCACACACCCCTGGATACGGAGAGGCACTGCACCGATTGCCTTTTCATTCCCTTGTTCCTGGCTGCAATTCTGGGGCTCTGTGTCTGCATCGGCAGCGCCATCGAGAAAGGAAGCTTTCAGCGGCTGACATCGCTGCCGGATTTCGAAGGACGCCTCTGCGGGGTGGATGGGCAGGGGCCGTACCTCTACTTCTGCCAGCAGGGGCAGTCCCTGGATCTACAGCACCAGATCTGCGTTCAAAGCTGTCCCGTCGACAGCAGCAGCACGGTCTTCTGTCGGGGCACCGGCACTCAGCAGCCCAGCTATGCCACCCACCCCGTGGCGGGTATGGTCTGCATGCCAGCAGCAGCGGAAGTCGCATCGCAGGCTCGGGCAAGGGAGAAAGAGAAGACAGAGAGAAAGAGCAGAAGAGAGAGCCCAGGAAGGAGGGAAGGAAGGCGGGAAGGAAGGAGGGAAGGAAGGAGGGAAGGAAGGTAGGAAGGAAGGAAAACAAAATCATTGGCAGGTCCGTTACGCCGACTCTATCACACATGCCCTGTCTGGGGGGTACAAGTTAAGCGTGTTGGAAGGAAGGGGAATTCCTCTGCGGGCCTTGGCGAGAGAGACAGAAAAACCGGCAGAAGAACAGGGATTCCCCACCAAAGAAACCTGGTATAAAAGTACAAGAGGAAGAGGAAGGGGAACGGGAAGAAGACGAGCAAGAGGAAGAGGAAGAGGATTAGGAATAGGAATAAGGAAGAAGAACGAGGATAAGGCAGAGCGGGAAGAAGCGAGAGGCTGGAGACTCAGGCAGAGGGAAAAACTGACAAGTACAAAACTGCAGGTGAAACACCTCTTCGACAACAACCCGTACGTGAAGACGCTCTTCGACCTGCTTGAGGTCACCTTCGACTGGGAGCAGCTTCTGGTAGCGGCCGTGGTGGCCTTTTTGGTCTCCTACCTCTACCTCTTCTGCATCTCCTGCTGTGCATCCTTCCTCGTGTGGCTGTGCCTGATCGCGCTGGTGGTGATCCCGACGTGCCTGGGCCTGGTCTATGTTTACATGTCCGCCAGCCCTGAGATCATCGCGCCCCACTCCTTCCCAGCGATGATCACCTCGGGCGACACCAAGAACGACCTAACGGTTGGCCTTTCTCTCTGCGGTGTGGGGGGCCTCCTTGCTTGTGTGGCCATGGTGAAGGCGAAGACTATCCAGGCCGCGGTGTCCAGCATTGAGGAGGCAGCCGACTGCATCCGCCAGATGCCAGTCCTGGCAGTGGAGCCCTGGATCTCCAGTGCGGTCAAGCTTCTCTTCTTCGTCCCGGGCATGCTGGGCCTCCTCATGCTCAACGTGTCCGGGGACCTACCCAGCCAAGTCGACTTTAGCCAGGGCCAGCCCGTCTACTCCGGGGACCCCCTGGTGGCCATATCCCTGATCTACTACCTGGTGGTCTTCATCTGGATCATGGAGCTTTTGCACGCCATGTCGCAGTTCGTCGTGATGTTCACGGCCCAGGTTTGGTTCTTCAGGATGAAGGGCTACGAGACGAGCTTCTGGTCCCACTTCACCGCCTACGACATGCTCTGGGGATTTCTCTATGGCCTTGGCTACCATCTAGGTTCGCTTCTTTACGGCTCATTCCTGTGCACGCTCTTCCGGGTGGCGAGAATCTTCGCTTCCTTGCTGGTGAAGGCCTCTCAGGATTCCGGCAACCCCGTGGCAGAATGCGTCGCCAAGTGCTTCCTTTGTTGCCTGACCTGCGCAGAGAAGCTCATGCAGTACGTTACATCTCTTGCGTTCTGTGATGTCGTCATGAACTCCACCACCTACTGCGAAGGCGCAGAACACGCAGTACAAATTGTGAGCGGAAATGCTAGCCAGCTAGTGGCAGTTGAGGGCCTGGCTACTATGTTTTCCTTCGTTGGCATTGGGGTGTCCTCTGCAGCGACTGCCGGGATCTGCTGGTTTCTGAGCACGACTTTCAGCCGCTACAACAACCCCATCAGCGACCACTACGTCCCAGACAAGGAGACTCTCATCATCTGCGCCGCAGTCATAGGGGCAGTCATGGCTGTTCCCTTCATGCACCTGTTCGACACCATTTGCGATACCGTTGTCTACTGCAATGCAACCAGCAGCTTCCGCATGCCATCCTGGCAAAATTCCGGCAGTGGTGGCGGCTTCTGGGGGTGGTTCACTGGCCACTAAGAGCACAAGTCTGCACCAGATGTCTTTGATGTCTTAGCTTCAGTCGCATTGAATTCGCCAGCCGGAAAAGCCGGCCCGACTGCCCCTGCAAAGCTCGGACACGGAGAGCCTCAGTCTACAAGGAGTGTTCGCTCCAACCGGCAATATTTTAATCATCATGTGGTCATTGATGCGTACCGGACGGTGCAAGCAGGGCTCACCTTGTTCACAGAGGGCAGGTCCCGCAAGGATCCTGCACTGGTGATTGCTTGCTGCCAATGCGATGGCTGCCCTTTCGCCTCAGCATCCTTGATGCCCACCACAGTCTTGCTGAGCACGTCGTCAGCACTTGCGTCTTGCAACTCTTGGGACTGTTCGGCCTCCTTGAACAGCCAGGCGGCGGAATGGCTGGCTCTCTTCGGCCTGGAAAGTGAGGCCAGGTAGACCCAGGTACTCTATGGTACTCTAAATTCATGAACTCCGCAGAGAGAGAGACGGAGAGAGGGCCTTCAGAAGAAGAAGAAGAAGAAGAAGAAGAAGAAGAAGAAGAAGAAGAAGAAGAAGAAGAAGAAGAAGAAGAAGAAGAAGAAGAAGAAGAAGAAGAAGAAGAAGAAGAAGAAGAAGAAGAATAAGAAGAAGAAGAGCGGCCGGCAAGCTCTCAGGCCCTCTCCCACACTACTGACCCTGCTCATGCAGCGCAGGAGCCCAAAGCCGAGCTGAGAGCTGCACCTGCGCCTGGCGATCGCAGGCCGTGGGTCGTGGAGTGTTGGTTTCGTTTGCACGTTTAAAGCCACCTGTCCAGGGTGCACGCGCCTTCGACTTCCGGGCTTCGAGACCTCATGTCAGACGTCCCGAAGGAGTTTCGCTGTGCCCTGGATGGCAGGCGGGTTGACTTGGGTTGACTTGGGTTGACTTGGGTTGACTGAGATTGACTGGGGTTGACTTGAAGAGTGAAGTACTCGTATCAAACAACCTCACAAAGCGCAGGCTGCTGGTGGACCCCGTCCGAGCGCCGGGCGGCCAAGTCTACGAGCGCTCCGTGTTGGCCAAAGCCCTCGCAGAAGGACAGCCCAAGGGCGGGGGCGGGGGGAGATACGGAGAGGTACCAGAAAGTGAGTCTTTGTCCTGAAGTGCCTGAGAGTGTCTTGAGAGTCTTGCACAGGAGACCCTCGCACCCTTGTTGATGGCCCCTACGCCCTGCAAGACTGCCAAAGAGATGCAGGTCCAATGCGAGTTTCAACGATTTGGGACCGAGGCGAATCTTGTATGACACGTCATGCCAGGCTTGCGAGCACGGATCGTCGACTGGGTTCGCAAGACGCATTCCCACAGCAAGGAGAAATCTCAGGTTCTGCGCGCGAGTGCCTTGAGCCCTCTGAGTCCAAAGCACAAGTCAGAAACAAACACAACCCGAGACAGGAAACGGGTCGAGCCGCGTCGGGAAATGCAAGCAGTCGAGTCAGAAATTCCAGGCCGAGTTTAGTGATAAGCACAACGCTCGCGTGATGGGTCTCAAGAAGGTTCATCTTTGAAGCGAGCTTGCTGCATGGCATAAACAGCAGGAGTTGGGGGGTTGGGGGGGCGGCCGGGAGGTGCCACCCCATTTGCCACCCCATTTGCAAACACAATGCCTGCATGATGGGTTTCAAAAAGATTCGATTGCTTTGCCTGCGCGGCTCAAAATACCGGGGCGTTGGGGGGGTGGTGTCCTGTTGCAGGAAGCTTGCACGGCTTCAAGAAGCCCCCCCCCATTTGAAAAAAATGTTCGTTCGCTTTGAAGGAAGCTTGCACCGCTTAAAAAGTGTGGATGGGGGCTTAAAACAGTGGGGGTTGGGCCCCCATGTGCACGCGTGAGGGCTCAAGGATTCATTATGCTTTGAAGGCAGCTGGCGCGGTTTTCACCGCGGGCGCATCCGTCCAGGGGGTTTCAGGACTTGGGATTTTTAGCCTTCGGGATTTCAGGCTGTATGGGTAAGGGTTGGCCCACCCGAGACCCTTCCAGGCGTCCAGTTGAACACTTTGAATCTTAACTGGGCCCGTGAATCTTGGGGCCCACATGAAGCTCTTTTCCATGCCATGCTATGTCTTTCTCGAGATATTCCGACTCGCCGCGCGGCTCTGACTCAGGGGGGAGTTTCTCCGACTCGGCCCGGGCGATTTTCTGACTCACCCCGGGCATTTTGCGACTCGGTGTTTCTGCCTCGGGCCCCACCCCATGCTCTATTGATAGCTTGTCATTTGCTGTTTGTTTGGCTCAGACAAGAACTTGCTTGCCACAGCCGCAGCTTGGAGGTCAAACAGCCGAACCTGAAGAGGGCCCAATGCTTCGCTGCTTGGGGTGTTTCGCCTTGGCTTCCCTCGACCTGGCCCAGGAGATCAGGGAAACCAGGGAAAGCAGCTGGGCAGATGCCGCCGTGGAGTGGATAGGTGACTTTGCCCTGCGTGCGGGGTCGGACCGGCTTGCAGCGACAGCGGCAGCTGAGGAGGTTGCGGAGCTCAGGGAGTTAGTACGGCTTGCCCAGATTGCCTATGAGGATGACACCGACACAGTCTCAAGCCTTTTGCCCGATGGGCTGACGCTCCGAGATGCAGGGCGCGAGCGTGCCGTGTGGTTCATGGCACAGAGGCGTCGAACTGTTTTCCTCGTATTCCGCGGTACGTCAGAGTGGAAGGACATATTTGCCGACATGCAAGTCTTGCCCGACCTGGCCGGAAAGCATCGGCTACATGGCGGATTCGCAAGTCACGTCAGCAAAGACGGAAACCCCATACTGGAAGCAGCGCTGGCAGCTCTTCCGAAAGGCTGTGAGTTGCACATCCTGGGCCACTCGCTCGGAGGAGCCGTGGCTTTGGCTCTGCTTGCATCGGGACAGCTGCCGCGAGGGCTGGGCCACGTGGATGTGACAATGATTGGCTCCCCCAAGGTCTTTCACGGCGTGGCGCCCTCGGTGAGGGAGCTTGGAGCCAGGAGAGTGAAATTGCTGGTGAATCATGGAGACATCGTGCCACGCTTGCTCGGCAATGAGAAAGTGGACGTCTCGCGCTACCTCAAGCAGCTCAGGCAGCTGGAGATTCGAGACGAGGACTTGCCGGCTCTTGCCGACTACTGCCATCCAGCCGGCTTGGAGTTGGTCGTGTTGCGTGGTGCTGCGGCATTGAAGCCATCACCAGCTTTTCATGACAGGATTTGGCTGGATCCCACTGCCCTTGCAGGCACGAAGAGGGATCCCTTCACGGATCATCTTATGACGGAGTACATGCAGTCTCTCGACTCCCTAGATCCATCAAGGTTTGGACGATCAGGGCTTGTGCAGACGTTGCGAGATTTGGGCACCGTCTTCTCAGATGAGACGTGCCCCGACCGATCTGCGAGAGGCTGTGGGTAGTCCGCGTTGTTTCGACATGTTTCGCTATGGGGCTCCACTGTACAGAAGTTGTTCAAGATCCAACTGCCAGGGCGCCACAGCAAGTCCCAAACCGGCTCCACAGGCTTATCGGTCTACGGGCCAATCTCTGCTGGCCCTGGCTTGCATTGGGTTCCACCGTGGTGTGACCACAGACGCGCGCTGAAAGTGGGCTTGTGCTGCAGTGCTTCGGGGGCGCCAGTTCGGGCGACTAGCCTGTTTGCCACTCGCCGACTCGTGAAAGTTCCCTGCTCAAGAAACCATGAAGGACAGTCAGCTTCCACATTTTTGGCAAGGAAGTTGGCACGTTCATAGATGCCTCATATGCACCTGCTGCACTACTACTGAGAGCAGATCATCACTTCTTCTAGTGCTACAACCACAGGAACATACGTGCTAGGGCAGCATCGGCCGGACTCCCCGTTCTGCAGCATGTCATGCTCCTCGCCCGGCTGGCCCAGGCTCCCAGTTGCAAGGGGTGAAGCCGTGAAATGCAGTGCCAAGAGGCTAAGGCCCTAAAGCCGGTGCCGATGGCCCCTTTCCTCGCGAGGTTGCTCCTCGCTGTGGTGCCCGTGGAGGCTGTGGTAGCCAGGGAGAGGGAGTTGTAACGTAAAACGAGCCTCAAGCTGCATGTTGGGACTGCCGATCTCATATGCTCCTGATACTGCTGTGCAGCTCAGCTGCCTCCTCGCACTCCTTCCTGTTCAAAGACCTTCTGGATCAAGCCCCCCTTGATTGTGTCCTGCTGCCTTCTCCAACCATGCTTCTTTGCAGCAGGGACGGGGTGGGGTTGAGTTTGAAGATGTTCTGAGTGTCAGAGACATGCGAGTTGTCGTCGGGTGCACGGACAGAACTGCCCTCAAGTCAAGCGAGTGCTCTGCCATCATCGGATCTCAAGGTCCTCGCTCGCCCCCACGCTTTGCCGCGGATTCCGCAAGGGCATGGTGCCCCCCGCGGCCACAGCTGTGCAGAGGAGGCCGCAGAGGGGGGGTTTGAGAACGTGGGTTCAGGTTTTGCTTGAGGGGAGACGAGAAAAGCCTGGTGAGTGAATCGAGAGGGACATTGGTCTGCAACCGCTTCTGCGGGCGGCACCTCCGCATGTCTTGTCTTATCCGTAGACGTCGGATCTGCACAGGTTCTTGAACTTGCATGAGTACCAGGCCGCCCGTCCATGTGCATGAAGAGCTGCAACTAAAAACAAGCGTAGGAATTGTCAGTGGGGTAGAACCCTAAACCCTAAACCCTAAGCCCGAAACCCTAAACCCTAAAAGTTCCTTTTCAGGTCTTCTGAGGGTCCAGAGAGATTGCAGACAGAAGCAGCGAAGCTTTTAAGTCAGCTCCTGTGAGGCGCAGATCATTTTCCAGAAGCTGCTTGGGATGCAAGAGAGAGAGAGAGAGAGACTTTGACCCATGCAATCGTAGTTCCTCTGGTGCCCAAAGCAGTTACCCAAGAAGGGAGGACGCTGTACCCCAGAAGTGCTTGCCCAAACCACAACAGAAAACGAGACAAGTAAGTTGGGAGCGAAGCTTGCTTGTAAGTGAGACACATGTACAACCGAGACTCGACAGAATCGCCTTTTCCGGCCTCCTCCCCTCTTGGGTTATTGGGTGTTGTTTGGCTTGTGGGGGTTTCTGTTGTTGGGGAGGGGGAGTTCAATCTTATCACCCAGTCCTCTCACGCAGCTCTTTCCTTTAGTAGACCAAGGGCAGCAATTCAGGGCGGGACCTTGTCACTCCAACTCAGATAGGAACCCCAGGGAGAAAACCATAAGAGTTCTCTGGGTGCATGTTTTTTGCCCTTGCGTCCTTACATGCCCACCCTCCATCCGCCTGGGAGCCCTGTGGTTTCTCGCAAATGACGTGTTGTTTGTCGTGGAGGCGGGTGGGGGCAGGTGGGGAAGTTTTCTCTCCGACCAAACTTTGGACATCGCGCGCCCCTGGGGCCGGCCCTCTCTTCGGGGGGGGGGGGGGGGGCCATGCGTGCGGGGGAGAGAGAGAGAGAGATCATTGAGAAGAGAGTTTTGTAATATGTGATGTTCATATGCATGTTCATATGCATGTTCATATGCATTTGTTCTTGCCAATTTTGTTGTTATGACTTGCTGCTGTAATCAAGTGTTTTTTTTTGGAATGCGGCCATGCTGTGGACACCCCGACCTTCAGATGCTCCTGTTGAGTCCATGCAGGTTTGGAGTCGGAGTGCCGAAGAACCTGCCGGCTTTCTCCGTCACAGAAGCAGTGGAGAAGGCCAAGGAGATCCCAGGTGACGACATCGTCGCCGTGGCCTCAGCAACACACAGCTGAAGCGGGTCAGCGGCCCGTCAACGCCGCAAAAAGAAGAAGCTACCTTTAGCGCAGCCCGAGGTGGCCGTTTGTGGAGTGGACCGGGTTAAAGGGATATTCTACGGGCGCTGAGCCATTCTTTGAGGAGCCATGAGCTGAGGTCAAGGCCCAGGTCCTTGCTGGCGGCCGCGGCCTGGGACACTTCAAGGTGGGAGTGGGGGGGAAGGGTGGGTTTCGGGCTTCAGTGGCTTTGGGGGCTGCTGTTATGTGTGATTTTTTGCGGCCGCAGATGTTGTTTTTTTGGATTGTTAAGGGTCATTGGGGAGCATTGTGTAGGAACAGGAATCCGAAGTGGAGCGGAGGGGACGTCCTTGCCAGCGTCATGTTGTGTGTTTTCTCGAAGGAGGATTTCAGGCGGCATGTATCGAGTCGTTTTGTATGTCTGGGGCTCGCAGCTCGGACCCGCGAACAGGAGAACAGCTTCCAGGGCGGCGTGCACATCGTGCCCAAGTCAAAGGTTGCCGAAATTGCCGAGAAGATGCTCGGGAAGACGCCGCCCAGTCGGATGAATGTTTTGGAAGGCTTTGGGTGTGTCTGCTTAACTCAGACCTCTCTCAAAGTCGCGAAACTCACTGTCAAGGGCCTCTGCACCAATGCTCAGAGATCCACCAGATCACCCTGGTTTTGGGATGTATTAAGATGGCGCCGAGGCTCATCACCAAGCAGACTGGGGAGGAGGGCAAGCCCAACAACACGCGGCTCGGAACAAACTGTGCAGAAGCGGCGGCACTGTATGCGGGAAGCATGTCGGATCATGTCACTATGTCACTACAGTTGTACGGTGCCATAAGCATCCACAAACCACATCTTCAACGAGACTTTGTTTCTCCGAAGGGTGCTCCTGGCCGAGAAGGTCTCAATCAAAGATGCGCCTCGCCTCCTGTTTGGGTGCTTGAGATACCCCGGAGCTGACCATTGCAAGCGTGATAGCTTCGTGACAACCATCCAAAGCTTTTTGAGCTTAACTGCTCAGGAGAAGTACTTTGCCATCCTCATGGACCGGGCCAGCGGCGGCCCGCTGATGATTGGCAGCAAGACGGGAGGAACCTCCATCGAGGACCTCTGTTTGCAACGTGGCAACTGATGCCTGCGGCCCGGAGTTCTCGAGCCGAAAGCCGTTTCCCCACAGGACATCGCAGCCGCAGACCCTACCGCCATCATCAGGACGCCGGTGGACATCATCGAAGGCCTTGCGCGGGTCTGTCTGCAGGTCTGCAGTTTGGTGTAAGTTTCGCGCTGCGTTTGTCGCGCGCACTGGCTTCAGGGGATGCTTTTAACTACTCGGAACCTCAGGTTACTTACGCAGCAAGTTGTAAACAAGCTCCATGTTCCATCTAGTTTCTGACAGCGACGCACGTGCTGTCGAAGCGCATGTCGAACTGCGGTACTCGCCGCTACCTGTACAGCGTTCCGTGCACAATGAAAAGTAGGCAGGTCAGCAGCGCAGTTGGCTGGGCGGCTGAGCTCCAGTTGAGACCAATAACGCGCAATTCCCTGTACTCCCATGTTGCCGGTACAGGTGCAGCAAGGTGCCTTGTGGTCTTGTCCTCTTGCTCCTGGCGTCTTCCCAGTCTTCCGTGCGGCCAGGCATCAAGATGGCAGATGCGGAGAAGATGGCCACTGAGATGGGCTTCGCTGGGGCGCAGGCAAAGGAAGCAGCCACGCGGATCGGAACTGGTATCGGCGCAGGGGTGGGCAGTGTAACAACGTATCAAGACTCTGTCTGGGTACGCACTGGAGTGTTTCAAGTGGTAGCACGGGCTTCTGGGCGACCCTGCAAGTTGCAGCGAGTCTAAGGCAACCCTGATGGCGAATCTCTACAAGGACGGGCTGTCTTTGGTTCCAAGTGGGTGGGGCAAGGTTGCCCTCCATGACCCTCCCACCGAGCCCTCAAGACCCCTTAAACCCACGACGCTCGGTCTGCACCCAAATTCTGAACCCCCACCCCAGGGGCACCATTTTGTTTCCATTCCCACAGCTTTCCACAGGTCTTCATCGAGTGCGACTGCACCATGCTGGAGATCAACCCCCTGGCCTCGCTGACGGACGGCCGCGTGCTGGTCTGCGACTCCAAGGCTCAGGGGCCTCAGGGGGCTCAGGGGGCTCAGGGCCTAGGATGTTGTAGGGCACTTTAGGGCACTTTTAGGATGGCTTAGGGTTTCGGGGCTGGGAGTGCGGGTCTGCATTGAAAGCCCTTAGCTGGCCCACTACTGCCCGGAGCTGTCTGTGGGTGAGAACCCGCGAGAACCCCTAAGCCGAAGGTCAACTTCGATGACAATGCTTCTTACCGGCAGAAGGAGATTCACGACCAGCGCGACACCTCCCAGGAGAACCCCATCGAGGTCTGGCGACGTCGTTTCGCCTTCCCTGCATCTGCATGAAGTCGGAGCCTCAAAGCCATACCATGCAGTACAATCCCGCACCTTGGACAAGGTGGAGGCGAAGAAGTACGACCTGAACTACATCAAGCTGGTGCTTCGCCCGCAAAAAGAGAACACTGCTCTCAAAGCCGCCATTCCAGAGCCGCCGAGGACGGCAACGTGGCCTGCATGGTGAACGGAGCTGGCCTGGCCATGTCGACGATGGAGCCCCCGCCGGTTTTCAGAGAGAGGGAAAGAGAGAGGAAGGAAGAACATAGAGCAGGGCAACTGGAGAAGCCCTTTGTTTAAAGCCGGAGCCCAAGCCAGGATCTGCTCAGCATCCTTGGTGGGAGCCCTGCCAACTTCCTGGACGTGGGTGCGCCAGACATGTTTTCCAAACTTCTAGCATCTTAGCCACTAGCTTCAGGGAGTTGGCGAAGACTCGAAGGATGGAGCTTGGGGGCGTATTTCATTGATGCACGCAGCACATTTTGACTCGGTCAGGTGGCGCGTCCACAGTGGAGACCATGACTATGGCCTTCAAGACGCCTGCAGCAAGTTTCAGAGCCAAAGCACACGCGCTGCATTCTTCATTGAGATCCTTCAGTCAGCTTCTGTATCTACTTAAAGCTCATGCCCTGAGTCACAAACTCTACACCTGCGACCAGAAAAAGAACAGGTAAGCTCAAAACTCACCTCTGACTTGGCGCCAAGCAAGGATCATCATGGGCGACCCCAACGCGGCAGCCTCAATATCTCCAATCAAGTGTTGACGACACTGGCCTGATGCAAGTCCGTGCACCTCCGAACGAAGGTGAAGTCGATCTTCGTGAACATCTTCGGCGGCATCGCCCGCTGCGACCACATCGCTGAAGCCGTGGTTGCGGGAGTGAAGGCCGTGGGCGGCAACGCGGCCATCAAGCCGCTGGTCATCCGCCTGGAAGGCCCTGCGGGGTGCTGGAGGGTCTAAGGGTGGAGGCGTCAATGCTGTTGCCAGCAGGGATGTGGCAAAACAGGGAATGCGTTTGTCTGGCATTGCGTGGTGAGCCTGGTGCAGGCACGAATGTCGAAGCTGGCATGCAGATCATCAAGGAGAGTGGAGTGGAGGCTTTCCTCACCAACGACTTCACCACTGGCGCCAAGAAAGCCGTCGAGCTTGCGAGCAAGTGATGCCGGGCCTGAAGAGAAGTACCGTCTAAGTGCTAAGAACGCTGCACTCGGCTCTTTCCAACCTATCCGGTGCCTTTGAACGCGTGAACGACCTTGATCGAAGCCGAGAGGACTGCTGATGTTTATTTGATCGGGTCGTCCATGCACCACACGCCACCATGGGAGAGTAGGAGTCGTGTTTTGAGAGGAGCAGCACCGATTTAATCTGGCTGCTCCCGTGAATCAAGTGATTCAACCGTTTCAGCTTGCCGCTTGCCAGGTTTGCATAACCTATCATAGCCTATGAGAACTAAACCTGTCTTGGCGTTTGGCCCAGGACCCAGGTAGTTAAAAACGGTTGGCCTCCACTCTAGGTTCAGGCTATTCGGGTTTCAGCTGATTCCAGAGCAGAGAAGCGCCTAGCAAGCAAGATGCTGGGCCGTGCTGACGCAATCGATTGGACTTCTCCATTTTGGCTCATGCGTCTCTGAGAGGCTGCAGCCCGCCCGGGAAACACGCTTCATTCAAGTTACACGTTGATATACGTTGATCATGAGGGCACAGGGGGGGTTCAGGGGGGTTCACCAAGCTTAAGCTTGTGTCGCTGCTATTTGGCAACAGGCCCCATTGTGTGCTTCGCCAGCGCGGCGAAGGCACCAGACAACATCAACTGCTGCATTCGGCATGGAAGCCGCACAGCTGGTGACGTCATCAAAACTCGGAGATTCTCGTCTCACTCCTGCAGTCAGGTTGCCAGGTTTAAGAAGCAGAAGCTACTTCGGTGAGGAACCCAGGGCCTTCATCAGCGAGTTTGTGTGCACGAGAGAGCTTTGTGCAAGGTCGCACGCCAAGCTGCGAGAGTATCGAGGTCGACAGAAGGACAGCTGTCGTGCTTCGTTGCAGGAAGGTAGCTGGTAGCTCAACCTCACAGCCTCAGAGGCACACCAGGAGAGCCATGGTAACGCCAGGATGTGTTGGGGTTTGGGCCTTCCGGGTGTTTGGGCTCATGTCAACATTGTTTTTTTGGGCGGGAGGTTTTTTAGGCCTTAAGGTTTCGGCATCTTCTTCGGGCGCCCTGCCACTGCCGCTCCAATATCCTTTGCCTTTTGCCAAACAGGATGGAGACTTCCCGGTGCTCCTCCGACCGCACAAGGTACCGGAGGCAGCGGCAGTATCTTAGGGCGGATACAGGCACTCAGTGGCGTTGTCTCTGGATTCAGTTGTTGCAGCGCGTGCTTCAAGAACATACAGACGTGCAGCGGACCACGAGTCTTCATTTCAGTTGCTCCTTTTGGGCAGTTGCGATGAGTGCAGCCGTGTCTGGATTTGACGATACATGTTTGAGCCTGGTCTCGCGCCATGCTAATCACTTCTCTTTGTTTGACGAATGCGCATGGAAAACGGGTTCCCACTCCAGTACAGATTTCTGCACACGCACACACTCTGCCGACTTTTCTAGCCATGTCGTGACCGTTCTTGGTGACCAGCCGGCTCCGTCGTCCTACGAGACGTGTGAGCGACGGCTAGGTTTCGATCACACTTCCAGGTGTGCTCGACCCCTTCTCCTCGGGTTGGTAGGGCATAAAAAGCCTCTTTGCTTGCAGACTCAATGTGCTGGCTGGCGCGCTTGGTCAGGTCCGCGATCTCCAAGACCAGTCCTTGGACGCAGAGGCCGGCTTAACTTCAGCACACGAGGTGACATCGAGGCATACCGAGACCTCGGCCCTTGCATGTGATTCAGGTGTCGAAATTCTCGGCACGGCCCCGCAATACTGATGTAGCTGAGGCGGAGGTGGAGGAGCCGTTGAGGACCCGGAACGTGCAGGCCGGCAGAGTTTGTGCCATCAGAGCCCAGAGATGGGGAAAGATCAGCAACCCTTAGCCCCAAGCTTTTTATAAACCTTCGACACCCGATAACACCTGCAGGAGACAGCCAAGGCGCCGAAGTTCTCAGGGCCGAGGGGCGACACAGCGAAGGCGGGGGGGTGTTGAGTTTTAAGGAACTCCTCCAAAGCGGCGACGCGAAAAGTGCAGAAAATCCCACAAAAAGCGGTCCCATCACCCCCTTTCAAGTCTGGTTTAGCCGGACTAAACGGGGCCGTGGCATTCGGATAAAATGTTTTGGGGATGACACATGAATCTTACCAAGGTTTCTTGCTACACAGCACTGCGTGTACTTCCCCAAAGACCTAAGCATCATGACGCCGGAGGTGTCCTCACTGAAGCAGAGCCGGGCTATAGAGCCTCTGGAGGCTTCAGAAGCCAGCTTGTGCAAGACCAGCAAAGTTTTCCTCTCTTGGTGATTCCTGCTTGTGAGACCTGCGGCAACTCTGCAGGTACCCCGCTTCAACCCAGAGAGGGACATGGGTGAGAAGGACACGCGCTTGTGCAGCGAAGGCAGGTTCTGTGCACCCGCAGAAGCCGCGCGAAGGAAGCCGCAGACTTGAGGGCATCCAAGGCGCAGCGAGCCCAGGTTGTGATCACAAGCCATGACCGTCCAAGGCTTCCGTGCCCGTGTGCGGGCTGTACATGTTAAAGCTGGTCCATGGCATGGTCCATGACTCCATGGCCCATCCAAGTTCGGATCTTTGTGCCGCCAAGGCGCATGTTGGCGAAGCAGCTGGCTGAACGCAACTACAGGCGTGAATGGCGTTGTACTTTTCGGTTCTTGCTCCGGTCTTGCGCAGTTGGTAAGAACCCCGACGGGAGCTGCAAATGCTTCAGCAAGTAATCAGTGACCTGACATGTGTGACATGATGAGTCGGTACTCCTCCCCCCGTTGACATCATTCGTCTGGTTCATGTCTTACAGAGTTCCTGTGTTCAAAACCATACCAAATCACACCCATAACCCGATCAACCCCTGCAACCCCAAGAAGCTGCCCCCCGAAGTCTCCACAAAACAAAGAAAAGAAGAAAAAGAAAGAAGAGGAGAAGAAAAAGGTACGTCCCAAACCCCCATGGCGACCGGCCTGGGCCGCTGGGGACGGTCAGGAGCCCAGTTGGGACGCCTCACTCTTTGAGAGTGCACGAAAGATGGGGTGCGATCTTGTCTGTGTAGTCAGAGCACGCAAGGGCACTTGCAGAACGTAGATACATGTCAAGGCATGTGTGCAATCCTGATCATTACGAAGAACTCACCTTTCTCTGGTCTTCACAGTTCATTGTTGGCTGCAGGTATCTGCAGGTATTTGTAAGCTTGCTCGTCGCTGGCTGAACCACAGCATGCGAGGACCCACAGGCAGAGGCCGACTACTACTCGCGGTGCGGGCCTCAGAGTTCGCCCATCGGATGTGCGACAAGGAGCTGTGACGAGAATGAATATGCTCCAACCTGCTTTAAGCAACAGAAGCAGCAAGTTGTCCCAAGCCCGCTTGTTGAGGTATTTCAATGGCCGGCCTCCAGCGCGAGACCGCGCGCCGCCCACCCTCTCAACCGGCTCTACTCCGGAGGCCTTTCTGCCCAGAGCAAGTTGAACCCAAGGCTCCGAGATAGGTATCAGACCCATCGTACATCTTCAAAACCTCTAGCCTCTAGAGGTCTCCGATGTTGGCCCAGCATTTGCGACAGTCATCTGCTCGCATTGCCTTGGGAGGACCTTCTGGACCCGCGGCGCGCGAAGCCGAAGCCATATGGCCCAATTGGAAGTTTAAGTGAGGGTTGAGGACCTCTTGGCTTCTCTTGAGCAGTTCTCATGAGTTGTCAGCGCTCTCTAAGGTTCAGAGGGTTGTATGGCTGCACAGGCTATTTGGCCAAGCATGTTTCAAGCCCGTGATTCAGAGCGTCGAGCTCCTGGAGCTCTATACGCAGAATATTCCGACTTTAGCTATGTCTGCATGGAACTCTGGTTCCTGCAGCCTTGGTTCAGCTTGGTTCCATGTGCAGCCTTCGCAAGGCGAGAGCGAATCTCGCCAAAACGCTTTTGGATACAGCCGGATCACGTTACGCCCTGACCTCGGAGGCAGTGTTAATTAGTTTCCCGAGATCGGCCGGGGTTCTCCGGATTTTTTTAAACATGTAAAGATTTGACTCACAAGAATTCAGAGTTTCTGGACTGCTTCAGATTGCTTCAAGCAAATCTCTGTTCCAGCTCATCAAGTAAACGCGATGCAATCAGGCCCGACCCGCCAACAGTGGCTTTCATGAACTCGCGCGAGCTGAAGTATGCCATGGTGAACGAGGTCGGAACTTTGCTAGAACACGCCAGTCATCAGGTCGTGAAACAAAGGCTTGCTGTGCGCAGTCGCGTGCTTTGGCCTTTTCGACTTTGTAGGGGCGGTAGACGTGAGCCAGGCCTACCTGGTGCGGAAGTGGCGCAACGACCAGCCTGAGGCAGGCTGCCCTGGCACTCATGACCAGCAGTCACGTGGTTGGCATTACAGGGGTTGTCATCTCGAGAGCTGCAATGTCTCCCATGACTGAATGGCAGTGTAATGGAGTTCTGGCAAGAGTCCGACGGCACCCCAAAAACACGCCAGCGATAGCAGGGTAGCCTGGGTAGTAAATATTTGGTACTCCGAAAATAGCCCTTATAATAAGGACCCCAATAAGGTACCCCGAATTTCGGAAACCCGCCGTATACGTTGCAATCGCAGTTCCAATGCATGTGCGCAACATGGCTGCCTGGGCAGGGGAGAAAGGCTGGGCTTCCAGCGTCGTGGATGCACTGTGCGCATTGCAGTTGCAGACTGCGAAGACCAGTTTAGAGCAGATTAGAAGCATGATTACCGCCTTGGGTTGTGAGGATCTAAATCTCTCCCCCACAAGATCTTGAATGGCAGTATGCCCCTTTGTTTTCACTTTTGCTCTTTTGTTTTTTTCAGATCTCTCTCTCTCTCGCAGAAAGTATATAGGAACAGCTCTGAACGAACGTCTACATTCTCTCGAACCTCAGGCCAGACCGGATCCAAAAGCCCTCAAAGCCGTCCGCTGCTTGCCTTAAGAAGCTTATCTAAGGCCGGTGCAGCCGAGCTTTGGATGGCCTTTGGCTACCGAGCAGCTGGGAGCCAAGCCTTCAAAGGGTTGAACACTCTCATAATAATTAAGGGGTGGCTGTCAAAAATATGATATGAGTATATCAATACCCACATTGTCTTTCCCCAGCTCCTACTCTGCAGGCAGAGCTTGCGTGCGGGCGCTCCGTGCGGCCTCTGCCTGGTGAAGATGCGGAGGGCGCGCATGGGGACAGATGGCTGCTATTGCAATTGCTACATTCCGCATGTGTGTCAATGCCGATCGTATGGTGCCAGCAAATACACGCAGCGGAGAAGGTGTGGACGGCATGGGTGTCAGCTACCCCGGTCCAAGTTCATGAGACCTTAAGATGTGACCCGAACGTCGACAGGCTCGGGTACAGGCAGGGTGCCCCGGAATCGGTGCAGCCTTTCGACCACGCTGCGCTTCCTGCAGGCGCGGCTTCGAAAGGTCTGAGGATCTTGGACATTTTTTGTTGCTGTGGGGGTCATGTTGCTGCAGCCACGGCAGTGTGCCGAGGAGTGCTATACATACACAAATGATTGCCCACCAAACCTGAGCCCCAAACGCATGAGTCAAAATCTGAGCCGTATCTTCTACGGCGCAGGTGCAGAGGCCTTTGATGGACCCCTTCTTTTGCCGCAGGTTGTTGCAGTATACACAATCCGATACACCCTGACGCCCATACCCTCGTCGAGACTCCGCGTCATCCCCGAGAGGCCATGGCCTCTGTCCAGGCAGGGCCCTTCAGTGCCCTGCAGCATCTTCTGCACCGAGTGTGCCTTGGCTTTCCTTGCTCCTTCCCCTGCGTGAGTTGAGTTCCTTCGGGTTTTGTGTGATGTTATGTTTGCTTCTCGGGGGCAACTTGCAAGAGGGCTGATGCCTTTGGCCTTGGCGCGGTGGGGCTTTGCAGCTCATGCGCTCCGCAGCTCTCGGTTCCACCGTGTTTCAACTTTGAAGTATCCCAGCCCTCATGTTTGCTGGCGACATCACCGTGCAAGCTCTGGAGCGAACGACGGCCTCAACAGCCCCAGTCCCCCCAACAGCTCATGCGTAGCCAGACCAACGGGGGGAGATCTGCTCGCTTCGGTTGGTTCGGTCTGACATTCAAGGGGCCGTTCTTCTTGTACGCCTGTCGCTGTGTGGATGCTTTCCTGGATGCCCGTCTCGGGCAAGTGGCACTGAGGACATCGTTGATAAAGTCATGGTAAGCAACGTGCGCGGATCCATGTTACATCCCTACATGTACATCAGCGCTCCAGAAGGAATGAGCGAGCACACCTGTGACAACGTGAAAAGTTCATTCCTGCCAGCGCTCACCGCAGACCTCTCCCATTGGTTCACGGCCCACGTGATCAACTTTCGTTTTGTTCCTTCGACGTCAAGAGTGTACTGTGCGGCTGTGATGGTTTCTTTGGTCTACTGTGGAATATTTACCTAAGCTACGTAAATGCCAGATACAACTTGCTGCAAGAGCCTTCAGGCCGTTAGCCCGTTGACGACATGAAGGTTTCGACGAGCAGCCGGTTGATCGGAAGATTTGTCCCAACATCAGCAACAACAAGCTAGCTGAGTTCCTCTCACAACAGACGTTGGTTGTGAGTTGTTTGCTTCAATCAGGAGGACTGAAGGCCGACGGTGAGCTCAGCAGGTTTGTCAGTCACACTGGTGTTCGGCATCAGTGATCTAAGCCTCCAGAACCGTGGCAAAAGGTGATGCTGTGGCTTGATAGGCTGAGGCCTACTGCAGCATGTTGCTCATCGATGAGAGATGGCCGTCGACCAGCGCAGACTACGACGCGGCGACGCTATTGGATCCTGCGAGCTGCAAGGAGTATGGCTGCAAGCCCTGGGATTTCTGAGGCACTTCCGGCGTAGCCAGTTCAGATCCAACAACATCATCATCAACTTTTCCGTCAGTACTTAGCAAAAGCCGGAACATCTTCTCCGATTTGGTGACGTGCAACGCTGCAATCAGCACATGTCAGAGGTGTGGCAAATGGCAAACGCCCAGCTCTTATTGCAGGAGCTGAAAGCTGAGGATCTTCGACCTGCTATCATCGCGTACGGTGCTCATGTGGGCAGCAGGCCTTGTTTCATCTGCATGAAGCCCGGCAGAGAAACTTGCAGATCAATCTCATTATGTACAGCGCAGCCCTGGGATCCTGTGATAAGGCTGGAAATTGGCAGCAGGCCTACCTTCTGCGTGACATCTTGGTGGAAGAGCAGCTGCAGCCCGATGTGGTTGCCCAGAACTCCGTCACCCTCGCTTGCTCGAATGCTGGGGAATTCGCGGTGGCCTTGCCACTTTTGCATGCTGTGGGTCGCAAGTGCGAGCTGGAGTTGTGGGAGTACCAGTGTAAGGGATGTTAGCGAACCCCGGCCAGACACTGCAGTGCCACGGGCATCGAGGTTCCATGGCTGCTAAGGAAAAGAAGGTGCAAGTGCAAGAACCCTGAAGCCAGGAATTAATAGAACGACGACACTTTTCCTTTCCTCTAATCGCACGCGGTTCTACGCCGCAATATACAGTACCGCATAGACCCGCAGAAGTTGCACGTAGAAGTGGTGTTGAGCCTTCAGCATAGTTCAAGAAAGAATCGCTCATAAATGCATAATCTACAAGACAGATACATATGTATATGTCTATTCCAAACAAGGAAAGGCAAATATGTCGCCAGTTTTGGAGAAGGGTTGGATGCTTGCAGTAGCTCAGTTTCGGACTCTCAAGCCTGTGTCAATGGACGGTGCGGTTTTGCGTTTAGGGTTTAGGTTCGTGAACAAAAACAAGACCTGCATTCACTCGCAACAACAAGCGTGAGAATAAAAGTGCAATGCAGGCGATAGCAATGAGAGTTCCATTCAGTTGTGGATACACGTTAGTTACAATGAGCTTCACGAGTGTTTCCTCTACTTCAGATAGTCCCATACTCTGGTACCGAATTCCTTCAATCCGTACTGGTATAGGAACCAGCCAAGTTGCCTTGGTTCCTTCTAAGTCAAATCCAATAAATCAAAGCCCAGGCTGGAGCATCTGCAAGAGTTGCGCCCGCGTAGCCCTGAGCAACAACTGCTGGTGAATGATTCAGGGTTAAGGTCCTTTTTGAGGTCGGGTTTGGCTGCTCGTTGATGCCAATGTGTCATTTCCATGTGTTTTCTCAACCAGCTGCCGCAGTACACCCGCAACTGCAGAGCCCGAGTCCCGAAAAACCCAAAGCCCGCCTTTCACTGGGCCAGGCACCAGTGCTTCTTCATCTTGCAGGCTGGGCTGAAGATGCTCCAGTTGCATGTGCAGTTCCCTGCGATACGCAAGCAGGCTATGAGCCGCCTGCGACTGCGACACCCGAAGGCTCCCCATTGCCAGACAAGGGAGTCCGATTTTGAAGGCTCAGGAAGGCTTCCAGCTCTGGGTTCATTGAGCCTTTGGATAAGCGCCTTGTGGTGTAAAGCGAGGAGCTAGAAGGTGTTTAGGGACCCACGTTGCCAAGACCTTGTGCCGGGACATGGGGAATACTGTACCCAGTCCACGTTGTGTGTCACTTTGTGTGTTTACCACGCCTGTACAGATACTTCAAGATTCTACGATCCCTGGGGAGGTGATGGCTTGACGTGCCCGCTTCGACCTGCTGTCCAAGCGAAGCAGAAGTAGTGAGCAAATGAGGCTTGCAATAGAACAAATTGTGTCCCGGAGAGCTCAGACGATTGACACAAGAGTTTTTGTCACGGATCCCTTCAGAACACAATCGTTTTTTGAAGAGCCGATCTCTCGATGCTGTCCATGTGCCTTGTGCGCCCCGTGCGCCTTGCGTGATGGCATCCGCAGATGCGCTGGAATCGAAGCCTGGCCCTGACTCCCCAAGAGCATCTGAGAATGCATGGTTCCACATGGTTCCCTTGAGCCGCCTCGCGCCTCAGGCCCGCTGAGGGTGATATCCTGGGCAGCCAGGTGGGCTCCTGAAGTGAGGAATCGGTGAAGTCAGTGGAAGGTTCAGCTGACCAACAGCGCATCAGAGTCATCAGCGCGCCGCCGCATTGCCAGCTTCCGAGGTGTCGGTGGCAGCGCCCTCGATCCTCAGCGCGGTGAGCTTGGCGCGGTTCCCGGCAATTTCCCGGCTCCAAAAAAAAGGGCAAAATGAGAGAGTCGCCAAGTTCCCAGACAAACCCCATCTCCAGGCAGGCTCGAAAGCTGGCACCGCGTCGGGTAGCAAGGCTCCCTCCGTACTGTGGCTTCCTTGGAAACGATCGTATGGTGCTGATGGCAGAAGCGCTAACTTCGTCCAACTTCCCAACATACAAAGGCTCTCCAAAGCCTCTTCGCTGCCTGCACTCGCCTCTCCTCTCAGCGAGGTGCGTCAGAACTAGTCATAACAGCCTTTGTGTTTGCTTGCTGTCGCTGCACAGAAGTACTCTGAGCTCGTCCGCACCTGCTTCGTTTGGCACGACAATCAGTGCAATCAGTGCATTGCGGCAGCATCTCTGCGCAGGAAGAGGCAGCACTGAAGGCCCGGGCACAGGCGGCCCTGCTTCGGCTGAACAGCGGCTGGCGGTCCACATACGGCGCCATGTGTCAGAGTCTCAGCTTTGGACCCCTCCGCCTCTCACCCGCGAAGTCACCACGAACTCACTGCGTGTCACATCCTCTCGCTTTGCGTGTCTTGCGCGGAGTCGAGGCGATGACATCCCGAAGCTTCCGGAGGACCTGAGCTGAGAATGCTGAAGTGAATCGTGAAGAGGGAAATAGAGGGGAATATACAGAGCTGGAGGCCCCCGGTGCAATTGCAGCCTCCATCCTGAACCGGAACTTTCGAACAGCTTCCAGGGTCTGACTAGAAATCGATCCCTGTCCAGAAGGAGCCGGCACCTGTTCGGGAGGAACGCGGGGAGCGGCAGCAGCTGGGCTTTCAGAGAAAGTGGCTTTCGGGGGCAGAGGGCCTCTTACTGTGGGAAGTTTCTCATGCATTCGCAAGTCCCCCGCAAGCCGCTTGTCCGGGACGCCTGGGGCAGCTGGGGTAATTAGTGCAGCAGGCTTTGGTTTCAGGACTTGAGGATCGATTAAGTCAAAGGTGCAGGCGGAGGTTTTCTTGTTTGTTGAAAGGGGTTGGGCACGGCGACATGTGTGAGCCAGTCTCAGTTTTGAAGAGGCTGGTAAAGACAAGGCGGTGATTTGCAGGAGTAGCCTTCCAAGTGAGATACCCACTGCATTTCGCTGCATTTCGCTGCAAGGTTGCCATGGACGAAGATGGATTCTGAGTACAGGCCTCGTTGCCGGTGCTACTTGTACCTGCCAGCCCGGGTCAGGGTTTGGCGTTTAGGCCTAAACTTATCCTAAACTTTAGGGGTTTACAGGGCGTCTGTTCTGTGTTAGACGAGCTGGCAGGATGTTTTCTCACCTGCGGTCAGCTCAGTGCAGGACCAACTTCGTGGACCACCACTCACCTCCACCTGCACGACCAGTGCCAAAAAAGCCGTAGCATGGCAGACAGTTCCTGCAGGTGTGTTTTGCTCATTGCTGTTTTGGTCAGATTACCAGAGTGGATTGCAGCCTTAGCCTTATTAGCCTTTAATCTTATATAAGGTACATCAAGACAAAGGCCGAGCTTCAGCGGGACTGCTGCAGCCGCCAGTGTGAACTGCGTTTTCCAACAGTGCTGTGAGATCACTAGGCATGAAGTCTCGTGACTGGCGGAGGTGCTAGGTGGAGTGATTGTTGTTGCTAAACGGCAGGAGATGGCGGCCAAAGAGAAGCACTTGAAGCTTATCCAGAAGGCATAATCTGCGTTTTCCGTCTCAGTGCTACACCTTCGCTGCACATGTCGGCGCCCTTCCAGGCACGCGAAATAGAGCGGCGCCGCAAAGCACCTCTGCGTGAATAACCCGTCGGTTTTTAGTGACTTCAGTTTCGTACGTGTGCCATAAACAGTATATGTGGGAGAAGAAAATGAGGGGCCTCACGTGTGTGTCCACGTGTGCCCCCACCTGAGGCTGGGCAGCGGTCAGATCTGAACCCCGGCCCGCCGACGGTTCCCATGAAGCGGCCTCCTTAGTCGCCCGGGACGGGAATCCCCACGGATCCATTTCCTCAATTTTCTGAGTTGTGCAGTGAATGGGTGGGATGTACACATGCACTGAGCTACGGTCTGCACTAAAAGTCGCCTTGCAGCGATGGCACCTGAGGGAACCCCCGTCGGAGGCTCCTCGGTTGCATGGGTCACGCTCGGAAGAGCTCTTCAGCTCTCGTGGCTCCAGGTCCACTACAACTATGTCGGTGGGCCAGCGCCCTCGTTGTGGAGGCTGCTTCCTTGCAGCAGCTGCATGGAACTTCCGGAGAATGATGGTGCCATGATGCCTTGTGTGCTTCAGGAGCGACTACCGTGGCAACTTCGGAGCATATGCCTGCCACCCAGAGTTGTGGCCCCGAAGAAACGACTTGCAGACTTGCAGATGAGCCAAGGTACATAGTACCACTGCCAATACCCGGATGGCCCAGCCCACACCGCTGGCGACTGGACCATTTTGTGGAATGGGGCAGGCTAACTATTTCGCGGAGCTGCTTGCCATTTTCTGTTGCAGCTCTGCCAGAAAGTCTCAGCCAAGGCAGTGGTATCTTCACCCATCTCGCTGTTTCCGGGTGTCATCGGCCACCCAGACGCCCGCCGGCACTCACCCAGTACATGCACCCACAGGTCATTCGAGCCATTCCAAACACGCAAGTTGAGATAGAGTTGGTGAATGGCACCCCTTTGCCTGCAGCCTGCAAGGACATGTGATCGTGACTGATGTCTTGTGGTTTCCCGTGGCGATGCACGTCCATGCCTGGCACGCCTCGAGCTGCAGCGAAACAGTGCAACATAGCAGCCACGAGTAGCCTGCAGCAGCGGTAAAATACTGCAGCAGCAGCACGGTGCTACGATGCTTGCCAAGCAAGCATCAGCCCTGGTCCGAGCCAGTGTCGGAAGGGGAGTTGCGTCCGACCCAAGTGTTCTCCTTTGTCAGGTCTCATCGGATATCTATCGGCATCTCATTTTCTGAGGTATCCCCGGGGACGTCTTTCGACCATACAGGCAGTAGCTCGTCACTCATCGGATGCATGCAGCGCAAAAAAAGCTCTCAGAGCAGCTGTTCCCTGTGTGAGCTTGGAACAACCTGTCTCGTATTCCGCTCTTCTAGTCAGGCCAAGGAGCCGCAGCACTCGCCCATTCGGAGAAGTATGTCAGGAGCGTGGCATAGCGTGGCATAGCCTGGCAGGCCGGCCGGATCCTGCAGCAGCTGAGCCTGGCGTGGCGGGCACTGCCCGAGAAGAAGTTGCCCAGTGGCGAGTGGCGGGGGTTGAGGTCTTGGGGTCAATTTGTAGCTGGGAGGGCATTTTTTTGGCTTTGGAGCTCGACATGGGGATTTCAGCGGACATGACAAGGTTTGTGAAGGCGGCAAACGCCGTGGCCAAGCTAGACCTCGGAAAGGAGCGCCTGGGTCTGAACTGGAGAACTTGGAATGTCTCTCAGCGTCGAGTTGCTTAAGCTCGTAAGAACTGTAAGGGCTGATAAGATCCAAATGGCAACGCATCTCATGACGTCTCATGACGTCTCATGACATGACATTTTGTTGCTCTGAACTTGAAGAAGAATGGCCTAGGCTTTGGGCGAAGCCTCTGAAAGTGGCCCTGGAAGCGTGGCTGCCTCGAATGCATGGTCGCCAGCTGGCCAACCTCAAAGCGATTGCCGTGATGGAGCTGCTGAATGAACCGCAGGCGATGCAGACGTACCTCGAGCAGTGTGAAAGCATGCGCAACGACTTCTGGTACTCCCGGCACCTACAGGTGGTTGAGGCTCACGTCCACTTGCTGTACCCCGAGCTGTGGACCTCTCTGGACGACCGGATCCGCGTCTTCCTCCAGGACGTGCGGACCGCGGCCGAGGAGAGCCGACAGCGGGCGCAGGAAGCGGCGCAGCAGGCCGCGCAGGAGGAGAGCTCGGACTCGGAGAGTGATAACTCAGATTCAGAGGGGTTTCAGGCCGAGGTGCCGAGCCTGGCCCCACCCACCTTCGACAAGCAGCGATTCAGCTCCGCTTTGCATGCAGACATCAGCCGTATGCTAACAAGCCTGGGCGTGGAGCACAGCAACAAAGTCTCTGCTGGGCCCGTGCTCTTGGACATGGTGTGCCTCGCCTGCATGGGAGTGTTTAGCCTGTTCAGCCCATGTAAGACCCGTGTCGATGCACTGGCGGTCCACTCTTAAGTACCCCTCAGTCCCCCTCTGTGACTGTTTCCCTGGTCCTTCCTCAGGGAACTCCAGGGAGTAGACTCCCAGTAGACGCGGCTTCAGAGGCACGTGGCCAGCATGGTGGTCGTGGAGGCGGCAGCGCCCTGGCAGTTCTACCTGCGCTCCCCGCAGATCACTGCCCTCGCACGGCGCCGTCAGGAATTGGGTTTCAGCTTGGAGGGCTACAGCATGCTACAGCAAAAGCTAGGCTTTATACGTCTGAGTTGTAGCATTATGATGGTGTTATAGTAGTATAATGTGTTATAGTTTTGTAATGTGTTGCAATAGTATATACGGGATACTAAGGGCCTTATAAGGGGCGTCAGGAGATGATCCAGGCCATGGGGTTCAAGGTCACCATCATCCCGCAGCTCGGCAGTGCACTGGAAGGGGGAGGTTTGAGTCATCGACCCTTCAAGCAGCACAGCAGTATCGCAATTCCTTTCCCGAAGTGCTGCAGCCAGCTGCAGCTGCTCCCAGGTATCTCAACTTCGCAGCTCCAAAGTAGGCTGCTGGGTATCCCTTGTTTCATGAGCTCAGGTACTTTCGCTGGGATGTCCTCAAGGATGACGCTGCCAAGGCAGAGCTTCTGCGGAAGCAGCTGCCCAAGGAGGCATCCCCCCCTTGATCTTGTTGAAAAGGGGCTCTTAAGCCTCAGGCAGTCGCCTTGCTTCCATGTTGCACCTTTTGGGGACCTTTTGGGCACCTTGTGGGCGCCTTTCTGGGCACCCGCGCCAATGCAGGTCACCAGTTGCCCAGCCTCGCCCGGAGGCAAGCGCGTTTGAACAGGAATTAGACTCTGCGAACCTGGTTTCGGAGCTTGTTGTGTCATCCCAGTCCCGGAGGCAGCGGCCATGCGGATGAGGCGCAAAGCTCGCACTCCCGCCACTCGATTTAAAGAGCTGAGTCTGAAAATCCGTGAGCCAGCTGCCAGCTTGTGCCTTGATGCAGCCCCGCTCCACAGAATTCCTCAGGCACATTTTGATCTTAGGTGCGTCTGCAGGCCAGTTACTATACCGCAGCCCTCCAGCAACAGCGCCTCCAGAGTTGAACCCAGGCTCTTGGAGTTTTCCTTGGCAACACAATGCTTGGCCTAGTCATGGTCCGCATCGGCGCATTAGCACGACGATGTTTGGGGTCAGGGCTTGAGAATTCTAAACTCTAAAGCCTACTAACAACTTCAGAGGGGCTGCACAAAACCCTGAAACCTGTAAAGCGAGAGGCTCTGTCGCTTGCATCAGAGCCCGCGCAGCCATGGCCGTGGCATCGAGGATGCATCGCTTTAAGGTTCCACAGTGTGCCAGGGTGTCTGGAAGTCTTCAGTCCTTGATGTTCACAGCTGCAGGCTGTGTTGCACTCAGTTTGACACGCCACAGGCCCTGCAAGATGTGTTGTCTGCACTGGTGCACAGCTCAGACGCTGAGGGTTACTGGTAGCCATTCCGATGTCAACCCCTCCAAGACTAAGTGTCGCTTGCTACGGCAGAGCATCATTTCTGGATCCTTCATGCAGTGAGTTTGGGTGAGAAAGTTGTGTTGCACCATCACATGCGCGAAGGTCGTGGACGAGGATGATGTTGCTGGTGCAGTTCAGGAGGGGACGGATTGCCCTCGTTGTTGCTGGGTTGGCGTGAAACTAGCCCTCACGTTCTGCTGCCATCCTTAAGGACATTCAACGAGAAGCTCCCAGGGAACTTGAGGTGCTTCTCATTCTGCTCAGAGAATGAATGTGGAATGTGCCGTCTGGGACGTTGCAAGCTCGGTAGGACTTGGCAGAATGATCGCTGGAGCCGAAGCCTAGCGAACTGCAATCCCTGCATAGGCCACTCGCGCACCCTGCTCTCGGCAAGTGATGGCTTCAGAGGCTCGAAGAGAGCGGCTAAGGGAGCGAGAAAGACAGAGAGAGTGCTTACCTCACAGCTTATCAAGTTGTCCACAGGTGAAAACCGGCCAATCGTGCCAACCCTCCAAACCGTGACGGAGCACACACAGAGGGTGGTGGTAGTGGGGGTGATTGTGGGTTTGTGGGGAAGTAGAAGCCACCCAGGGAGCTGAGGGTGTCACGCAAATGGACTCGGTGTTCGCTCGCCTTCGGGCGGCTCTCTCCCCTCGGGGAGGGGATTATGAGTGCACGAAGGAAGGAAGAGAGTGCAACATAAACAAACACAATAGAAGAAGAATAATAAAGGAAGAAAACACAAGTGGAAGTGGACCACTGCACTATACTGAGCCGCTTGGCTGTCGTGGCCGGGTCCTCCCTTGTGGCCGCTAAAGCGTGCAGAAGAAGTTTAAGAAGCGAGAGCGAGAGAGATGGGCAATGGGCCCGATCACAGCATGTGCAAATCCTCCAATAAACTAGCGGGGGAGCCCTAAATGTTGGCGGGTCCTTGCTCTCAAAGGCATGAGGGATAGGGGGAAAGGAGGACAAATAGTTGGCTGCCTGCATTTCTGGTTGGTGTTGTGCACCTCCTCGTCCATGCCTAGCAGCAGAAGAGCAGAAAGAGAGACCAGCCCTTCGCAAGCAGGGAAGAGAGAAGAGAAAATGAAGAGGGAGCGGGACAGGGAGAGGGAGAGGGACAGGGAGAGGGAGAGGATACAGAAGAATAAGCAAAATAACGACAGACCATCAGATTAAGAACAACATGAAAAACAAGTCGAATGTGTAGAAGAAGAAGAATATGAAGAATATGAAGAAGAAGAATAAGAAGCATCAGAAAACATGATGACAATATGACTAGGCGCAGTAAAACAAAACAAGAGAAATAACGGTAACACGAAGAATTAAGTGTAATCATAGCAATAGTATGAAGAAGTAAGTCAGCAGAATACTGCGAATAGAGTAGAAGAAGAGCAAGCGAGTGTTGCTGCAATGCTGTACTGTGGCAGTGTAGCATGCTTGCACCACCTCCTGCGGCCAGGTGGCTCTCGCGAGCCTGTGCGCCCGTCGCGCTTTGACAGTAGCCTCTTTAGCGTGAAGCAGAGATTTACAGACGGCTGGGGCGGGGAATGCTTGAGTGCATTTTGTGAGGTCTAGGGAGTCTAAGGCCACACCCTAAACCCTAAACCCTAAACCCTAAACCCTAAACCCTAAAGCCTAAACCCTAAACTCTAAACCCTAAACCCATTGTTGTTTCGGTCCCACCTGCTGAGGGGTGGCTGTCGCCCTGTTGGGTCGATCTGGCACAGGTCGGTCCTTCTGCCCGATTCCGTGATCCAACAGGCTGCTCTGGGGTTTAGGGTTTAGGGTTTAGGTTTTTGGGGTTTAGGGTTTCGGGTTTAGGGTTTGGCGCGTTTTCGCCTTGGCACACGCAACCCGGTTCTTGACTTCAATGACCGAATCTAACATTCCTCGAAGTCGAGTTTATCGCGTGCGCGCGCTAAAGCTCCCGGGTTGCCTTTAATCCTTAAGACTCCAAGCATACTCCCCCGCCGCCCCTTCTTCCCCTACGCTGAAGAAGCCCTAAATTCCCAACCCCCAAAGCGCCCTAAACCCTGAATCCTAAACCCCTAAACCCCTAAACCCCCGAAACCCCGAAGCCCCGAAACCCCTAAACCCTGAAAAGAGCGAAAGGCCCATGCAGTTCCCTGAGCAGGCCTTGGGCCTCGTGGACTCCAAGAGCCGCTTCGCCTGCTCTTTGATGGGGGTTTTAAGGTGTGGGCTTTCGAGGGATTTGGGGGGGTTTGATGGGGTTTCAGGGGGTTTCAGGGGGTTTCAGGGGGTTTCAGGGGGTTTCAGGGGGTTTCAGGGGGTTTCAGGGGGTTCCAGGGGGTTCCAGGAGGTTCCAGGAGGTTCCACAAAGTTTCAGGAGGCTTCAGGGGTTTTCAGGACAGGCCAAGCTGTTGATGTGTCGGAGCTCGTTTGCAGAATTTTGCAGCTCTGTTGCAGGGCACAGGTCGTCAGTTTGTGTCTTCATGTTTGTATTCATATCGAGAGCCCTTAAGCAAAGCACGGCCTGACGTGCATGGGGCTGCCAGCACATCAAGGCATCCACCTGGTGACCAGTCAGATGGGGCGGAAGGCGTTCGAGGCTTGTGGGCAGGACTTGTCAGATGCTCAGTTCTCTAAATCAGGCTCGCTTTTGGGCAGCCCGTTTGGGTACCCTTTTGGATGCCTTGAATCTTAAAGGCCACAGCAATAACTTAGGGACCCCACCGAAAGGGGGTCCATACACCGTGTTCAGCCCGCAACACCTAAGCTGTGAAGATGGAAACGGCCCCCCCCCCCCCCCCCAAACAGCGCAATCAGGAAAAAAGGTTTACTGAGCAGGGGCTGTCGAACATATCTGTCACTGTGTGCCAGAGAGTGGCCTGGGACAGATAGGCAATCATGTCATGTGAGTCCTGTCGTCCATGCACACGTGCATCGCTTAGCAAAACGCAGCAAGAGCAACTAGCATTAAAGCTTCGTGTGGTTCTCGTGCATGGCAGATCCGCTTAGTACCCAGACAAGTACTGGGGGCTTCGGGAACACTTTTTGAGACACCGGGCTTTCGCATGGCTAGGATAGAGAAGACAGAGAGCCCGTCCTAAAGCCTTGAAATCTGAGAAGAGTTCAACCTTGTAAGCCTTGTAACCCAAAGCTTTTCTCTCGGATTCTGAGAACATCGCCACGCTGCCAGGTGCGCGGCCAGAAGGCGGGCTCGGATCCCACGCCCACAGCAGTTTGGACTCCCCAAGTCGCTCGCACGTGTCTACTTTCCGCCAAAAGGCCTCCCATTTCGTCTTAGCCAAGGGCCTCTACTGCTCTTGTCGTCCCCTCAGAGCTGCAGCACGTTGTGAGCCCGTGGTGAAGTCATGACACCCACATACACGCCTTAAGCCATTGTTGCCCAAGTTGGCACCGTACCTTGGGTCATTTCCTGCATAGATCTTTGGAACGACAAGTCGCAACCTGGCACATGCCGCCTCTGGACCAGTACAATGCTCAGTTGACAGTATGCATTGACGTGCGGCACACATGAGACTTGCGAACATTCGTGGTTACGAAGCTCCCACAACAAGCCTCCGCACTGCTGCTCCCCATGGCTTCAAGACAGCTCACGCTGCCTTGGCCCTCGCATGCCTTTGCTACGCACGCTTGGATCCTTGGGCCCCGCCTACGAGATGCCGCCGTTGTGCCTGCGGCTCGAGTTGTCGAGGACGGGCTGGATGAGTTGGAGTATGTTTGACTGTTTTGCGCGATCGCTGTGCATGGCAAGGCCGGCGCAGAGTCAGCGGATTCCGCTCTCAGGCCAGGGATGCGGATGCGTCCGGAAGCACCCAGACCGTCAGACCAAAATGCTGTGAATTTCTGCAGGGCCTCGAGCGTTGGCGCGAACGATGGCGCTCATGGCCGCGGTGGCGGTTGTGTAAGCTTAGCAGTGTGCTGCCTGGCTGCTGTCGCTACGTTGTCGGTGTGTCGGTTCTTAGAACGTTGCAAGCAGTCAGCTTTGGAAGCATGCAGCAGTAGGATCACTTGGCTGATCATGCGCAGGCTACTTGCTCTTCCTCAAGCGGCACTGCGAGAGAAAGCGTGTTCAGCTGCGTGGGCTTTCGGACAACGACGCGACCAGAGTGCGTCTCCGACAGAAGCCAAAAGCACAGGCAAAGCGGAGGGCTGCCCCTAAGGCACACGCTTCTGCAGATTCTAAAGTGCGACCCTCAGCCAAAGGTCGTGCAGGGCGGCCGGGTGCAAAGACGCCTCCCTTTTTGCCACCCCTTGATTCGACAATTTGGAAGCCGGTGCCTGTGGCACAGGAGGAGGTCGACCAGGCGCTGCTGGTCGATGGAAGCTACGCAGCGCGAGATCTTCTCCAGGTTGCCGAGCAGGTGTGGGAAGGCCAAAGTGCGTGCTTCACCCACCGCTGGGCCGATGTTCTCAAAGTGAGGAAGGCACTTAACGCCGTGGCGACGAGACGCCTCAAACACCTCGACCTTGGCGACACGGCAGAGGCCCACCGTGAGCGGAGGCGGCTGCTTCGGAACTGTGCTCGGCGGCTCTTTGCCGAGGCTTCTGTGTCTACAGGCGAATTGAAGCCTGTCGGGGCTCCTGTGTTGGGCTACGTGCCGTTGCTCTATGCCGGTGCTTCCCAGCTCTTCTTTCGCGCCAATGACATCACGGCTCTGAATGTGGCATGGCAGTTCTTCTTGAACGGCTTGGATTACAGCTTCTTGCCGAAGAAGCTGCATCCTTTCTTCGGCGTGTACTTCACCTTGTCTCCTACGGCGACTTGGCTGGGCCAGCGATCCAGTTCTCCGGAGTTCTTCGGTCCTTCTGGTGTCTCAAGTCTCTAAGTGAGTGATCCTCAAGAAGAACCCTTAAAGAGACATAAGGGGCTCACGACTCCCATGAATCCCTCAAGATCCCGTTGAAAGGAGCACTTTGAGCTTCTGCGCGAATGGCTCCGAGGGCTCCCAAAACTTGCACCTGCTGCTCGAGCTGCTCGCGTCCTGGACCTGGGCACCGGTTGCGGCGCCCGGAGCTCAAGTTCTTTTGGGAGGGGGCCGCAAAACTGTACTCGGAGATTCGTGGATCCTGTTGGGACTCACATGACTCACGCATGCTTCAGCACAGCACAAGCTTCACACCGCTGCACACTAACTCGTCTATGTGCAGCGGTGTGAAGTTTGTGCTGTGCTGAAGCTGATGAAGCTTTCATTTTTTGCTCCAGGTCATCACCTTCATACTCCGCAGCATGTACCCGGACCTCGAGATTACGGCCTCGGACCTTTGCCCCAACGCAGTCTTCTCGGTCAGGGCGGAAATGGAGCGGTGGGGCGTGGAAGGAGTTCAGGTGGTGCAGAGCGACCTCTTCGCAAAACTACATGACATGGGCCCCTTCGACTTGATCATCTTCAACCCTCCCTGGGTGCCCAGAGCACCTGAGATTCAGCCTGATGGATCAGGGGACGTGGTTTTTGGGAACGACTACCCCCTTGACCTCTTCGACCGCCTCTTCACCGAAGCGCCAATGGCCCTAAGGTCCGGTGGCCACCTCGCCACTCAGTTGATCTCAGTTTTGCGACTTGTTGCCAGCCTTTTTTGCGACATGGGCCGCGTGGGTCGTCTAATGGCTTCTCATCCCCCCCCCCCCGAAAGTTCCCGCTGAAAGCTGCTTGCGAGGCCATCCTCTTCTCAAACTATGCCGTGTCTCGTGGGCTCGTGCGGGAGTCCCCAATGAAGGTCTGGGAAGCCAAGGCACCGCAGCTGGAGCTTCAAAAAGTCCACGAGCGAAGCGTGCAGGTGAAGGACCGGAGCCGCCATCGGCAGACGCGCCGAGACAAAGCCTGGGCCTTCAAGGAGGAGCACCGCGTCGAGCTCTGGCACTTCGTGAAAAAAAGAGCGCCCCCACGCATCCCGTATTTGGAGCTCCAGTGTGACCTGAAGCGCTGGCGCCAGGAATTGAAACTCACAGTGTCTTATCGTCTGACTGAATGAAAGCGCAGCCTTTGCTACTGGCATGTTTCGAGAAATTCTTGGAGACATCTTTCAGTCTCGAGAGATGGTTGACATTCCTTTCCGTTTCTCAGGTCCATACTTCGGGCGGCGTGTGATCGAGGCCATGCACGGGCAGCACTGAAGAAGCACTCCACAACCCACCGATCCTCCACTGCTGCTGCTGCTGCTGCTGAACTGTGCTAGAACTCGCTGCTGTGCGTGGATCCGGGTTCCGTAGAAGGGGTTCCGTAGAAGGTGGTGCTCCAGTTCCCCCCTTGGTTTCAGGGACGTTTCAATCTTGGGTTTTGTGATCTCCCCCCCGAGGCCGGCGAGCTTTGCTGCAAGCATTGGCTGGCCGTGCAAGTGGCGCAGCTGCGAGCTCAGGACGAAGCTTTTGCTTCACCGTGTGCGGCTTTCAATCATCGGTGCTCCTGAGTCGGATAGAGTCTGTCTCAAACTCCTGAACTTATAACGGTTCTTGGGACAGCTTCTAACACATGAGAGTTAGGGTTAGGGTCTTAAGGTGTGACAGGGAGTGAGCGGTTCTTTAGCCTGGCATGCGATTCGCTGGTGGAATATGTGATGTTGGGGTCCCGAGTGACATTATAACATCCTGTGGAGCTCTCAGGGTGTTCTAGTGACAAACAGTGGGGGCCAAGAGCCCAAGAACTCGTGCATTGCTGTAGATTCCGGCATGCGGCCTGGCCCGTGCATCCAAGGCGTTGCGGCACTGGGATCGGCTCTACCGAACACCTGCAGGAGGATGAGCAGGAAACCTACTGAGAGTACAGCGTATTTCAAAGTAATTCTGCAGGGAGCCTTCTTGAATTGGTGTTTTGCCGTTGGAGTCGGGACAAGCTGCTTGCACTTGACGGTCTTCATCAAGAGGGACGTATGTCAACATCTCATGCAAACAAAGCTGATCGCCTCTAACTCGGGGAACTGCTGTGTCTGGTGCTGCTTTGGCATGTGACCTCTTGGCTTTCGACACAGATGACACGATGGTGAGACCTCCATGCTGAGGTTTCTAGACTGGACCCGGCAGCGGATGTTGGGATGCCAGCCAGCTGCATGACCACAGCAACTCATGCTCATATGTGAAAGTCGGGGCTGTGATAGTGGGATGTTTAACCCTAAGGGCATGCTCTACCATAAGGATCCGCTACTGGGAACAGATGCCGAAACAGATGGAATTGCTCTCACAGGCGCTGAGTGACGAATCTGGTGCAGTGACAGCCGCCGGAATGAAAATGGCAAGCCAATGCTCGATCCGCCACCGAGCAGAGGAATCCTGGTAGTAAGTACTGGTATGTGATAAGGCGCATTATGCTGCTCATTCCGTAAGAACCCAGATCCAGCTACCAAGCAAAGTATCTCCTGGAACTTTGTTCTTCCCGGTCAGGCCCTTTGGAACCCCCACTTGTTCTGTTGACGCCTTGTTGCTCCCAACCGAATCCTGACTTCCGACAGCCCGTGGATGGCTCGTAGCGAGTTTGGGGATGCCGGCTGCGAGCTTGGGCAGCCCTCCAGGCGCGAGAGACCTACAGTGGGACTCAGAGGGCTTACTCAGTGAACCTACTAGGGGGGACCTGCAGCACCTCAATATCCCCCAGAGGACATCCGCGAAGTGGAACTCGTCCTGTGACAGGCGAGAGTCATGGATCCCCAGCCAGCAGCTGAGCGACCAGAAGCGGGTGTTCCACAAATCATGGTAAAGACACGAGAGGTCATAGTAGTTATATAAGTATAGATCAGTGCAAACTGTGTTAAAGCTCTCGAATGTCGGCCGAGAAGTGTCCAAGACGATCCGATCCTGTTGTATCGGGTCCTTTACAGGTGAAAGAGTCAGAGTCAACACTTTGGCTCGGCTCTTGTAGACTTTGGACATTTGAAGACGTTCACACTATGCGCCATCCTTGGTTTGGTCTTCTATGGCTGTTGCATGTCATCGTGGCTGGCTTGACCAACCTCCGTTCAAAATGCAGCGCGGTTACTGGGAACCTCTCGCACAGCTGTGAGCAAAACGCTGTCAAATGCGTCAAAGTACTCAGCCCGAGTGGATTCCTCTGTGATGGTGGCGATACTGATTATACCGGATCTAGAGGTTTGCCACGAGCCTCTGGAAGTATAGAGCTGTGCTACCATGTACAACGCACCCCAAAAGGTTTAACGATGTTTAACGGGTTTAACTGCGTCCGCAGAGGGCCATGCTCCAAGCCCTGGTGGCGCTCGACGATGCGTCGCTGATGACCGTGACTTGGCGTAGCCGTTGATGGGAAACCGATGGGAGGCCCCCTGCTTCAAAGCACCGTGACTCGATGTCAGGTCTCCTTTCTTACTTGCTTGCAATGCCGATGGTCATCGCATGCTTCCGGGAGAACCTGAAAAACAAACCGGGCCGCCGGGGGAATGCAACTCTCAGGTCCTCACGGATACCCTACAGCGGAGACCGGAACTGGCTCCCGGAGTGGTGAACGGCGCCGTGCCGGCCACTGACTTGGCGCACTGAGTCGCTTGCAGGATCTCTTGCAGTTGCGGTAGGATGCCGTGGCAGCCTCCCGGGCCGAGTAGATATGCAGAAAAATATCGCGCGCCAAGGACCTGACATATGCTCCAGCTGACGCGCTGTCGAAGAGAAGAGCGACCAACGCTCAGAGCACTCCTTGAGCAATCTTTGCAGCGACGGAGGCAGTCATTGTCGACGGCCTTGTGCCTTTGTTCGTTGTCATAGAATCATGCATGACCTTGCAGATGTCCATGCATGTTCAAGCACTGGCTGCCAAGCGTCCTGAGCCAAACCCCAGTATTCGAAGTGCCCTGAGCAAACCTGAGGACTGGCAGAATAAAGCCGATGATGGGCACAGGATTCGGGTTCATCGACTGCCCGGAGCTGAAGGCTCCCACAGCACGTCCTTCATTCGTTTCGTTCTTACTGCTGCGGACAAGACAGGGAGTTCAGTGGCGTTGCACATCGGACCGTTGATGGCACAGGGCTGATCTTGCTGAGACGATGCTTCGTTTCGGGCTTGATCAAGTTCTTTCACGCAAGTGCTCACAACCGTGCCGAAATCAACTCGCCGCGCCGTGAGAATAGGGCTCGAGGGCGCTCGACTTTTTAATATCAGAACATTGCAGGTGCTGCCACCAAAGCTTGCCTCATGTTTTCCCGAGTACTCTTGGTTGGATTGGTTTGCGCAGTTGCCAGTGACTATGAGCTATCGGCACCGCCTGAAGGCCACGAAGAGGTGATTGATGTGCAAATTGATACCTTGCAGCCACACAACGTTGCCAGAGAAGTTCCTGACAATCTTTGGGTGGAGATTTTCAGACAGGGTCGAACGCACCAACTCCGCTTGGAGAGGAAGTCCATGGATCCGGTGAGGCATCACATTCATGAAGGAGGCCGTGTGAGGAAAGGCCCCGTTCCAGAAGCGTGCTTCTACACCGGGCATGTAGTCGGAGTACCTGACAGTAGTGCCACCATCTCAACGTGCAGGGGTGGGCTCTCGGGAGTCATCGCGGGTCTCTCCAACGCAACGGTCACCATCGGGCCACTGCACCCATCTCGGGCCACGCTGGACACAACAGCGAGCGGGGGCCCTCACCGGATGCGGTTTTTGGGTGCGGCCCCGATACCCCAACCTCGCTTGGCCCGTCGACTGCAGGTTTCGGCCTGAGTTGTGGTTTGTACAGCAGTGCAGCACAGGTCCAGAAGAGTAGTTTGGTGCCTAAATCGTTACGCCAAAAGAGATCCCCCACGCTAGTCGATCTTCCGAGCTTAACCGTCTCGCCCTTGGTCGAGTATTGCTGGTAATACTGCAAACAGAATGTACCGAACCGGAGCGGTTCGAATTGTTTGGAACCTGGGGATTCAAGAAGCAGGAGGCGACGTAGTAACACTGCATCTCGACGTTGATGCAGTGCATTGGCACGGCATTTTTTTGGATGCGTGCTGATCGGGCAGGATTTGTGCCAGAAGCCTGCACAAAGCTTGGGATACAAGAGACGTTTGGGCTGTTGTCAGGGAAAGTTTTGGGAAATTTGCCGCGCTTGACCCGAGCCTAGCCTATTAGCGCGAATAAAAACAAGTTTTTTCCACACGTGATCTGACATACCCTTGTGTCGGTGTGTGTGTGTGTGTGTGTGTGTGTGTGTGTGTGTGTGTGTGTGTGTGTGTGTGTGTGTGTGTGTGTGTGTGTGTGTGTGTGTGTGTGTGTGTGTGTGTGTGTGTGTGTGTGTGTGTGTGTGTGTGTGTGTGTGTGTGTGTGTGTGTGTGTGTGTGTTTCTTGTGTGTTTTTTGTGATTCAGATACGAAAGACGTGGTGATTGTCGCAGAGAAGAATTTGGAACTTGTTTCCGGCCCGCGGCCCACCCATTGCACCAAAAATGGTCGAAAGGGAGCCAGGAAGGGAGCCCAGACCTGCCCAACCGACCCCGATCCGGGCCCAAGTTCCGTCGCCGCGGCCCTCCGGCTACTGTGTCCTGAGAGAACCCCAAGTCGTACCTGTTTGGGGAATGATGCTTATTCCTCTTCGCTATGATCGTGAGGATTGCAGTTACTTAGCACGCTCGTGTTGCCCTTTTGTAGCATCGGGGAGCACCTACCCAGCTTGCCCGAACGTTAGTAGCCTTTTTATGCCTTCAATTCAGCCGACAAGTCAGTGAGCTTCTCGCAGTCTTTCCCGTCACCTGTGACTGGCCATGTCTCGTTACGACCCAAGGCTTCAACCAAATATGCCGAGATTACGGTCGTCAACGATGTGGAGTTTATCAGTCAGTTCCAAGGCCCCAGAAAGTTCGAGGATGTTGTCCTCTATGATGTGACGGTGATGAACCTGGTCCATAATTCTTACAAGACGCCGCCTTCATCAGGTGCATTTCCTCATGTCATTGAGTGCGCGTTGGTGGAAATTCATTCTTTTACTGACCAAGATCCGTGGGCAAATGAGCCAGAGGTCCAGCCGGACGGAGATGGCTTGACAGATCCTGGTTGGTTACGGTACTACTTCCGAACGTACACTCTGACCCAGATTCAGTCAGGCGGATGGTATGACACTGATCTGCGAACGTTGTTTACAGGACGACCACTCAAGGGTCTGGTTGGCTTCGCCGTGTCAAGTACCATGTGTTCTCCCGAGAACTCGGCCAGCATTCAAGTTTGCAGGCCAGATGGGGAGTATCGCTGCGCAATGCTTCTCCCATGTACTTTGGGAATGCTTTTGGTTGGTGTGCGGTTGACTTCAGGGAATCTTCAAGATAGTGCGGTGATGCGTTGCGTGTTTGTTTAGGTATTCAAACGGTCAAGACCCAAGAACAATCCAGGTTGACGGCGCATGAGATGGGTCACACCTTGGGAATGAACCACGACTACGCAGATGCCTCGAACGGCAATCAAGCATGCTACAGTCTGCAGGAGCCCTTAGCTGCTGGCGCTACTTTTGTCATTGCGAGTTGCTTCCAGTCTAAGCGTCGCGCAGTTGGCTTTACTGTCATTAATCCGAGCTTCTGATTAGTGTGGGGGGGGGGCTCCCCGCCCGGGCTCCCCGGGCCCCATGTGTCGATCACAACTTTTGGAGCCCCGTGGCTTGCTATTATTCTGATCACAAATTTGGCGCCCAGTAAGGGGTAGCTCAGGCTGGAATGATGTTTGAGCTTTTCTCAAAAGCAATGTAGTAAGGTATCCGCACTTTCAGCCTGGAAGCTGCAACTTCTGCATGCTGCCAGCCTCACTCAGGCTCCAGCTTCATGCCTGCAGCAGCATGAAGGTTTCTTAAAGCCTGGATAAGCCCTGAACCCTACTTTGCTGTGGAGTTTTCCTAGGCCTCCGGAAAAAAATGCTTTAAATATGGGTTGAGAAATGAGTAGGTCTCCTCTTGCTCCATTTGGGCCTAATCAAAAGTAGTCTTGGACAGGGTTCCTGGCCAAAAACAGTTTGCTCTAAAACTGCGAGGGTACTAATTCGAAGCTCGGATTACTGCCTTGTGAGGCGTGGCATCGAAGAAAGATCACTACTTTCATTACCGCAGCCACGGCTGCAGCAACTCATTTTTACGAGGCGTGTGCCTCGCTATTACTTGTCTAGCTATGCTTCATGTGTCAGCGGTTATGTTCTGGTGATTCACAGTATCATCTCCATCGACCACCACCAACACCGTTGCCGCCGCGTCACCAGCGTCGCCATCGCCTCCGTCATTGTCACCGCTGCCGCCAACAACAACATCATCATCATCATCATCGTCGTCATCGTCGTCGTCGCCGTCATCGTCGTCGTCGTCGTCATCATCATCATCATCATCATCATCACCGTCACAATCTTCATAAACATCACAACCGTGCACACCACATCATCACAATTCCATCGCCATCGGCGTCGTGATTCCCTTGCACGGACACTTGTATCATTGCATCGGTTGATCAGAAAGGGATGATGGTTGCAGTCGGGTCCTCCAGGACTCCCCTGCCTTGATCATGTGGCGCTGGACCGGCTCCAACCAACTTATGTTTTCGAGCTGCAGCGCCAATGACATGGCTACTTACTTCCAGGATGGTGATTTGGGAAACGTTTGCTGAAAACAAGTTCTAAGCACAAGGGTATGGCAAAGCTTTGCTGTTTTGGGAAGCAGCATAGTGAGAACACTAGGCACAAACATGGAGACTGTTTACTTCCCCAGACATTTCGAGGGGTCATCCTCGCACTCCTTTTTGGCATTGCCCCTTCAACAGGACTTCTACAACGCCAACCGGGTCCCTCAGTGCTTGGAGAATCCTCCTTCGAAATGCTGGGCAGACAGCTTTTGTGGAAACGGTGTGGTTGAAGTGGACGAGGATTGCGATTGCGGCCTCCCAGACTGCAGCACTCTGGATCCATGTTGCAACGGAGCGACCTGCAAGTATGCTGACCCCAGCTACGAGTGCAGTGACTTCTCAGACCCTGCTTGCTGTTCATCTTGTTTGTATGCAGCCTCGGACAATCCTTGTTCCTGCCCACATGCGTATTCTGGGCAAAGCTGCACTTTCACACACGCAGGAACTTCATACGCCGGACTATGCGCAGGTGGAGTGTGTCAGAGTATGGATGCCACGTGTGCAGTGGAGTTGAGTCAGACCTATTCAAGCGAATGGGATTTGACGCCTCCCTGCCATGCATTCAATGACGATTGTGCTGCAGCTGTTTGCCATATTGGGTACTTCGAAGGCTCTGCTGTGCAGTGCGAGCACCGATTCAACGCAGATCTCGTGCCGGAGGGTATGCCATGCTGGTTGAAGACCGACCCACGAAGCACCAGGAACGGCATTTGCCAAGCCGGCTCTTGCGTCTCCCGCAGTTCCGCAGACGACTCGTGTGGAAATGGACATATCGATTACGGGGAAGAGTGTGACTGTGGTGCTGTTGGTGATCCCTGCTGCGATTGCAGCACGTGCAAGCTGATTGCTGGCGCGCAGTGTGCATCTGCGGAAGCCTGTTGCACGCAGAGTTGCCAGTTTGCTAGTGCGAAGACGGTTTGTCGCCCATCGGTGGGATTTTGCGATCTTACCGAATCTTGCGATGGCCTGTCTGCCAGATGCCCGCTTGACAAGGGCTTGCCAGTGGCAACGCCGTGCCCCACAGACGGTGAAACATGCTACGGCAAACAATGCTTACCCAACCTTGATGACCAGTGCGGGATGAGTTTCGAGCAGGGCTTTCTCGCAGCACGGAATGAAGGCTCTGCACCACACGAATATGCCGGACACAGTTGTCAAGAGCTTACCTGTTGCAAGACTTGTTCTGCAGGTGCTGGCGACTCGTGCACAGGAGCCTTCGTCATATCTTCTTCGCAGGTGAGTGTCTCGGTGATTGGTGGAAGCTGGTACAATGCTGCAACCTTCAGCGTGGACGGAAATGTGGTGACGGTCACTTTTGTACTTCCAGTGGTCGTTGGCCCTGGTCCTACCTATGGCTATGTCAGGGCCCGCATTCCGCAAGATCTCAAACTTCGTCCCAAGATGGACCGTACTGATTTCGAAACCTATGACTCCTCTGCACCGTACAAGCCAGGCTTCCTGTGCAAGTGGGGTGAGGGAAATCATCAGAAGATATGGTTCAAATACGAGTCGAACAGAGGAAGCAATCTGTGGGTCTCGGACAAGACCCGGGTTGAAATCCCGCAGGGACAGCAATGCACCTATCCCAACGAGGAAAGTTGCACGGCCCCGCCTGAGGACCCGGATGTTGTGTACAGCGTCCTTCCGGACAAGCACTGTGAAGGCACTTCCATCACCCAGTGGTCTGACGGCAGCACCTCGAACTACGGCCAAGATGCTGGTGGAGTTGACCCAGAAGCCTGCAAAGCAACTTGCAGCCAGCATGCAGAGTGTGCAGGATTTGTTCAGGCGAACGGTCGCTGCTCGTATTGGAAGAGCAAGTACTTGAATCCAAGAGTCTCGTCGGGCGTGTCTTGCTATTTCAAGCAACGCCTGTCGGACACAGTGGGGTTCCAGCTTCTCCAAGACACCCGGTGTGACTCTGAAAAAATCTATGACTGGGACAACGGAGAGAGCGCAGGGTATGGATCAGGCTATAGATCACTGGAGACTTGTCGACTCATGTGCTCCGAACGTGCTGAATGTGCTGGGTTCCTTGAGAGAGTTTCGGATGGAGTGTGCACTTTTTGGAGGAGTGCATCTCAGCCGCTGAGGCTGTCTCCCGAGCCTGGTATCAACTGCTACGCCCGGGAAGGTTCTGGAGGAGCACTTCAAGCAGTGGATGTCAGCGCTTGCACCTACTGTGGCCAGTACTCGCCACCCCGAGTCAGGGCTTATGCCTACGGGAGCGTGGCTGGCACACTCTACCCTGGAGCTGCCATGGATGGAACTGTCTTGGCGAATCAGAACTCAATGTGCCTGAAGGGTCAAGCGGTGGAGATCGCACGAACATGCTCAGGCCAAGAATTCCTGGAGAGCTCCATCGGGCAGTGCTTGCCCTGCGACGCCGCTTGTGCTGGCTGCTCAGGTCCTTCCAGTTTGGATTGCCTCGAATGCGCTTTCGGAAGCCGCGACTCTCGAGGCATGTGTGGGCTCCCCACCACCGTGACAACCACAGCGCCCTTCACACACTTGCCATCCCTCACATGTGGCGGCTTGGAGTTGAATTGTGCGCAGTGGAGCGATGGGACAGCTTCCAGCTTTGGGAAGGCAGGGCCCAACAATGAGTACACCAACATTGCCAAGTGCAAGGAGGCCTGCTCTTCTCAGTCCTCCTGCCGTGGCTTCCGGCAGGACCTGGCCTCGGGCATCTGCTCGTACTGGCAAGTAGGCGCAGTGAGCACATCACCGGATGCTGGCAGTGACTGCTACGAAAGGGAGTCGTGGATTCTCATCATGAAAGTGCAGGGTAACACCAACTTCGGCTTCAACTCGCCATATTGGACCAATAACCAGGAGCTGAATGAGGTTTCGCCCGGCGTTGCGGCCGAAGATGCAAAGTACAGTACATTCTCGTCCGTGCCATTTACGCACATTCGTATGTGCGTAGATAGCGCTGGCGAGAACTGTGTGGACCACTCCTTCAGCACCAGATGGGACAATGCTGAAGCACTGTTCAACGCTGGGGTCATCGATGACGCCTCGCTGGATCAATTTTCTATGCTCGAGGCGTTTAAGCCCCCGGTTGGCTCATATAGCACTTGTCCCATGATCCGGCCGGGCTTTAACATCCAGTGTGGAGGTGGACCATCCGTGCGTTGGGGCTACTGCAGCAACTGCAAGTCCGTAAGCTGTTCCGACGTTTCCATTGATGGTGCTGCGGCTATAGGGCTGGGCCTGGCTGCAGAGGGGAGCCGGATGGACCGAGCTTTTCGCCAGTGGCGATACTTGCACTCCCACAGTGCCGACCATCCCCACAGTTTGGCTTTACGTGGCTGGAAAGGTGCAACGGGGAGCTGGGGAGGTCATCGTGTTGACTGGCACTTTGCAGATGACCGTGAACACAGAGGATGGTTGCACTCAAGAGGTCCAGGCTGACGTCGCTCAAGCTGTAGCCGCAACCTTGGCAACATCCGCTGGCATTCCATCTTCATATGTGCTCGTAACTGTCCAGTGTGTACAGAGGCGTCGTTTGCAAGTCGGCCCAGGCGATGCAGCTCCGGTGGTTATGGATGCAGGCTACGAGATCATCTTTGATGATGAAACCGAAGCGAGTCTAGGTGACAGCGCGGAAGTTGCTGGTGCAATCAATGACTTGTCGGCGAGTGATGCTGCCGACTTGATCGGGGCCCTTGCAAATCTTACACTCACAGTGGATGAAAAGAGTGACGTGGTACTGGCTGCGCCAAGCAGCCCTCCCGGACCTGATGGAGAGTGTGACCAAATCTCGTACTTGGACTACACACTTGCGAACAAGCGCAGAAAGAAGGCGATCAGAGCATGCAAGCTAGAGAGCCTGATCTCTTCTAAGTACTCCATCTTTCCTTCGGTGCATCCAGTGCACGTCGCCTGGACTGCGCTCGGAGCGGCAGTGCTGGCTGGTGTTGTCATCTTCCGTCGCCCGCGTCCCGAACGCTTTTTACCTCTTCAAGAAAGCGATTGAAGTTTCACGTTTAGTTCGTTCAGGACCCCATAACGATGATGCAGCTCACATGTCCACGAACAAAATCAAGGATTGATAGATGGGGTGAAGCCTATCGAGATCAGCTTGATGCTTTCCTCGATAAGAGTTTCATGATGATACCGCAGCACCGGAGCAACTACTTAGTCATAGGCAATGCGTTGAATCTCCTCATACTTAGGTAAGAGCGCAAGGATATGCAAGCTTGACTGGATGATTTGTCCTGAAGTCATCAGCTGCCAGCCGAAGACAATTCAGAATATGCCTGTACACGCGGAAGGTGCCTTCAAAGTGTGGTCTATTGGGGAAACAGCTTGGGGCATCTAGGGGTCCTGAGCCAGCTGCGCTTGCAAGTCAGTCAGCCGTGACTGTTTGCAGCCTCCAAGTTCACTGTAGTGCTTCCAGCTGCTTGCTTGCTGCGCAGGAGCCTTGAGTATGCAAGCAGATTTTTAAGCTCCGCGATCACTACTTAGTTACTTCCTGGCGATGAGCTATTTTGACTAAGCAACGCCTGTGGCTTCGCCTCTCTTAGGGAGTCGGAAGCACGTCCAATCTCCCAAAGTGTCTAGAATGCTTGCCCGAATGCTCGCGAGCAAAAGCGAAATCGCGCCAAGTCTTTGCGAGCTCTGAGACCTGACCCACGTGGCTTGGAATGTTGGACCCTCTCTGCAGAGACCACACCAAGAGTGAGGGACTCGTGGTGCCTACTCTGCATCAAGGGCCCAAAGGCCCTCAGGAGCTGTTTTCCGCCCTGGTCCTGTGCAGGCGGTCTTTGGGCACGACGTCTATGTCCACAAGAACCAGGCAGCTGAAGCTGCACCACCGATCTCGGCACCCATGCCTGAAAGCCATCATGGTTCGGGAACATGTCGGCATACAACTCACTCTTGTGAGCTTCCGATTCCCCCATGCAGGTGGGCGCTCTCCCACCGGGCACAGAGGTGAACTTTGCCATACTGCTTAGCAAGGAGACATGAGGGAGATCTGGGCGGTTGGGACTTCGCAGAAGATGCGTTTGTTGTGCAGCGGAAGAGAAACATCCCAGAAATCGAGTGATGAAAGACATCCTGAAAGTGAGAAACGGCAGAATGTTCGCCGAAGATCTTCATGCATGACATGGACAGACCTGCAAAATCAACGCGTCCGCACGTTTCCGGACCTTGTCTTCGCGTCCCCACGTTTCCGGACCTTGTCTTGAGGACATGAAGCCACAGGCATTCGACCTACAGCCCACAGGCCTGCTGCCTCTGGAAGCGAAGTAAGGAATTGTCTCAGTAGGATTGAAAGCAACCGCCTGTCATCGCGACTGCTGCAGCATTTGCTGAGGGACCCAGCTAGCGCAGCCCTCGACCTGCCACAAGCATCCACAAGCACTACAGCACCTCTCATTGTAGCAGTCAGGTATGTGCAGGCATGGTTCCGCAGCGCAGCTTCTCGATTGTAAGTGCCGTTACGAGTAAAATCGCGACCACGTGTGACGGGAATGGCCGAGCCTGGAGAGTTTGCTGTGGTGGCTGATGGCTACTGGTGTGCCACACTAGGCCTTGGCTACTGCCGTTACGTCACCATGTTGTAAGTGACAGCTGCAATCCTTCCTGCACAGGGCCATTGCTGCTTTTGAAGCCACCGCAGCTGACTGCACTGCTCCGTCCAATTCCAGCTGCCGCTGTACGTCCTCTAGGCCATTGCTTGCACTACGTACGTTGGCGTGACTGAGCAGGTAGGCCAGACTTGGAAAGTTATTCCGCAGTAGGCTTCGTGACGACACTCTGGGGCACGCTGCTTCTGAACGAGCGTGTCAAGGCAAGTCGCGCTGGTTGTAGGGAACGTGCTCGGTGACACTCCTCACAGGATGCATTGTAGGGAACATGAAAACACAACACATGCTCGTTTCCGGCGTCCTTCCAGTCAAGCTCAGACAGATGCAAGCCGTACACCAACATTCTCGGCCAGATCATGACAATTTTTCCACAGCTGGGTGCTTGCAGGATCAAGTGGGACAGCGCAAGACGGTGGCGTTGGTGTGCGGGGCGAACACACTGGCCTCAACTGGTCTGGCAGCACCCTGACCCAATTCTTGCTCTATGGGGACAAGTCGAGTGTAGCTGTAGCTTTCATTTCATCTCGTGGTTTGCCTGCCATGCTATGATGCACGTGTAGCTGCGTAGAGGCTTAGGCCAGTTCATTGCCAGACATCCCTGAGACCTGTCAATGAAATTGATCTCAAAGAGGTTTTAAAACCACAAGCACCTTCCTGAAATTGATCACCAATTCCGTCCGATGTTGCTATACCCAGTGTCCAGGCACTTACAACCCGGGCCCCCCAGCCATTCGTCCTGGGTGCGATAACGCTGCAGGTGGCCACTTGCAGGCAGAATCAATGGCACAGTTGGGAGGGTGGGAGGGCATGAGACTTGAGGTTGCGCTGGCAGTCCGTGTAAGTTTGTCTTTGTCATTTTTAAACCTCTTCTTCGGCTCTCTGGTTTGTTCAACGGTGCACCCCGATGGGCACGATGGAGGAATCCATCGTGCGCCGCATGTGACTTTTCTAAGGCTGGCTTCGCAGCATGGCAAGCCTTTAGCTTGTGGGGAAGCAGATGAGTCGCAGTGGCTGGATGCGCGGCAGAGCCCCCCTCCTGTCCGTCACGATGGCGGCGATGGTGCACCCGTACCTCAGATCGACCGGGCCTTACAGGGCGCCTCCACAATCTGCCACCGTAGAAAATTTGCAAGAATGGCAGCGATTGTGTAGTCGGGACTTCTATATCTTGTCCTAGGTGAAAGACATAAAGTATAGTCAGAAGTCACAAGAGGATACTCGTACGCATTTGCGAACAATGGTACCTTCGGAGTACAGGCTTGTCTGCGTACAGGCTGGCTCCCCATCGACTGAGAGTGTTTTCGTCTCGCGGACGGCCTCTGCACTTGGATGCAAAGCGAAAGCCGCCAATGCCCGCAAGTTCCGCTTCGTACCATGTGGCTGCCAGCTGGTTGGGATGGGAACTTGAAGAGATGGTGCAGGATCCCATCTTTCCGGGTTTCTACTACCTCGACGTGGAGCCACAGCATGGCGCCGATTGCTACCGGTACGCTGATGAACAGTTGGAGTACGGTAGCGAGTTCCAAATCGTGCAAGATGCAGATTGGAGCCTAGTCATCCATCCGCTTCAAGAGCAGGCAGCCACTTGCCGGTTCTTAGTTACCGTAGTAGGGATTTAGACATTAGAGCATTAGGTTCCTCTTACACATGATATCCATCGAAATCCCTAGTTCCCTACTAAACGCCAGCAAGGATATTTCCTGCGATCCGGCCGGACCCGACTCTCGGGGTCATGGACTCAACTGGTTTGTGAGTAATGACGGTCTTCCTGCATTCCGCATCGAGCTCCTTGCGGGTGCCAACATGCAGGTGGCGGTGAGGTATGAGTATGAGACTTATGTTCTGTCTGGCTGCGAGACCGATGAGACTGGCCGGGACAAAGTTGTTCAGGCTAGGTTTGAAGCCATGGAGGAGGCCGCGTGCCAGGGGCGCTGGCAGGATGTGTTGTTCAGCCTGACATCGCTGCAAAAGTGGGGTCCCAGGCCCAGTGCCAAGACTCTGGGCTTGGGCATCAAGGCCTGCACCAGCAGCCAGAGCACGGACGTGTGGCAGCAGGCGTTGCCCGCCAAAAACCGAACCAACAGCTTGCTACGCAGCGTGCGCTCCCGCTGCAAGCACAGGGTTGGCCGTTGACCCCTGACAGGCCATGTTGCTTCTTGACCAAATGTGGGCAGCGGAGCAGCCTGGTGCAAGCCCCTCACGGCAGGAGCCCACAAAGCCCGAACTGCATGAAGACCCGAAAGGTGCTGAGCCACGTGAAATCGCCCCACCTCTCCGCTCAAGCCTGCGGGACACCTCCCCCTCCCTGGAGGACTATGCCAGCTTGGTGCAGCTTTGCCGGTGTGCAGGACTGGAGAAGGCTGCCGTGCAGCTGGAGTCTGAGGCCGGAGGTTGTGAGGGCTTGATTTCACTGAAGGGCCCTGTTTTGGCACCTCCGCATGAATCATACTAGATCGCCTCCCCCCTCCCCCAATTTCCCGAGAACAAGTTGAGGATACGTCCTAGAATCGTCATTCACGGCCGACAAAGAACCCTCTTCCACCTCGGGGTGTCGGTTAGTAACAGAGAGGTGTTTTGTAAAAAGGAGTTCTTTTGTTTTTTTCATTGGGGATATTTTAAGTTTAGGGGTTGGCTCTTGTCCCGGAAGCATATGCAAAATTCAAAAATCTCTATTCTCTCTATAACTCCAAAGTTCACGGAGTCTGTGCTTCACAGAGTTTTCATAAAACTTTTCATCAGTTTCGCGACAGCTTGTGTTTTAGAAAACACGAGCTGTCGCGGCCGCCAGAAAGCAAGGACTGGTCGGTTGGCACTGCGTGCATCTGTTTTGGCTGAGGTTCGAGGCCACGGACAAGAGCCAAACCCTAAAAAACAAGATTCACCCACCCACCCCCAAAAGAAAACAAAAACAAAGGATAACACACACACACACACACAAGATTAATTCCCAAATCAATTTTCCAGCCGTTGATATCCTCGGCGTAGGTGGCCCACTGGGGCTCGGACGAGGTGCAGTTCCAGATTGTTCCGGGCTTCATCTGGAACCGCCAGGTGCGGGAGTTGAATTCTGAGTTGGCATGCTTTGGGGGGATGTTTGGGCTCGAGTTCGGGGCGGGGGAGGGCGGTTGCGTGGGCCCGTGTGCGGGTGGGCGTGCTGTTTTGCAGGAGCTGAAAGGTGCACGGTTTGGGGGTGAACTTTCTGGAAGGCATATCCACTTGGAGTGAAGTCAGCGCCTCCCAACGCGCCCGCAACCTTCAAAGCTTCGGCAAGCGAGACAGGTGCGCATGCTGGGGGGCATCGTGCAGAACTCGATGTCCTGGACCAGATGGAACTGGGATATTTGGCTCGCAGGGTCGTTGTTTTTGTTTATGAGCCGCTTGCCCTGCCTCACCCTGAGAGGACCCTGGGCACACCCATCCCGGCTGCCAGCCAGCCTGCCTGGATCTTGCCACGCTCCCAGATAGTCTTCCGTGTCTTCAGGCCAACCTGCAGTATGTTTGATTGTCATGTGGACAAAGACAAAGTTTTAAACAAATTCTGCGAGCGGACGCAACAATTCTCAAACTCAGACTGCTAGTGCGCCGCATAGCTAGAGCTGTACACTCTCAACGAATGGCAGCTGAGGCCCTGTACGGATCGGGCAGCGATAGAGATCGCTCAGCAGCAGCAGAAATGGGAGGAGGTCCTCTGGCCTATGCTTGTGAACACAAGCGAAACTACCCGAAAGTCACTAGAGTACCCGGCTGATTCGAGGCTGGCTGGCGAGTCCTTGCCTGTGAGCCTGGCCTTGTGGAAACTTTGGATGACAAGGCCAAACTCAGGGTTGAAGGGCTTCCGAGGGTTGCCTGGGACTCTTAGCCCCGTTGAGTCCCGTTGCAACGTCAGGCCAAGCTCTTTGAGTACGCTCAGCGGTTGGGAATCTGCAGCTACATGCCGCAGCGGTACACCTCGGTGGAAGGGGCCGCGTATCCATGCGGCTTGGCAAGGGTCTCGCCAGTTGGCAGCCAGTGCAGGCTCGTGCAGCCTGTTGAAGTCGCGTAGGTCGCAGTGACATGTAGTAATTCATGTGCTGGTATAGCAAGGCAGCAATGTTGCCAGTGCCGATGGTACCAGGTATGTTGAAACCTGCATCTGGCCAGTACGGGGAAGGCGGGCAAGATGGTTTGGGCTGTTAGGCTACATGCCCAGTCCTCCCATTTTTTGGCAGCAGGGTTCTCTGCTGTCGCTTCAGGCGCTCGAATCGTGAATGGCTCTGAGGATGTGCGGTGTGTTGTGGGAGTCGACTGCGTGAGTATTGGAGCCGATTGGGCCATGAGCTCAGAATCCAGAGCATCTGGTGTTCAAGGCCGCATTTCGGGACTGTATAGCTTTATCAAGTCCGCGGCGTGTTGACACGTGAAAGACATTGCTGTGTGAGGTGTTGCAGGAGCTTATCCCCGGGGAGTATGAGTTCTCAACTTCACTGCTGGTCTGGCCGCAAGCTTAGTGAGGTAGTTCCTTTGTGTGGCAGCGAGGTTCCACCATGTTCAGAATATGTGAGGCATGGGCAGATCTTGGATTCCGTTACGATGAAGTATCAGTATGATGGCATGGAGTACATCTGGCCACACGTGCGCGAGATTTCCAAAGAGCTGCTTCTTGGTGTTCACCCAGTGCAGAAGCCATGTGGTCGCGCGTCAAGCCCATCATTCAAGCATGACAGGGTCGTTGTGGTTTAAGAGGGCAGAGCAGGATGGCTCATACGGCTCCCTGTCGCTGTCAAGGTGCGAAGTTCCTGCCAAGCACCTTCAGATCATGGCAAAGTTCCTGACTGGCTACAGAAGCTCGGCGTGGAAGTGTTCAGGAGGGGGATCGATCACTTTAAGTAGTTTCTGATGTCGCCAGAGCAAAGCGGTGAGGTGGCATTTGCAACTTCAACTACAAGCGGCGGCCAGACGGAAGGTGGGTTCCTCGCTCGTTAAACCTCGTGAAGCACACCTGTCGACATCACTCTTGTCTTCCTTTTTATAGTAAGATCCCCTTATAATTACTTCTAATCCCAAAGGTTAACCGTTAATTCCCCCAGGTTACTGGACAACCAAGTCTTAGCCAGGCCCTGCATCTTCGAGGTCAACCCCCGCATCGGGGCTGATCTGGCCGGTGACGTGCCGAAGCCACGAGCACGAGCGTTCTTCGACCAACTCGCGCAGATAGGTTTCAAAAAAGAGAGCTCGCAGACCTGTGTCAGCGAAGTTGGCGCGATCTGTGGCAGACTGACATTTGTTGGCCCGACGCGGCTTTGTGGAAGCATTGCGGTGCTTTGAGGAGGCCCTCCACAGCCTCCCAAGGGGGCAGGCAAGGCTCCGCCCTCAAAGCTTGAGAGTTCACTTGCGAGTGACGGTTGCCGTGTTGATACTCTTCTGTCATGCCTCTTCAGGAATCAGTACTATGGCTTCAGCGGCGTGTAAAGGGGTAGTTATCCCAAAGGATACTTCTTTTTAACCTGGACTAGTTGATGTAGCCTTCTTCGAACTTGGGCATGTGTTTTTCCCCGGGCGCGAATCCAACCAAAACTGCCCATCTAGATAAATCCCCTTTCAGCTGTAGCCGATGGTTTCATTCTTCGAGTTCTGCTATCATGACTACGAATCTATCACATAGCTCAAGCACGCATCATGAGAACACGTTTCTTTGGCATTCTGCCGTTTAGCCGAGGCCTACATGGGCGCCAGCCCCAGAGTCGGTCGAACATCTTTTCCGAGCTCATTTTTGAGATTCATGTTCCGATGAATCATCGTAGCAATAGTAGTAGAATACACGGAACGTATGGGCTCTCGTCACTATTCGGCATTCAAGTAAGATAGCCCATGGAAATTGAGTTTGTTTGTAGGCACCCCCCTCAAACTGCATGAGAGTAATACCGTGGTCGTAATATCAGCGATCAACATCATTCACACAATGAGCACTTCGCAGATTCATGCCCCTCCTCCTTCCCCCGTGTTCTCCCCATCGCGGACCGAGGCACGGCTGGGCTGCCAGGGGTGGCTCCCATGGGTCCCATGGCCGGGATGAGCATGGCAATGGGCCAGATACCGCCACCTCCGCCAGCCATGGGCTGCATGGGCCCGGGCGACATGGGCCCCTCGGATTTCTCCGAGCTCCGCCACACTTCGAGCTCTGAGCTGGCAAGTGTCTTGTGCTTGAGGCATGGGCCCAATGGGCATGGATCTGGCCATGGGTCCCGGCGGAATGATGGGGAAGGCGGGATGGGCCGGAATTTCTGGGTTGCAGATGCATGTAACAGCGAAGAGATCACGTACAGGGGCCGCGTGTGCATTTGGGTCTTGAGGGCTTGTGCACCTATCGGCCAGGGCGACCCCATGATGGGCGACAAGGGAAAGGGTGGCAAGGCTCCGCACCTCGAGCTGCAACCGCACTACATCAGCCGTCCGCATCACTGTGAGCGGGAGAGTGCAAGTCTGTGTCTTGGCCTGCAGGGCAGCAAGGGTTTCTCACCCCACGCTCAGCCTGACGTGATTAGCCCAGATTCTGGTGTTGGTGACCAGCCTCGAATCCAGCACTGCAAGCGAATGCTGACCTGCTGCATCGAGGTGCAACAAATTCTTGGAACCTATATGGGCCAAATCAAGAGCTTTAATGCCCCTTGGATGGACACTGCGCAGCTGGATCGACTTTGCTGCTCTAGCCCCGTGACTGTCTCGTAAGGCAACGCACGGATTCGGCTTCATCGTCTGTGAGGGCTTGCAGCAGCAAGGCTTCAAGCAGGATGTCGATACCCCAGATCATCCCAAGAACTAGTTTCCTGGCCCCCCACTGGAGTTTGATGCCGTAATGTGCTGTATGTCAAATCATGACGAGAATGTTGCCAGACTGTGCTGATTCGGGTGGGCAGCTGCTTCTTTCAAAGAGAGATCTTCATGCTGAGCTATGCGGGACATTGCCACTCTAGACTCTAAACCTGACTCAGAAGAAGCTGTTTTGAGGGGATTGCATGTGCGGTCTGCAAGATGCGCTGTGCCCTTGAGGGATCGGCATGGCCATCATCATGGACGGACTCCGGACCCTTACTGTATACCTATGCCACTAGACTCAGTAGATTCTACCAACTCACGAGACTCTCACTAGTCACTCGACTCAAGTCTAAGTTCAGCCCTCGACAACTTTTGTTGCGAGCCATGGCGATGGTGACACAGCTGTCCTCATCGATCTCCCGAACGCCGACCTCCCACAAACACCAGGCAGCTCATCCGCCGTCCCTGTCGAGAGCCAGCCCTCGTCCTTGGCGCTGTGAAGCACCGCGTCTTTCTGCAGCTGTCGTCTCGCTGGCCGTCACGTCCGCCAGCGCGTCGCTCGGCGTTTTGAACGTTTCGAGGCTCTGGGGAAGGGCCGGCCGCCGCTCGCGGGGTTCACGAGACTCGCGAGGGTCGCGCGCAGCTGTCGTCGCAGTCTGCGCGGCGAACGAGGCAAAGTCCGAGCTCTTGGATCTCCTTTCGGGGAACTGGGATTCGAGCCGCGTGAATGCCGCACAGCGGGTGGAGGACCTCGTTGCAGAGCTGGTCACGTCCTTTGATAAGGAGAAGCTCAAAAGTGAGGATGCCCAGAAGCTCCTGGCTGGACGGTGGAAGCTGCTGAACACCTTCACACCGGGCCAAGCGGCGGCAAACTTGTTCAGCTTGAAAAGCTGGCAGGAGTACGTCTTCGGCAAGGGACCCTCTCCAGTTCAGGCTGCTGCCTTCACCAACAGCGCCGTCCAGAAGGAGCCTTGCCGCTGGCTTGTCTCATCCCGTTCTTCTGTTTGCCTTGCAAATGTCTAGTTCTACAAGAATAAACAAGCCACAGGTCTACCAAGCCCTTGACCTCACTGCGACGCCTGGTCGATGGTACAACGTCATCGATGCCTCCCCACTTGGGATCATCTGCCTTGAGGCAGACCTGAGCACGGAGGAGCCTCATAGCCGTTGACAACTCTGCCTAGTGTGTTCCTTTTACTCGGGCAGTCTGCAGATAGTGAAATTCAGGTACTGGTGGTGGTGGTGGTGGTGGTCGGGGTCGTGGTGGTGGTGGTGGTGGTGGTGGTGGTGGTGGTGGTGGTGGTGGTGGTCGTGGTGGTCGTCGTCGCCGCCGCCGTCGCCGCCGCCGCCGTCGCCGTCGTTGTCGTCGTCCTGAAGCTCGAAGCCCAAGGCTAGAGAATGAACTGACCATGAGGAGTCGGACCTGCGCTTCCAGTGGACCGGGGGCCGCATCGTCATTCGAAGGCCGCCATGGGCAGACCGCGACCTCGAGGAGCCTATTTGTTTACCCTACCCGGCTGCTTGGAGTCAAGGGGTTCAGGGTTCTAGTATATTTTGGATTATGGGAGTTTCTGATGGTTTCTGGAAGCTTCAAAAAACGCCGGTGGAACATGGCGGAGCCAGATGGCGTCCCCTGATCACAGAGGTTCCCTTCAAGCTTCTTGGTGATCGTGCACGCGGCATCTTTGAGACGGACTACCTCGATGATGATTTACGCAGCTGGGCTGCATTCGCGCAGCAGCGCTTTGCCCTCTTCATGATTTGGGGGTTTACGAAAATAGGGACCCCTAAAGCAGCCCCCCAAATAAAAGGATTCCCTTATAAGAAGGACCAAGAAGGTACCCCCTAGCATCGTAAACCCCCACTTGCGAATGCTTTTTGAGAGCAACGCGCCGAGATGCCCCGAGCCCCCCTGCAGGAATTTCGCGGGGCTCCAAGAGCGGGAGCGTCTTTGTCCTGGCCAGGGTGCGAGGCTTGACTGCACAATCCTGCAATGTTGCTGTGGCATCGAAGGCGCTTCATGTTTGCATGTTTACGGACATATATGATATGGGTTTCTGAGATGTATGAAATAGATCACCCATGCCGAACATGTTTCCTACCGCAAGCCAATGCAGCTAATGTGCATTTGAAGATGCCCCTGGCACTGTCATGCAGCAGTTGGAGACTTGATGCCTCGGCAAATAAGGAGATCCATTGCCCATGGAAGACGAACTCTACGACCTTGCCTGACTTCTCTTCGGCTTGTGCAGGAATCGATTGGACGTGCTTGGAAAAAGTTGTGCAGGATTTTTACAGCCCTACGAGCATCCTTGCTGTCTAACTCTGTGTGGACATTGCTTCCCTCTGGGCAACGTGTTCCAGAGAATGCCCGCAAGGTCTTCTTGCACCACAACCAGGTCGGCGACTGCCAGCCCGGTCAGATGGCGCTCCTGACCCGCTAACTTTGTCGTGGTGCTAACAGCGCCTGTGTAGCTGCACCACTTTGCCAGGTCTCCTTCACCGCGTACTTGAACAAGAAGGGACAGCCGCAAGCCATGGATTTGAAGGCATCCGAGGGGGGGATTGGGCCGACGAAATCCGGTGCACGTTGCAGGGACTGCCGCGCTTTTTAGAAATTTGAGCGGTCTAGGCCAGTTTATGCCTTGGGGCCGCGGGCACATGAATCTTGTGCCTTTGCAGGCGTGCTGAACAACATGGCCGCCACAGTGCTTCCCATGACCAGAGGCACGTTTCGCGCATGCAGTCCCATGCCACATGTCATCTTCACATACAGATGCCTGGTAGACTTACAACAATACCTTTGCTGAGGACGCCACAAAGGAGTCACCACGAGAAGGCACAGCCGGACAGATTGGTCAAAAGTTATGCCACTTGCCAGCGGCCGTTGTGTCAGGTGCAGGTCACCAACATTGACGAAGTGGTCCAGATGCAGTGGCGCGATCAAGGACATTGCAAGATGGCTGAGGGCACCCCTCCCATCGGATTTCGAGCGGGCTCTCCACCCTTCTGACACTCCTTGGTCTCTAGATGGAGGGCGTGTGCGCGGTGAACTGATGCAGCGATGGAGATGCTGCCTTAAGGTAGCCGTCGGCCCTGACCGACCTCGATCGCGCAAAGTTAAAACTGCAGCTTTCTGATGGCATAACATGGGCGTTAACGGAGTGCAGGGAGTGCAGGGACGTGAGAGTCCATCTCTTTGGGCGCCTCACTCTGTGAAATCTCGGCTGAAGGGAAGGCTGTAGCTGGTACCAGTAAAGGCTGGAAAGCGTGGGCTGCTGGAACCACCCGCAAGTGCAATCAAGTGCGACCTGACTTCGAGGACGGGCATTTCCCTGGGTGCATAGTCTGCCCGTACCATCTCATACCAGTAGCATGTCGGATTCAAACCCACATTGCACCTTGCAGAGGTTGAAGGTATGGACGCGCAGCCAGACCCGCAGAGTCAGCGCAGAGTTGACAAGTCAAAACACGCCTTTTTTTGCAGTCCTCGCATCTTGCAAAGGATTGTTGTTGCCCCCCTCCTTCCCTCCCCTTGCGCCCTCTCTTTCAGCCCCGAGGTCCATGCTCCAAGGTCTCGCTGCCCTTGATGATGCATCGCTGACAAGGGCTCCTGGCTGAGCTGGCACTGGCAAACAGCGGCACTCCACAGCCCTTGACGGTGCAATCATAAGCATGTAGAATGATATACAGTAGCCGGAGAGCCAGTTCGTGGGGCCAGCACGCAAGCCGCCACGGTGGCGGTGCTCGGCAGATGGATTTCTTTGTTGCCTCCGAACATCAGGTTCCGAACTCCGAACCACAACCGCGCGAACGAAACAATCGGTCGCGGCCGATTCGGACCCCAGTGGAAGCGTCGCAATGGTGAGAGACGGACCGCAAGACCCTCCAACCCTGTGCGAGCCGGCTCTGGAAGCTTTCGGGAAAAGGCAGACGTGGAGGAATGAAGCCGACGTAAACCCTCCTGACCAGCGCACCGGCCGCTGTCCCTGCTGGGATGGGGGCTCACCGGAGTCGACAGCCTTGGCAACGCTGCTTGTTCCCGGACGTTGCGAGACTAACGGGGGTCGTGAGCATGCGGTTCTGATGAGGTACTAGTGATAGATCGGCGAGTCCCAGCATTCCATTTGCACAACGCTCAGAATGAGCTGGTGAGCTCAGGTCCTGACTGAGGCCTGGACCTCAAGAGGTCTGGGCGAACAGCAGCCGGCCTCTACTGGCCTCTTGTCAGGTCTTTGGCTCTGCAGTCTGAGGTTCTTCAGCAAAGGCCGGAGCTCGCGCCGGGTGTTGTGGACATCGCTGTGCCAGCTCCAGCCTTGGAATGCCCAGCGGAAAATGTGCAGACGGAGACAGTAACAGGCCCTCACACTTCACACTTCAAAACGGGGCGCAGAGTCACTCTTGCCGAGCCACTTGCAGCTGTAGCTGCTGTAGCCTGTGTCCGAAACCGGCCCCCGCCGCGGAGGATCTGACGTACGCCCCCCTGGACTCCCTGACCAAGCGCCGGGCGAGTGAACCTCAGCTCTGGCGGTGGCACGTGGCCTCTGCAGAGCCCTTTTTCCTGGGTTTAGGGTTTAGGGTTTAGGGTTTAGGTTTAGGGGTTAGGGTTTAGGGCTTAGGGTTTAGGGTTCCTGCTTTCTGAGGACTGGTACAATCGGGGCCGTCCCTGCCACGGGCTTTGGCTCCATCGACTGCCCCGAGTTGAAGGCGCTGCGAGACCCAGCTGTCCTGCTCTCTTTGACTCACTTTGCCATTCTCTTCCGTTTGTGTTTTTTCCTGCTTGCCTTCGTGTCAAAGGGTAGCGCAGGCACTCTTTGGTCACCATATCCTGGTGCACAAGAACCAGGCTGAGTTGCAGTTGCAGTTGAAGTAGCCTGGGGATCTTGCAAACTTCGGTTGTTGCGTGGGAAGGATTCGCGACTTGCTTTTTGCTGCCTTTACGGGCAGGTGGGCATGATCCCACCGGGCACCGAAGTGAACTTTGCCATTCTGCTGGGCAAGGATGCTCTGCCTTCAGTCTCCGTCGCTCTCTCTCTCTCTCTCTCTCTCTCTCTCTCTCGCTGTTTCGGTACGTTTGTGATGGCTTTTGCGCGTTGGAGAGGACATGCAGCCGGAGGCTTTCGACGTGCAGCCCACGCGTGCGGGGCTTTCATTGCAGTGGGCTCATCTCACAATTCTCACATGGATACCAACCCTGCTGCGAAGGCCCGTTGCGTTTTGGGAAGGGCATGGGCAAGGCGGGCAGCTCCGAGCAGCTCCGAGCAGCTCCGAGCAGTTTGAAGTTGAGAGCCCTATGACCCGAGGCCCGAAGGAAGGGCGACCCGAATCACATGACCGGCAGTCTTCTCAGAGCTTCGGTTCCTAAACCGCCCAGTGTTTGATGGCTGTGAGCTTACTCAAAGGAGTAACTGACGGCCCTTTGGACACACTGCACATTCCCGACTTCGGGCCTTGAGGCAGTGGGCTTCGGGGTCCCCAGTGGAGACAGGCCTGCCTTTCCGCTCTTACACCTGCCTGTCCCCCCCCGCGAAATAGGAGACTCCAGCACCTTCAAAGCACCCGGGAGCTGCCCTTCACCTTACTGTTGGTCCCATATAATCTAAACGGGTAGACCTAATTCCCCCATTCCCTGCTAACCAACAGTAAGTCACAGCATGACAAGTGAACTTGAGCAGGACCCGCAGGGCCGCGGGGCATCGGCGCAGGGCTCTTTCTGACGCCTCCGCGAGCAGTCTTGGTTATCCCCAGATGCGAGTTGCAAGGAGTGGGTATAGTCTTGTCTCCCGTGTCGGGTTTCGCGTGTGTAGCTGCAACTCGCTACTGGGGGTGACCCCGTTGTTGTAAAGACTGGGCGTATGATGCCACATGCATTGGGACCATTCGGAGTGCAGTCGATGACTGCACTTGTAGGACTCTCTTCTCAGGCTGACCAGAGCCATTACCTCATGTTCGCTCTCACAAGGGGTTCTGACGGAAGCGTCATCGAAGCTCAAGGCGAGAACTGTGTCGGGGGTCGAACAAAGCAAGTCCGGAGCTCCCTGCCGAAATGCTGGCACCGGTGTGAGCTGGGCAACGGGACAACGGTGCAACTGCAACCCTCGTGGCTGAAACACTGTGGCGCTCTGGCTGCACAGCTTAGATTGAAGCTTGCAACAGCTGCACCTCCAGCACGCAATGTCTGAGCTTGCGCCGCCCTGCCTTCATAGGCGCACTCTGGGCTGTAATTAGTTAGATAGGTGACAGGCGCTAAGCATGCAGAAAGTTGTGAAAGCCCAGCTTTGCTCCACATCCCAATCTGGCCTTCAGGAGGCGACTGCTGCTGACGCGGGGTGGGCGGTTCAGGCAGACGGACAAACGCTGAGCGCAGAGTAGCTTGTTGTTGCTTTGGGATACAGGCATCTTATGTGGATCGAACAAGTCTCCCGAAAGGCACACCCAATTCAAAAAACCGCCACGTGTGGACTGTTTGCCAGGACTTGTAGTGCTGGGTCTAGATCACTTTGAAGCTCTCGAGAGAAACTGGTCACCAGCAGTCGCCAGCAGGCTCCTTTTCGTGCTGGCGCTGGTGTCTGCAACCGCCAGCAGGCCATGCGCGGGAGGTTGAAATGGGGCTGGATGCCGTTGAAGCACTCAGACGCCGCTCCATGTTCCCATGACCGGCACCGGGTGTTCACAGGCGAACACATCTGGAGAATCTAGAGCCTTGACAAGACACGTGCGCATCTGCACGGTGAAACAGCGTGCAAGATGGTAGGTGCAAACCGAAGCCCCTATGACGTCTCCAAGGTCCTCGGCCGTCCACATCATGCATCCTTGAAACCACTAAAGCCCGAAAGCCTTGGCCAAAGCTTTGCCGCGGCCACGGAATGTGCCCGAATCCTTCCTTGAACTGTCCATGAAATCCCTAAAGCCTTTTTAAGACCCTATGCCCCTATACACAACACTCTCAACTCCATGAGCCCCACCACAGCAGGTGTTGGCTCTCAGGAAGCGCGCTGCGGCGAGCGGCGCTGCTGTCAGCGGCCCTGGGCTGGGCCCCGGCCCAGGTGGGGCGTCGGCTTGTGATGCATGTGCAAGAAGTCTTAAAGTGCAGTTTCGGGGGTTAGGGCCGCATGTGCAGGGATCTATGGGCCTGATATGCCCTGACCGTGAAGCTGATTAATCCTTGCAAGCCATTTTCAATGCCTGGCGGCTGTGTGGAGGCCTTTGAAAACCGAGTGGCCGAGTACAGGGGCCCGAAGACCCCGGGCAGCCAGCCGCCGGGCGTGGGCACCGGAACGCTGAGCAGCTGCGGAGGCAAGGTTTAGGGCCGTTGTAGGCTTACAGGGCTTGCCGGGCTAGCAGGGCTTGTAATTAGGTCTTTTGAAGGGCCTTTTGGGGTATCGGCGCCTTCAGAGATTGGCTCAAGGGTCCATGGCGCTTTGTAGAGATTTTGCATGATTTCGCGTTCCTGTTATGTGCTCGGCCTTGAACCGTCCCGTGTCCCCGCTGGCAGGGTTTTTGCAAGGGACCCCGACATCCCCCTAGGACCATGATGTGCTATGAAGTGAAGAAGCCCTGCCCCAAGCTGCTGCCCGTAGGCAGCAAAACCACCCCCACAAAGGCCCGAGCTAGTTTAAGTTAAGGTCTGAGTTGATTTTCAGGAGCTCCGAACTGCTTCTCCTCTGCGCCGGGCACAGACGAGGACCACTTCCTCACGCCCTGGCTCTATGCCTCCGGTGGTATGGCAGGTGCAGTAGCAGACCTGCAGAAGGCGTGCCTTGCGTTGACCTTGCTGCTTTCGACCCCGCCAAGAATCTCGCGCTGATGTGCCCTGAGGCCGTGAAGGAGTACCCCCCAGGGCAGCAGGACATCGACGGAGGAGGCTTTGAGATCAAGAGGGTGGACCCAGACAAGGGGTACATCTACGTCCAGTTTGAGTCCTTAAAAAGGGGCTACATTGACGATCTGGAGTTTCTTGTGAAGCCCACGGACAAAGAGTCGGGGCAGGTCTTGGTACGGTCCGCCAGCAGGTTGGGGTACCTGGACTTGGGTGTGAATGCAAAGCGCCTGAACCGCCTTTCACAAGCCCTGCGGGATCTTCCGAACCGCTGGACAGCTCCAAAGATTACCAAAGACCTCTTCCCGAGGCCCGGGGAAGCTTCCGTCTCGTGAATATAGTGTGTGAAGTAGTGATAGTGTAGTGCATGGAGGTTTGTGGCAACATGCATGCGTATGCCGGGGTTTATATAACTTGTTTCCTTCTTGCTCTGCACGAGCTTCGTGGTTGCAGGTATGCAAGCGAGAACCGCTGAGGCCCGCTGAGACCTGCCCGCGGGTGGCTGGGACCCGCGTCCCGAGTCGAAGCGGCGCAGCTCGAATGTGCGACCGTAGTGCCCTGTTTTCGAGAGAGGAGTCGACTGCTCCAAGATGACACAAGTTTAACTCTCTGATCCGCCAGGGCAGGCAAGAATGCCCACGACTTTCCCAGGCAGCACGCCTTCAGCTTTAGTTCGTGCACGAAATGCATTGCAAGTCTCTGCATATCTCTGCATGTTGCCATGGTTGCCATAAAATCCATGAGCATAACGTGCAGAACGAGGTTGGTGGTGGGGTTGCCGGTTCTATCCTGCAGATGTAAACTCAGTGAGTGCAGATGCTTTCCCAAGCAGGTCCAATGCGACACAGCCTTGGCTCAATGACGCTGACAATTGCCACTAAAGTGTTTGTAGACTGTCGTGAGCGCAGGATCACCACCGTTCTTGCTCGGCATCATCAGTGCTTGACAGTTGTGGAAGATGTTGTACTTAGTTTGTGCAACGTTTCCAGGTTCACACATTACAGAGCTGCAGCCATGGCTGGCCCCACCAGGATTGTCGAGCCTGTCGAGTACAACGTGCGTGCGCTTTGCTCGGTCGATGTGGAGTCGTCTTGGCGTTCACAGGCTAACAACCTTGCAGCACCGCTTTCGCCCCTGACTGAGGATTTGATTATCTATGCGCTTGGCATTGGCAGTGCAGATCTTCGCTACATTTATGATGCTCAGCGGAATCATCGATCACTGATGACCACTAGTGCTTGACCCTTCCATCACGACTTCCAACCCAGCTGAACCAAGGAGAAGCACGCTGACTTCGCGGCGTTTCCAACCTATCCTGTGGCTCCCTGCCCCGGCAGTTAGAGATCCTCAGCCATCCTCTAATTGCCTGCATCCAATGCCAGGATGGGACAGCAAGAGCCGGCACTCCCCAAACGAAGAAACTGAGGGCTTGCGTTTTGTAAGAAGTTCGGTCAAGACTGCTGAGAGACAAACCTGACCCCAAAAAAACTCTGAAGCAAGGCTTTGCGAGTACCACGCTCACAGCTTGCGGCTCAGGTTTTGTACTACAAGGGAGTGTCCTATGACGCGCTGCCATTTCCTTCACCGATTCTGGTTCCCAGCTGCAAGACTTGGACTCCGTTTATAACAGCTGCAGAAAGAGTGGATGTGGGTAACCCTAGACGCATGGATCAGTCCTGGATCAAACGGTCTTGCAGGCGGCCTTCCCCAATCCGCCCATGCAAAATGCCCGCGGCCCGCTGGACGCGGGCATCACAGTGGAGCGCCTTGCGGAGATCCCGAAGCAGGGAGCCCGCCTCAAGCTGGCCGGAGGCCAGGGACACGGCGGCTGACGCGGTCACGCCACAGACTCTTCACAAAAAAACCTCAGAACTGCGGGAGCCCATCTCGCCTGAACAAGGCATAGGCATGGAGGCTTGGGTTTTTGAGGGGTTCCGAAGCAAAGCTGTGACCTCATTGGGAAGGCGCCGTCAGCGCCCACAAGAAGGGGAAAGGCGCCTTGGTCGAGCGTGCCTTCGACCTCGTGGATGACGCAGGCAAACAGAGAGGGGGGGAAGGGGGACTTTTTTCTTTGGGTTTGGAGGTTCTTGTTCTGTTTTTCAATCCCAGTTTATGTCTGTCGTGGCAAGGCAAGGTGTACTACAAGTTTGTGGATGCCAGCTACATCGTCGGTGCAGACGGCTTCGAAGACTTTGGCCCTGTGCTTACCAAGCCGGTGACGGTGCCATCCACCCCGGCCAAGCATCGAGTGGAGACCAAGATCGATCCCCGAGCCGCGTGCCTCTACCGCCTCTCTGGCGACTACAACCCCTTGCACGTGGATCCGGAGTTTGCGCGGCTGGCCGGCTTCGACGCGCCGATCCTTCATGGCAAGTGCACGTTTGGTCATGCCACGCGGGCCTTGCTGGACACTTTGGTGGGCGGCGATCAGCGGCGGTTCCGCAGCTTGCAGCTGAGGCTGGTGTCGCCTGTCCTTCCAGGCCAAACGTTGGTGACCGAAATCTGGGAGGTTTCTTCAGAAGACTTCCTCTTCCAAGTTTTGATCAAAGAAACTGGCAAGATGTGCATCGGGAATGGACGCCTCCAGCTCACTCCAGCCAGCAGGATGTAGAAAAGTTGTGAGCATGCCCGGAAGACATGCAGCACAGCTGCAGTGTTGGACGCAGCAGGTCAGTTCTGGATAGTTCTGGATCTTTTCCGAAGCCGTCTGGGCGTACAATCGTGTGCAGCCTCAAGCGGGTGCCGACTTGAGCACAGTCCACAAGCTTAGACAGCTTGAGCAGCTTGAACAGCTTGAGCAGCTTGACAGCAGCCTTGTTCTGGTACCGGACACCCATCGAAGGTTCTTTGATGTTCTTTGCTTAATGGCAGGCACTTGACTTGCAGGACAAACGAAACTAGTTGCAGTCATGGCGCTTCCTGGTGTGGTGCCTCGCGGAGCAAGCCGGGCGGGAACCCCAGGGCTGAAAAACGGGGACTCGAAACCGCAATGTACCGTACATTTCAAGCGGAGAGGAAAGGAGACCCGTACACTCGGAAGCTGTCAAACAGGCTCCGTCAAGATGCGTAGCGTCATGGACTGCACTGCTCAGGCCGGTTGGGGCCACGATCGGCCCCTTGCCAGACTGGTGGTGGCTTCCGCCATCGCGTGCGCCACGTGCAGTATGTCGGAAGCCCGGTCAACAGTGTCCAAGGATCAGCTCTTTGGTGGTGCTCGAATCAGGCGGTGATATGTAGAGTCGTCCAGGTATACGGGTACCTGCCCACCCTCCACATTTTTATATTTGTTGCTTTTTCGACGGTCCTATTTCTGAGACTCTCAGAGAATGTTTGGACTCAGGATGGCGCGAAGCCTCAGCCTGGGCTTCAGTGGCCTTAGGCGCAGTCTCGCTGGACCCTGTCTCACCTCACCACTTCGGTGCCTGAACAAGCTGGCAGGAATTCTCAGTTCGCCCGGCCCCGGCGCATGGGGCTTTCGGCGAGGTGAGCCAGAGTCAAGGGCATAAAAGCTCAGTAGGATGGATTGCCTGGAGTTCTGCACTCGCGATGCATGTGTCAAAATAATTTGCATATCATGTAAAAATCGGATGTCTCTTTCTCTAAAATGCGAGCCGCGCAATGTGCCAGTTACGATAAAGAGAAGCTGATGAGCGAAGCTTCCTTCACCGAAGGCGCCCTGAGGCGCTACCTAACTCTCGATTTTACTCCCTCATTCGCTGTAGGATAAGGAGACCCAGCAACTGGGGGACCTACACCTCCATGTCTTCAAATCTCGGATAATCTGGGAGGCGGGTGGCAGTGATCGCGTTGGTTTGTTGAGTGACGGTCTGTGAGAGGGATTCCGGGGTCTCATCCTTAGGATGTGATGCTGCTGCAAGGCACAAGATTCCAGGGTCTTCAACTTCTTGGGGTCGAATGTGGGTTCCGGAGCATCAGTAACATCTCTAGCCAGAGAATGCATGACCACAGAAGACCCATGAGGTACTTATTGGTTGCTATGTTGGGTTCCACCACAGTTTCTATAATGAGTTGGGCGTGACAGGGACAGAGCGTTTAACCTTCGTCATGATATAGCATAATGGGCCTTGCAACGGGATGCAGGTCCTTTCAGGACCTCTTCAAACCGAAGGAGGCCGAAATGACTCCAGAGGCAGCCTGGCGTCTGCAAATTCTTCAAGCACGAAAAGGGAGGTTCTGCAACGGTGTATATCCAGCCGACTGAGCGAGCGAGAGAGAGAGAGAGATAGAGTTTAGATGAAGGAAGAGAGAGCGAGAGAGGGAGAGACAGAGAGCATTTCTGGACCTGGGCACGCCCAGAGCGCGGGGGGCGGTGACGCCCTTCAAGCCCCGAAGAAGAAGAAGACGAATAAAAAGAAGAAGAAGAAGAAGAAGAAGAAGAAGAAGAAGAAGAAGAAGAAGAAGAAGAAGAAGAAGAAGAAGAAGAAGAAGAAGAAGAAGAAGAAGAAGAAGAAGAAGAAGAAGAAGAAGAAGAAGAAGAAGAAGAAGAGAAGAAGAAGAAGAAGAAGAAGAAGAAGAAGAAGAAGAAGAAGAAGAAGAAGAAGAAGAAGAAGAAGAAGAAGAAGAAGAAGAAGAAGAAGAAGAAGAAGAAGAAGAAGAAGAAGAAGAAGAAGAAGAACAAGAAGAAGAAGAAGAAGAAGAAGAAGCATGACTGGCGCTGCCCCTAGGAACAGCTCTCCCTTCGGGGGGCTAAGCATGCAGAGAGAGAGCGAGAGAGAGGGAGAGGGAGAGGGAGAGGGAGGGGGAGGGGGAGGGGGGGGAATGGGAGGGGGAGGGGGGGGAGGGGGAGGGGGAGGGGGAGAGAGGGAGAGGGGAGAGGGAGAGGGAGAGGAGGGGGAGGGGGAGGGGGAGGGGGAGGGAGGGGGGGAGGGGGACGGGGAGGAGAGGGAGAGGGGAGGGAGAGGGAGAGGGAGAGGGAGAGGGAGAGGGAGAGGGAGAGAGGGAGAAGAAGGAAAGAAAGTTCTACAGTGAGGGAGGGAAGCTGTTGAATCGGTGTTTGTTTTTGCTATTACGCTGCACGCTCAATTCGTGGCGTGACTAAAGGCCCCGTAACCCTCTGCCTGCAAATTCAAAATGCCACTGTGCTCGGGGTCAAGTGTTTGTGTTTTCTGCACGACGAGAGTATGAAGTCCACCCGTGCGACAGGAAGTGCAGGAACAGCTGCGGCAAGAGGCCTCCAGCGCTGCAACCGAGAACGCCTGCCCGGCCCAACTTGTTTCAAGCAGTGCAAGATTGATCGGGTTTAGGGCTTTTAATGGTTTAGGGTTTAAGGGGCTTACGGTTTCAGAGGTTTGGGGTTTAGGCTTAGGATCGAGAAACGGTCACGAAAGCTCCTTAAAGCTTTGTTTACAAATTCTCTTTGGTGGGTCGCGGCCTTGTCTGGTTAACCTGTCAAGAGTTAGTTATATCCACGGTGCCGGCGGGCCCCGACCCCCCCCCCCCCCAGAAAAGATTGATCTACTTCGTCTTTCCTGCTGCCGCAGAAGTCAAGGGTTCATTGGGGGCCCCAATATGGTCGTAGTCAGCGTGTTCAGATTTGACATTTGAAGCCTGTGAGTGCACGAAGCTGGCCAAGACCAACAGCCAGGCCATGCAGTCGCTGAGATTGGACATCATGTCAGGGGAGGAGGACGAGGAAGGCCACTTATGCTTCTTGGAGTGCCATGAAATCAGGCAATCTCAATGGCCCCAAAGTGTGCTGCTTATGTGCGTACTGAAGGGTGGGCAAGATGAGCAAGCAGTTGTAGTTCAACTCATGACAGTGGCAGTGGTGGCAGTGGCTTCGTGATTCTTGTGGTCGTGGTGGTCGTCGAGATCGCAGTGGTAGTAGTGAGTAGTAGCGTGGGTCATCGGCCGCAGGCTCACCTATCCGGCGCGCTGCTCCCATTTCGGTGCTGCAGACGAAGGCCCAAGTAGGACAGATATGTACAGGCTGCCAGCTGAGGTTTTACCTGTTAGCCCGAATTGCCAATGAACGCGAAGCCTACACACCAAGAAGGACACCGTGCGAAGCCCAAAATGCCGAAAAGCAAACAGAAAACCAGCCTTCACCATGAAAAGGAAATTCTGCAGTAGGTTTCCGACGAAGAAAGGTGGAAACCCAGATAAATTCAAAAAGCAAGAAAGCACTGCCATGCAGCCGTGCATTTGAAGCAGTCATATCAACTCTCGCGATTCTTCCCCACAGCGCCGAGAAAAAATAGACGTCTCTCCATCATACCCACCTAAAGGCACTGAAGCCGGAACCCCTCCCAGCGCCATGGGGTTTAGGGCCTTTTTTTGAAAGCAATCAAGAACCATGGGTTCCTCTGGCTTCTCAAGAATAGACGCCCAATGCAGCATCATCGCTCAAGACTTCTCATACGCCATAGTCGAAGGCGAAGCAGAGCCTGGTCTTCTTCGCTGTCGGGGCCCTTGGCTACTGATCTCCCAGGGACTCAGGGCTCTGGTTTCGTGAGCTCCGGTCAGCCTCTAGGATTCAGATTGTAAGGCTTCAGGTGTGTAGTGCAGGCGCCACGGTGACATAATACGACGCGGAACTTGAATTTGCTGATTGCCGCTGGTGCAGCCTGCTTGGAACGGGCTCCTGCAACATCGCTGCTTAACGTGCCGTATGATGTGTTGCAGTTGCTGTTGGAGAGACATGAACGAGCCATGAACGATGTGGTGCAGGGCCAGGGAGGATGTATGATGCACGGCATGGGTAGTGGAGCGGAGGGCTTGTCACCAGCTCAAGTTAGCCCACTCCTTACTTGTATCATGCTCACTGCGCAGGTCCCAAAGGAAAAGGAGGATCTCATCACAGACGTACTGCTGTCGATGAGGCAGCACCTTTACTGCCGGCACATGCACTTGCAAATGCCGGTCGGTTGAAACTCCCTTAGTGCTGTGCATCCGAAGACATGAGCCCTCTGCCACAATCCAGACCTGCTGAGTTGGTTTCTCGCGAGGATAGAAGCGAAGGATATATCCGAACGGAATCTTCTGCTGGTTCCTGCCACCGCCTCAGCACTATCAAGAATTGAGACAGCATTCTCTGCACTCGCACTCGTTGTCGAAGGCCATCGTGGACGTGTCCTCAAAAATGCTGCTCGAATTTCCACCCAACATCAGGCAGCAACTGGGCTGCGGCTTGCATTCCACACAACCTCCTGCCCTTCATCTCATGTCTCTGTCCTGACCCGTCCTGACCTCTCTCCATCCCTCTCTCCCTCTCTGTGTTTCTTTCTTTCATTCTTTGCCTCCTTGTTTTTTTTGTTTCTTTCTTTCTCTCTCTCTCTCCCTCCCTCCCTCTCTGCCCTTCTCTCCCTCTCCATCTCTGCTTCACTCTCTCGCACTCTTTCTCCTACTCTCTTGCTTCACTCGCACGCGCCCTCCCTGTCCCTGTCCCTGTCCCTGTCCCTGTCCCTGTCCCTGTCCCTGTCCCTGTCCCTGTCCCTGTCCCTGTCTCTGTCTCTGTCTCTGTCTCTGTCTCTGTCTCTGTCTCTCTCTTCTCCCTGAACCTCTTCCTCCCTTTTCCTGTGTGTGCAGGGACGCAAAATTGATGCGCCAGAAAGCCGTGGCATTGCCCGTCAGCTCGGATGGACAGGCGGGTGGTAAAGTGTCGACATGCAGCCGGAGTACTCTGCGGGTAGCTGTGATCAGGCTGCCGCCTGGGGTGCGCTCCTTGCTGCAGAGTTCCAGGAGGCTGATGAGCAAGACATCGGCCAGCAGGCTAGGGCGTGAACCGAATGTAAGCGCTGTAGTTTGTCCCAAAGATGTGGTGCGGGGCGGGAGTTGGGACCAGAAGAGAGGGGGCCCCTGAGGGGGCTGATTCTGGGTGTACTGATTGTGGGCGGGCTGACTGGTGACTCTGTGGCCAGGACTCAGGCCGGGCCCACTTGGGTTGACAGGAGGGTCAGAAAGTCCCACGAAACTGCCTAATGCGCATCGGGAGCGTCCACATTAAGGAGTTACACTTTCGGCGGCCACATCGAGCTTTTGACCTGTGGGGGAACATCCACATTTGGGAATCGCACTTTAGTCAATTTGGCCATTGGCCAGCCACGCTTCAAAGATGAACGGTCGGTGTATCGGGTGTGCGAATCGACCGGGCGTTGCAGTAAACTCTACAAGTGGCAACAACCAAAAACCAGAGTCTTCTTGGAGACTTGTTGCCAACAGGCACTCCAAATTGTTGTAATAAAAGGCTGTCTAAAACATCAGCATCCGCCGGGTATCTTGGGGTTTGAGCCCTCACCGACATGCAGCGATCACATTGGAGTTTCAGCTTTACTAATGTGTGTTTATGCCACTAATGTGTAGTCAGCTCCAGAAGCATCCGCATCTGAGCGATGTCAAGTGTGCATTTTACCCGACTGATGTGAGATAAAGCCACTCTTTTGTAGGCGAAGCATCGTAATCGTTGTTCAGGCCACTAGATGCGCCCACGAAGCATGTCTTATTCGAAGGTGAGACAGATGGGGCTGGCCTTGGTGGTGAGGCCGGCTGAGATGTCGTCGAAACAAGAAGAGCCAGAATTCACATGCCTATCTTTGTGCTGAGCATAGAGGAAATCCGAGGAAGAAGCATCAAAAGGTAAACTCACGAGCTTCTGAAACCATGATCGGGTCCCGAGGTCGGATGGCACTATTGTCCGTCGAGGTGTTGGCCGACCTCAGTGGAAGGCCTGCGCCATGTCCGTGGAGGATAACCCATCCAGGAGTGCCTTGCGCCAGGTGGTCTTTGCTGAAACGGACGACTGAGCCTGGCTCGGACGCGCACGTCCCTTGTACTCTGGATTGATCAATGCGAGGTTTCTTGTTGTCGTCGGGATGGACGACTGCTGATTGTGTGTACTCGTGGAAATTCGCCTATGCAAGCCTCAACCTTCAGGATAGAAATGGAAACAGTCAGCAGTAGCTAGGAATTTTCGAGGCTCGGTGCTTAAGGCCCGAATTTTCATCTGAGCGACAAAAAGTGGGGTGCTGAGCGGAGTCTGTGTTCGAAAGTGCAGTGAGGGTTTGGGTCTGATGCTTAGCTGCTTGAAGGGGAGATTCCATATTGCGGGCCTGCAAAGAGAGGATTTCCCTGTCGACTTGAAGCATGCATTCTACTTGTAAGGCCAAGTTAAAGGTCTCCAGTGCATGGGATCTCTTGTCAGCCTCGGTTGTGTTGCCGTCGCCCGCCCCTTGACTCTTGCCCAGTCCCCAGAACTTGCACCAAGTTCTGGGGGACGCTCCAGAACTTGGTGCTAGTTCTGGAAGTTCTGCTCAGGTGCGCGAGAACTCCATGCTGCTCTGGGACCCCACCAACCAGCACTATGCCGCCACCGCGTGCCCAGCTGGTTTGCGAGACAGAAACCCGCAGAGCTTGCACGGCCTCACGGGCACCAAGACAGCCTTTCGCAAGGCCTGGACAAAGTACTATGGGGAACTGACGGCCTACGGGGAGAGCCTCTGGGCGTGTTGCCGACTACAGGAGACGATCAAACAACTCCACCCAGGCTGGGCCTCCTGGACGAGCCTCCACTTGCTCCGCATGAGCGGAGCGAGTGGTGACCTTCTATGGAAGGTCGGGTTCACGTTCGGTTCCAACCTCTCCGAGACCGTGAGCCGGTACTATCGCACCTACACGAAGCCTCACAACGTCATGTTGGTGGGCACTGAGGTTGTGTATTGCCTGGAATCCCATTGGAGAGCCCAGAGCCTTGAGCGACGCCTGCATCACTTGATGCGGCTTCACTGGCCACACTTGAATGTGGCTTTTGGTAAGAACAGTGTATCATGCAGATGCACGAGAGATCTTAGGAAAGTTGCTGGCCGAAGGCATTGCGTATGATATGCCTGAGCTGCAGAAGCAGGTGGAGACAGAGTTCTCTACCAAACTCAGGCACTGAGTCACGGTCTCCCTACCTCCCTACTGTACAGCTTAGGTCTGCGTGTGGCTCCAAGAGTGCTTACCCCTCACATGAGAATGCTGCAAGTAAAACCCGGAGTGTTTCCTCAGTGGCTCTTGCAGCTTGAAAGGCAGAAGCCCAAAGATGTGAAAGATGTGACAGCGGTGGCAATTGCAGATTTAAGTCAAGTTCAGGTCCTTTGTACGCAGCCAGTTTGGGATGGCCGAACATCCTATTGCACCTTGCCAGGCGTTCAAGGAAATAAAGCAGAAACATGCCTTCCGAAGGCTTCCGAAGACTTTTTCATTTTGTTTAGTGTGGGAGTGCGAGGACTCCGTCGAGCTTTTGGCGCATGATGCCGCTATGCGCTTGGCTCGCGCTGACGTGCCCCCACGGGCATTTGCGGAGGCGGTCGCATTGGCGCGGATCAGCGAGAAGCCTGCGGGCGCAGGACGCGACGAACTTTCCCCTCGGGTTCGGGAGCTGGGGGACGAGGAACGGGCCTCCTCTTGAGCGCTTGTCCTTTTCGTTGCGTACCCGAAAATGCGGACGCCTCAGAAGACGCTCCAGATGCCCACCTGTCATCGTCACCGGGAGAAGGATGGCTCGGCCGCGGAGGTTGAGATTGCGAAATTGGCTGCGTGGGCTACAAACGTGATTCCACGACACCGCGTCCTTGGAAGGATTTGGTATGGGTATCCGCTGCCATTCTGGCTTTGACCGCGTACGCCAAGGACATAAAGCCTTCCTGGAAAGCCTGTGCATCCATGACATGCAGATGCCGTGAGTACGCTCCAGATGACATATAGTAGGAATCTTGCCCGCGCGAACGACCCCGATCATGGTTTCACTGTCGTCGTAGAAGACGAAGTTGGGATTCTTTCCGCCAGACAGCCGCCACAAGGTTATAGTTGGCACGCCGATGCGCGACATCGCAAGAAGCCTGCCGCGACACTCCTCGTCGTCGGTGTTCGCTAGGCCCTCGTCGCGGCGCTGGATGCCGTCCGCTCGGCACATACAGGCCGGGATGATGTTGAGCGCATTTGAGCGCGCGCGTGCGCGCCCGAACCGCGCCGACGCGTCGGCTGCAGCTACTCCGGCACGGCAGCCTCCAAGCTCTACGTGCAGGCGCTCGCAGCCGCCCGGCATGGGGCCGTCCTCATGCTGACGACGACAGGGACGGCATGCGGACTGCAACCTGTGATCAAGTCCGGCGCGGTCGCCAGCGCGTACTGGAAGGGGCGCGTGGCCGTCGAAAATGGGCGCTCAGAGGTGCGCGAGCGCACGCGACATGAGGCGGCGGAAAATGTCGCCCATGGCTATCCGGCGCAGATCCAGACTTCTCGACTCACTCCAAGGGCAAGGGCCTGTGCCTCCCGCTCTGGCGTCACTTCGGGACTGTGCTCCTCACTGTCGGGCTCTGGCTATGATGTGCCCGAGTGGTCAACGCTCGCTAGGTCTGACCCGCCGCCCCCACCCGCCGAGGAGGTCGGCCTCGAGGTTTCCAAGGGATGGCAGCGTGAAGCCTCTAGGGCGGTTGATGACTTTTGTCGCAGGGCCTTGCTCAGCCAGCTCGATGAGGCATCGGTCGCGCTGCTGGATTCGCAGTCGGGCCCGTACGCTGCTCGCTTTTTCTTTGCCCGGCCCACCTCGCCTGAGCTGCAGCTGGAGTCATCGCTCTTCCGTGTTTTGCTTCTGCGCCGGCTTCGCCTGCTGCTTCCGCCAGCTGCAGCTGCCTGCAGATGCCGCCGGCATCTAGATGACCATAGACGGCCTTGGGGATCACATCGCAGCATGCCCTCGGTCCGGCATCCTCCGCTCCCGCGGCGTTGCGCTTGAGCGCGCGGCAGCCCGCGTCTGTCGAAAGGCCGGGGCAACAGTGTGGCAACACGTGCTGGTCCGTGATCTCAACGTTTTGCCTGCTCGGCGTGACGAGCGTCGTATCGAAGTCATCGCCAATGGCTTCCCGCTTTGGAACGGGGCGCAGGTCGCTGTCGATACCACGCTCGTCTCCCCCCTCACATCCTCAGCTGAGGGCAACACAGCAGGCGCTGCACTCCGTGCCGCCCGCCGAAGCGCCATTTTGGCTCAAGCCATTTTGGCTCAAGGCTTCATCTCAAGCCTTTTTCGTGGTTAAGGGTTTATGTTCGATCCCTTCTCCTGGCGGCCGCTCTTGGGCACTGCGGTGCAGCTGGAGGGCCGCGACTGCTCCTGGGCGCGCCGTGCGCAGCTGGAGGGTCAGAGTAGACGAAGTGCCCCATGGACGCGTTGCCTTCCATCCTGCTGGCATGTGGACGATGGGTGGCGGAGCTGACGCGTGGCGCTGCGCCGGCACTCGCCTTGCTTCCTCCTACGTGCAAACAAGCAGTGGCCCACACCGCCATGGTATGCATGGGGGCCAGCCCGGCATACTATGCGCCGGGGTTCGGCCCATGGCCATTGGCTTGGGGATGGTGCCTTCTGGGTGCGCTGCTGGGGGCATTGGCCTCGTCGGCAGTGTTGCTCGCTTTCTGCCGCTTGGGACTCGGTCACGCCCCGCCCGCGCGATGCCGACATGGCGGCGACGGAGGTGTTGCGCGCGTGCGCGGCGGGGGGCGAACCGGAAGTCCAGGCACTGGCCGCGCAGGCGGGTGCTCCGCCGGTGGACATGATGTGCAAAATCCTCGCCGCGACCCTGGGACGTGCCCGACCGGCGGGGCCCAGCCGTCACTGCTTGATCGGGCGCGTGCCATACGGGTCGCGGGCGAGGGTACTCCCGGCGCGCGCATGCTGGCGGGTAAGGTCAAGCTTGTGCGCATGGGGCTCCGGAAGTGCTTGTGCTGGAAACACTCGGTCGCCAGTTGCCTTGTTGAGTTGGGTTGCTGCAGCATTTCGGTTCCACAGCTCAGGCGGCGACGTTGCTCCCAGCCATGTCAGCGACTTGTGGTGCCTGCAGAGTGCGGCCGGCTGGAGCAAACGGCTCAGCATGCCAAGCCTGCAGCACCATCCACGCTTTGCAACGGTTGGTGCACAGCAACAGCTTACCGGAGTGGTCTGATGAAATCACGATACAGGTACTCCGAACTGCGTTTCTCACCTTGGATCTTCGTGCAAAGGGCCCTCCTAGTACCAGAAGAGGCGAGCCCAGTCACTCCACCGGAGACGCGGCGGCGCGACAGCCGCAGCCGCAGCCGTAGCCGTGAGGAACGACCTCCAGCTCGCCCTCGCCTGCCCACCCCACCACGGGTGCCTTCGACGTTGCCAGCCGCACCCACAGCGGTTGGCGTCGGGCGGGGACGGCCCCGCCACAGAGCTGGAACCAAACATCAGAAGCATGGTGGCAAGGGCCGCTGAAGCGCACCGCAAGGAGGCGCATCATGAGTTTTTGATGTTTCAGCAGCTCGACAGCACGCCGCCAAGTAGCAGGCGTGCCTGTCACAAATGTTGGGTGTTTTTGCGGCCCGCCGGCACGCCGCCTGTTCGCAGGCGTGCCGCAGGCGGTTCACATATCCTCACTGCCAGAGACTGCGGCTTGGGAGAAAAGGTGTGCGGCAGGCCCCTGCGCAAGCTTCGCTGTTCTACTTGTCTACTGCCCAGCTTCGTGCCGCTTGTGCCCATCTACCCCAGCCCACCGCGTTGTTTGCCTCGATGGAACCCTTACGCCGGTCGACGCGTAGGCGAGGCTTCACACCCTGGACCCCGCGCCGTGGACAGAACGCAGGCGCTCGATGCGATGGCACGTTTGGGGATCGGGGATCGCCTGCGCGGGGATGCTTCCCGTCCAAACCGGTCAAACGAAGGTGGTGGAGTTGGACCCTTGAGAGACGTCCTGCCAAGGCCCCATTCCAGTGCAGGACCCTCAGGCGTGGGGGTTGGACGGCGGTGTTGTTGGGGGAAGCGATGGCGGCGAAACATCCGAGGGATTTTGTGACTGCGCGGACGGTGACGACATCCAGTGTATGACGCCTCCTTCCCCCGCCGCGGTTGCCCCAGGGTGCCCACCGGTCCACCTGCCCCGCGCAGTGCTACGCCGGCAACCTCCGCAGCCGCCTGGGTGATGCTGGCCCGGCTGGACTCGCGGGCGGAGTTTGGCAAGAGGGTATACACCCTTCAGTGGCCCTCCTGCCCTGGTTCGGGGGGCACTGAGGCAAACTTTGCGCGTTGCGTTGGAGACGCTCGTGCACGCACAGGACGACCTCATGCGAGCGGCGGGCTGGAAGCTGTTTCTACTCGCGCCGCGCATGCTCCTGTATCGCCACCGTGGCCAGCACCGCGTCCCGCCAGAGGAGCTCTCGAAACGGGTGCGTCTGTTGGCGGACCGCCGTTGGGACGAACTGCTGGCGGATGCCGCCGCGGCAGCGGTCGCCGATCCGGTTTGCCCGCGGCGGGCAGCCTGTGAATCACAGGGCCCGACCGACGAGCTCGCCCAGAGGCGAGCCGAGCGGGCCGCGGCGCTGGCGCACATGGGGGAGCTTTCGGCTGCCAGGTCAGCCCTGACAGCAGCGCCATTGGCACCACTGACCACGGACAGGTTGAACGCGCTCCGGGACCCAACCAAGCAACCGCAGGAAAGGCAGGTCGCACTGCCTGCTTGGTTGGCCGAGTACGCGCCGGAGGAGGGGCCTGTGGCGATGGACTCGGAGCGGTTCTGCACTAATGTACGGTCAGCGCGCCGTGGCGCCGCTGCGGGCCCCTCCGGATGTACGTCGGAGCACCTACGTGTCCTGCTGGACGACGAGGAATGCGTCGAGCTCATGGTGACGGCCGCTGGCAAACTCGTTGCGGGGCTTGTGCCAAGCGAGGTAGTTGATGGACTTCGACTCGGGCGGATGGTCGCCCTCACAAAGCCCAACGGCGGTATCCGGGCCCTGGTTATGGGCGATGTCTTCCGCCGCCTCGTGTCCCGCACACTCGCCCAGCAGTTCGCGGGTGCTTTCCAGTCAGCCTGCGCCCCTTTCCAATATGCGCTGTCCACGCGCGCGGGGACGGAGGCACTCTCGCGAGCACTACGCCTCACAACTGAACTGCAACCGCGCGCCACGGTTCTTAGCGTGGATGGCGTAGGCGCGTACGACCACATCTCCCGCGCAGCCATGTTCGAGGGCTTGCGGGGGGACGGGGGGCTGCGAGCGCTCATTCCTTTCGTCCGCATGTTCTATGGGGTCCAGAGCACTTACATGTTCTACGATGCGAATGGCCGGGGGCACGACGTCATTCAGGCGGAAGGCGGTGAGCAGCAAGAGGTCAAGCATCCGTCGGCGTGAGTCTACCGTGTCAACGACTCTCGTTTCCTTGACCGAAGTCAAGTGTTACGCTGGCTGTCATTATCGTTCATTGTTATGTTGCAGCCGGGTGGGGCACGGCAACGTTCCAGTTTTGCAAAGTGTCCTCCAGGCCCAAGCCAGTGGATTGGAACTACGGAGCCCGCACTGAACAACAAGTTGGCAGATTTCCTGGAGCGAAACACCGCTTCAGTCATGCAAAAAGCAATGTTTTTTTTTTTTTTTTTTTTTTTTTTCCGCGGACCTTTTTCCTCCGCTGCGATGTGGGTGTCCCTAGCGGCTAAAAGCCGCAGTCGCCGAAGGCGCGGCAGCGCCGTCAGCGCAGCGGCAGCCTGCTGGGGCCCGGCGCTTCAGCGACGTGCAAGACCTGGTCCAGGTCAGGACCAACCCGCTGGCTGGGGTGGGGCACAGGCCAGGAACAGCCCAAGGCTTTGCTGGCGACGGCCTGCTGGACCGACACCGACAGCTGGCTCCACCAACGCCGTGCCCACGCCGAAGCGGCTGCTTGCCGCAGCGCGGGCGGGGCGCGCTGCGCACGGATCCGGACCAGGTCGCGCACAAGTTGGAGCGCGCCCTGGCTCCACCGTCCGCCCACCTCGGAGCCCAGGACTGTTTCCACGTTTTTTCTGCCTGAGATGATAGGACATCTCAGCTGCGTGTGATGAGTGCGTCGCATCGCCCCTCCCCCTCGACTCCGCCACTTGTCGTTGCTGGCGCGCCACTCGTGGACTGGCCCAGCCGCTTGCCGCTGCGCTGAGCGTCGGAGACTGCTGCTGACGTAAAAAGGCATGGAAAAAGTGTCAACACCCGAACCACAGCACAGTTTACCGTGTGTCTCTTCGGAGAAGACAAGTCTCCCTTTCGGAGGAGACGTGGTGACCCATTCATGAACCGCCACACACACTAACTCCAAGTTGAACTTCAACTCATACACTCCATAAAAAGTAATAATTTAGGAGCAAATCATACCTGGGTTGAGCCGAGGCCTTGCGAGAACTTTTAAAGACTTGGGCCTGCGTTTTTTTTCTCGCTCCTTTTTCAACGCAGCATGTGTCTCCAGTCAATGTCGGGGGCCGGTGGGCGAGCTGGGCAGCATCACGCTGTCAGCGGCAGGCGGCTGGCGAGGGGAGGGGCGACCTCCAAGCGCTCGTCGGCAAGGACTTCGCTGAGATCCGACGTCAAGCCATCGATGTTGGCTGTGCCTGCAGTCGGGGGAGGAAGGTGGCTGGTTGCGAACGCCCGGGCTGCGGCGAAGGAGAGGAGCGCAGACCAGCGGGCTACCCACGCAGAAGTGGCACTGGCGCGAAGTGCTGGGGGGACCTTACGTGCCCGGCAACGGGCAGGGAGACGGAGGAACCGTGCTGCTTCGTCGCTCCAGCGTCCGCCGATCTCCAGTGCGAGCACGACGAGCCGGCAGCGTGGGGAGTTGAGGAGCTCAAGGTAGGTCCGCTCCTTTGCTCGGCGGGCGGTGCGGAGGGCTGCTCCTTGTGTGTGACGTTGGTTGAGGTCGCGGAGCAGCACATTGGTGGCGACGGTTGCACCCGCCTCGCGACAGACACGAGCGGCAGCCCGTTCAAGAGGCAAGCAGGGCCTGCGCGCCATCAAGGGCTGTGTGGCCGACCGCCTGCTGCATGGAGACGGAGAGCATGCTCCACCAGCGAAGGCTGTTCGCGCAGGGGCCCGCGCGCCTGGCGGGGCGGGGTGTGCGGGACCGCCCTCCCACCTCGCAGCCGAGGACGCAGAGGCTCTGCGCGCCACCGGCCACCAGTTCCGGGTAGGTGGCGTGCTTGCGCCGTACGGCGGCCCTCAGGACAGCCCCATCTGCCGCCGCTGCATCGATGGGTCGCGCCGTCGCGGTTCACCCAGCGGCGTGGCCCCGTAGATGACGAGGTCCAGGCGTCTGCGGTCATCGACGACACTGTGAAGACTGAAAAAAGGGGAATCAGGTGATGCTAAATCCTAAACCCTAAACCCCGAATTCCCCAAACCCTGAAGGTGTACGGAGGTTAGGGCTTAAGGATTCTTGGCTTCAGAGGCTTCGGGGAGCCCAGGCGAGATGGACTCGAAGACCTTCCAGGTGCTCGTCGAGCCTCACAGCCGCCTCCCAAGCACATCTCCGCATGACCCCCCCCCCTCCCCCAAAACTCTGCATGCTGCATGCGGGTGAGTCCTGTTTAGGGATGTTTAGGGTCTAGGATTCGCCTGAGGGGTCTGACTGCGTGAAAGCCATGAAGATGTTTCTGATGACACGTTACCGCTGCCACTGGCTGTGATAAATCCCGAGTAATGCCTGCAATGACGCCAGGAGCTCTAGCTCAGGGTTGGAATGCTTGCAAAGAAAAAAAATGCTTGCAAAGCACGCCCCCACAGTCTTCTGCGCAGGTGCTGCAACCCCCCGAGCCCCAACAAAAACTCTCCAGCGGAGAGAAAAAAAACTCTCCAGCTCGAAGCCATGAAGTCGATGATGTGTCGACTACTTGGCGCCCTGTGCGCTGTTGTCCAAGCCAACTACTGGGTCCATTACCCATCACAGTTCTTGCGGCAGGAACACTCGGCAGCGTGGAGCGAGTTGGCGGATGCCATGTACGTCTTCGGCGGCTGGACGGGTTACGCGAAGAGCAACAGCCTCCTCAGGTACGAGCGCAAGGAAAACATATGGCTTGAGGTCGAGCCCAGCGGCTCGCGGCCCTCTGCGCGCTACGCACACTCGGCAGTGTGGAGCGAGGCAGCGGATGCCATGTACGTTTTTGGCGGCACACCAGGCGGTCGGAATTATTTCAATGATCTCTACAAGTACGACCGCAAGGAAAACAGCTGGATTGACGTCAAGGCCAACGGCTCTTTGCCCCCTGCCCGGCACGGACACTCGGCAGTGTGGAGCGAGGATGAAGATGCGATGTACGTCTACAGCGGAGTTGTGGAGTATGCTATGACCACCGACTTTTGGAAGTACGAACGCAAGACGAACCGCTGGTTTGAGGTCCCGGTCACTGGCATTGGGTGGGAGAGGCATTGCCCCAGTCTATCTCTGGTTTCTGGGGGGGGGATCGGGGGCGGGGGGGGGGAGGGAGAATTAGGAATAAAGCAGCCAACATCGCAGAAACAATCTAATAGACTTTTCTCTGCTGCTTGCTGTTTGCGTTTGGTCCTGTTGCAGTGCGTGCATTGGCGAGTGCGGCAGACATGTGGCATCATGGGAAGCCGCGCCATGCAAAATTTAAGGCCACGAACACGTAAACCCAAACCCCCAAGGCGCCGCTTCTAGGACTCTAGAGGAGCCCACGTGCCTTGCCCAGCAACATGAATTAGTCTCCCAGATTGTCTAGGACCCCGCCATACCCCGCCTCTAAGGATCTAGGGGTTCCCAAGAAAGAGCCCACGGGCCTTGCCCGGCACCGCGAATTAGGAATAAAGCGCGGGTTCCCCGGAGTCCCCCGTCATGAAAACCTCGCGCAGGGCAGTGTTTCCTCCCCCTCCCCCCCCCACACCCTGTATTCCTATTTGGGGCCTTGCGGGAGTTCTCAGACCCTCTAGGACTCCGCCTCTAGACGCCTCCAGGGATCTAGGGATTCCCAAGAAAGAGCCCACGGGCCTTGCCCGGCACCGCGAATTAGGAACAAAGCGGGGGTCCCCCGGAGTCCCCCGTCATGAAAACCTCGCGCAGGGCAGTGTTTCCTCCCCCTCCCCCCCCACACCCTGTATTCCTATTTGGAGCCTTGCGGGAGTTCTCAGACCCTCTAGGACTCCGCCTCTAGACGCCTCCAAGGATCTAGGGATTCCCAAGCAAGAGCCCACGGGCCCTGCCCGGCACCACAAATTAGGAATAAAACGGGGGCCCCCCGTCATGAAAACCTCGCGCAGGGCAGTGTTTCCTTCACCCCCCCCTCTTTATTCCTATTTGGGGCCTTGCGGGAGTCTCCCAGACCCTCTATGACTCCGCCTCTAGGGATTCCCAAGAAGGAGCCCATGGGCCTTGTCCGGCACCGCGAATTGGGAATAAAAAGGCCCCCCCCCAACTTCTCCCGCCCTGTAGGCGCCGCCTTTAGGATGCCCAGAAGGAGCCCACGTGCAGTTCACGCACGTTCAGGAAGGAGCGAAAACACAGAGCCACAACATCACCGCTTCAGGTAGGTGAATTTTCTTTTTTTGTGTTTTGGAGGGGGGGGGCGGTCCACCCCCCCTACGCCCCAAACCCCATTCGGAATCCGGAATAAGTTCCTCATTCCGACCCCCCCCCCCCCCAGATAAACTGGCCCGATGGAGAGGCTGTCTGGGCACTCGGCAGTCTGGAGCAAGAAGGCGGATGCGATGTACGTCTTCGGCGGCTACATGTATCCCCCCGCTGGCAGTGGCGAGCATTGGCTTGTCAACCACCTTTTCAAGTACGAGCGCAAGGCAAACCACTGGATTCAAGTCAGGCCTGACGGCACCCTGCCCTCAGTGCGGAGAGAGCACACAGCAGTGTGGAGCGAGGCGGCAGATGCCATGTACGTCTTCGGCGGGTATGACTTGAAAGATAATTTTCCCGATGGTCTCTACAAGTACGAACGTGAGGCAAACCGATGGCTTCAGGTCACGACCGGCGGCTGCCCTGCGCGGCGATCGCACTCGGCTGCATGGAGCAAAGCGGCGGATGCGATGTACGTCTATGGTGGCGATCGTGGCGATGGAATATTTGACAGCCAACTCTACAAGTACGAGCGCCAGGCGTCGACCAGCTGGACCGTAACATCCACAATCAAATCGACTTCTCTGGCGCTCACGACATTCGCCGCATCCACAAGCACGGCCCCCTCGGCCCGGGCGTCCACGGTCGCTTCGACTTCTCTGACGACGTTCACCAGGTCCACCAGCACGACCCGCTCCACCACAATATCCACTATCACTTCGACTTCTCTGACTCTCACGACATTCACCAGGTCCACAAGCACGACCCGCTCGACCCAAACATCCACAATCACTTCGACTTCTCTGACGACGTTCACCAGGTCCACCAGCACGACCCGCTCCACCACAATGTCCACTATCACTTCGACTTCTCTGACTCTCACGACATTCACCAGGTCCACAAGCACGACCCGCTCGACCCAAGCATCCACAATCACTTCGACTTCTCTGACGACGTTCACCAGGTCCACCAGCACGACCCGCTCCACCACAATATCCACTATCACTTCGACTTCTCTGACTCTCACGACATTCACCAGGTCCACAAGCACGACCCGCTCGACCCAAACATCCACAATCACGACCACAACATCCACTATCACTTCGACTTCTGTCACGACGCAAACCACGTCCACCAGCACGACCCGCCCGACCACAACATTCACTTCGACTTCTCTGACTTCTCTCACTGAGACGACTTTCACCGCGACCACCAGCACGACCCGCTCGACCCTAACAACCACTATCACTTCGACTTCTCTCGTGACTCTCACCGCGTCCACAAGCACGACCACAATCACTTCGACTTCTCTCACGACGTTCACCAGGTCCACAAGCACGACCCGCTCGACCGCAACATCCACAACGACTTCGACTTCTCTTACAACTTCCACCGTTTCCTCGATTTCCTCAACAAGCACATCGACGTTCCCCATCGTGGCGCACGAAGTATGCAACTCGTGCATATGCAAAATGCCTCATGGCTCCTATTCTTGGGTCCCTTGGGCAAGCTGTGCCGCTGAGTGTTGGGAGGCGGGAAGGAGCCATTTCCAACATTCCACTGGCAGATTCGACCCACAGAAAGGCATCTGTGGTTGCTGCATTGGGACGGCAAGTGAAGAGAAAAGCCATGGCATGCGGGTCTATTCTCTTCAGGCTTTAGCTCCGGAGGAGGACATGCTGGACACTACGGCAATCATCGTCGCCACCGTGATCTCCGTTGCCGTGCTGCTTTTTGCGGCTCTCGCTCGGGTTATGTGGCAGCGCAAGACCGCGAGGAAGGGTACTGGGATGCCCTTCAGTGCCATGCCCCCCTTGGCCTCCTTGGAGTGTGGAGTTTCTGCAGCTTATTTGAAAGAGACGTTTCCTGGAGAGGCTCAGGCCGCAGCCGGGAAGCAGAATCCGAACTTCTACGAGCTTTGCCAAGTCCTTGCCATCGGTCCCCATGGTAAAGGCTTTGGCAAGATCTGCCCACGAGATGGTAGGCTGAATTGCAGCATTGTCGACGCACTCGTCCCTCCTCAGCAGGGGAAAGCCACCCACTTCGTGTCTTGGTGTTGGCAGTACTCTCTCGACAACGTTGTGGATGCCATCGCAGTGTGGCTTGAGTCCTCGAACCAGCCCGCTGCTGCCGTGGATGTCTACTTGTGGATGTGTTTTTTTTGCAACAATCAATATAGGATCATGGAAGAAGGGTCACAGACCGGCTCAGACGAGCTTCAAGACATTTTTGAAAGCCACTTGGCAAGCGCGGGACACATGCTGGTGATCCTGGACTCCTTTATGCATCCACACTACTTCTCTCGTGCGTGGTGCTTGTTTGAGACTTTCGTGTGCATAGAGCAGGACTTCCCAAGGACCATTCTATTGCCTAGTGGGCAGCTGGAGGAGTTCCGACAGGTTATGGAGACAACGGGCCCTAGTCTGGTACGTGAGAAGATCCATCAGATTGATCTTCGTAGGGCCAGCGCGTCTGTCCAAGCAGACGAGGACACCATCAAGCGCATGGTCTACAACTCCTGTGGCTTCGACACGCTGAATCACGCCGTGCAGAGGGAACTGTTGAAGTGGATCCTTCACGCATTCGAGGTTTACATGCTTAACAGATGAAATGCAACAGAGGAGAACTAAGGCAAGGAGTTGGTGCACAAGACAGACTCCTTTGCCATGCATGTGCATGGACCCTATTCGCCCCCAACAGCGGCCCTCTAGCAAACATCTTTCAGGCATCTTCCCTTAGAAGAATCAGAAATAGACAGCCGTGCACCCCAAACACAGAATTAAAAACACACCGTTTCAAATCGTTTATTATCTCCGGGGATCGATGATGGCAAGCGGCCTGTTCAAGTTCCCACCTATTATGTTGACTACGGTGCTTGGCTCCGAGGCTGCCATGTGCACATCTCAAAAAGGCGTGATGTGTTATGGTCCCTTTTCCAGCACCCTAACCCTAAACCCTAAGCCCTAAGCCCTAAACCCTAAACCCTAAACCCAAAGCCGTAAGCCCTTCAGGGGGGCCTAAGCCCTCAACTCCTGAGGCCGCGAGGTGCGCGCGTGGAAGCGGGATGTGCCTGGCTCAGCTCGCAAAGGCTTGGAGGATAGGGTTTTGGGGTTTAGGGTTTAGGGTTATTTAGGGTTTAGGGTTGTTTAGGGTTTAGGGTCATTTGGGGGGTTTGGGGTGATTTGGGGTTTAGGGTTTAGGGCTATTTAGGGTTTATAGGGTTTTTTAGGGTTTAGGGTTGGTTATTTGGGGTTTAGGGTGATTTAGGGTTTAGGGTTTAGGGTTATTTAGGGTTTAGGGATTTTTAGGGTTTAGGCTTTAGGGCCATTTAGGGTTTAGGGTTTAGGGTTGTTCAGGGTTTAGGGAACCCTAAGCCCAAACCCTCAATAACCCTAAACTCTAAATAACCCTAAACCCTAAATAACCCTAAACCCTAAACAACCCTAATCCCTAAACAAAATAGCCCTAAACCCTACATAACCCTAAACCCTAAAGAACCCCAAACCCTAAAGAACCCCAAACCCTAAATAACCCTAAACCCTACGTAACCCTAACCCTAAACCCTGAATAACCCTAAACCCCAAATAACCCTAAACCCGATACCCAGCCGCAGGCCTCTACTGACTTGAGCCCGCTGTGGCTAGCGCCCTGTGCTGTTCGCAGCGGGGGTAAAAAAAGAGGACTTGCCATGCATAAGCAGTGATGCGCCATGGGCTGATCAAGAGCACGGTGTGCATTGTTGCATGCTTTGAGTGCAACAGGCTCAGACTCATCAGACTCAGCATGCGCATGCACATCGTCTATTCTTTTGTAACTTGCAAGCAGGTTCCGTTGCAGGTACCGCTCGACAAGCAAGCCGAAGTCGAGCGCAGTAGCCTGTTGCATGTGCAGAGTTGCAATAGTAAACAAAATTGGAGTCCTGTTTTTATGTGCGTGCCTTGGTGACCCAGCAACGACCCCAGTGCTGTACCCAGCCACGGCCAAGGCTAACGCCGCACAAACACGCAACCTTCTTGACAATAGATACAAGAGGTGGACACATGTAGAATGGAGGTGCCATGGCATCTGCCGAACCATGGCAGATTTGAAGGCGATCTGATCTAGTTGGGGGGCACCTGGCCTTTTGACACTGTCGCGGGGTCCTGGCGCAGGAATTCGAACTACGTCGGGACAGGACGGTTGCAGATGTGTGTACGGCTTGTGGCGGTGCTCTTTCGCGGCAAGGCTTAAAGAATGTCGGACGACGGGGAATGCGCAGCAGGACCAACAACCTCACGGACTAAGAAAAATATACGTCAATTCGCTGGTGCATTTGCCGGAGCTTTCAATTGCTTTCAATTGCCTGTTTCGGGAAAACGAGAGACTGCCAGGACCCGAAAGAGGTGCTGTTGATTCTGAAAGAACTCGCTGGGATGCGCATGGACACAGGGATTCTCCAAGCCACTGGCATTGGCAAGGCACGGGCCCCAAGCTCCCAGTGCCAACAAGATTTGTCATTGTAGGTGTGTCGATAACCGAGGAGGTAAACGATCCCTTCTTCAGAAAACACGCGGACCCTGAGGCCCCTTCTAGAGAGCGTGGAGTTCGTTTCGGCACATGTTTGCATTCGTACGAGGTGCGTGACAGTTCCTCCAATCTTGTCAAGATGTGGAAGGCTGGACGGTGGAATTGCGCAATGTGCATGATTCGCTGCCTGATGCACCATGTGCTTGCCCAAGGACATTGCCCTTGGCAAGTCTCAGCACAGAGCTTAGTGCGTTTGTATTCTGATTGCAAGATTTTATGGTGCGTACATGCGCGTACGCTGTAGCCTTATGTCTTTTGCCACCGCTGTAGATGCATAGCTGCTTGCCGCCATGCTTCCACATAGTTTGGAGCCCGACATTTGCTCTTCTTCTCGTGCCCTGCATTCTTTCGACATTTGCAGGTTGTTTGCTCTTGCCGGGGCTGGGTTGCATGCAGGGACGCGTGAGGGATTTTCGTTGAATTGTAGTACACATGTAGTACCGGGAGGACAGAGCCGGAGGGGCGCGAGAGTGGTCTGCGGCGCATACTGTGGCGCGTACTGCGGCGCGTCTGCCGTGCTTCAAGCTGAGGGATTTTCGTTGAATTGTAATTAGTATCAATGTAGTGCTGGGAGCCGGAGGGGCGCGAGAGCGGTCTGCGGCGTGTACTGTGGCGCGTCTCCGGCATGTCTGCGGCGCGGGAAGTTGAGGGATTTTCGTTGAAGTGTAGTACAAATTAATGTAGCACTGGGAGGACAGAGCTGGAGGGGCGTGCGAACTTGGATTCACACATCGGTTAAATGGTAGCTCAACCACGGCCCCCAACTCGTGTGAGATTTCTTGAGAAAAGGCCAGCGGGCCCAAGTGCTGCCGTAGCTGCAGCTGCGCCGGTTGCAAGTCCGGAGAAAAAGGACCAGATCGCCCCAAGGGCCCTACAAGCCCCGGGCAGTTCTGTTGATTTTGCGAGCAACGGGGCAGGAGAAACGTCCAGCTCCTGACTCGGAGAAGAAACCAGCGAAGGCCGATTTCAGTATACCAAATTACCAAAAGCTTATTACTAGCTATCACTAGTGCCAGTCAGTATCCCGATGTACGATGTATACCTTGTACTGACGTGTCACGCAGGCAGCAAAGAGCCAGAAAAAGACGGTCAACAGGCTGTCTGGGTCTGGTCATGGTTCATGCCGACAGGCTGGGTTTAGGCTTGTTTCATGTCGGGGCAGCGCCTGACCAAATTTTAGGTCTGGGCCAAATGAAGAACTGGCAGCGCTTTTCCAAGAACTTGCATCTTTTGAGTTCAAGCTGGCGCCTGAGCATTGTTGCCGCACCCCTTTTGCACGTGGTACGAACGGCATTTCGCTTGATCACACACACACCTCCGGATGCGTGTCTTCACCGGCTGGTGGATTGTTTCGGCGCTGTGCAAGGAAGGGGGGCACGAGCAAGTTTGCAGGCATGGCCTTCAACAAGGTGAGCGCCACGGCTGTTCTCGCGAACTGCAGCTAGAAGACGAAAACAAGACATGATGTGCCTGTCAGGTGGCCGCAACTTTGCGAGGCTTGGAGGAGAAGGTGCCTGGTGCAAGTTGAAAGTGCCTTGTTTGCAGAGCTTGCCAGCTGAGAGCCCGAGGTGACAGCGGGGAAGTCCGTTGCCAGCCTGCCGGGTATCGGAAAGGTGCATGGGCTTTTCGTTGTTTGCCGAAAATTTAGGGTGTTGCTTGCAGGAATCAGTCAAGAAGATTGACCAGTACCTTGAGACTGGCACCTCGGCCGCCTTGGCCATGGGGCATCCTATTCTTTCAGCTTCCGCATACTGTGAGGCCAGATCGAGAAGCTCGAGAAGTACCGGAACGGGGAGGAGTGATCGGGAGCTGCCTTGTCCAGCAAAGTCGCCAGCAAAGCGTCGTCACAGCAGGAACCTGCTGTCTTCTGGCCAGATGTTGCACAGTAAAATCTGTGAGTCCTTGGCGGGCACAGCAACCATCATGTTCAGGCTGCTGCCAGTGCAAGGCTGTGCCATGTTGCGTTGGCAGTGCGACCTTCGGCCAGATCGAAGCTCAGCTCCTGTGATTTTAGCAGTAGCTAGCCTGTGTCTTGCAAGCATTCTTATTCGTATTTTCCCGAGTTGAATGGAGTGCAGGGCCCAGATGTGAAGGAAGGTCCATTTAAAGTACAGATGGAGACGACGGAGCAGATCGTTTTGCAATGCTTCAGGCGTTGGCCTGAAACACGTCCACCAAAGCCTGGGAGAGTCCATAAGCACAAGCCCCATCCTCACTTCCTTCGCGCCATATTCGCTTTTGCCCGTTCGGGTCAAGGTGGGAGGAACGGAGTCGCACGACAGCTCGTGCAAAACACCATTTACACCGGTCAGAAACTCTCGCACAAGCTCCCGTGCTTTGTGTTCTCATTCCTTGACCTTCTGTACGCAATGTCACTTTGCGCAGCCCGTGGAGTTTGTCAGGTGGCTTATGTCAACAGGGCTCCAGGCTGCGAGGTCGTTCTGCGCATACACATTGCCATGCCGGCATCGGAATGCCAAGCGCAAACACTTCGCAACCACATGCTGCAGTCGTGATGAGCAAGCTCGGGTGCAACTGAAATTGCAGGGCTTCGTCACCGATGATGACAACACTATACAGACTTATACAACAATGGCGCATCTCCAGCCCACATCTGGTCTTTCTGTGGACGAGTTACTCCTTAAACCTTGGGATGTGGATGATTTGTTCAGCGATTGCGATGCTTGCAAGCAGATCCTTCCTGCAGCAATCCTCTTGGCCTCCGCAGACAAAACCTTCTGTGGGCAGACTTCTGATGTGCTAGACTGCTAGAATGGGTTGCAGCAGTTGGTCGGCCGGTAAAGCATGGAAACAAGAGTGAAGCAAGGAATGCCCTGGACCACAATCCTGAGTGTGAGTGCTTGTGTGTGTGTGTGGGGCAATCCTCATAGTGGCCAAACAAAGCCTTTCCTCGCCGGCACCTCCATTTCCCTGTGTTGCCTTCTTTGCCCAGCCTTGATGCTCCTTCCGCTGCTCGCTGGCGCAAAAACGATCGGGGGGTAACTGCTCTATTATCATTTTGGGCGCGTTTTCTGGCTGCACGTCCATCACGAAAAAGTGGTGGACACACCGTGCCTGTGTTGCAACATGGAGTCCATACACAACAGGACTTAGCTTAATGCGTCTCCTGTTCTTACACCACGTTGGACCGAGCAGATGGCAGATGGCCTCTTTGAAAGGGCGTGCGGCAGCTGGACCTGTTGAGTCCCAAACAAGAGGTCGAGCAATTTCAAATTTCAAGTGCGGACTTGTGATCCACACCACCATGTTCGACTCGACGCACTTGCTAGTGACCGTGTCAAAATCAGCAAATGCATGATCCACACCAACCTTGGACTTCAATACTGTGATCGCCCGCCAATTGGAAACACCAGAAAGAGCGCCCGTCTGCGAGCATGTTGAGTAATGAATCTTGCCAGGAGGCTCCAAGCATTGTTCTCGCATCATGCCGTTGTAAATTTCCAGCAGAGTTTCATGCATTGAGCCCGTCACCGAAACAACTCAAGCAACATCCCACGTCAGCGCTTGCGCATTGACAGGAAAACCTCCCATTAACTTCCGGAAGATGGGAAATCATTCTGCAAGAAAAAAGCGTGAAGACAATGTCACTCAGGTTGGCAGTGATTCCTTGCATGGATGGCATCTCACTTTTGTCCACATGCATTGAACAAATTGGGTCGTGGAATGTGGCTTTCATTCTGCCCAAACTTTGAAAATTTATCCAAACGGCCAATCAACTTCTTGTTTGGCGCTGAAATGTTCGCGGCACCTTTCGATTTTGCTTGGACAGCATGCTTCGCTCAAACGCTCAGCGGCCTTCGGGCACACTCGGTGACGGGTAATCATGTGGCGTTCGTAACACTACAGGCCTACGGGCATGCCCGCGTTTTCGTCACTCCTGGACCAGTTCATAATGTGCATCTGCTGGAAAGCCTGTGGGGCTCAGACAGAACATGTACATACTGCCGGGCAGCTGCGAAGCCGCGTTGATGACATGTGCTTTGGTGGCAACACAGGAGTCACAGACGTGCTTTTTGAACAGGCATGTTGGCCTGCGCGGGCCAGTTCCATTCATGTAGGGCCATGGCACATACTGAGGACATGGGGCAGCCCTGCGACGATTAGCAACCCGGAAGCAAACAATGAGTCTCCTCGGTGGACACGATGTTTTGTGCAGCACCTTCGCTTGCAACAAGGCCTCGCGCAACTGGAGCGTGGAGGTGCCTTATCTATGGAGCAAGCACGAGCAAGCAGAACGATTATGTACCTTGTTCTCTTGGATTCGTGTGATGCCATTGAAGGCTGGGATGGGATGCGCCCAAACACGCTTCCGCGGGGCGAGGTGCCGCTGGTAGGGCAGGGTTCGGCAACTAACAAACAACTTGAACAGGCTTGCCAGCGATTACGGCAGCAGCTACGGCCGGATTCCGCTTGGCATTTGCAGTTTTCGCACGTTGTGGCATCTCAAGAATCTCAGAATGTCAGGCTGTGATTGTGGCAGTACTGGGATACTGCAAGTTTTTGCATGCATCTGATTTTGAAATTGTGTTGATACCTCGCGTCGACCAGGGAGGCGCAAGAACAATCGGAAGCTATGCGCTTGGATGCTGTGTGGAGCTTAGGGGCTAACCGGTGTCCGCATGTGCAGCCGGTTCCTGGTGCCCAAACATGCCCAAACCGCTGCGAGATTTTGACAAGGAGACGTATAGTTTAGTTGGCTTCCAGCCATGAATGGCGGTTGCCGTTTGGCGTGTGCTCCTGGTTCTTCTCCCCCATGCCAGAGGCATGTTGATGGATTCCAGGTCGCACAGAGACTTGCAATCCTCATCCAGCAGACAGAGAGGGATGAGAGAGAGAAGAGAGAGAGAGACGGAGGAAGAGGGAGAGGGCCGACCCAGAACCCCAAATTGATGTCAACACTGAATGTAAACATGTTTCATACCTGGTGTCATGGCAAGGATATCGGGATACCTTTGCACTTTTCTGGCTTGCTGAACTCGTCGCCCCTTGGAACACACACCTCTGGTTTACGAAGCCCTGCCCTCCCCACCTTAAATCCCCCACCCGCAACCTGAGCTTCAGCTTCTGAGCCCCACCTTGCATTGCCTCGCATCGGTTCAGGCACACTGCAAGGTCCGCTGATGCTGATTGTTTCGTGTTCAGCTAAACGACGGATAGCTTGCGGTGCATAGCCAGCATGTGCCTGCTTCAGCGTGACCCTTCGCCCGTCCTTATGGCGTCTTAGGGCATCTTCATGTATCTCGCTTCGTGCTCGTCAAATGCAGCCCAGTGTTGATAACAATTCGGGTTCTTCTGCATCCTAGGAATCCTTGGACATGTCTCTATAGGTCATTGGTGATGTCCTTTTTTCTTCTACACGTCTCTACCGTGCAAAAGTGCATGTTGCTGTTGAGCTTCTTCAGCACAGGACTCCCAAGAATGTTGCACCCGCGATACATAGGCTGCACGCCAAGTTCTTCGTTCTCCGACCTCCGCCGGAGCTCCGGCAGTTGCGTGGCAATTCGTTCGAGCCGTGCGCCTAGACATGTCGGCGCAGTTGCATACGCAACAGATACCACGGCACTTTCTTCCGTCCTTCTGCAGTAGATATTTGCCAACCTTGCCATGCCTCGAGATCCGCTGCGCTATTGTCAGGTGTGAGTACTTTGGGCACATGCGACTCGGAGAAATATAGTTCCCCTTCAAGAAGCAGTATACAGTATACTGACCCAAACTTGGAAGTAGACAGGCTTCTTTTCGTTAGGCCGGATGATTCGGAATCTGGGGGACTGAGGGTTGCTATGTGGATCCCGATGAGTCCCGATAGTGTTGACAGAGAGACTGAGGTACAGCTTCGAGTATATGTACACAGATTTTTTCGAATCTTGGATGCTCCTTGAGGGCAGTATTTTGGTTCGGGGGCAAATGTCCATCAAGCAAGGAGATGAACCGACAATTTCTTGCCGACTCCGCAGAAGAGGCTGACTTCGTAGTACTCGAGCATTGTGTGACGTACGCTTACCACGTCCTCCGTGCAGCCCTCAGAGTGTTCGAAGTTTCTGTCTTGCTGCTTTGCGTGCATCCGATATCCCAAGCACTCAACATGGCTTGGACAGCACTTGGACTTAGGCTATGGGGCCGGTTTCAACACTGTCAAGCTGACTTGGGAGGCATTGAGGATTGCGCAGGCTGCGGCACAGCATCCAGAGCCAGAGCACGGGTAGAAGTAAAACGCATACCCCTGGTAGGAATCTTACCTCATGCCCTTGATTCATTGGGCGGAGACTACGCCAGCGTACCAGAAGTCGCAGGGAAGGTCGGTTGTTCTGCAGTTGAATGCCCACAAGCACCGTGAGCATCGCGGGCCTTGACAGGAACTTTGTCATTGTTTTTGCCATGGACAAGGGCCGAGTTGATTACCCAATGGCATCAAGAGCCACCCAGCACTGGCATGCTATCACAACTGCCGCTTGCCAGAGTTTGCCACACCACGGCTTGGGCATCCCACTTTCCCCCTCATCGCTTGCATCAGTCTTGCATCTTGTATTCCGAAGTTGCTAGGTCGGAAATGGCACGCTGGGGGCTCAGAGCCACTGCACCATTGTATCGGCAGCGGCTCATTTCATTGCATGACCTGGGTTTGCAACACCTGCTGAAAGGACTTGGATGAAGAGGACAAAGAGAGTACAAAGAATACTTGGTAGAACTGCTGTTTGATTATGTTGTTTCTTCTGGCGCCGGGTGCTGGAATTGTGAGGGTTGGTTCGGGTGGTTTATTCCTCGATGAGACTCAGGCAATTCACGTATTCGTTTTCATTCTCATAGTTGCAGTTCCTATTCCCAGGGATGGGCTTTTTTGGTCCCACTACCCCCCGATTCCTTTCTCCTCCGTCCTCCCACCCCTCATGCCTCCTTCCTCCTTGCTCCCTCCCCACTATGTCTAGTCAGCAAGCAAGTGGAAGTTCGCGATCGATTGAGCACGTCTGCTTAACCCTCTTCCCGCCCAACCTTCCCCGACACAGCTACGACATGCTACGACTCTGAAAAATAGACCCTAGAAAGAAAGTAAACCCCTTAGAATTAGAAAGGGGGTCTGAGAAAACTTCAGCAGTATCGAAATTCCAGACCATCACACTTTAGAAAAACCAAAAACAACACGAGCACCGTGGCAGCTTCCGAGTAGCACCGGAAAGCCCTAAAGATGGGGGAGCAGAGCATAGCAGAGCCACCTTCTGAAACCTTTTGCCAGGAACCAGCCGTGGTTCCGACCAGACATAGCATCGGCAGCTGATCCATGCAAGGGTCGAAGCAGCACATCAAAGAGGTGGGGGGGCTACTTGGGACTAGTATGGTGCCTTTATGCCGACTAGTAGTTCCTACAAGCCTAAGATGGCTGCGCACGGCTCAATTTGTGGACCAGGCGGTTGGTCTACTACGAGCAGGACGATGTGCAGCATAATTCAGCTGAACCCTCTTGGACGCTCCATTTTCGAGGATGTCGTGGTGCCCGTGCCTACGAGCTTCGACTGGAGCTTGGAGGCCGAACAGACTGAAGACCGGCACTTGCTGGTGTTTTACGCCGCCTCTCCGACGCTTTGGCCTCTTTATGACGTGTTCTGTTTTGTTTCACAAGCACGCTACTTGTAGGCTTTGCCCAGACTTTAGAGTCCAGGGTTACAGGCTGCACTTCGTGGTTGACTCAAGGAACAGCTGCATCAGAAGAGCGATCGCCGACCAGCTTGCTGCATCAGATGACGCAGAGGTTCGCACAGCTTATGTCAGTACATGTCAGTATGTTGCGGCACTGCAAGCAGGGTGCTACCAGTAGCCCCGCATCCGGTGTAGGTGCTGGTCATTCCGAAGCCAATTCCCAAGAAGCCTTGGAGCGATTTCCTTTTCCGGTCCAAGTTCTGCTGCTCGGTTTGCAGGGGAGCAGACTACGTACGTGATGCCAGTTTGTGCCACTCTGTGGGACTGAGGCTTGGTACCTGATGGATTCTCCTCAATCTCAGCCAGGCTTTATGAGGCGTCCATTACTGCGAAGTTGGTGCTCCCTAGCAGGAATGTCTGCATCGCGTTTGTCCTGGGTGCAGGTCCTCTTGCATGGCTGCGTGCCGGTGCTTTTGACCCATGCCTTCCATCCGCTGGCTGCCAAGTTTCAGATGGCGTGAGTTCTGCATTCGAAAGTTTCTGCATGTTTCCCGTCTGGGCCAGAACCGCAGAAAACTGTCTCATGCGTGTCCGGTCACATTCAACAGGTGTGACACAACCTAGGCCCTTCGAAACCTTGATCGACTGGCGGCGGATTGCCGTTTTCCTGCACAACAGCCAGGTGCTGCTCACATGACCCCTTTAGACATTTTGATAGGTCCAGTGAGCTTGCAGGTAGCTGATGCCCCTGCCATCTTGCGGAACATCTCAGACGAGGAAGTCGGTGTAGGTTGTTGTGGGGTGCTTGCTTCCAGCACAAGTGTATCATCCTGAGCAGCTGAGGAGTATCTTGCAATGCACAAGCAGGTGGCTCGGGTTCGGCGCCTTCTGACCCTTGGATTGGAGGAAGACATGTCATGCCATGAGTTCTGTGCCCAGATCAATGCATGTGCACCTTCATGCTTCCAAGCCCAGGAATGTTCATGCTGCTTCGGCTGCAAAGGGTGGGCTTGCAAACGCTGAATAACTTTTTGCTTGGTTGCCATGTGAGCTCAGCCCACTGGACCGCACAATGCTGTTCACAGCGAAGGACATGCCTTTTTGGATAGCTACAAACATGGAGTTGATGCAGCGCAAGCAGCCACCTTGAACAGAGCATTGGCTCCGGACCGCGACCCGCGTTGACCGTGCCGACGGGCAAGCTTTCTCGAAGGACCACCAAGACATGGCTGAAGGACGCTGAAGGATGCTACACGCCCTTCAGTGCTTCCGTCTCGAGCCACCAGGGCATCTGGAACTCCTGCGGCACTCCGGCGAACCGGTGGAGCCAGCCGAGTTTTGTCCTTCATGTGGTAGCCTACGGTGGCTTCGCAGCGTGGCGCAGCGACCGTGACTGCCGTTGGAGTCCATCCTCTTGAAGCGAGGCGCCGGTCGTTCAGAATTTCTGGGAACGTGGGGGCACGAGGAAGAGAACCAAGGCCATTTTGGCCTCTCTTGGACCAGGCTGTTGGAACACGGAAGATTTGACGCGGCTCAGAATTCTTGGACTGCGAACTCGGTCTCAAAAAAAAGCCTTACGCGTGCTGCACGCCGGATAGCTTCTGACATGTTCTTGTGCCGAAATTGGTTGCAATTGGGGGTTGCCCAGGCACGACTTGCCGATGCCCTCCAGAAGGACAGCTGCGTGCTAGTGCCGCTGGTGCCTATGCCTACAGAACGCTGTGACTGTGTAACAGCGATGCCTCGTTTGGGCGCAGGACAGCACAGGCAAGTCAGAGCTGTGGCGATGACCTCAGCGACATTTGCTGAGCAGAAAGCGGTGAAGCAAAAACCTACGCAAACTCAAAAACTTCTTCGCAGAAGGACAGAGAGAGAGACAGAGAGTCTGCGCAAGAGCGTGCTTCGGCACGGTCGCGGAGAGAGAGAGGTGGCCCCATACTCATAGCCCCAAGAAAGAACAGCGAGAGAGTCTTCACGTTCTCCAAGGATGGATCAGCGGGGCCAGGAGCGGTAGCGAATTACAGTGTATCGATGTGTGTTGTTCCTTGTGTTCTGATTTATCTAGGTCAGTGCTGCACGCGTTATGGACGGGTGCAGTTGCACTTGGTATCGCTTGGGCCCTCAGAAGGGATAAAGTCTGCATGTTTGCTGGAGGAGGCGAGCCCTCCGTCCTTGTCCAGGCCTTGGCAAACGCCACGCTCCCAAAGATTCCACGTGGGAAACACGCCAAACGCCTGAGAAGCGCAGGAAGCACTTTACATCGCAGCCCTTGCGTCCAGCACCACCTGGCGCCGAAGGAGGGCACTTTATAGCCTGGGCCACGAGAGAAGCGTATGAGGAAAAGCACTGGTGAGTGTACTAACACTCAGGCTTCTTGCATGTCCTGATCCATGCTCATCCTGCTTGTGCTCCGAGGCCCCGCGCCGACAACAGAACTTGGAATGCGTGAGGCCACCACTGACCTACGAGGCCTGCCCGGAGCATAGTGGAGCAGCTACTCTGTTGCGATATCCCGTGCCGTGATCTTGATCGTGGCTTTGATGTCCCCCATTGGTTCCGGCAGAACAAACACCTGTGTGACATTGAAATCTGGTAGCTCTTGCAGCCTCAGTCTGCGAGTGTGACGGAAAAGACATTAAGATACAGAAGCACTTGCAAGAGTACCTGTTTGGGGCTGCATGCCCCTAACATTCAAAAAGGCTTCTGGGATCTGCGGCATGCTCCCCCGCTTTTCCTCTCTGCACAATCACCCTCGACATACTTGCAGAAGTTTAGATCTGAAGGACGCGCCTCTTCAACTCTTCCACTAGTATTTCACGCCTGAAAGGTACGCGTTCATGAGGCCATCTCGGCTGCAGCATCGCCTCAACATCGTTCGCCTTTGCCAAAGGACCTGAGCACATCATGCACTCGTTTAGCATAGATACAAAGCCCATTAATCATTGCCCGTCGAAACAAACTGCTAGTTCTTAGACAATTCCAGGAGATCGGCGCGAAGCCGTCATACGGCCGGCATGTAGTTGGAGGCTTGGCATGCAGGGGTCCCACGGTCCTCCGTGACCGAACCGAAGATGCATGCTCATGAATGCTCACGAAGCGTTGAAGCCCCAGTGCTGAGAGGACCTGATGCTCCGCTCAAAATCGCACTGCCCTCGTGAGGAGGTGTCTGCTTTTCCATGTGATGCAGTGTGATGCACTCTCTCAATGTCCTGCGATCGGAGCAGCTTGCGTTTAGTTTGCTGTTGCACTACGCCTGAAGTGCTCCAATCCATTTTTTCGCACAGGACAAAGCCGGAAATGCCTAAGCTAATTCAAGCCAGACATGTTGCCAGGGAAGTTTTTTCAGCAGAAGCTTTGTCTGCCCACGCCATAACGCCAAATGCTGCAGCAGCGGACTCCTGGTTGAGTCACCATGTGGCGCATACGGCGTTTAACCTGATGCGTCCTTGGGCACATCGCCGGCCTCCTGGCCTTCGCCGCGCCTGGGTGCGTCTGGCCGCGGCCTTTCCCGAAGCTTTCGAGGGAATTTCCAAAGATGTTTGCAAGTGCTTAGGCCATTGGGGCATTTCTTCTTCAAGCGGCTGTGGCCCTTACCTTCGCCGCTTTGCTTGTTTTTCGCATGAGACGAGTGCATGTGCGGTTCGGGGTGGTGAATGTGCATGAAGTCAGCGCAAATGTCGGCAACCTAGGTCCCCGCACCTTTGCGGCCAGGCCGAAGGGAGTGGATCCGACCAGCGGCAGTCCCTACATTGGCTGAGGCGCGTTTTGACCCAAGCAAGTCGCCCAATTCCAGTCCCGAAGCCCAACTCCGAGAGAACAACTTGGCTCTGGACCTGCTTGGCCTGCAAGGTCTGACAGTAGCATCGTTGTTGCCCTCCACTTGATAGGGTTGGGGCTTCGGGGTTCAGGGGTTAGGGTTTCAGGCCTGTCATTGACTGAGCGCCTGTGGAGAGATGGGTTAGGGTTTAGGGGGGGTGGGGGGGTCTTTTCTTTTTCGGGTGGGGGGCGGGGGGTTACCTGGAATATGCGCGGGCCCCTTTTGTACGCACTCTCCTCCATTTGCAGTTGTGTCAGGAATCCGTGAGCGATCCGTTTGTGTCCGGCAAGCCGGGCCGAGCTGGAGGCGGAGCAGGTGTAAAAATCACGTTGAAGCAGCATGAAGCTGCACGCCACCTGTTTTGAAAAAGCCGCCAGGCCTCCTTACCCCCTTCAGACACATCAAGAGAAACATGTCACGCACCCCGCGCCGACGTGTCTCAGACCCTTAACTTGAGCCCGAGAGGAATTTTTCTCGCACCCAGACCATGTTGTCATGGAGAGGATGTTCCTTATGCCTTTTCTTCAGAAAACGCGCCAAGCCGCAGTGCAAGCACATGTGACATGCGGAGCAGCTGAGCAGCTCCCCTGACAGGTGGAGGTGGCGATGGCCCCACACCACAAGAGCAAGTCCAGGCAGCTACGCATGCTATGCACTTCACATAGCAATAGGTTCGCCTAGCAGACCAGCATTACAAACTGCTACCGACCTCGCAGGTGATTGTGTATCGGACGGCGTTGGCTACAACGGTGCCTGTGATGCTTGTGATGCCTTGACACTTGTGCGGATTTCCTGCAAGTGCTTTTCATGCTTCCATGTTCAACATGCTTTTGCTTTAGGCGCTGTGCTGGGCTTGTACCTACACCCTGGACTTCTTCATGACGAGTGGCATCTCTGTGATTGACGGCTCCATTCAGGTGCAGGGCATGCATCGCAGCTAGTGTCCTCAGCCCCGTGAGGATACTTTTGCAAGCTATTTTTAGCTGTATGGGCGTCAGCGGACATTGCAGATTGCGGCAGGAAGCTTTCTTTCAGTGGTTTGAGGGCTTATGTGTCAGCTTGCTGTGCCCGCCTTCATCAACACTTTGTGCAAGTGAATCAGAAAGCTTTGGTCATCGTCCATGTTTGGGCACAGTCAACCTAGCTCGTTCAGCGTGAGGGCCGTGAGGGATACTCATACGAGTCACCCTTCCATGGAGTTTGCCACTGTGGCTCGTTCCAAGTTTCATTTCAGCACAATCAAGACGGCTGTCTTGCTCAGACCTCGTGTCATTAAACTTTAGAGGCATCTCTGGGGTTGAGTCCTGTCGATGCATCGAGCCAATGAGGGTTGCGGGTGCGAACGCCTATATGCTTAGGGATGCCACAGGGCCTCAGACGACCCGTACCTCGAGTTAAAAACATCGTTTGAGTTTTGGAATTCGCCGGGCGCGTTAAACCTCATGTTTATGCACATTCAGACACACATGTGCCAAGGTGAAGGATCCCTCTTTCACGACATCGTAAAATCACAGTCGCAGTAGCAAATGGGGAAGATCTGAAGCTGGAGGGTGAAAGGGGCCGTCCTTGTTAGACCAGGGGGTTGTCCACGCGTGCCCTCACAAAATCCACCCAGACATTGATGTTGCAGCGTGTCGAGGCGGACATCATCACAACCAAACACAAACACGACATGTTTCCTAGACGGTGCTTCGGCGATGTCCATGGTCTCTATAAGCACCAGGACACCAGGAAGGAGATGACACCTAGCCCTCAGAAAAAAACAAAACACACACACACACACACAGACACACAGACACACAGACACAGACAGACACACACACAGACAGACACACACACAGACAGACACACACACAGACAGACACACACACAGACAGACACACACACAGACAGACACACACACAGACAGACACACACACAGACACACACACACACAACACACACACAGACACACACACAGACACACACACACACACACAGACACACACACACACACACACACACACACAGACACACACACACACACAACACACACACACACACACACACACACACACACACACACACACACACAGACACACACACACACAACACACACACACACACACACACACACACACACACACACACACACACATCACACACACACACACACACACACACACAACAACACACACAACACAACACACAAAACACACACAACACAACACACACACACACACACACACACACACACACACACACACACACAACACACACACACACAACACACACACACACACAAAACACACACACACACACACACAACACACACACACACACACACACACACACACACAAACACACACACACACACACACACACCACACACACACACACACACACACACACACCACACACACACACACACACACACACACACACACACACACACACACACACACACACACACACACACACACACACACACACACACACACACACACACACACACACACACACACACACACACACACACACACACACACACACACACACACACACACACACACACACACACACACACACACACACACACACACACACACACACACACACACACACACACACACACACACACACACACACACACACACACACACACACACACACACACACACACACACACACACACACACACACACACACACACACACACACACACACACACACACACACACACACACACACACACCACACACACACCACACACACACCACACACACACACCACACACACCACACACACACCACACACACACACCACACACACACCACACACACACACCACACACACACACACACACACACACACACACACACACACACACACACACAGAGACAAAGGCGCATAAAGCACTCTGCAGCGGAGATCGCGCTGCTCAGCGCGTTGCTTGTGTTGCTTGTGTCGAGGCGGCTGCTCAAGCTGTAGCGGATGTCAGCGCCAGCATTGCGGCAATAGCTGCGCCCACCGGCTCCAGGCTTGTGGCAGGCCAGGTGATGCGGCGCTTTTGTGGCTTTTGTTTCAAAAGAGTCCTTCTCGGCCCTGCAGCAATGTAGTGCTATGTAGTACTTCAGCACTGCTCATCACAACCCCTGGCTAAGGCATCCTTTTGCGGCTTCTGGGGGGTGCAACTCTGGCATTGGCTGTTCTGGGGCTGTCTGCGCCAGACGCTTAGAAGCCTCTTCCAGTTGATGTGATCACTGCCGTTTTTCTATTTGTATGATATATTAATAGAGAGGCCCGGGACTTTGGGTGCTGTGGCAGGCCCGTGCTGCGTGGCAGCTCCGACGCAATTAAACTGCAAGATGCTGCAAGCGCTTACATGAACCTTCTGTTTGGATGCGTGTCAGCTTGAGACCAGGTACTGGTTTGCGCCCGCGAGATCTTTTGGTTCGGATGGTCCTACAAGGCCAGCTGCTGTGCTGGCGCTCGAGGAGGTAGGCAGAGGTAGGCCTGAGAGTCGTAGAGGTAGATGCCATCTTCAGCCTCGTCCTGTTCACCGGGCTGGCGGGCCTCCGTTTTGCGGCATCGTCAGCTTCCACCAGCGAGGCCAAAGAGCAAAGAGCAACCCCTGGAGCCTCGATAGTGCGGAGCTCGTGCTACAGACGCCAGACACCGAGTGGAGCGACCTGCAAGGCGTTAGCGCCAGAAATGCCGGTCGCGGGCCCAGAGTGAGCATGGGCAGCGACTGTGCAAAAACCAAGACCCTTCCTTTGGGCCGCAGGAATTTGAGAGCTGGGATCAGATGCCGACCGTGCCGACCTTGTTCGACGTGCGACCTGTGGGGCCGCCACTGCTGCTGTCCTTCGGCTGCTACATCAGCCTCTCCGTGTCAACCTTAGCCAGCTTGCTCGAGAGAGGCCCGTGGCGGACCGTGCTTTGGCCCTGAAGCGGATTGTAGAACTCGAGAACTTGGTGGGAATTTTTTTTTGGCTCGAAGGTCTAGCCTTTTTTCACCCACTGGTAGTTGTAGTGGCCTGGTAGAGGAACTGGAGGAGCCATGCTTGCTCTGGAGGCCGGGTGGGGAAGGCTCACCATCGTATACTTTCCGGATATGTGGCAGAGTGGGTGAGAGGGCCGAGAACGCCCCGGTGGCCCTGCAGGAAAAGACGAGAAGCGTCGTCCTTCTGATGCCACAGCTCATTCTCGAGGGGAAGGCATAATGTCGGTGGGACCCTTCCATGTTGCCTGCGGAACCCCTGTGAAATCAGAGTGCTCCGTGTGCAATCGCAATTTGTCATATTTGTTTCTTGCCCTATGCGTATGCACATGTGACTGCGAGGCAGACGAGCTCGTTAGCAAGTTCGAGGAGGCCGGCGGCGATTTGACCAGCCGAGCGCGGATATCTCAAGCCCGTTCCAGGCATACTTAGAGGTGAAAGCGCGCAAGGAGGTGTACCTCGCTGAAGAAGCCGTAGCTCGGCAGCAACCCCTCGAGACTCAGAGAGGGCTTGGGTCCACAAACCCATGCAGAAAGCCCTGAACCCCTGAACTGCAGTTAGATTCGCAGCAGGTATGGGTCTTTTGTGGCTCGAGTCTGTAAAGTCAAACTTCAGAAGTGATTTGAGTTTGCACAGTTGCCCTGTCTCGATGTCTCCTTGCAGTGGGCACAAGAATTCAATCCCCCCCCCTGGGCAAACACAAATCCCAAGCCAGCACCCTCAATCCCTGTCCAAAGTCTAACACGATTTGCGTCCCAGGTTAGATGGGTGGCAAACACAAGCCCTCTAACATCCTTTGACCCACTCCAAAGTCCCAAATCCCAAAAGGCCCTAAACTCAGGAGAGCTACTTCCACTACTTGAAGCCCAAGGCACGGGAGGCTGCGGCGCAAGCGGCGAGCCGAGGGCTGTCCCAGGCGCTGTGGAATGTTCACCTGCAGGGCAGCTCACACAGAGGGCTGCAAGGACGGATTTTGAGTTTGCGTTCTTTCTTGTTGAGTGTTTTGTCAGGGCTGATGCTCTAGGTGTTCACAGGATTTCACATGCGGGCCGTCCAGATGCCCGGAAGATGCAGAGAGCAATCAGACAGACACCTTTGCTAACCATAGACGGGCAGACATGTTGCAGCATGCCCAGCGCAGTGATTCCAGTAGCTCTCTCTCTTGTCGCACATAGTATCAGGCACCACACCCAGGCCAGAATCAGCAGCATCAGGGGCCAGCATCAGCAGCATCAGGCACCACACCCAGGCCAGCATCAGCAGCATCAGGGGGGCCCCGCTTCTCCTTCGAACGTCTCAGAAAAACACTTACCAAAGAAACCCAAATCTAGCCCAAAACAGGCCCCCTTGGCAACGATGGTTCTCCCGGCACCAGACCGGGGATAGCCGAAAAAACCCACCAAAAATGTCCCCACCCCCCCCACCCCCCCCACCCCCCCCGCACCCCCCCCCGCCCCCGACAACCCCAGGCTCACTTCGTGAGGTATTGAACGAAGCTCCCACGCTTTCGTGTGAGATTAGACATTTGTTACTTGCCTCGACGAACTTAGCCTGGATCCGCCTTTTGTTTTTTTTGCTCGCTTGGCTCTGCAATGGACAGGGCCGGCGTTAGGACAGACAACAGGCAGTGGGCTATGTTAGAGTGGAGACTTGTCAGAACAATGCTAGCTCGTTCGTGACCAGAGCAGCGGCACAAGACGGGATGAATAGCTGGAAGCTCGCTGCAGAAAGCGTTCTCGTGGAGTGAAACCCGCAGTGCTTGAATGTCATCAGCCAAACATTCTAAACATCGGCAAGCCTTGACCTTGATACTTGGCTGTGCTTCGCTGGGCCTCTCTGTTCCTGTAAGCTCCGTGTCCCCAGTCCTAGGCCTATTAGAGCTTTCGTCCCAGCCCGTGGCTCTCAAGTACTGGGTCGGTTTGAGGATTTCAGGGGAAGGCCATGCCTACATAACTGCCATGAGAGGTGCTAGTACTGGAACATCTGGATGGCGACGTGGTGGAGCGTTCCCTCGCCATGAAGGAGGCCCCACGCTCTTAACCTAAATTGCGCACACGGGGCACGAGATACCGGTTGACGAGCCCCCAGCAACTACCGGATCTTCTCCAGGGCAACAGGCGCAGGGATTTTGCGGCGCCCCTGGAAAGTCAGATGTATGTAGGTGTGCATGCATGAATGCATGTCCTTTATGGGCCATGGGCGTGACAGATGTTCCTGAATACAGCTTGGAGACGTGGTCCAAGTCATCCTTGTGGCAGGGCTTGGAGGAGACGTACGGCAAAGGCTGGCTTTGTGGACAGAAGCCATAAGCTGCCAGTATTATTTTGTTTCGCGAGCCAAAGCTGGTGCAGGAAGTTTCTACATGAGCTTGGACAAGTGGGAGTGCCAGCGACACTGGGCTTTTTTAGCAACACTTCGCGTGCCGGCCACCCTCTTGCGAGTACTTTTCCCCAACATGCTCCAGAGCATCTTGAGCAAGCAACATGGAGAGCTCCGCAAAAACCCCTTTCAGTGCTTGAGAGCTGCACCTTCATCGAAATTCAGAAACGAAGGAGACATCGAGTTCTTCTTTCCTCACTTGGATGCCTTGCCAGTGGAGCGCACCCTAGCGGCCCCTTTGCTGAACAATTGGTTCCCAGTACAGGTGTGATGTCAGCACGGGACAGACATTTGACTGTACGTCCTGCACCAAACGAAGGTAATCAAGCCTGATGCTGTCCAGCAGGGCGAGAAGGGTGGAAAGACCGCGGAGCAAGTGGTCGAGGTTCCAGGGTTCGGGTTCGGCCGAAACTGCTACAAGGCTGGCCTAGGAACAGATTGCACATCTGAGCTGGGTGATAGGACGAAGCAGCGCAGCTGGGGCTGTTCGTGGTCGCCAAACAGTTCCTTGCTTGCACAGCATGCGAGTGCCCATGGCATGCCAACGCATGGCTAAGTCCCACTGTTTCATGCAACAAAATACACCAAGCTGTACCTTTGCCAAGAGAGAAGACAAATGTCGGGTATCCAGGTTGCACACGCCCGACGAGGCACAAGCGAAGCTTATTTGCAAGGCGGCCTGGTGTGGGAAACCCAGGGGACAGACGAGTGGTGAGTGCTAAGAGCGATGCGGCATGAAACAAAGTTTGTGCAGTTTTTCGTCGTCGCCTTTTTGAGTGAGCACGCCTTCGGAGAAGTCCGCACGTGAAACGGATGCACGTCCCTAGATAAGCAAACTGGACCTTAGCTGCAAGAGCAATCTAGCGCGACAGACAACCATTAGTGCTTGCAGCTTGAAGGGTGAATTGTGCTTGACGCCCCAGCCAAAGACGATTTCGACTTGAAACAATGAGATCGATAGCACGTCCCTTGGGAAGTTAAGGTACGTGGTTGATAGATGTCATGATTGCTTCGGTTCTGGAGACGGACACATTTCTTGAGTGCAGACGGCAAATGCCCAACAATTGTCGAAGGGCGGCGGAGACAAAACCTATCAACCCCTCCTCGTCAAACACGTCGTCAAGCCTGCAACGGTATTCAGCAGCGCCTGCTCTCTCAACCATGAAGAGGCACAGGTTCAAACAGCCTTAGAAGTCAGAAGCAAAGTGATGCCTCCAGGAGTACGAGGGCAGTGCAGATCTTGCCAATGCCGTTGCGGTGCCAAGCCCCGCTTGGGAGGGTTCAGGGTTGCTTGCTGGAAACGCATTGCCCGGAGTTACCGTTAATTATTGAGAGTGCCGCCTTCAAGCCTGTTTTTGGCCGTTGGCGACTTTAAGGGTTTGCGGTGCTCCTGGAATCTCTGCTTGTTTCTCTTGCCACTTTGCCAGCCACTTTGCCATGTTTTGGCCAGGCTGTGATGACCGAGCCGGGTTGCCTTGTCATGTGCGTCGAAGGCCGAGGTGCCATCGGCAAGATGCAGCTCCTGTGTTGCACATTACACACCGCATGTATGTTCCTAGGTGGTCCTCGGGCCGTTGCTTGCTGCATCCGCATAGATCTGACCTAGTCCGCCCAGGCTCATATGCGGGCCATCACACTCCGGAGTTGCACGGGAGCGCGCCCCCACCACAATCCGCGCACTTTGGGGCACTGATGGCACCAGCAATGCTATGTACGCCAGCAGCAACATGGACGCCGCCGATCAGGAGCTTCCATCATATAAGGGCGAGTAGAGTGACCCAAGCCGGCCGCAACTCATCCCGCGGCTGCGGATCTGCACCTGCCTAGCACCTGCGTAGTACAGCGCAAGGAGATCAAGTCCTTCTTCCCGGACGGTGCGTTGAAGCTCGAGCGCACGCTCTGCATCGTCAAGCCCGATGCCATCGCAAACCTGGCAGGGCGTCACAAAGACAAAGTTGTTGAAGTTCTTGAGCATGTTGCAAAATCTGCTGCAAATTCGGGTCTGATTCGGGTGCTCGCTTGACATTCAGGTCGCCATCAAAACAGAAATCGAAGCGGCGGGCTTCACAGTCCTCAAGGAGAAGCAGACGACGTTAAGCGAAGAGAGGGCCAAGGAGTTCTACAGGAGCCTCTAGGATTCAAACCGGGCTATCTTGGAAAGGGGGTCGGGCTAGTCTAGTATACAGCATCCATGTAGTCAATCTTGGGTCGAAAGCTCGGTGTCCATTGGTTGTCTCTGGCAGGAGCAGCAAGAATGACCCCGCCTTTGCCGCCGTCGTCAAGGAAGCCTCCAGCGGACCTTGCTGTGCTATGGTGCTGTGCCGCTTGGAGGCGGTGACGGTCCTGAAGCAGTTGATGGGGAATGCCTCCGTGAAGGAAGCTAGGAAGTCGCGCCCCGGCTCCCTACGGGCACGCTTCGGCCGGGATGGACAGCGGAATGCCGTCCATGGCAGTGAATCTTTGAAAGACGCCGTGCAGGAGATCCGGTTCTTCTTCTCGGAAATGGGTGTGGACCCATTGCCCGACGACAACGAGGTCAGGGACTTCGTCTTCCGCAAGTCTGCACGCGCCTCCATGGACCTGCAGTCACTTTCTGATGCACAGTCCACGGATTTCGAGCTTGATCCCACGCTGCAGCAACTGATCTCCAATGGCCTCATTGGCTTGTGCAAGGTGAAGCCGCAGGGACTTGCGGCTGTCAAGTGGTTGGCCACCTGGCTGAGCGAGAACAATCCGAACAATCAACCCCCCAAGGCCACGTTTGACCCGCCAACACGCACCAGCCAGTATGTGGAGTCTGGCGTGAACCAAGATGGCATGTCTTTCGTTGTTGAGGCACCTGCGCCCGAAGCCCCATCCAAGCCCGTCGTCGAAGTCACGGAGGAAGACCTGAAGAGGGAGCCGGGTGACAGTGACTTGAAGACACCTCCATTCGTGGTCTTTGTGGCCGGAGGCCCTGGTTGTGGCAAGGGTACCCAGTGCGTCAGGATCAAGGAAGAGTTCAACTTGATCCACCTCAGCACCGGGGACCTTATGCGAGAGGAGGTCAAAGCTGGATCGTACCTTGGTGGAGAGATTGAGAAGCACATGTCTGCCGGCACTCTAGTCCCAGACGACATTGTCCTGGCTCTGCTGAAGAAGGCCATGCTGAAGAACCAAGATACAAACAGGTTTCTGTTGGATGGTTTCCCTCGCGCAGTCGAGCAAGCGCAACGCTTCGAGCGAGAGATTGCGGAGGTTTCCTTTATGCTCTACCTCGAGGCCAGCCATGAAACCATGATGCAGCGAATTAAAGGCCGAGCGGCTACCAATCCAGGCAGAGTCGATGACAATGACGACACGGTGCGCAAGCGTCTGGAGGTGTTTGATCAGCAGACCATGCCTCTTTGCAACTACTATGGCCCGATTGGCAAGTTGCGCAAGGCAAATGCAGAAAAGCCACCAGATGATGTTTTCGCAGAGGTGAAGCGCTACTTCAGCTGCCGCTTCCTGTACTTGCTGGGCCCTCCTGGAGCACCCGTCGAGCACATGGCGGACAAGCTCGAAAAGCAGTATGGCTACTCTGCCATCAACCTCACGGCGCTGCTCAAGAGCTACGCCGACTCCAATGAGGCAGATGCCCCGGCCGTGAGGAAGGCGATGCTGGCAGGGAAGCCGGTGGATGCCTCCATTGCCTGCCCTCTCATTCTCTCCGAGATCTACCGGGACATGGCTCTGGGGGTGCAGAACTTCGTGCTGTCGGACTTTCCTCAGAGTCTGAAGCAGGCCCAGTTCCTAGAGTACCGGGTGTCGAGCATCACCCGGACATTGGTGCTGGATTTCTCACGTGCTGATGCCGCAGATCTCGCGGCCACCATGAGCAGTAAGGACACCCTGGAGTTGGAGCTTCGGTCCAACTACTTCTTCGGACCCGAGACTTCGGAGATGCTCACGTCTCTGAAGGCCGAGCGCATTCCCTACAGTTTGAGCGAAATGCAGACGTCGCAGACGTGCAGCGTAGTAGATGGCACCTGGAAAAAGCTCAGCGAGCAAGTCTTGCCATCCTTGACGGTTGTCCTGGGCTTGCCTGGCAGCGGTACAGATGTACTGGCCAACCTCTTGGCCCAGAGCTCTCCGAACTTTGAGGCAGTCGACTGCAACGAGCTTCTGGACAAGGAGCTGGAGCGACAGACTGAAATGGGATTGGCGATGCACAACATGCTTGCCAAGGGGCAGGTTGTCCCGCTGTCCATGACACTGGAGCTGCTCAAGGGCGTGGCCAATCTGACCTGCTCCGAGTGCCTCATCATCCAGAACTGCCCGCAGTACGTGGATCAGATTGAACTCATCGAGCGCGACTTCCGCATCAAGAAGGTCTACTACATCCACGGCAATGAGGCCGCGGAGAAATCCTGGGCTGAGAGCTTTGCCGCGAAAAGCGAGGGTTCGACCGCGGCCAAGCGCTTCAGTGATCTGCAAAGCCGATTGCCGCCCATTGTTGCCCACTTCAGCCGCCTTGGCTTGCTCGAGAAGTTTGAGGTTTCCGAAACTCCCAGCAAGGAGAAACTTCAGAGCCTCGTGGCTAAGTCCAGGATGCCTCAGTTCGCCATCGTCAGCAGCTTATCACCAGTCCTTGGCGCAAAGAAAGCGCAGGAGCTCTGTGGTGCCTATGGTGGCAGCCCAATCACGGCCAAGAGCCTGGCCGAATTTACAGGCAAAGCTGATGCCGACAGCTCCGACGAGGTTACCATGCTGAAAGCCTTTGCGCAGGGCCGGGCCGAGCCTTTCCTGGTACTACAGGACTGCCCAACCGTGGACTCGCAAGCGCACGCCTTCCTGGAGGCCTTCGGGGCACCGCGAGCTGTGGTCCACCTTGAGTTGCCTGGCAGAATGCTCGAGCTGGCCTGCGTAGCACAAGAAGTAGGTACGAAAACGTCGGAGTCTCCGGCCCTGCTTGAGGTGCGATGATGAGTTCCTTGATGAGGAGTACAGAGGCCTGCGGTCGGTTTTCTCCGTAGATCGTTTTAGACCGCGTGTTTCTTTACCAGGTGCCCCATAACAACTGTCCACTGCTACCTAGTCGCGACCCCAGAGCGAGATTGAGAGGCCTACACGAGGATGAGGAGATTGATGGCGAGCAACTTGCCGAGAAGCTGGCGCAACAGCGAGCCACAATGGAGGGCACCATGAAGGCCAGCAGTTAATCAGCTTGCTTCCGCTACGCGCAACATGACGTGCTGGCTGATTCTCATTGACCCCTTCGGTTTTTGAAGTCTAGGAGTCTAGGAGTGGCGAATCATTCGCAGAGCTAGTCAGGGGACAAGTCCCGTCTTAGCATATGTCCATCCTGGCAAGCATGGCATGGCCCTTGTGTGACCGGCTGCAGGTTTTCAAGGAGCTGTGCCCAGGACGCGCCGCCTTGTTAGTTCAGGGCTCGAAGTCTCCTGGCCACGCATGCCGAATGCTGCAACACTGTGCAGATGTTGCGATGCCCAAACGAGTCGTCAAACGAGTCGTCACACGTGTCGTCGCACGAGTCGTCACACACGAGCCACTGAGTCACATCAGGAAGCTGCCTGGACATTGACAAGAAGATGCGAGAGAGTCCAGCAGATGTGGCTGCAATGATTCAGCAGAAGCTGATGCCGAAGCACAGTTGCAGACTATTCTAAGGGTCCACGCTTTGCACGATGGCGCAAAGGCTTGAAACACGAAATGCTGTGAAGACGAATGCGCACGGTAACCAAGCAATTCTGAGTTCACAAGACGTCGAACTATTGTTGCTTGGCTTAAGACCTGCAGAGACGAAGGAGAGCATGCGAACTGAGGACCGTCTATGTCATCCTGGCTCCGGGCGCTCCGTTGGACTTCGGAAACCTCGTGGCTGAGGCGATTTGCACGACGAGCACTGCTGGAGGTATAGAGGACTGGCCATTTGTCAAGTACTAGAGCAGCATGCAGTAGGGTGCAAGACTTCCGGCGTCGGCCCGTGGGCACACTGTCTTGGCAACAGGAAGGGTTTGTTTTGTTCGCCTGGCTGTTGTTGCAAAGCCGAGAGCGGGGAAGGATGCCCTGCCGTCCAAGTACACGATCCTCGATGCCATGGAGCTTTGCAAGAGAACCTGGGGCAGCGATTGGGGGCTCTACCAGCAAGAAACACGAAAAGGATCTGTACATCTATCATACAAGGGAGTGAACAAATGTACAATTGTGGGGAAGTATGTTCTGTGACATTGCTTCCGAAGGGGATACCTCAAGAACGGAGCAAGACATGATCCGATGGACTACAGGCACGGGCCACAGTCCGGCGCTTGAAGATGCAATTGCCAAGGCTGCGGGCACATGATCCACAGTGCTGATGTATCATAGGGTCATCGAAGATTCCGGAAAACATTTTGTAGCACAAGCTGGCGTCTTCTCACGAGCGCAGGCATCATTCACAGCGGAAACTCCAGAGGCTCAGCTGAATTTTTCGTCAGCTTCCCTGCCAGCCTCCCGCAGCACCCTTCGCTGTGGATGTGCGCATCGTGTTGGCGTTCGGCTGTTTCACCAGAGTTCTTGAGGACAGTTTGCCTGTGAAGGTGTGGGTTCGAAGCTCAGTCTCAGTGTCTTTCCGACGCAGCACAGAGACTCATGAGAATCTGATTTTGGGAGGGTGCTGTGCGGAAGCTGCTGAACGGAACAGGCTGAGATTTGGAAGGAGGCCTTCCTCAAGTCCGCGGACCCCATGGGCACGTTCCTCGTGACGAACTTCCCAACCGTGAACTCTGCGACTCGACTTGAAGAGTCGCATCAACTCGGTGTGGTGGGAGTTGGGCTGAGCTGAAGTAGGCTGGGTTGATGTACATGTTACATGGCACATTGCGGTACATTGCGGTATGTCGGGCTGTGCCCAGGCCCCTGCTGTATTACAAGTAGCATGTTCTGTAATGTTGTCTGAGGTCAAATCCAACAGTGTGCGAGACCAGCTCTCCGTCGTGGAATCCGTTTCAGCTTTGGCAGGCGAGGCTGCCTTCAGAACAGCGACCGGATGTTTACGGTCATGTGAGTCATGTGTAGTCTAAGCCTTTCATTGGCGCAAGGCATCCTGCACGTCAAGCTGGGTGCTGCAGCATTTGCATCATTCGGCCACCCGCCCATGATTACGAGTGCAGCCTGTTGTGTTCGTGCGGCTGGTGAGCTTCTTCACACGGTATCGGTATCGATCGCGAATCAGATTCTCCACACTGATTGCTCCTGAACGCCCCACAACTCAGACGCAGCAATCGTTTCAGTTCCAGTCGTCTTGGAGTTGTCGCTTTCCTCCCCGTAGCGGATATGGCAAAGCATGAACGCATATGAACGCCTTGTCTTCCTGCTCCTCGTGCTGCACTGCTTGCCGCAGTCACGGCATGCGGAGTTGTGGAGATCGATCCAGGGAGTCCTGTAGCGAGCAAGAATACCGGGATGGGGGTTTACGAAAATAGGGGACCCGAATATGGACCCCCAAATAGTTGCATCCCCTTCAAAAAGGGCCCCAATAAGGTACCCTCATTTCGGAAACCCCCATGTGGTCAGTTCTGTTTTGACAAGCCTCCACAGAGAGACCCAGGCAGCACTGACGATGAGCAGCTCGAAGCCTACTCGGCCTTCGACGCTCAGGTGCCAGGGCGTAACAGTAATTCGGAGAAATGACACCAGAGCCGAATCTACATGCCAAGATACATCTTATTGCAGAAGACCTGGCGTAGGAAACGCTGGCAGCAGGGCTGTTTGCGGTTGCCGTCTTGTTGTGCCTGGCAGAGATTTCCGTGATAGCTACTGAGGTGCATGACCAGACCTTGGCCCAATTTGGCCTTGGACGTCTGATGGAATGTGCCCTGGCTTAAGAAAGCAAGTGGAGGTCGACAACACGTCGCTTTTCACGAAGGCAGCAAAAGTGGAAACGTGAAGATGCTCTGGCTGCTTGAGGCCTCCTGAATGAGGCGACAGACAGCGCCACTGCTGCTCAGAAAGTTGCGACACAGTTCTTCAGCTTTCAGGCTCGCGAGATCGTGCTGACTATTCAACCCTAGGCCAACATGGCCTAAACCCTTAAATCTGAAGTTGTTCTCTGCCAGGCCAAAGGCAACGCGTGAAATGCGGGCGAAACTGCCGCTATTTGCGTGGAAGCTTTAGAATTGTGAGACAGTGAATTGCATGAGCTCAAGGCTGCAAGATGAATATCAGCAATAGCGGCTAGCAGTTGCTGGCATATGGTATTCATGGTGTGGCGACTCTTCAGCTTTTGCTCTCTGTTAAGGGGTTCGTGTGTACCCGTGCAGCCGACCGTTTCACCTTATGGAACTCGTGGGCCATTGCTGTGGCCGTGGCCCCAGCTTGCACCTGCACTTGCAAATAGCGGGACACCTAGGAACGCCAAATTGGGCAGCGCGAACTTTTTTGGGGTGTTGCATGGTGTTGCCGAGGTTTGTTGAGGCAACATGGCCTGCCGGTGGATCGTGGCTTTGAGAAACTTGCCAATCTCAGAGCTGGACTGCCAAAAAGGAAGACTTGGCTCTTGCACGCATTCGGCTGCTGTTGCTCCTGCGGTGTTGAGGTGCTTCTGTCCTGAGATCTGCTGCATGATCAGGTCTTGGCCGTTGCCAAGTTCTTTGAACCGATTGGAGAGGATTGCAGATTGCAAGCGCAAGATCCTAGATCGAGTTTATGAGTTTAAGTTTAGGTGGGAAGAATGACAAGGTCACAGGTGGCTTGTCAACGTTGGGCATGCTTATGCGTTCCCGTGAGAGATCCAAAGAGTAAATACGGAGCGAGTAACTTGCAACTGCTAGCTGCAATAGATGAAATCTGAGTTTTTGCACTGGTTCCTTTGGAGAAATCGTCGAAGCTGCTCTCGCCAGGACCTGGACGAGGCAGGCGAACGCTGGACGAAGCGTTCGTCTAAGTCGCTGTACGACGACGCGGAACCTCCAGAGCCATAGAAAGCGGGGTGGCTCCAAACCGAGAGCACTGATTCCTCAATCTCTGGACTCCGCAGCTGCGCTTTCTGCGCAGATGTGTTCGTAGGAGTAGCTGCCGAACATCCATGGGTTCCATGCTACGGAAAAGATGGACATCCGTGCGTGGTTCTACATGGTTGAGGTTGTTGCGAGGTCATGTGAGGTCATTCTTTTGAGCATCCACGGGGAAAGTCGACGCAATCTGCCCGATTCATATCAATGTGATGAATGTACACGAACCAGGGAAAAAGGTCTCCAGTCCCTGGAAAGCTCCGGTGCGGGAAGTCCCACGGTGCGGGTCATACATTCTGAGGCCGATGTTGGCAAAGTCAGCAGCGCTGTGCCGGTGCAAGGGCGACACTGTAGAGGCAGAGCTTCATTTCGCGTGCGGTATCGGCTGCGAAAGTTGGTTTTGGGGCCCGGAATGGTTCTGATGCAGGTGCTGTTGTGTTCACGTGGTCACATGGTCTTTTGCAGTGAGCGAGTGCAAACAAGGCTTCCCATGACCTGTTGTACTGACATCCACTGGCATGAGATTTTGAGGGCAAAAACTGAATGGGGAAGGGAGGTGGTCGACAAAAGTCGCCGCAAGGTGCCCAGTGGCATCAAGCCACAATCTAGCCATTCGAAGCCACAGTGATCGAACCGCACGGATCGCTGCTTCCTCCGAAGCATCGCGGGCAACAAAAACCAGAAGCCAGCTCCAAGCGCTAAGGCTTGTCCAGTCTCCAGGAGGTTGATGGGCTGTGCATGGCTGTGCACTGCAGAACCTGCAAACAAGCTTGAACTCGGTATTGAAAGCTCCAAACTCCGCGACAACTCAAGTGCAGAAAGCCACTGATCAAACTGCAGAGCTTTCTGCAAAATTTCCGGGCATCTCATAGCCTCTTGACCCTGAGACACGGTCTGGTTCAGGACCTCACGTGCAACGAAAGGAAAAAGCAACATGCGCGTGACCATGAGCAAGATTGGCAAATGTTGCGCACATGCAGATTTCAGCTCGCCACAGTGGCGGGAGCCGCTCGGCGAAGCGCATGGGAACTCATGAGAAAGGTCTCGAGTTGCATACGTGTCTGCACACCGGACAGTGCCATAATGTTTCGGCCTCGCAAGTGACATCTGTCACCATTTTTCCCATTTCCCGTTGCCCCCACCTTGTCGCTGCCAGTCCCCAGTCTTTGAGTGCTGCGGAGACTATGTCGGGAGCTTTGGCATGTCGAGGCGGTGCCTCAGAGCCGACCTTGCGAGTCCACATTGGCCTCCTTGAGCACGGGGCCTTGCCTTCGCATTTTGAGGCCCCCTTTTTTTTTTTGGCAATCAGAATTATAAGGTTCGAAAACTTTGGCTTCGGAGCCCCTCGCTTGTGGGGAGCCTTAGCGATCCTTAGCACATGTGAGGCATGCAACATGAGCTCCCAAGCAGCTGATCGTGACGGAGGTTTGAGACCAGTGGCTTCCGTATAGCACTGCAGACGGGCGGGCGTGCACCGGTGCGCGCTGCTCTCAGTCGCAGTCGCATGCGGCAACGCCTTTCGGCCAGTTGGCAGTGTGTTTATGAGTGACACTCGGTGCATGGCATGACAAGGGTGGTCAGACAGCCAGCCTGCCACAGCAAAGAGAGCCATCAACCCGGTGAATGAACAAGAAAGAGACGCACTGGGTGTGACGCGTGCCCCTGCACGCTCAGGAGCTAAAGTACAGCAAAGTCATCTCCAATGACGGGAGATACTCAGCAAGTCTGAGCTGCACCTTCAACGAGGACCTGGTGGCGACGTCCGTGTGAGTAAGGTGGTCAGCCAGGCCTATATACAGGGAATTCTCTTGATGCTTCGCTTAACCAGGAGCTGAGCCTGCCGGCACCCCAGCCGACCATGAGATGCCCTGGATCAGAGCGAGCACCTCCACGGTGCTTTTGGTGCTTCGTAGGCCGATGCCTCCAGGTCCAGCTCCAGAGACGTGGCTCGGACGCCATGGGTTAGTTCAGCTATTCAGCTTGGCAGGCTTAGCATGCCTGCCCAGATGGTCTGTACTCCGTCCGTCTGTCAGGCTTTGCGTTGATGTGTGGCTGGAAAGCCGCACTTTCGTGGAGCGCTTGGACAGCCTTTTGGACATGGCCGTGGACTGAGCTGTGCTGACCAAACTCTGTCATTGAGGTTGAAACAAGATCTGCTTTTTCAGCATGGCCGGGCTCAAAGCAGGGATAGCTTCCCTTCCGCTCAATGCTGCTACCGTTCCGCGGGCTTTCTCAACGACAAGGTGGCTGCCGTGGCTGCACGAGAGATGTTTCTGTGAGAAGCGCCGTGCCGTGGCGCGACGAGTTTTCATTTCCCTCCTCTGCGCGACGGCCTGGCCGCCGCAGAAAGGGCCCGAGAAGATCAGCCAAACAGATCCTGGAGGCTCTTTTGGGCTTGGGACCCCATCCTCCGCAAGCTGCCGTTTTCAGCGCTTGCAGGTTTGGCCTGGCTTCCTGGGAGAGAAATCCCAAGGCGGCCACCACTGTCTTGGCAGGACTGGCCAAGCATGGGCGGTGGGACGTTGCTTTGAAGGTTATCCGCTTCATGCAGCACCACGACCTCGAGGTGAATTGCTTCCATTTCACAAGTGCCATCAGTGCATGTGAGAAGCGAGGGAAGTGGGAGATAGCCTTGGCACTTCTTGGCGGCATGAAGCAGCAAGAGGTTTATCCAAGCCAGGTAACATACAATGCCGCAATAAGTGCTTGTGCCAAAGGGGGTGAGTGGTTAGCAGCACTCCAGCTCTTGAAGGAATTGCGCCTGGACGGAACCATGGATTCCGTATCGTACAATGCAGCCAGCAGCGCGTGTGCCGCTGCAGGTCTCTGGAATTCGTCTCTATCTCTACTGCACGACATGTACAAGTCAACGGTGCCACCGAACGTAATCAGTTTTAGCACTCTTCTCAGTGCATGTGAGAAAGCTCAGCAATGGCGAATGGCCAGTCACATCCTGTTTGGCATGCCAGCGCAGTCACTGATGCCAGATAAGATCTGCTACACTGCGGTCATCAGTGCCTGTGAAAAGATGAGCGAGTGGGAGCAGGCCCTCGCATGCTTTGGCCACATGGAAATACGAACGGTGGAGAAAGACGAGATCTGCTTCCACAGCGCGATCAGCGCCTGCATACGTGCTCGTGCTTGGAGCAAGGCATTGAGCCTTGCTTTAGATATGGAGGCGGTGCCTCTGCAAGTGAATGGCATTCTGTGGGGTGGCGTGGCCAGTGCCATGCAGCAAAGTGGCGGTCCTGTCATTCAGCTGACCTCCTGGCTCTGCAGGGACTGGGCACAGCAGAACGCTCAGAACACTCAGAACACCTCACGCTCGCACACCCAAAAGGCTGGCGGGGCCGGCGAGCACGAGGTGCACGTGCTCTGTCAAGGCCATGGAGTGCTGGCCGCTTTCAAGCCCACAGGGCTTAGCACCGAGGCGGCCCTGCAGAGACTCTCGCATCTTCTGGGCAAAGAGGGCCATCCTGTGCCGCTTTCTCGTGCATCACGACTGGATGGTAGAGGACTCAGCCAAACATGAACAGTAAGCTAAGCAGTAAGCATCAGATCATCAGATACGATCAGGTTGTCCAGTCATTTGCCACCCCGCCTTCGTGAGGTGCCACTTCAGGTGTCATGCCTGTGGCCCTCGGAGAGTCTGGCTCGCCGGCTTCGAATTGGCTGAACTACCAATTTGCGGCGCGGATGGCCGATTGGCGACAGCTTGAAGTTTCTGACTTTGTTGAGGCAACCACCCACACACCCACACCCTGACTGGAAGCGGCACAGCAGGTGCTGCTACTCAAGTAAAGCCTCCCGTAAGGTGAATGCCACCAAAAGACAAGCCTCGAAGAAACGACGACAAACCAAAGAGAGGAAGGAGTGGCTGGAGTCCGACCTCATCGAACGTCAACCATCCCTTGGTGCACACCCTTGGCAAAGTCAGTAAAGTTCAGTAAGGATCGAGTAGAGCTGGCTGTGGCTTGAGGTGTCGAAGGAGTACGTCTGCCTTTGCTCGGGTCTGCCACTGGGGCCGAGAAGAACGCGAGGTGCCATGGAGAGAACTGAAGGGTCCCAAGGTACCGTCTTCGGGTTTTGTACGGTTCCCCGGAAGCAGTCGGGGTATAAGTCGGGTGCGGTACTCGGTGGCATGTTGAGTTTTTTTGTCATATTATTGCAACATATTGCAACCGTGTGCTTCTGTCTGCGATCCATTGCTGCATTTTCGGCACCGTGGATCAGAGGCTGGTCCCTGGTGAGAGTCGACGGTTCATGTTGGGCCCAATGCGTTCGAACGTGCGTGTGCCCCTTGCGACAAAGGGCCCTCTGAAGTTGAACAAGACACCCCCTCTGATCATGCTTAAGGAAGCGGGGAAACTTTTTTGTAAATAGCACGGCCTCAACAAAGGCAGGTGCAACGTTAGCCGGCGTCAACTCCGAAGCAGGGTCAATTTGTGCTTGCTTTGAAGGCCCAGGTCGGAGCTCGTCATGTTGGTTCAGTGCTCCCAAGCATCAGGATTGTCATAAGTTAGGGTTTAAGTACAGCCCGCCACCATCTGCATGACCTCCTCGGCAGGTGTGATCATCGCCGGCCTGGCCACCGAGAGGTCGCGAGGAGTGGCGCAATTGAAGGTGGTCTGGGCGAGCCACGGCAAGGAGGTGCGGAACCCAAACGTAGATCATGGTGGCTAAGACGGTAAGGCTTGGGTAGCTTGAGACTTGAGATGGCCGCCAATTGAAGGCCCGAACAGAGTACCAGCTCATGGACTCTTGTCTGCAAGGAGGTGCTCGCGACAGGTTGCAAGATCTTGCAAAGCCTTGAACTTTAGCATGTCGTACGTTTCTGATGATCATGATTGCTATTATATTAGAAGATATTATCGGCATATACGTATATATATATACATATATAGTATAGATCACGCCGCTCAGGACGAATTCGCTCTATCAGAAGACACGGATGGCATTGTGCGTGGCAGTGTCGTCTCCCTCCTGCGCGTCAAGCCCCTCACAGGTTCCATCTAGAACCCCCCCCAGAAAACAAAAACTATTCTTTCTTGTAAGCAGTGTAGGGCTCACTATTTTGAATTTTCTAAGGCTTCTTAAGCAAACAGCAGTAGCTTACGTCACAAGTATGAGATAGAGGCCAGCCACACAGAGAAAGACGCCCACAGACAGCTTGACCTGGAGGTCGGACGCATCAGATCAGGTCGCACCTGGCGGGCATCGGCAGACCCATTGTTGGCGATCGCACCTACGCCGCTTGGCGCTGTCAGCCATAAAAGCGTGTGATCTTGGAGCCGTGGTGAGGGTGGGGGTGGGGGGGGGGGGGGTGCAGCTGCAACCGGAACCGGCCGATGCCTTTGAGCATTCCCCGAAATTTGCTCCGCAAGGGCGAGGGCTTGAGTCCACTTGCACCTCCAGAACATCGTCATGTTAGTAAGGTTTATACGAGTTGCGAGTCCACATCGTACCTCTCACATGCGTTTGGACAGGCTGGGAAGCAGGGATGTGGTCTTACTTGGGCTGTGCCATACTTGGAATATGAAGCTTCCTGTTAGTTCCTGTGCATGTTTGTTGAAAGTTTGTTGGGAATGCCAGGTGCCCTTTTCCGGCTTTTGCGTCCCTGAAGTCTTTTCGAGCGTTGCTGGTGCCAGTAGGCTCATCAGTAGACAACAGACAGCGTCTTTCTTTTTTTGGACCGGGCACCTGAAGCTTGCAGTCATTGCCTCCCAAAAATGGTCCAAGTATGATGTCCATGTGCGAAATCCTCACACAGCCTCGAAAGGCTGGAGCTCTTTGCAGAAGTCCTGTGGAATATCCGACGTCATTTATTGATCTACTGTACATCAGTCTCTCACCGAACCGCTTCGCATACAGGAAAACACAACTCCATAGTAACCGGAGCGAGATTTCAAGTCTCCAAACCACTCAAAGGTGATAGGAGTAGAAGCATGTACGTGTTGTACGATGACATATGACATACATACAAAACCTATTTGCAGGATCCGTTCATTGTTGAGTCTTGCTCGTTCCTTCATTCCCAAAAAGTCCCAAAGTATCTGTGTTTGCGGGTGGGTCAACATTGTGCTGAAATTTGTCGACTTCACTTCGGTGCCTTCAGATATTGTAGGTCCTGTAGCCTGGATCAGCCATTTTCAGCTGTCATAGGGTTGCATGCCGAGGTTCTGAATCCATTCCCAAAACCACGCCATATGATTTGGGATGTTCACCCTTGTACTAACAGTCCTTAGTGGGGTTTATAGAGCTCCCCAATATAGTCCTTATTAAGGACTGTTAGTAAAAGGGGAACATCCCAAACATATGATCCCTCTAAACCCCAAACCCTGCAGTGCGACAGAGGAGAGCTAGATGATTGCTATCCCAAACCCATTCGGGTGCACTTGAGAAGCCCAAGGGTGGCATCGCCACAAGCTGGTGCCCACGCCGCTTGATATGACTCGGCTTTGGGGGTTAGAGGGCTGTAGGGGTTGTAGAGGAAGGTTACTGATTCCCGAAATTCGAGAGGTCTCCTTGATTGAGGGGTCGGGGTGAAAGTGGAACTCTACAGCAATGTTTTGAAGCTACAATACTATCAATGCGCTTGTTCAAGAGTTGGTTCCACAGGAGCCGCAGTGTGCCATGATCCCATTCAGGTCTCTTCCTTCATTGCCGACGCATCACTGTGCGGGATCTTGACAACAAGCCTTTTCAACCAGCAGCGCCTCCCAGCTGAATCAGCAAGGCTACTTCAGTGTCATCTTGGCATTGCAACATCCCATGTAAGCCCTTCCGAGACGTGAAGCAATTTTTGCCACGGAATGCCCTACGACTCTGAGGCCATTGCCGCGCCAGTTGCAGTCAGCCTTGGAGTATTTGCAGTCGCAACGCGGGGACAAAAGGAGTCGTCAGTTGTATTCTTCTGTACCGGTGACAACTCCATGTGCCCGTGGGCTTCAAAGCCCTGCGCTGCTACTGCTGGCCGGTGCATGTAACTGCTCATGCAAAACAATGCCAACGGAATGGTAAAGGCTGACGCTGCTACAGTAGTTCAGCTACGGCAACGTGTCCAGCAGGATCACGCTGCGCAGATGTGTTCAGATGTTTCCCCGTCTTAATAACTTGAAAACTTGCTGCCCAATGAAATGTAAGCTAGTTCGCAAGTTAGTGTGTGTCCATTGTGTTTGTCTGTTTCTTCTCCCATCCCGCCTGTTACCTTCACGACTCAACAGATGAATTCCTAGAGAGAGGTTACGTGACGGGGTAAGGATGAAGCTTTTCTCCGCTACCAGTGGTTGACACCTTGCTGCAGAACCTGCATCGCCCTACGGCAAGTATTGCATGTGCACCATTGGGGTTTAGATGGCTTCGGGCGTGCCACATGCTTCAGATGGCTTCAGATCTGGGGCGCCCAGACTCTCAGGTCGGCCTTGGGAGCAACCTCCCCGAGTTCGACCACCGCTTCCTTGGCCGCATCATGGCCGGCATTCCGCCCTGCTGGCACGTTGCGTTGAGGGTTTCGGCAGCCTCCCCTCTTGGGCGGCGACAGTGCCGCATTCCAGGCCGGCAGATGTGGAAGCTGTCCAGCAGAACTACCCGATTCAGGTGTGTCTCATGTTGAAGTGCCGCTTCAAGTGCCGGGAGTTCTTGCCGCAGGTCAGCAAGCTTTGCGAAGGGCCCCGGCCAAAGCTCCTGCAAAATCCTTAGCCTGAGATTTGGAAGGCCCTAAACACTTGGGGCAGCAAAGTGAGATGGTGATTCATGGCAGTCAGGTCCCTTGGCATGAGGTGGGCCACGGACCAACCAGATTGAGGAGTCCACGGCTGTCGACAGATGTCGACAGATAGCCTGTTGCCAACAAATTCACAGCAAGCTTGTAGTTAGAGCGCCCAACGCGGCGCAAAGCAGATGGCAGATGTCGTATACAATAGTTCGGTGACCTTCAATGCACCTATCCTGACAAGGCAGCTGGTGTGTAGGCAGCTAGACGATGGTCTGCCAATAGCATCCTACAACGCTACGCAAATGTTATCTCTCCAAAATTGAGATGCTTCCTGTAGAATCGATAGGCTCTGTGTCCAAATGCCCTGACAGATCCTAAAGGAAACTGCTGTGAAAAAGGCATAACGATTGAAGCAGAAGCCCCCTTTCCGGAGGAGTTCGTGCATCATGACTATTGGATATTGTTACAATGTTCAGCAAGTTGCGCGGTTATCCGATATTGAACCACAAATACATCACAAAAGCCTGCTCATTGGATCTATTCCAAACCTGCTTCAGCAAAGCGAGATGTCGTGGCTTTGGCGATCCGACAGCTATTCTAGGCTGCAAGGGCTGCGGCTTTGTACGTCGTCAACTGCAGTTGTCTCAAGTTCTGTGTGTTAAATGTCATCCAGTAGTTCATCCAGCATCGAAGCCGCAATTCGACTTGGCTTCAGATCTGCAGGCTTTGCCTAGAGTTTCCCAACTAGATGAACACGTGCACTGCCATTGCTCACCGGTGAACCGTCGCAGTGGAACCCGGTTCGGTTCTGTTTGTGCTGTCAGTGTGGGGGGTTGGCATTGGCATTTTAGCTGCCCCAGAAGTGCCACAACCCTGTATGGCCGGGAGCTTCGAAGCCCCGACCGGGATCCAGCTTGCAAGTAGAGGTGCCATGGACTTGGGAATCCAGGCCATGGGGCTGCAAGACGTTTAGATTCGGCATGCCGGAAGCACCTCACAGAAGTTTGGAGTGAGTTTTATAGCCTCCCACATTGCAAGAGACGGCATCGGCCATGACACGCTCGGGATGGTGACGTGGAATGACATTGTCTGGAACAGCACAGTCTGCAGGTGAAGCGATGGGTTGGCATCCCGTCCTGGCATCTGGAGCCGAGGTTGCCAGGGAAACTGTGCTGGATGGCTTTGTCATTGTAACAGCGGTAGGCAGGCCAGGCCAGATGTCTCACGTGAAAAAGGGTCTTGAAACTTTCCCTCAAGCTGAGCTGAACCTCCGCCTTTGGGCTCCAGCATCTGCTGCGCTTAGCACAGAACCAACTCCTGCTGCTCATTCCGCGCTTCGGAATCTGCCCGAGACCTGTGCAACGGCGAGATAGTCGCGAGAGAGCTGATTAGTTGCTCTGCTGTTGCCGTCCCGAGACTTTTCTCCACTTCTTGCAGCTCAAATCAGTTTCCAACACGCTCAGGACATGGGAAACTCGGCATGCTGCACCGGTGCTGAGGCAAAACGGCTCGTTGTTTTGATTTGTGCCAGGCCAGTTAGCCTCCCATGCCTAGAGAGATAAAGTTATAAAATGTGGATGGCCACAGAGCCAGGGGGCCCAAATAATTTTTTTTTGCGGCCCGGGTTGCGGGCTGGGATTGCGGCTGGTTTTTGGCTTGCAGATTTGTTGTGGGCTGGGTTGCAAATTTGTTGCGAACGGTTTTTTGGATTGCAAATTGGGTTGCAGGTTTTTTGCGACTTCGGCTGCAGATTTTTTGCGAAATTGGTTGCGAATTTTTTGCGATTCTGTTGCAATGTTTCTTGCAAACGGTGGTTTTTGCTTATTAATTTAATAGAAAGCCCATTGACAAAACCCGAATGGTGTCTTTTCTGCCTGGCCGGGCCGTCTGCAAAAAATCTGCAAGCCGGCTTGCAAAAAATCTGCAACCAAAGCTGCAATGCTCCAGGGGCCCCGGGGCCCCGTCTGCAAAATCACGAAACCCCACATCTGCAAAAAACTTGCAACGAATCTGCAAAAATAATTATTTAAAGAGGCCTTTGTGCTGTGGCCAGATGCGATTCTTATAAAGATAAAGCCCTGCAGTAGCCACGGTGGCCGGTCGAAAACCGGCCCAAACGGGTGAAGTTGACACAGCCGACTGCAGACAGGGGCGCGCCTTGGCGCGGGGTTCGCCCCAAGCCCCAAAGAAAGAAAGAAAGAGAGAAAGCCCTGATGAAGAAGAAGAAGAGGAAGAGGAAGAGGAAGAGGAAGAGGAAGAGGAAGAGGAAGAGGAAGAAGGAGAAGGAGAAGGAGAAGGAGAAGAAGAAGAAGAAGAAGAAGAAGAAGAAGAAGAAGAAGAAGAAGAAGAAGAAGAAGAAGAAGAAGAAGAAGAAGAAGAAGAAGAGGAAGACACCGAGAAAGAGAATATACAAAAGTGAAGACCACCTCTTGTCAGTGTGTCGCAGGACCTACAAATAGGGGGAAGTGCGCATTGTCAGGTAAGTCTTCATGCCCAGGTTGCGTGTGACCGCAATTTGGAAGTATTTCGCTTTCACGTCTCTTTCCGAAGTGTGCCTTAAAACTGGCCACCAAGGGCGTCTCTGTGAGAGTGTGTGTGAGAGGGAAGGATGCCCTGAAGCCATTAAGCGGAGAGTGAGTGCTAACGTCGGAATGGCGGAGGAGTGGCAGGAGACGCCAACCAAGATCAGGTGTGATTCGTGTGGCCCCTTTCCCAAGCAGGAAAGGAGATTCACGCCGGATTGACCATGCCGTCCTGTGTCGATTTTTTGTTGGAGTCTGTAGAGTAAATGAGAAGAAACCCCTACATGTGGATGTTTGTTCGTTCCTTTTGATCGGCAGTAAACAGCAAAATGCGGAGACAACATCTACTTGCAGTAGTGTGATTCGCACGGCAGTATTTCCTGAACGGAACAGGCGAATGGCAGATTTTCCAATGCCGTTTTGTGTCGATTCCATCTCTCCCTCTCTCTCTCTTTAGCTCTCTCTGTCTGTTTGTGTGTTCTTGCGCAGGCGAGCGCGGATCATGAACAAAAGGAGATCACCCGCAAGGACGCGGCTGATTTCCATTTGTCAAGCACAGCCAACTGATCGGAGAACAGTTAGAACACTTCACAAGCTGGCATTTATCTTCAAGGAGGCAGTTCCCGGCGCGCCTGATCTTCCAGGAGCTACTTTTCTGCTCGAATGCCGTTGGACTCTTGTGTTTGAGATGGGCCCTGCTGTGGCCTTGACAGGCCCAGATGTCAGTGCGCCAATGGCTGCACAGGCAATTTCCAGCTGAGGAGGAGTTTGCCCGGGGCACGCCTCAAATCGAAAGCTTGCAGGCATCACCGGGCGAGTACTTCATCCAGTTGAACAAGTCCACGGGAGCTCGTCTTGGAATCGACGTTGACCATAAGGCTCCGCACCCGGGGCCTCTCAGAAAGCCCGAAACATCCTTTAGTGCACAAACGCTTGCTGCACCACTCCCATTCCGTCTGCTGTAAGTGTACACCACACGTGCCGTAGAAAGATGTAGAAAGCAAAGCTGTGTGCCCTCCGGGTCCGCCCAGAGAAGAGATGCCTGCAGGATGGCGAGACGCTGCTCATTGAAGTTATCAACGACGGTCTTGTCATGGACATGAGCTTACGCCCTCCTTGCTTGAGCATCGCCAGACTAGACATGGAAAGCCACGCCTTGGTTTCCCCGATGAAGGACTGGAACACCGCCGGCAACAAGGTCCATCGTTTCCAATGTAGAATTGACCCGCCACCTAGAATCACCGCAGACTAAGAGTACTTGCTGCTTATAGCAGGCTTTTCAGCATGTCCCAACCGGCGCCTGCATCGTCACGGCGTGTTGCTCTGGGCACAGGACAGAGTTCAAGTCGGTGATCGCATCGTTGAGGTGAACGGAATCAACAAGGACAACTCTTGTGGTCGCCTGGTGGGCTGAAGACGTCTGTGTCTTTTACCAGTAGCATCCATCCCCCTCCATCCCTCCAAGACTCTGAGGGTCTGTGGGTGACGTCATGATGGGGTCTCACGTTCGTAGTGATTGGCATGCCTTGTGTGTTGGCCAATGCAAAGCTCAAAGCCGAAGCTGTGCGCAGGAAGTTTGAGGTAAGTCACGCGCAAAACCAGCTGTCCTTAAATAACCCCTGGGTCGCGAGGATGTCTTGCAGCTGGTTGACGAGTGCAAGAAGAACCAGGTGCGGATGGCGTGCTCCATAAGTACCCTACGGCCCGCGCACACGTAATTGTCATATTGGCCATCGTTGCGGGGCATCTGGGATGATGCTCGTATTTCATCGTATTTCCAATCGTTGACGGCACGTCAACTTGAGCCATCCCACGAGGCACAGCACTATAGGCATGAATCCCAACCCTTTGGGGTCCCCATGAGGTGCTGACCCTGAAGCTGCGCCGCGGGTCAGGGACCCAGCTTGGTAGCACCGTTAGCCGAGTTCAAAAAATCACGGCCGCGTTGGCCTGCATTGTCCATGCGACTCAAGTGCCAGTAGTCTCGATCGCCGATGACCCTACAGGCAATAGAAGCCTCGTTGTGCTCACCATGTTCATTCCACAGGAAGGCCCTCCCGACACAAAGTCGGAGCAAGTAGCAGCCGCGACTTCTTTCTTTCGCACGGGCAGGTGATTGGATTTCCACAACTTGACGCTGAATGAAAGAAGTAGAGGGCAGCCATGCACCATACAGCTCAAAGCCTGTCTTGGTGCCTTTGCCTTTTTCAATTTGAGTGCCTCGTCCTGCCAAGCTGGAAGCACCGTTTATACGTATATACATGTATGTATATATGTATAATATATATATATATATATGTGTGTGTGTGTGTACTACTCCTGCTACCACAGATCGCATACATGAGGACTCCGTTGTTCACTGGCGCCAAACTCAGCCACGCTTCGCCAAACTTGCCGCAGCAATGGCTGTCGGCCGGCTGAATGCCCTCCAAGTAGATGCATGGCATGTCTTTATGTCGTTCCTCGAAAAGGGTACCCTGAAGGAATATATCTTTGCTGGAGGTTATCCTCTTGGACTTGCCTTGCTTGTTGGCAGAACACTGGCGGAGGTGGACAGAAGAACATGCTGCTTCACAACATGCCACTGGCTACTGCTTGTCGACTCTGAAGTCAGTGATGTTCGGTCTTTGAGTGTCCACCCCGCGCGACATAATTCGTCTTTGTTCTTTGAACTGCTGGCTACTTCGCCACCAGGCAGCCCGCCCACGAAACCCATTGCCTGGTTGTGAGGGGCGAAAAAGAGCAACCTTGCTGGGAGCGCAGCAATTCATGGCACCGGTGGATGAAGCAGTGCTGGGTTGCCGGCTGGGGCAGGGGGGGAATCGCATATTTGGACTGCGCAGAGCAATAGCCTTCACCACCTGCAATGCAACTACCCCACGAAGGCAAGCACGAATCGCGGACTTCACTCAGTGCTGGCGCCATTGTGCCGCCGCAGCAGTTGGGGCTCCTTTCTCAGCAGGCCAGACAGGTAGGCAAACATGCTCGCCTCCCGCGGTGTCGGCTTCATCGCGCTGAACATCCAGCCTTTTGGCTGCCATCAGCGCAACGCCCTAGTTGCATGGTGGTGTTGATAGTTATCTGCGCTGTTCGGACAGGTGCGAGAACGAAGAGAAGTGGTTTCGCCGGTGGGAGCAGGAGAGGGCAGAGATGCAAAAAGCTGAGGCAGAGGCCACTTTCTAAGCCTTATCACTTTGCCCTGAGTGAGTTGGACATCTGTGCTGACACCTACAGTAAGCCAGCAAACAGCTTGGCAGGATGCATGTCGCTAGTGCGATCTAGTGCGGAGGCATAGAAATGGTAATGGACACGGAGCTGCCAAGGCCATGGCCAAAATGGAAGCCCTGCTGCAAAGCCAGAAATGCGAAGGCGACGAAGTGAAGAGTGCCTCTGAGAGGAGCCGGCCAGCGACCGGGTCGGCAAAGTCGGCAAAGTCGACGCCATCAAAGGCAGAGTAAGGAGCACGTTTCCCCATACTGAGCCGAAGCTGCTGCGACAGGCCTGTGCCAAAGCTGGGTACGGACAAGAGCATCGCATGATAGAGACTGAGAGATAGATTTAGAGAGGCGAGCTAAGAGCTTCGGAGATATTGGGAGATCTTGAAGTAAGCGTTTCTCACCAGCCTTGCCACTATCACCACATGACCGGGGCATGAGCTGGACCTGGAGCTTCTGCTATGCAAAGTCTGTCTCTCCAAATGTGGCAATCTGTGTAAGTGTTCGCTTCTTTGAGCTCCCTGGTGTTTGCCTCTACATGTCTTTACGCCTCTGAGAGCGCTGCAAGTCAGCTGCCAACTGCTGGCCAGATCCTTATGGTCGCAACCGAGGCTTCTCCGATAGCTTGTGCATAGTCTCTCACCCAGGTACTGTAGCAAATGCTCCTGGGCTGAGCTCCCATGGTCTGAGTTGTGCAGATACAGGAACGCTACAGATCTTTCAAATGGCAGCATCGTGAGTTCACTCTATACTCTCCAACTCTGTTTTGTCAGCTCCACCGATCAAGTGTTTGCGCGTTTCTCTGCAGATTCTGCCGATTGCTGCATCATGTGTTGCAGACGTGGACATGTGTGGACGCATGAAGCAGCCATTGTGCGCAACATCGTGATTGCAAAAGCTTGTGCAGACTTTTTGCAGTTCGATCCACTGTGAGGTAGATGTTGGTTGTGCCTTTCAGTCGGTCTGCTGTGCAGCTGAAACAACAGCGTGCAGGTCATTCAGGCTTGTGACGCCCAAGGCACGTGACTTATGTTGCAGGATTTCTTTTGTCACAATGTGGCCTTTGTCACCTGTATCAGCACGTACTTTGGCAGCATGCGCGTTTCAGCATCATCATAGTTGGCATGCCGGAGGGGCAAGACAAAGTGAGCGGAGCAGATCGTGCGACTGTAGCGCCAAGTCGGCCAGCAGAGAACCTTAAGGATTTGTGGCAATGCCAGCATGATACGCTGCAGTGGAGCTACGTTCTCGGCTGCACCTACATATGTGTGTCATGTCCATGTTGTGCCCGACATAGCTCCAGTGCCCAATGTGGCAACTGGTATTGCTCAAGGCAGATTGCAGCTCCTGCAAAAAAAGCCATAGCAAGCCAGCAATCGACTGGAAGTAGGGCTTTTTGATGCGGAAACGTGCGTTCCTCGTTCCTTGTGCCGCAGCCATTACTGTAGGTAGAAGGGTGACAGCCCCACGAAAGCAGTGAAGATGCTGCCGCGCGGCACACCGCAGAACCGGCCCATTGATGCCTGTGGCCGTTTTGAAGAATCCCCTCCCCCAAAAAACCCATCACCGAAAACCGAAACCACGAAACTAAGGCCCTTGCTGGTATGGTCTACTTGCGATAGAGTCAGTGGGCCATCTTGGGGTATCCTTTGAGTAGTTAAGCAAACAAGGTAGGATGAAGGGAATACGCTGAATACATCGCATGGGAAAAGTGCCCTGCGCTGCCAGGGGCCGGTCCAAACAAGCAGAGTTCCTCAGCACGCGCGGGCCTGAGGGATGCCCCCCAGGTGTGATTTCACCTCTATGACGCCTAATCCCTGGACCGTTCTGATATGACGGGAGCGGCTGGCGAAGCGCGAACAGGGGAACGCATTGTTCCCTGGCCGTTTAAACCGCCTCGGACCCAAAGTAGCCCTGCGATGCGGATTCGCCCCAGCTGTGCAGGAGGAAAAAAAATCCCTGGACCCCAAAACCGTACGAAATCTTTTCTTCAAGTCAACGTTCAGTGGCTCCGGGTCGAGGCCGGCGAGGCAGGCGAGGCGACTCTCGCACGGCAGCGCATGTGGCAGCAGCCCTTTGGTTTGGCAGCAGGCCGAGGGCTCCAGATTGCCCATATCTGCGCACATGACGAAGAAGCTTAGGGGGGAAGCTTTTAAGGGGAAGGCCTTAAGGGGAATCCCTTAGGACTTTTTGGGTGCGGATCCTTGTCTCTGGAGATGTTTCAGTCTGTAGGAGGATGTGTGGTATGTGGTGGCCAAACCTTGAGGGCTCAGGGGCACGTGGAAGAACTTCTGAACGTCATAGCCCAATGACAAGTTCTCAGTCGAGCGATCACCCAGACTAAGTGTAGAGCTGCGGACTGCAGTGGGGCAAGGTAATGCATGTGCTGTTTTTGTGTTTTTTTTCTCGCATGTGCTGTTCTTTCGCTGAATTGCGAACGGCCCTGTGTTGTAAGAAGCAGTTTGCTTTCACCGAAAAGCCCCTTGCCATGGACAACGGTCTACAAGCCTTTTTGCATCCGAATACCCCTCCTGATGCCTTTAGTGCTTGAAATTTTGAAATTCTACACTTGGGATGTTCCCCTTTTGCTAACATGCCTCAATAGGGATTATAGAAGGGGGGGGTACTATAATCCCTTTTAAAGACTACTAGCATATGGGGGGACATGCCATTCTACACCCGCCCATCAGACATCAGCAGTCCAAGCAGTAGTCCATAAGCCAAGGAAGCCGCGCCGAAAGCTTGAGAAATCGGATTTGCATGGGAGGTGCAGAGCCCCGTCACCATCCGGTCAATTGACGATCAGGCCTTTTTCTGGGTTGTAGACATGGAATGGGGACGTCCGGCTGCATGTGCGGGGCTAGGGGTCCAATTTTCTTTGCAATTGCTTTGAAATATGGCAGAAGAAGGGAATGCGCAAAACCTCACAAACGACAGCAACTGCACCCCGTGAAATTTCCGCCTGCTGCAGACGAGCCTCCCGTGCACTGGCGCTGCATCTCCTCCTTGGCAAAGGCAGCCGGAGACGGTTGAGGGCCACATGTTGGTGAAGCATCCTTCCACGTTTCATCTGCTACGCGCCGAAGAATACAGCATATCGCTGCCTTTACAGAATGGGGGTCATGTACTGATGATGCTCTTTGATGGTACACGTGCCCCCTTCCCCCTGCTGGTCACCGGGCGTCAGAGCATCGCAACCTTTCGGGGGCGTTCTAGAATAATAGAAAGTCCCGCGCACTGCCAAATCTCTGCCTATATGGTTGAGGGATCATCCTCAAAGATGTTGGGCAATTTCGGGGACCTTGGACATTGAGGGACCATCCTCGTCAAAAACCTGAGATTCCAATCTTAGTAGCGTTGGGTCACAAATTTTTGTTTTCTGGAGATGCATGGGACGGCATGGAATGGTGTAGCCTTACAGGGTTTCCTTTTCGCACCATCTATTAAGCCTTACTGCGCTGCGAGCTGCTGCTGTAGAGCGTAGTTCATCTAAGCAGGAACGCATCTCTGACTACACTTCTATGATATGCAGGGCTCATGTAGTTTAGTATAGTTTAGTTATTTCGATTGACATTCCATTTGAGAACCGAACTATATCGAGAGAAGCAGTCAGTCTGCAAAGTTCTTAGTTGTTTGGGAATGCTGGGCCTCGTTGTCTTTACATACAAGACAACACGGAAGGGCCGCAAGTAAACGAAACAAGAGTGGCTGGATGAGACGCACGACGACAGTCGCAACAGTTAAAGCAACAAAATGCAACAAACACTTGTGGTGTCTCAGTTGCGCTGACTTTTTTCTTTAGTGCAAAGGATTGGCCCGCGGAACTCTCGTAGACTTAAGCTTGTGGCTATCAGCAGTTGACCCTGCGAGGTCTTCTCCTGCGCCGGAACGGGTCTCAACTGTCTCTGTGAGCAGAATATGCAAGTTCCAGCACTGGCTTCCAACGCTTGCGCTGGCGGTGGGATGGATGGAGAAAAATGGCACGTATGAAATGGGTCAGGAGCATGTGCGGAGTGTTCAATCAACGCTGCATCCAGCTCGTGAGGTGTTGGGCCAATGCAGCTCTCCTTTGCCACGAGGCTCATGGATGTCACATATCTCACAACCGGCTTCATGCGTGCAGGAGGCGATTGTTCAAATGAAGTGTTCGTTGGCAGGTGACCATGATCCTCAAGTGCAATCTGTAGGGAACTTTAAAATCATTTGACTGATGATGGTGCTCACTGGTGTACCATTGAAAGTCAAGCTGGCTGCCGTTGCAGGAGGAACGCTGGGCATGGGGCCCTCGTGAGAATCCCAGCGCATATCGAAGTGACTGGACGGCAACGCCCTTGTAATTATAGTGGCGCAAATGCACTGTAGCCTCATGCCGTGGCTGAGCATGTGAACGTCTCTCGGTGGCCATGTGTGGCCCAACTGTGCATCTCCACATAAATCCACGCATATGCCACTAGGGTTTAGGCTTCAGAGGCGCTATGGACCTGAAAAATGGGGCTCATGGCGGTGCTTCCAACACATCGGAGGCATCAGAGCGGGCTACAACTGTGCAGGATTCCCCAATGCAGTCTGAGGGCCCTACAAGGGAGGAGGAGAGTGAGGCTAAGGACGAGGTGCAGAGTGAGACCCCTATTTCGCCGACAGGAAGACGTCGGAGCCTCATGACTCACATAAACGAGTTGGGCGAAGCCCTAGCACATGTAGGACGAGAAGCAGGCGAGTTGGGTGCTTCTGCCGCACAGAAAGCGGTCAATGTGGGAAGAGAAGCAGGCGAGTTGGGTGGAGCCTTGGCGACTTCGGCAGCACAGACAGCAGTGAATGTAGGCAGAGTAGGAGGCGAGTTGGGTGGAGCCCTGGCTTCTTCTGCGGTGACCCTCGCCAGCGGCGTGAGCGAGTACACGGAGGATATGTTGTTTTCCCCGACAGCTTCCAAGGGACTCTCCAAGAACGTGCATACAGATGAAGCAAGCTTTGAGCAGTTCTTGGGCCAGGTCATCAAAGCGCATCTTGACCACGATGACTCGCAGGAGTTTCCGACCAGAAGGAGCAATGTAAGGCGCAATTTGACAGGCATTCTAGAAGGTGGACAGCGTGGCGGATTCTTGCCTGAATTGGGACGAGCTCATACAGCGTTGGGGATGACGTGCTAGATTGTAGATGCTGTTACGCGGGGCTCTGTCTTGCCTTGATAGCGGTGCCGGTCGCAACGCTTGTAGATTCCAATAGCACAAGGCATTTACTTCTTGCAGCAGGCTCCAAATTTCACACTCTGTGGGCCCTAAGGATTCTTCCAGAGGTGTCCCCAAACACAGGCTTGTTGCTACAAGGCGCCGGCTGCATTTGGCAACATTTTTCCAAGCCTATCCATGTGTTCGAATGGCGCGTACACAAATAGGGACTCAACACGAGGTTTGTGCTCGACTCGAGAATTCGGTGTTCTTCGGCATCTTTTGCTGGGCTTTCCTTCTGCTGCACTGCATCGCGCTGGTGCGGGTGGCTAACAATGACGGGTCTCCTGAGTTTTGGTACACCGTCTCAGAAAGTTACATGGTCTTCTTTGTCCTCGAGCTACTTGTTCGCATCGGTGCTGCCCCAAACCGTTATTTCTGGCAATCGGGTTATGTAGTGCTTGACATTCTCCTGCTACTGGCCAGTATCGCAGAAGCGCTGCTTCCATCAATCTCGGACCAGTTTGGGCAAGGCCAGTTCACCTTACTGACCCTACATCTTCTCCGCTTTCTTAGGGGCTTGCAGTCGCTGAACATGCCTGAATCAGCGAGCGCGGTCACAGCTTGCTTCGGGGGCCTGCTTCCATTTTTCTTGTTCTTCTTGCTTTGCTGCATTTGGTGCTTGTTTGCGGCGGTTTGGTACCTCGTCTTCAGCAGCACTACCTTTCCCGTGGTGCAGTTCAATCACTTCGGATCGGCCGTCCTGACCCAGTTCTATCTTGCCTGCCATGCCATGGATTGGGATCGCATCACGGAGCCCCTTGAGCAGGCAGGCACCCAGACAGCCACGCTTCTGGCAGCTCTTTTTGTAGTGACTCTCTTGGGCGTTCTGTTCCTGACAGCCAATGGAGCCATCATCATTTTTCACGAGCTTGCCGGAAGAGGGATCGCGGATTATCAGCAGACTCAGGGCAACAAGGACATGAGGAGAAGGCTTTTGGGCCTGTCGCGGCTCGAGGAATCCTTGGAGCGTGCTGCGTGCGGCTTGGGAGCGTCCAGGGAAGCATGGGGTGAATGGCTGATGCAGAGCCGGGCAAGGCTTGCGGACGCACTTGGGGAACTGAAGCCCAGCCTCAAGGTTTTGAAGATCACTGCGGAGGAAATCCTTCAGCTGTATGATCACTTGTACGAGGCTCCGCTGGGATTGGTGGAGGTTTGCATGGTGCAGCTCAGGCTTCAGGAGTTCTCTCCCGGAAGGGGAGTTTCAGGGAAGCGGTGCAGAGAGAGGGCACGACAGGTAGCAGCTGGCAGCACACAAGGGTGAAGCACAGCCAAGCTGATGCCAAGCTGGAAGGTGAGCCACGGAGCCCTCACGGTCTCAGAGCTGCTTTTCGGGATCCTCCGGATGATCAGCCCGGCGGAGGTGGCCGAGCTCCTGCAGGTGGGGTAACTGTACTCCGTAGCCCACATTGTAGCCCATGCCCTTCCCTGGTAGAATATGTTATGTCCTCATGGCTTGTGGAATTGCAGCTGGCAACTGCCAGGTGGACCACATGCAGAAGCAGTGCCGCTTTGGCTTGAACCTGTTGTGGCACGGGCAGGTTGCTTGTATGCCTTGTGCTTGGACAAGGGTCGTGAGGGACAGCCTAAATGTGCCACGTAAGGACGGTAGGTTCGACGGCTTCGGAACAACTAACTTGCCCTTCTAATGAAGTCAAGCCACCTGCTTGCACATGAACTGTTGTGTTCCTTATGATGCCAGCTGGCATGAAGAAACATGTGTCAGACCGGATGGGGTTGCGATGCTGGAGCACTGTGGGGCGATAGAGCAAATGCCGACTCAAAGAGGGGTGACCGCATGTGACCGCGTGGTTTCTAGATGTTGCGGTTGTAAGCTTGGTTGTGACTGCCGGGAGTGTCCAGCTGCAGCTAGTGGCTGGAATAGTCCTTCCAAGGTTCGTTTTGACTCACTTCGATTCGCAGTGTGTTATATCGCTTTTCTGCTTGAGACTGCGGATGAACATCAGAAAGTATGTGCGGGAGGCAAAAAAACACGGCAGATGCCGGATCCTGCTTTGAGTTCGTTCCAGTTGCACCAACTTCGCTTCCCACTTGCGTGCATCACTCGGCTACAAGCTCGGCCTTTGCTGCAAAATGCGTGTTCAGCGCCAGGCTGTCCGCAGTACCTGGAAGTTCTTTTAACATAGTAAGTCTACTTAGTATCCCCCAGAAGCCCGCTTATAATCCCCATCGACCACCTTACTAACCTTACTTGCTGAGTCAGAAGGGCTTCCAAGCAGGCTGCTTCCTTGGACTGAACGTAGGGTTCTTCTGTAGGAGGCTCCAAGGTCCTCCTTTGTTTCGTAGGGCCCTGCAACTATGCACGCACCACCCATTTCACGTCGAAGTCGACCTACCAAGATTTCAAGCTTTAAAGAGCTTTGGGCCGAGGTTAGCAACAGTTTCAGTGGATTGCTTCTCATGGCCCAAGGCATCCAAGTCGCGGAGTCGTCCATGGGCAGCATGGAACGCCAGATCGAGAAGGGCCGATGCTCGGTACAGAGCAAGGTGAGCCGGGCCAAGCATAAAAGTGCGAATACTATATAATACTGTATAATGCTATATACTACTACAATAATACTATAAAATACTATATAGTACTATGATAATATGTTATATTATATAATACTATATCATACTATATAACGCTATGATAAAACTATATACTACTATATAATAATATATGATACTTTTATTACTATATAAGACTATATAATACTATAAAATACTATAATTCTATACAATACTATATAATTCTATATAATACTATATAATACTATGTAATACTATATAATACTTTAAAATACTATATAATACTAGATAATACTATATAATACTATATAATACTATATAATGCTTTATAATACTATACAATACTATATTACTATGGTAAGCAAGCCCAGTCTTCTTGCTGGGGGCTCTCATCCCGTCGCACTCGATTCGCACTCTCTGAGGACAGCAACTTGATCGAATGGAGAGCAGCGTGTCTCAGCTTCAGCGGCATCTCCGAAAAATGCGCTCACAAGCGCGAAGAGCACGCCAGGAGAGGCCCCCTAACTTGCATCTGAAAGCGTCGCTGATGGACATCACGAGATCTTCCGAGAGATTCATTATCCACTCGCGCGTCGTGATAAGGTTGTACTTGTAGAATCTGCCTGAAGGAGCTGTCCGATCTGGTTGTGGAGGTGGAGCAGCAGTATCAGGGTTGCATGGCCAGCGTTCACGAGGCGCAGTCGACAGATTTTGCCATCCACTCATAGCTTAGCAATCTAAGATTCAGGTTCAGACATGTTCATGTCACATGTAATGGCCACACATTCCAAGCGTTGTGCCGGTGGGCAGGCAGCGTCCATGCGGCAGCTGCACCTCCGGCTCACCCACGAGAACTCAAGGCAAGAGGTCTTCAACCGGCTACACGTTGCACAGAGGCCAGGAATTTCACAGGGGAATTGGCACACCGAGATCGATAGATCCCGATCGACCGCAGACAAGTAGCAGGCCCTCGCCCTTCGCAAGCATGATTGGGCAGTTAATCTTGTCTATGTGAACGAATCACCCGGACGACGAAGGTCCCTATCAAACCTACGACACTTCAGCACTCGCGTCAATGCCTTCGGCTTCCCCCAAGTGGCGGACGGCGAAGCCTGGGATCAGGCAGGGCACATGTCGCTTTCACTGGAGGGATGGTGGATGACGTTGGGATGTTTACATGTGCTTTTTGTTGAATTTGATACATGCATATATATATATACATATATACACACACACACACACACATATATATATATATATAAATAAAGAGTCTGTTATGTATGGCCTCTTTGGCTTGTTTAATTGGGAACTCTCGCAGGCCGAGCAGGACTCCGAAAGCGCCTTTGGTGATCCTGGACAGTTTGAGAAGGTGGCCAACATGCTGCAAGCCGAAGTCAAGAAGCGCATCGGCACGCGATTGCGGCAATACCTAGAGCTACAGACCCTGAACGCTCCGGATGCTCCGGCTGCGGGGACCTGAGCACTGTTTCACATAGACTGCGGGTAAGATGCCTGCTGTGGTTGATAACGTTGAGAGATAGAGGGCGTTTTTTTGCCCTCGGCTTGCCAATCGGGCAGTCAACTTTGGATGTTTCAAGGGCCAGCAGAGCCAAAAGGCTTGTCTGATGTTCTCGGTAGACTCACCCTAAACCCCAAACCCCAAACCCCAAACCCTAAACCCTAAACCCTAAACCTTCAGTAGAATGAGTAGGGGCGTAGTTTTTGAGATGCCGGCGGCTGAGGCAGCAGAGAGGCAGCCCAGCCGCCATGCTCTTCTCCACCCCTGGATCAGGAGGTACGATTCCATGTCAATATCTACATATATATATATATGTATATATATATATATTAGATGTATATATGTATATATGTATATATGTATATATGTATATATGTATATATGTATATATGTATATATGTATATATGTATATATGTATATATACATATATATGTATATATATGTGTGTGTATGTATGTATGTATATATATATATATATATTATATAATCACACATACATAGAATATATAATACATATTATGCATATACACTGTATTCCATGCGATGTTGCCCCGGTTCTGATGAAAGACGTGCGCCCGTGCCAGGTAAGACACCATCCAAAGTCATCTCGACGTACCTTGGCAGCTGAGAATCAAGAACTCCTTGTCAAGAGCATGTCCACGGGAATCGATGTCTTGGCAACCTTGACAACCTTGACATGGCTCAGGCCTTCCAGAATCGTTGACATTCGAACTCCTTTGAGGCCATGTTCGAGACAAAGAAGCAAGGACCAAAGCCACAACACGGCCTCAACAACGTCTCAGCATTGTCTCAACCAAGTGCAGCTGCGAAGGCATTGTACTGTCAGGTATGCTATGCCGCTATGCTTCGCTCATGCTCATGCCTGTTGCGACTTTAGTGCAGATGGCACAGCAATGCCAAGTCTTGACTGCCAGGAGTTTCAGGACGACGTACGGGTTGCTTTGGAAGAGCAGTTGGGGGCCTGATCGTCCAACAGCGGCGTGGTGGGGTGTGGTTCAGGGGTTCCTGGAAAGGGTGGTATTTCGGAGAGATGCCCTAGCTTTCAGTAAGCTGGTGTTTAGCATGGCCCTGTAGGCTTATTTTGCTGTTCCTTGAGTCCGGCTCGAGGGATGTGGCAAGGGTGTTCTCTACACTCAAATCGGAGCCCATGGTTGTAGGAGTGGAAGGAACAAACTCGCATGTCGCCGGGCAGGTTGATCATACTTGTTCGTTGAGTTGGCGGTGCCTATCTTGACTTGTAGACATGGTTCGGCAACCACGGCACTCCGCCGCTGCCGTGCAAAAGCTGCACAGAGCTGTGGAATTGCAGGAAGTCAGGGACCATGTATCCTGGACCGGTCCAGCCTATTGTAACCTTAAGGTCGGCAGAGCTCCTACGGGTAGCATTGCAGCTCAGGCCTCAGATTACTTGAAGGTCCTCCCATTGATGGACAATCACGGTGGGCAACCCCCCCACATGCGCAATGAATCGGAGACCCTTAGGGTTTAGGGTTTAGGGATGTGCCTCCCTCCTTCCCCCTTTCCAGCCCAAGCTGTCGGCCAAGGCGCCGGCATGCCTGTCCTCGTGATCACGTCAGAGACTCAAGAGACTGGCGTATCCAGAATGCAGTATATATCTGTATATGCAGATATCATATATAAAAATACACACATAAATAAATAAATAAAAATATATATATATATATGTGTGTGTGTATGTATATCTATACCGCAGCGAAGCGAAGAGGAGCCTGAGTGATCTGAGGCTTTGCACGAGGCAGTTCGCCAGGCTGGGGTTTTCATTGTTCGACAGCCTTACTTCTCTGGCAATGAACATAAAATTTATAAGATATAGTTGCAGGCGATATGTCATATTATATTATTAGATTTGAATATTCTATGTATGTATGTATGTATGTATGTATGTATGTATGTATGTATGTATGTATGTATATTGCTTCATGCATGCTGTAAGCGGCTTTTTTCACCGAATGCCTCGGCTTCCGCAGAGTCATCGCCCAAAGAATTGTCTGGCCATGGCTCGCCATGTTGAGAGCAGACTGGCTCGATTACTTTGCATCTGTGCGTCGTTGCTGTTTGCCAGCTGGAGCCAGGACTTCACTGTCCACACAGCTCAGTACGGCAAGGGCAGGCAACAAGTTGGTGATTTCGTCAAACCAGACAAGGACAAGTGCAAGGGCATCGTGATGCTTGTCCATGGTGGCTTCTGGAGGGCAGGCTTTGACCGTAGCTTGATGATCGACATCTCGGACGATTTGCTCGCCAGTGGCCTCTGTGTGTGGAACGTAGACTATCGGTCTGTTGGCTCAGGGGGCGGCTATCCCGAAACTCTGGAGGACATGGCATCTGCTTGGAACTGGCTCACCACCGATGATGCCGCCTCGCTAGGAGTTCGCCCCGATTTGCCCCTAGGAATCGTGGGCCACTCTGCAGGCGGCCACTTGGCGACCTGGCTGGCAATCCAGGGCCTTCTGGACCACTCTGACTTTGGCGTCTCCGGTAAGATCAGACCACGGATTGCTGTTTCACAAGCCGGAGTACTCGATCTGAAGGGAGCTTACGAAGCGAACCTTGGAAGAAGTGCGGTGCGTGACTTCATTGGCTCGCCGCCAGAATCCACCACTTCCCGCATGCTAGCTGCTTCCAACGGTGCAGTGCTGGATGTTGTGGCAGGTCCAGCAGCTGATGCAGATACACGATACTTGGGGGCGGACCCGACAGCACTTCTGTCAAGGGTGCCTGCTGCCCGGCTCAGTGGTTCCGATGCACCGGTTTTTGCACTCGTTCACGGTCAGAATGATGACATAGTCCCGCCAGCGCAAAGCACAGCTTTTCAATCAGTTTTCAGCAGACGGGGTGCGTCGGACAAGTGCATTTACAAGCTGATCCCCGGGGAAGGGCACTTCGAGCATTTGCGCCGCGATTCTGCGGCTTGGGCATCGACAGCTGACCTGCTAAATGTGCACCTGACCAGCAACACTTGATCAGTGAAAGAGCTCCGGCTTTGTTTCGACTTGGCAAGACTGGAGCGCCTACTCCTACCATCGCCCGTGCGTCGCCGAGCTGCTCGACGAGAAGCTGTTCACCGAGGTTTGATGACAAGCTGCCAGTCACGCTGCCTAACTCGTGCGCCTCTCTGGGTTTGCCCATTTGTGTCAACTGAAGCGAGCTGGAAAGGATCCGTGACAAGACTGGGCACCACGGACAGCACATTTAATTAGTATGCTGGAGTTTGCTAGGACTGCTTGAAGATGCTCGCTTCACCTTGTTCGTAACAGTGCCTGTGGAATGCGTGACGGTATTTCGCCGTGTGCAGGGGAATTGTGCCGCTGCGCGCCTCCTCTTGCAGAGCATGGCCGGTGCCTCAGCGAGGCCTCTTCCAACGCCACGCGCAGGTGCTCGGCGTACTGCAGCCGTTCGGCTATTCTCCTCCTTCCTACAAACGATGTCCCCGAAGAAACCCCCCTGGCCCAGCGGACGCAGCCGATGAAGGCTTCCTAAACGGATGCCTGGTCCGTCCAACGCCGGCAGGGCCTTGAAACAAACAAAGACAGGTCGGACTTCGCGAAGAGCGCGTGCGCGCAACTGCTGCGGGAGTGTGATTTTGGTCCCAAAAGCAGACGAAATTTTCTGCAATGTTCTGCACTTCGCACGTCCTTGCCGGATTGCCGCACTTTGCGTACATGAAACGATGCAAGCCTTGCATTGTGTTAGCGCTGTTTGGACATAAAAACGGACTTGGGTTACGGCTTGGGGGGGCCTGGCATTTGGCTTTCTAGAATCTGCTGGTTTGTGCTTCCTGGATTGCGTCCGGCTTGCATGCTGCTTTACTTACCGTTACCCTGCATGAAACGCAGAATGAAATTGCTGACCGAGGCTGAACCAAATGAGCGGTGTCGGGTGCAAGAGCGGGGCTGCGAGACGAGATCTCAGAGCTGATGGCTGCACACACACACACAGAGCATGTACTGAGTCCTGAGAATAGGTTCATATAGGTAGCAGCAGGTAGCACATGATTTAAGCATGGCAGCAGGCTCCCGTTGCAGCTTGCGCTTTCTTCAAACCTTGTACGCGCCGGCGAGCGGCAGCAGGACCGAAAAGACAATCCTACGAAGCTTGCTCTTAAGCCTGCACGCAACTGGGGCCAACAGCAGTTTACTTGAGCATCAGATGGTGGAGCTGCTCCTTCACGCGCGAGCCGATCCCGAGCTTCCGCGGAGCGACGCGGAGGCGCTGAACAGCGGCATGGAGTTGTCATCTGCGTGGGGAAGATGATTGTTGACTGAAGTTGACATGTCATTGCGCGACTCCAAGGGCAGCCCGCCCCTTCATGATGCTGTCCGCCGGGCAGACACCAGGATAGTGGAACTCCTTCTCAGGCCTGTTCTTGCAAGCTTCATCGTGCTTGGTATCATCATGTATCATCCCTCCTCCGCCTCGGCCCGGCTCGGACTCGAGAGCTGTGGGCCCTTTCGGTCTGCCTGTCCCTATCGGTTCCTGGAAGGGCGTCGAAGGGGGGGTTCTGTTGGAGCTTTCGGGTGGCCAAGGCGCAATGGTTTTTTCTTGCAGGGTTCTTCGCTTGGCGGTGTCCGGGGGGCGACTCACGCCAAAACACCACATTCGCATCTGCCCTTCTGGGTCATGCCCAGGGCCCGGGGAGCCCCTGCAAAAGCCTTTCCAAGAAACAGAAGCGGGGAGGGGTTTCGGCATTGGGCATCCTCTTGAGAATCCAAACGCCCATTAAACATTCAGTCATGCGAGTCGCAGGTGACCGGCAGAACAGCCAAGTTAGGTTTGTGTGCAGGCACCGAGCAGATCCGAACTCTCGGAATTCCTTCTCCGAGGCTGGCCTTCTGACTTCTGTCATGTTGAACTTGATGCCGGTGTGCAGCCATCCCGGCCGGCAAAAATTTAGAAGTGTTCCCCCCAAGCAGACATGCCCAACAACGAGCGAGAGCCATCTGCAGATGCGGTGCCAGGCGCCCCTAGAGCTGGCGCTGAAAGGACCGACACCCCATGAGGTCTCAGATTCGTGACCTGTGCAACTGCCCAGCAGAGTGCGCACGTGTAGACAAAGTAGAGTAGGTAACCTTTAACATTTTTGGGGTGGTAGAGTCCCCTTTTTGTCCCAAAGATTAACCTTTAGTTCCCCCAGTCAGGTTACTGGACAACTAAGTAGACATGTAGACAAGGAGATGTTTGCGTTTGCAGGAAGCTTTTTTTTGGATGCTGAGCAGTCGCTCAGCCTTGTGGAGGCCCACTTAGCTCACAGCAACCTCAGCTTGGCCCAACAGTGGATCCGACTCCCACAGGCCCTGTTGAAGTGGGGCGCGTGTCCCACAGAGCTAAGCGCCGCCCCAAGCTTGAACTCTAACATAGGCGGCAAGACGAGAAGCTTGCCTTCATAAGGTGGGGAAGCCACTGGCCAACGTGGTGCTGAAGGAGCGGCGATGCCCGACTTTGCACATTTGCGCGATTCAACAACACTGTGCTCTGCAGCAAAGGGCCGTCCCTTGTGATGCAGGCTTTCCAGGATGCAACGATGCGGGTGTCACTGCGCTGTGCTTAAATCTATGGCATCTATGGCATTCTGGGAATTCTCGGGCACACATGCCCATTTCCTAAGTTGATCTGGGTGTCTGCAAGGCGCTGGCGCCTGAAGTTCAAGATTTGCTGTCCAAGTGGTCAGCTTGGTGGCTGGCTGAGCACAGTGACACTGATGCACGCATTCCCTTGCAGGACTGCTCCTTTCTGTGTGCCGATGCCCTGCCCTGCGTTGTCGCGGTCGCAGGTGGCGCCTCCGAATGCTTGCGTGGATTCGCTCTCGAGGCAGGAAGTCGGCTGTGCGTGGTTTGGACGGGGCACTTCGCATCAATCACGACAATGAGATGCGAAGAGAAGTCATCAAGAAGAAAGCTTGCATCTCTGAATGCATGCGTTTCATGTGGTGCTTTCCTGGAAAATGTGGAGGATGCTATCTGGGCTTTCTTTAGGGAGCGCTCGTCAGATACAACAGCCAGGTCCAAACGATTCCAGAACAAAGTCCTTGCGATCTCAGAAGAACTTCGGGATAGAACAATGGCCAAGACACGCAGCACATCGCAGCCCTTTCACATTGCCTTGCGTTGGTTTCGCTTGCGGAGATCATGCTGCGTGCGCGACAACCCTGCACACGTAACGTAGGTGCCTTGCTTTGTTGTGCGCAAGAGCCCATGATGCACGAAGACTGCTGAAGAAAGGAAGCGTGTTCTAAAAGGTTCTGCGGCTTGATCTGGTTGAAAGAAGCACTGTGCACATGTCATGTTCACTGTTGAGAGGTTGTCCCGGTGCCCCCTTTTACATATACCTGGGTTGAACATTGTCAGCTTCGCAGGAGATAGTCCGCTCTCAGACATCATGCCGGACATCCTGCGCAGAGTCTCTTCCTTATGTTAGACCAAGCAGTTGCGCGCTGCCTGTTTGCATGGTAGCGGGCATTGTGAATACGTAAGCAGCCGAGGTAGCACAATTCCTCTGAGGGAGACCTGACTGAGGGCTTCAATATTGGAAATTACTCATTTAGTTTGCTGAAGCTGGCTAGCCGGCTCACAAATGAGTTTAAGAATTTGTGAAAGTTATTTTTAGACCGGATGTGCAGCATGCGCAGCCGGGAATGAATTCGAGGGCATCACGAGGTTCCAGTCTTTTTGGTTTACGAAGTGTAAGGATGAGGCCTGCCATCGTCTGTTTCTACTGCAGTATACATTTCTGGGTTCACGGAGTCTCTCTCATGGTGCATCAGGCAAATCTGCACGAAGTTATGTCTTAGCTCAGCCTTTTCTGGGCTTGCCAATTCAGTTTTTCTGGACGGCGCTTCGCCGAGAGCATGCACGCCCTGAGAAAAATGCATGATGGTGATGTTTTTTTTCTTCATTCTGAAGCTGCGACTACAGCGGTCGGTTGAACAGGAGCCGATGAGGAGAGGTTCTAAATCTTGTGATGTGGCATGGCACATTGGCTCGGTTTTCCTCAGCTGTGGAACTGGTACAAAGGGTTTGCTCACAACGTCTTCTGAAGATGTGGCGGCTGCGCTGCCTTCGAGAGGGTCTCGGCCAGGCAGGTGCGTGGATGCAATTGTACTCTCTTCATGGCAACCACATCTGACATAGCCAAGCGGTGGACACCCACTTGTGATGTCTGCGCATGCGTAGTGGTGTCTGGCAGCCTGGCACAGGTATCAGCTCTGAAGCTGGCTCAGCGTGGCACCGGCACGAGGGCGGTTGCGGCTCTGTCGTGTCGTGGGCAGTTCCACGCTTGGCTCGCTTGCGGGGAAACATGTCATAGATGAACATCTGCATCTGCTTGCTGCAGAATGGCATAGGTGCCAGAGGTTCGGTGACTTGCCGAACCTGCGGAAGCCATTTGCAGCGACCGCCGCTGCATGCGCCTCAGTCTGGCCTCAGTTGTTCCGCGCTGTAGCCATCGTCAGTAGTACTGGGCCAGGTCCACGTTCCTGCGAATCAGCACGGCAGGTTGGCAGGTTTGACTACTCACGTAATCGAACGCGCAAGGCATTGAGCCTTCCGCTAGCCGGCAGGCGTTTCCTTTCAACCGAGGAGGTGCCTGACGCACATTGATTTGAGGTTGTGATGGGATGTCATGGGGATAGTTCATAGAGTCTTTCAGAGCAGCAGGGCTCAGGCTTCACGTCAGAAGTAACATGTCCGCCTGAGTGAGCAGGCGTTGCAAGCCAGTTGTGGTAGGACTTTCGGCCGTTTACAAGTTCGTATACTTGTCTCTTTTCACAGGTACCTTGGACTACAACTGCTTCCGGCCTCCAATATCGCGACCTTGCCGCGCCCCCAGGTTCAAAGAGATATGGGAAGGCTGACTGTCGCGAAGGGCTTCTGTCGCATGACAAAAACGACATTGTCCATGTGTGATCATGAGTGGTGGTTACCAGCAAGCCGCACAAACCGCATCAATGGAGCTGGCACTGTTGCTGATGCCGCTGCTGCCCTTGTGGACCAAGTTCACATGTTACCCATGTAGCCTCTGCATCGCGCTCCCACGGGCAACTCGAAGAGTTGCGTCTGTGCTCGGGACTCAGTGGAGGTTCTTGCACATTTCAGCATTGCAGTTCCTGTCAGCAGAGTCAACTTAGACTTAGTGGCTATGGAAGGATGATGAGGGATGCCCTTGTGATTTGGACACCATCGTGCATGCTTGAACAGGTGGAGTGAGCAAAATGCAAAAGTCCCGAAGCCTGCCGCGACTCGCGGGCTTGAGCCTGAGATGCTCGTCGCCTAAATTTCGTATGATTTGTGGTTTTGCCTGTCTCGACTGTTCGCCCCAGGTCCGGGTCCGCAAAAGTTTCCTCGAATACGGGTAGTACATCACCTTGATCCTGCGCATATCGCGCTGCATCTTTGATGCATTGCAACAAGGTCTCACCATCGGCAGTGGGACCATGGGACCTATAGGACCTAGCAAACCAAGAGTGCGTTGCCATCAAGGGCACGCCGACTCTTCTTGACTGACTGATCGATGTTTCTGTTTAAGTGCAGTTCGAAGTCTTGCTGGACTTCAGTCTGCAGTACAACTAGTAACTAGTGTGAGTTCGTCATCAGGGGCACTACGTAAACGTGTCTCAATGTTACCCACAATGGGCAGCTTAGGCGGGAGCAGAGGCGCGATTCGTTCAATCCTTTGTACAGGTTTCTGGCACGTCGGATGAATACGCTCTTGGTGTCAGGCTCGGCATCCAACTGACGAAGAAGAAGAATGTTCGTCCAAATACGCCATCTTATGTCTTTGAACAGATTGACGAGATGCCCAAGCCTAAGCTGACCTGTCCAGGCGGTCCTGTTGGATCCTGTGAGTTAATTCATGTTAATTCTGATCAGGCTGTGTCAAGAGAAGGTCTCTTGGAGCTGCAAGGCCAGGAAAGTGACCGGATTTGCAGGAGGTTTCAATCAACATGAGGTGATGTGCAGCATGTTACTAGTGAGCGCGACATGAAGGAGCGACAAATCATGCTCGCTGACTACATGGCCTCCACACTGGACGCCTTTGCTGTCATTCAGAAGCGGATAGGATTTACCTGGGTCGTTGCGTAAGCGTCAGATTATAACGAATTCCTTCAAGGTGCAGCAGTGGCCCAGATGTATTTCAGAAGACAACGTAAGGATGTGGCATCGCGAGGGTCGCACTCTGCGGCGAAGTTGAACCAACCCGCGACTTGGTTGTAACTTCAGACGCATGCAAAATGTGTATCAACCTTGCCGCAGGTTTTCGAAAGCATTTGTAACCCTTGGTTTTTCGAACGCATGCTGTTAAAGAACGCTGCGATTTGATACCGCTGTTCCTTCGCAAAAGTGCACCTACGAAGTTCGAGGGGATGCAGCTACTAAGCGCGACAGGCACACAAAGAGATCGCAAATGCTAGCTGTTGCAGCACGGGTCCAGGCCCCAGAGGTTGAGATTGTCGTCCCTACGGCGGCCTCCGAAGTGTTTGAGCGGCTTGGCTTGCAGCATGCCTGACTGCATCTGGAGCTAGGAACGAAGAAGGACACACCAGCAGTCGAATGATCCTTATTTGGCTTTGGACACTTTTTTGGACACTTTGGTGGACAAGTCCTGGCCGGATGGTCTTGCTAACAGATGCAGCAGAGGCATATAAAAAGGTATGGCCGTAGCACTGCGCGTCTTGCATCGCAAGCAGGATTACTGTCGTTCTCAACTTGAGCTCAGGAGCCTCGACTCGTTTGCCCCCGACTCTGTTCCAAGGCCTTCGCAAAGCAACAAGAGGGAAGCTTCGATCATCTTGCGTGGGGCCGGGGTTGGGTGCTTGGGAGAGAGGGGCGGGGGGTGCTGAGATGTCCTGAGCACGGTGAAGGAGCAGCCACACATTCGTGTATGTTGCACTGCAAGTACAAGCAGCTCCATCCAACAAGTCGCTGCAGCGTAAACGTGCACCGCGCGCACCCACCAGTTACAGTATAGCTTGTGGGGCTAGCTAGCAGCCGCTTTGTTGCAAACTTTCGGTGCTCAGTCTTACCGTGCGGGATGGTGCGGGCAGGTATCGGTAGGGGGATGCAAAGGCGAGCTCAAACGCACTATGCGCCGAAATTCGGTTTGCCTATTGTGCAGTTTTGGCTGCTGCAAAACGAGCGTACCGATTCATGATGCTGCGCGCCCGCAGAACTCAACAGTAGAAGAGCAAGCACATAGGTTATCATAGGTCAGGAATCGAGGAATGACAGTGGCGCTGCTCTTGTACGCATCCCTGCAACTTTTGGGTTTCATGGCATACGGAGGTATACGGATTTGGATTTTAGGGTAGGGCGGGCAAGTGTCAGGCGCAAGGGCTTTGTGTTCTGGGTTTGGCTAGCACCATGACAAACCATAGCAGTGTGCTGAGTCTCCCGAAGTCGAACCTTGAGTATTCAAACCCGACTAGCCACCAGGAGTTGATTTGTTATCTTCGGACAGTAATTACCCTGGTTGTCCACTTATGTGCAGGTCATGGCACCACTACGTATCTCCGCATCTTCATTGAATGCTCAAGCTCTTCTGTCCTTGCATGTTTACTGTTTCTGTGCTTCCCTGTGAAAAATCTCACCGGGGCGGGGGGGGGGGTGATCGAGACCCCAAAAGGACCTTCCATCAAGCACCACGCGTTGACAGGATGACCAGCGGGTGCAGCAAGTGCTGTAAATGCACGACAGTGGGTCTTGCTTCCGGCACTCTTCCGTGACAGACTACGACGAACGGAAAGGGAACATTGTGGGAACAGATGCGCGAGTACTATGACGATCGCGACTGTTCCATACTCCATTACGCAATTCAAGTGGCTTGCAACGGATGAGGGCAAAGCAAGTCCGAGTCAGGTCAGGAAGTTTGTCTGCATCTTTCTTAGTCTTCATGCACATGTCAGAGAGTGTAGCCATGAGGACATAGCTTTCCCCTCCCGACATGAAGAGCGAAGAAAGGGCAATTGCATTCACAAGCCCTGACCCGCCGTACCCGGTCAGGAAACTTGCAGAGCAACTGAATGATTGTGCCGCACCTGGCAGACAGAGAGCTTGCCAAGACAGCCTGCATGCAGCCTGAAAGATGAAAGCATGTGAGAGACACGAAGTGGGATATTCCAATGACAGATTCAGCAAGCAGCTCAATCCTGCAACACGGCCTCCCGTTGGATTGTCCAGCCTGTGATTCCAAGGTTCATTGGAGATGGCCAATTTGCTGGATGAGGCCAGCTTCCTGCATCCGGCGCCGTTTTGAATTCAGGGTGGGATCCCTTGCTTCCATCTTTCCAGCCTGGACTTCAAGCAAGGGCAAGTTTAGGTACTGCTCGTTCACACATCGAGGGGATGTAGACCATAGACCATCAGTACAGTAGGCGCAATCAGGCGACAGGGTTCTTCCGTGCCTGTTCAGAGGTGGCAAAGACGGATACGGGTCTGCAGCGCGATCTGGAGTCCGAGTCCTGGCGCCAGGCCCTGCAGTACTAGTTCTTGCTGAGTCGATCAAAGGTATGTGGGGCTTTCAACAAGGCTTGCGAGATATCTTGAGATTGCTTTGCCTTTTGGGACTCGGCTTGCCTCGGGGACCACACTGCGTGGACGTGCGGCATTGCAGGCCCAGTTAAGTTGACAGGTCGATGCGCGAGCGAGCTCTCCTGCTCCCCAGGTGTTTCTGTCACGGTAGTGACTCAGTAGCACCAGCAAGGTGGACGAGAAGGTTGTCGAGGAGACTCCTGCAGAGGCTGTCGCCAGAGATCCTGGGCCAGCATTGCTGGCCGCTCGAGAGGCCAAGAAGGGTACAATTCATTCGGAACTTTCGGAATTACTCAGGCCATGTAAGTCAATCGTTCATTCTTGAGTCATGCCTGCGAAGCGCGGTTGATCGTGCCGTCGAGCATGAAAGCAACCTGACAACATCGTACTGCAATTATCTTGTGGAACTCTGCTCAGCTAAGTAGAGCGCCATTCAACAGAATAGGCGGCAGTGGCAGGTGCCCACTCTTTTCCGAGACATCGATGCGCATCTTCCTAGATCAAAGCCCCGGCCTTGTGAACTTGAGCTCGATACCGCTGCACAACAAGTGCCACATAGACCAGTTTGGGGCGCCCTAGGTTGTGACACGCCATGTCTTACCGACTTTCTGCTGTGGAGGAAGAACCCCGTAGAGTGCGGTTCGGTAAGCGGCAATGTCATGCAATCTTTGGAAGTGCCGTCTTTGGTCAACAGATCCAAATGCCAACGCTTCTAGGGCTTTCAGCAGCTGCTACCCCACTCATTTGTCGCAATTGTGCCTAGGCGAAAAGCATATGAGACGTTGGGCCCTTACTTCCGCTACTTTTCAAGAGAACGTCGCGTCGTTGCGTGCATGGCATGGTCACTGCTTTTTTTTGCGAGGCTTGCATGTAGCATCACGATGCCTTACGCTTTCACCATGAGTTGGAGTTCCGATTGTTCTGAGGCTGCGGTCTGCTGGTGCTGTGGATATCCATCGCTTCGTGGAGGAATTGCTTCCTTAGTCTGCAATTGCACTGCGCTATACCGACGCGGGGTCTAGGCCACTGTCCTAAGCTGCACCAGGAGAACTTCGAGGGCGCTTTCGGACGTCGCGACGACGGTGTCCAGTGGGTGCACAAGGTTATGCACCGCAAGGCTCCCGCGCAACCTGATTGAAGATGAAGATGCTTGTTCTTCAGTGCCAGGCTGTAAGGTCAATTTCTTGATCTTGGGAGTCCAAATTAATTTTCCGGCAGAAGTCGTCGTTGTGCAGGGCATAATTAGGTGGAAGATGGAGATTTGCCAAGATCACGAAACCCTTTTCCAAGCTAGAGGCCTCAGTGCAAGTACTTCCTTCAAAGATTGCCACCTGAAAGAGCTCGTGGAACTGAATAGCGCTGAGCTCCTTTGACCCTGGTTCTTGGGAAGAGTCGCTACCAGAATTGTTAAGAAGTGGACTGGAGTGCTGGCAGTGGCAGGATAGACATCCCGGCCAATCCGCCTGGACCAGAAAAGCGCCAAGACCTTGGCGGGGCTTTCGATTCTTCGTGCGCCCAAAGCACAACTGCTCAATGGTTTGTGTGCCCTATGCTACACTCCCTGTGGGGTGCTATGTAACAGTTCAGACCAAGCCTAAACACCAGGGCAACCAGCTACGGTAACCCACCGCCCTCCCAACACCCTGTGGCAGGGGTTTCGCTTGCACCTCCTCTCTGCTAGACTCCTATTTAGAGTCTATGAGAGTAGAAGCTGCTTTGAACGCAAGTTGACCTCTCGTTGCCTCCAAGCCCAGGTTGCAACTCCTGGACGCCGAGCGCTTGGACCGCCGGCTGGACCTGGGTCTGGGCGACCTCCGGCAAGAGAAGAGGGAAGTAACCAGGTAGAGGGAGGCCGAAATTTGGCCAAGAACGTGGCTTGTAACAGCGTAACAGGCTCGGATGATCGCGGATGACTTGTCAAACCATCCTGCTGGTGGCCAAGGGCATGAAACCAGCACTTTTATAACAGTTGCATAATGCCCGATACGGGGTATGGCATCAGTTGGAGGGGGGTTCGGGCGGGGACAACACGTAGTTTTGGGCGGACATGGGTGTTTATCAAGCAAGACTTGTTTTAGGTACCAAAAAAGCCGTCAGGAGCATCTGACAAGAAGGAAAGCTGGAAGCAAAGCAGCAAGGATTGAGGGAAGGAAGGAAACAGGGGAGTTGTTGCAAATACCCTATGAATCCTAAACTCCTAAGCCCTTCATACACGGCTGCTCCCCAGCCCTACCGCCGGCTTCAACCCGACAAGATCGCTGTTACGAGCATCATACCATCGAGAGGAATTGCTGCTATAATATGCATCCTTCAAACCTGTCATACGAGCATTGGTTTGCAATTCAGGGAGTGTGCTGGGGACAGAGGGCCCCATGGTTTCATTTAACAAAGTTGCTTTTTCATGCGTAAAACAGTTGTTCGTAGATCCTTTTGGCCCGAAATAGGAAAAGTGTTTTGATGCTTTTTTGATACCTCGCCCGCGCCGGCTGTTTTCGGAAATATTGTTGACTGTAGTAATGGCTGCACCGACCCTGCCCGAATCTGCATCTCGGCTGGCCCGGGCGGCGGGGGAAAGAGACTTATTGCGTCGTTCACGCCTGTCGTTAGTTCATCGCATGAAGATTGCGGCTCTCCAAAATCAATGAAGGGGAAGGGGGGGAAGGGAGGGAAGTCCAGATACGAGGCGGGGCAACGGGTTTCTCTGGGAACAAAGCCTGAAGATCATCGCAGCTGAAGCCTTGGGAGCAGCCTTGCAAAGCCTGTCACACAACCGAATTCACAAGTTGCACGTTGTGCTAAGACATGCGATAAGGAGCTCTGAGCACCCAACGACGGGTGAGCCATGAGAGGCAGGCAGGGGCAAGCGCCACGGTTGAGCCCCGAAGCATTGAGCGCTGGGCAAGGAGCGTATTGACGCAACTGGGCTACGAATATACCTATATGCTATGCCACCCAAAGTTCCGAAGCAGTTGGCAGATCCACCCAAAGGAGTGCAGACATGTGTAGACACCGGTCTTTTCACTGCGGGGCTTGCAAAGCAACCTCCGCAGCTGTTCAAGGTCGAGACGGGATATGTCCAGTACACTCCAGCCTAGAAGGTACTTGAAGCACCCGAAGCAAAACCCAGCAAGGCCATGACATGCTTGTTTGTCCCCTGTCTTGATCAACGCGTTATGGGAGCTGGCGGCAGCGGAGTGAAGGAAAAAGGCCAACTGACGCTATATTATACAGCATGTATCAGCCCTTTCTCTGTCGCATCCCTTCAGGTCATAGGAGAGGGCGAGGCCCCAGTGAAGGGTCAAACGGTGAAAGTGCGCGGACCCCAGATCCGCTTTCTGAAAAATCTGCTGTCGCGCGGCATGCCCCAAATCCGGCCCAAAACGGCCCTTAGTGTGTCTGTGTGTGTGTGTGTGTGTGTGTGTGTTTGAGGCATTACACCGGAAAGCTGGAGAATGGACAGGTTCACGCCTTTCATAGCCACTACCGCAGGGCATGTAGGGGACACTGAACAGACTGAATGGGGGATACTTGCAGGTCTTTGATTCATCCATTCCAAGGGGCCGAAGACTGAGCAAAGTTCACACAGCAAGTTGACATTCTTATTAGCCGTGTCGACGCCCCATCAGCCACTATATGTAATGGCTCGAGCGGTTCTGTTTCCAACAAGCTGAGGCGAATCCTTGGACTTTAGCGTCGGTACCGGTCAGGCAAGTTGCTGCTTCCAAAAAGTCCACTATACACGGCTCAACAATCTTTTAGATTAGATGTGCTCCCTATAAAGCTGAATGAGCTTTTCTGCTTCCTTTAACTCCGTGGCAGGTCATTGCAGGTTGGGATGAGGGCATCCTAACGATGCGTGTGGGAGGAAAGAGGCGCAGTCCCCAAGAACTCCAAGAGAGCTCTCCCAGAAAGCAAGTGTGCGAAGCCAGGGAGTTGAAGATTCCACCAAAGCTGGGCTACGGAAGTCGCGGCATAGGCGTGGCAGCATCTCGAGCAAGTCAAGGGAGAGAAGCAGGGTGATAGTCCTCTCTATCAGAGTTCTGTAGACCCTGCTTTGTGTCGCTCCTTCTGTCACTGCTTGGCCAGGACCCATCCCAGGCAACGCCACTCTCTTCTTCGAGTGCGAGCTAGTTGCACTGGGCTCCAAGCCCAGACCTTGAACTAGGGAGACTCGAGGAGGACGTGCTTGGTCCTGGAAGAGGAAGCTGTATTATGCCAGGTTTACGAGTCAGGGTCAGCTCGCCAAGCATGCCAAGCTAACTCGCCCAACGGATTCTAACAGCAAGTCATGGTGACTGATCGCCGCGCCCGTAGCCACATGCGGCAGAGCAAACCGACCCAAATGTGTATTAGGCTTGACCCAGCGCCCATGGATCAGAGCCACCTGGCCTCGTGAACGCACCGGAGAAGCACACGTCAGCCCGAACAACACAACACACTCTCTTCAGCTTAGTCATAGTCACTGTTAGTCACTTAGTCACAGTTATGCTGCTCGTGCAAATGGCCGACGATGAGGGAAGCTTCTCGCTCGCCTCGCCGGTCGGAGCAGCTGCCTTGGGGCCTCCTGAAAAAGCAGCTTCATCCCGGCTGCAAGGCATGAAGGGCACGAAAGGGTGGGGGGATGGGGCATGTTGAGGCACTCGATTTTAGAATATTCTAGATGATTGGATTGATTGGGTTTACTTCTTTGGGTGCTTCTTGCCGTTCTTCTTCTTGGCAGCTTGAGGTCCGATTGAAGGCTCTGCACGTGCAGCGGAATGGGCAGGCAGGTGTCGTTGAGGACTACGTGCGCACGAAGCAACGCTGGCGCGTGCGCCTGCTTGTTAGTGGGAAGTCGCATGACTTCAAGGCCGAGAACCTGGAGATTGAAGAGCCCGCCGACAGGCCGCCTCCCGCAGATTGGGTGGGCCCGGAAAGCGACAGAGACGAGGCTTATGCCCAGCCCAAGGTTGCCTACAAGGAGGTTGCTGAAGAGCCATTGAAGCTCACAGCCTTGGCCGCAGGCTGCCAGGTGATTCTTCACAGTCTTAAAGGTGCCGCAGAGCTCAACGGCCAGAGAGGCGAAGTGGAATCCTTTGTGTCAGAATCTTCACGGTGGCGGGTGAAGCTCCTAAGTGGTAGCATGAAGGATCTGAAGCCCGAAAACCTCCGCCCTTTGTCTGCAAGCGAAATGGACGCCTCCACCACCGCCTTGTCCGAACTCGATGCTCTCGAAGCCGATCTCGGGATCGATTTCGCAGCAGCTCCCGGAGATACCTGTGGCCCCGAAAACCGCTTCGTTATTGAGGAGAAGCTTGGGGAAGGCACCTTCTCGACCGTGTTTCGCTGCCACGACACCTGCGCTGAAAACGCCAAGTATGCGGTGAAATTCACCAGGCTGGAATAGAGCCAGTTAAGGGCATGACTGAACGATGCCCAGCATGTGCTGCAGCCCTGGTAGCCTTGCAGGTCGAATGCGCAGACCCGCCGGGCCCTGGAACGTGAGATCAAAATCATGGGCCAGCTGATTGCCAAGGCACACACCGGCTTCAAGAGTCAAATCTTCTCTTCAGAGAAAGCGAGCGAGAGAGAGAGAGAGAGCCGGGGGTTGGGGGTGGGGGTTGGGGAGGTTGGAACTTCGGAAGGCGGAGGCGGTTTGTGGGGGTTTGAGGAGTTCAGGGAAGGGGGCTCTGGTTTCTTCGGGGGCTGGCACACTAAGGACACTAAGGACACCCACTAAAGCGCCACTGGGGGTGCCGCGCGGCTGCCAACAGGGCAGCCAGGGACATCATAAAAAAGTCTCATGTGACGCGGGAGCGGGGCGCGCCTTGGCGCAGGGTCCGTCCCTGTGCCCCTAAGCAAAGCAAAGCAAAGAGAGAGGCTCTTCTGAGGCTAAGTGCAGAGGAAGGAAGGAAGGAAGAGAGAGAGCCTTTGTCAGGTGGGAGAGCGGGACGCTGAAGGCATGGGCGCCATCTTGACCTTGGCCTTTTTCGAAGGCTTCCAGCACAAGGGCCGTCTAGCGGCCGTCTTCGAGCTGATGAAGTGCAACTTGCGGACTGCCCTGACCAAGTATGGGGCTGGACGCTGGGATGGATTTACAGCATACGCATCGTCATTGTGAAGCGCGCTCGAAACCATCAACGTCCATGAACCATGGAACTTGGGATGTTCCCCCGAATTATGCTTACTAACAGTCCTTAATAGGAATTACAATAGGGGGTCCTACAACTCCTCCTACTAAGGACGGTTAGCATAAGGGGGAACCACCATGAACCCATGAAACTGTTCTGGATTCGTGGCTGTGCAGCGCAGTAACCAAGGCAAGGGGCTGCCTCTCCTGCCTACCGTGCGGGACTTCGGGCGTCAGCTCTTCTTGGCTCTGCGGGTCTTGAGGCGAGCTGGCCTGATCCACTGCGACGTGAAGCCCGAGAACCTGCCGCCTGGACTGGCAGAGGGTGAGCTACCGGTACATATCGGGCTTTAAGGCCAATCTCGCTGCTTTGGTACCATGTGCTACCCACCATAAGGCTTCTTGGCGGCGACAACGCCACCATCAAGCTGAGCGACTTCGGAAGCTGTCAAGGCTTGCCAGAGAGGCTCAAGTCAGCAACCGCCTCAGATAATTCGGCAGCTGAGTTACCGTAAGATCCGTAAGACTTGTGTGGGTGTTCTGCATCCAAGGATCAGCTTATGCCACGAAACTACCGTGCTCCAGAAACTTGCACGCCTCAGGCAGCTTCCGGTGCCTTGTTGAAAGACACTGACTTGCAGTGCGTAGCCGCGCGCTGCGGAGCTGAGGAGATCATTGTTGGGCTCGTCCACAGCTCAGGCAATCCGCAGGCATTCTGCACGGCGGTTGGGATGGAGTCATGTGGAGTCCTGCCCTCTCATTGTCGAGTTCCATCAGCACTGAGGACTACGACTACTCTGTGGATGTGTGGAGTGCCGCCGCCACCTTGTTTGAGCTTGCCACCGATTCGGTGCTGTTCCAGGTTGGCCGGTGAAGTCGATGCAGATCAAGCGTCATGAGAGTCATGAGAGTCATGACAGGCTTGACCTGTATGCCCGATCGGGAAACACATGGCAAGCACAAAATGTATGCGGCGCAGGGGGACACGAACAACGACATGCTTCACGCGATGTTCAAAGTGTGCGGATCATGCACGCAACATGGCTGGGTCACTGTCGCGAATCTGATGTTGAATTGCCCGCTTGTGATCTGCTTGTGCTCTGTCGGCCGTGCATAGACGCACCTGTCGCTGTGAGGAAGTCCTTCGTGCTCAGCGGGACCTTCACCCAGAATCATTTCAGCGCTAGCGGCGAGTTTCTCAACGCAAAAGGCCGGGCTATAGCTGGCCATGCCTGGTCAATCAGTCGTTTAACATTCCTTCATCAAGAGTCAATTTAGACTGTGGCCAGGCGATCTGGCAATCAACTCCGCAAATCCACGCGACACTTGCCGCAAGATCAGAGGCTTCGACATGTGCCTCCTTTGTAATCGGAACACCACCAGAGCAAGAGACTCGATGATCTTGGATGTCCCGAGAACATTGCCTAATCGAGTTCAAAGGTCATCCCGCTGGAAGCTTTCGATCCTCCAAGTCGGCCGCTGCAGTTTCTGCTGGAGAATGTGGCCTGACTGTGTTACATTTATTCATTTGTATACGCATTGCGTCTGCAACTGCAACAAATGCTCCGCAGGTGCGCAAACGGCCGCCTAAAGGTGTGGCTGCCAGCCGCCACGAAGGCCGGCACAAACGGCTTTCTTTTTGGACCTCACAATGAACAAACCCGCTTTCAAAAGCTGAGCCGTGGTCACCTGTGAAGGCCTGGTCAGCCACTTCTCCGACCTTCTTGGCCAGTGCCGCTCGAACTGGACACTGCAGGGTGCACTGTTTGGGAGGTTCTTGCCTTCGGGTTGTCTCTCTGAGATTGATTAGCGGGAGTCTAAATTCTAAATTGGTCTCAACATAGTGGAAATCATGGCTGTGAAGAAAACGGCATGGTGTGGATTTTCACCAGTCTCGCCAGCCTCTAGGTCTCCGCCTGGCTCTGGAAAGACCGACGCCTGAGACAGCGCTGGGCCACAAATTCTTTCAGAAGGGAGCGTAGCAAAACGAAGTGCGAAAGAAAGAGTTGCCACCAGAGGATGAGGCCAACGCGGAACCCGAGGGAAAAGTTGCAGCGCAGTGCCGATTGTATGCGCATTCGTGAAAACCATTCCGGGCATGTTCTCGCGCACTGTGTGAAGTTGCTTTGTTGACCTGTCATCTGTCGCACTCAATGCCACACGGATGAAGTGAGTGCCCTTCCACTTGAGGCCGTTAATGAGCCGACTCTTTGGCAGCTGAGCTGAGTGAGCGCGCTGTGCGGACAGAGAGGTGCGGTGAGCAAAAAAAGACAAGTCTTCTGTCAAGCATCGTGCACTGTTCGAAGACAGTCATAGAGATCCTAGACCAGTAGTAGCTGCGGGCGCGAACCAGGACATTCAACTGCAACTGCACAGGATGGCTTCATTTGAGCATCGCAGTCTTGCTTGATTGTGTGCTTCAAATAGCTCAGCTTTGCGACAACAGAACTGCAAACATTTGGAACTGAAGAGCTTAGCACATCTTGGCATGTCCCAGACTCCAACCCTCAAGCAAAGGTGTTATGGGCATTTCCCAAAATAAGGTTATTCTTTTTCTACCCCAACTAGAATGGAACCCCCTTGAAGGGAGCCATATCCTGCCTGTTGTATAGGAGTCTTTCTGCCTACGATCACAGTTCCCAAGCACCCCAAGCATATCCTTGCACTTGCGGCATGCGCAGCCCACCATGTCGCGGCGGGGCCTACGTGCAAGTCGGCTCTGCGCCCTTGGCCTTGTTCCTCGCCCCAAAGACGGCATCTGTAGCTATTTTCTTGTAGCTTTTCGTTCGACCCATTTCAACCCCCAACATCTTGCCTCGAATACATCAACCCCACCAGCGATATGCTGTAAGACTAGGCCGCGAAATGCACCCCAAGGCCCTCACCACGTGGTACGCCTCCACTGGCCTGTTCGCTTGGGCGTGGCCTGGCCCCTGATACATAGATTGCCTGGAGGCGACTAGAGACTGCAGGTTCGATGTCGTGTATAGTATGCCTCGTGGGTGGTAGTGTTCTCATCTTCAAGGCCTTCGTGGGAGTTGGGCGCAGGCCGCCCCGATGAATGCAACTTGAAACCAGTAGCAAGTGCCACAGCAACACAAGCTGAAATGAGGATCATCGTTTAATGTTGTGCAACGCCTCTAGCAATATCAAGTTTGCCTGTACGGATGGATCGAAGCTGTTGTGGCTGCAAGCTCGGGTAACAACCAAACGCTGCAACACACAGACCATGACCATGTTATGACCATGCCGCCAAAGGTTTCTCGGAGCTGAAATTTCAGCAGGTTGTATAAGTAGACAACATGTCACGGATGATGCGCGGCTTGATGAAAGGAAGGCTGATTACTGGAGGCGGCCTCGGAGCAAACTTCATAGCAGGCTGAACTCATCCAAAATGTTACATGGGTGATTGCAACAATGGCGGTGCTTCACTAGTGGTCGATGCGAGTACTAAAGATTGCATAGGCAGTCGGTGTTGTTCGTGCCTTGAGTTGACTATGGACTACAGCCAGGAGCCAAGCAACCGCTGCGCTCTCACGTCTCGAGGCCTGGAGAACAGCAGTCATCAGCAGTCGTATTCAGGTATTTCTGCTGGGAGGTTCTCCATTCTGGCAGAAGCTCAACTACCAAACGAGCTCCGTGGGTAGAGGGCTCAAGGCATGCAAGGACTTCTCGTGTCAGTTGTGTCAAAAAGGATGGGGCTGTGCCACTCAGGTCCAAGACAGTGTCAGCAACTCAGCAGATGCATTGAAGCATGCCTTCATATGCCTCTCTATGAGCCAGAGGATCTCTTGATACCAGTTCCAACATCATTTTCCGTGCAGGGCAGTCCGGCTTCAATCTGCAGCAGAGCAGCTGAAACCGCATCCGGGCAGCATTCAATGAAGCTGTGTCTCGGCGACTTAGCCTGATTGTCCGAGATGCAAGGTCGGATGCTCGGAAAGGTGAGAAATCCATAGGAGTGCCTTGCCTCAATGGGGCCACACCCTGACGTGCTGGCTGCTAGCTAATTATGCTAGTTGCTGTTTCCTTTTCATTTTTGGCTCCTGCCAGCTCATCCCAGGTCGGAGACAGAGGGGCAGGAGACGAATCATGTGAAATCGCTGTGTTGCAATGCGCTCATTGTGTTTTCACAGCCCTTTGCCTTGCGTGAGGACTGGTCTACAGAGACGGTCGGCCTGCATCTAGCTCTGCCCTCTCTAGCCGCGAGAAGGAGGCAAGCAACTTAAGAAACATGTCGATGTCACACAAGCCCACCTTTGCCCAAATGCACGGCATGGATGTCGAGAGGCCCCATTTCCACGCGAGGGCGTGTGGGTTGTGAAAATCCAGCCACCGTTGGATGTGCCTTACTCAGTAGCAGCTTCGAGCCAGCGCAGTGTCCGTGCAGATCTCTGCAACGTCCCGAGATTTAAGCTTATATGGGGGTTTACGAAAATAGGGGACCCCAAATATAGACCCCCAAATAGTCGGATCCCCTTAGCCCTTAGAATAAGAACCCCAACAAGGAACCCCTAATTTCGGAAACCCCCTGATTGAATTTTAAGGTCAGCAGTGACTCGGCAGGCGGCATCGGCCCTGGGCCCAGCCGGCCCTCACACAGAACTGGCTGCTGAAAGTTCAGACCGTTAGAGGTGTTTAGGGTTTAGGGCTTAGGGTCTAGGGTATTTAGGGTTTAGGGTTCATCCATGTATAAGGCGATGGTAGATGTCACATGTGCGCTTGGGACAGCGGCGTTGCCAGCACAGTCTCCGCACAGGTCGTATCACTCCTACAACCCTGCTTCTTAGCGAGACTTGACTGGAGTTGATGATGTTTCTTGATTCCTGTATACCGTAGCTTGTGAACTGGCATTGAACTTGACGCTGCTGCATGTTCAGGACAGGCTGTGGAACTTCGTTCGTTTCGTCCGGAGCCCGGGCCGGGGGTGGAATGCACTCTGGGGTGAGACCTGAGTGTGTGCCCAGCCAAGGTCCGCGAGGAGGACGAGGGACATTTTCCTCTGTTGCGGTGCGCCTTGGGCGAGCCCCGCCAGGCTTGTTCGCCACGGACTCTGAAGACCAATAAGAGTATGCACGTAGATGTACGTAGCCTGTCGCAGCGTTGTGTGGCGCCCTCCCCCGGTCAACTACGTACCGGATTCGGAATCACAACTCCTGTAGTCGTTTGCCTTTCGGACACAGGAATTTTCCATACGACTTGCAGGTGGCCTATCGATATGCAGAAGAATTTGAAGACAATGGGCAGATGCTGCGTGCCGTGAGCTAAGAAAGCTTCCCGTCTTGTCCTGCACTTCCTTGCGCTGCTGCTGGCTTGATCCCGCTCGTGAGGTGTTTACTGACATTTTACCTTCAAAAGCCTCGGGCTGAGCATTGGCAGGTCTGACTTCCGACCCAACCCCACAGCATGGCTGAGGAGCACATGGGGTGGTAGCGATGAAAACCTGACGGCCTGCGTGTGTACAGATGCTCGGTGCCTGCTGCACTGCGTAATTAAGCTTTCTGCCGGCCAGCCCAACTTGGACGTCCGGCACTGTCTCGGCTGCCAGTCCAGCAGCCCCAAATGCCTCCAACATCCGCCAACCTCGGATGCAGGTAGAACAAGCGACATGAGGAAAATGCGGGCGTCGCACAATGTCTTGTAATGAATCATGACAGCCTTCCGCGGAAATTGTGCATCGTTGCAGCGAGCCGGTGCCCGTGTCGAGGCAACGATGCGCCTGGAAGGCTCCGAGAGGTGGCAGGGGGTGGATTGGCTTGGTTTGTAGAGGGGGAGCCTCACACGTCGAATACACCCTAAACCCCATAAAACCTTAACCCTCGCTTCTGAGGTTGTACGGAAGAGAAGGGATGGGCGGTGTTTTCAGCATGCCAGAGAAAGCTCATGTGTCGTTGTCGGAATCCCACCGGAGTGGTTCGTCCAGCTGTGCCGTGCCAAAAAACCGTATGTGTGCGTTTTCATAGTCAACGACCACGTTGTGCGAAATCATGCCCACCGTCTGGATCTACATTTTAACTCTTGAATCCGTGAGTTTTTCTATCAATAAACGTCGATGTCTCGGGCTCTCGGCCCCTCCTTGTGATCTGCGTGTCGCTCTGTTACATTTTTCGTACACTGTTGGGACCTATGCCGGCATAGCTTCCATGCGACAATCTTTTGCGGATGTTGCTTTAAACATGGGCCCAGCAGCACAATTCCCGAGGATGATGTGGAAGGGCTGGGTATTGGGCGACGTTGTTCATCCCTTGGGAGGTGACTGCCACCACTGGCGGCTGCGGCATCGCAGGCGCCTTTTTTGGTTCGGGGCCGGGGGTCTTGGCTTCATCCTTCTTGGAGGTGACGTGGACGAGGCCGCTGGACTACTCCAAGATCCTGAGGCAAGCGTATGCGCAGTCAGGGCGTGGTTCTACGCAGCTGGAGTTCATGAATGGGATCTGCAAAAGAATGAGTGCTATATTTGTCGCCTTTAGTGAACTCTTGACATGCCAGGTCCTTGCATGCTTCCTCGACTTGCGCTCCGGAGAGCTGCTTCGGGAGCGGCCCCACCCCATTTTGGTACATCGGGTGTACAGCATCGCGGGACACACCATGTGGATCCATGTGGCATACTATGGGCGATGTGTGCCATGTTCTTTTGTCGGTCAAGACAACGCGCCGGGGCTTAGGGCCAGCGCGTAAGCTGCGATGCCAGGTGGGAGGCGGCCTTACCGCAGCTGTCTGCCTTTGATGTCCTGGCTTCAGCTTTCTTAAATGCATCGAACAGAAGCTTTCAAATATTCACCCAGGAACTGCAGACTGCACATTGACTCTGTACCCTGTCTGTGTATGTGTGTGTGTGTGCGCGCGTACAGGGCAAAGCTATTGTGATGCCGGATGAGAAATCGCAAGGCGCCCGGCAGGGTATCACCACAACGGTACGGACGCTTCTCAATAGCAACAAAACTGCCTGCTGCTTTTACTCACAGGACACCGGTCGGACCACGTCAGTAAACTTCCGAGGTTGGATGCGACGATCTCAAGAACGTGGCCGTCTGAATCCCGATCTGTTCTGCAGGGGGGGGGAAGGGGGTGGGGGAGGGGGGGGGAAGGGGGGGGGGAGGGGAGGGGGAGGGGGGGGGGGAGGGGGGGGGGAGGGGGGGGGGGGGGGGGGGAGGGGGGGGGGGGAGGGGGGGGGGAGGGGGGGGGCGGGGGGGGAGGGGGGGGGGAGGGGGGGGGAGGGGGGGGGGGGAGGGGGGGGGGAGGGCACCACTCCGCAGTCCGAGCGGATCGAAACCGCACGCTGTGTGGTGAGGAGGGGGGGGGGGGGCGGAAACCTGGTAGCCATATATAGTTTTTTGGCCTGTGGGGATTCCGGGGGTTGGTGTCTTCAATCCAAGTACATGCTGGCCAGCAATGATGAGTAAGGTTACTGTATGCGTTTTCTGCGCAGCTTGTCCTCTCGCAGCACGGGGTAGCTGAGCGAGGGGCACTGCGGCCATGCTGATGCGGAGCTCCAGGTGAGCCCGATAGGGTCGCTTGCATTTTTACATGTCCGCAGTGCGCTGTGCTGCAGGAGATGACTGCGTGGTGCGATGGAGGATCGCTGGTGGATCACGGCATTCTGTACTCAGCATGTAGCGCACCCTTCTGTACTTGAGATACCGTTGTGCTCGTGACATCTGGTTGCAAGGGCAGCGGGCGGGCGAGCCTGTCGCCAAGGCTGGGCTGCTTCCACCCTTAGTATTGTTGTAGGAGCAACATGGAGCCATTTCCATCAATGAAGCGAGTTGGCTTTCTAAGCGTTTCAGGTGTCAGGTGACTGTCCGAAATGTGGCGACAAGCTTCTTGCCACACCCTCGCGTGCCAGACATTGGAAGAGCAGTCTCAAATATGCGACTGAGTTCAAGTGAGTCTGAATGTAGCCCCAGGCTGACTCTCAATTCTGCCGGCGTTGCGGCCACAGACTGAAAGTACAGGCAGTACAGGCAGGGTATCTTTCCCAGAATGAATGGCTGCTTTATGCCCATGTCTGTGGGCTTCCTGGATGTTGTCCACAGGAAGTGGACCTGGCCAGCGCAGGGCAAGAGGGGATCCAATTTCTCTGCTGCGTGCTTGGGAGTACGATCGCCATACAGATGCTCGGAGCACTGCCCATTCTGACACTCAGGTTCCAAGTATTCATCCCTCATCACGCGTCTGCGTGAGGAGGTGGCCGTTCCAGCGCACTCTCGAGTGTGATACTGCACATGACATGAAGGATGTCACCCGTGCTTCCCCCAAAGGAGCCCCACCGGCAAACACGAGAGATAACCCGAGCTGTATTGCTATTATATAGTAATTGCATAGTGCAACTTATGTATAACTATATGTTATAATAAACTCATGCGTTGCCTGGCGTAGCTAGATTCTGTGGACGCAACGGCAGAGAGAGAAAGAGAGAAAGCATGCCTAGCAGAAGAAGAAGAAGACGAGGAAGAACAAGAAGAAAAATAAGAAGAGGAAGAAGAAGAGAGCACGCTTTCGGGCGGCCTCCCCCCAACAGAGGGAGGTTAGGTGCGCAGAAAGAAAAAAAGAGAAACGTGGGGCTACGTGGACAGGAAGGAAGGAAGAGAAAAAAACTAAGTTGCGGGCCTTCTTCTAGACAAAGATGATATTACACCTCTTGTGTCACTCCTCTCTGTCAGTCATTACCAGGTCCTCGCCCGACAGCAAGCCGAAGCTGAAGCAAGGCTCCTGGAGTCCCGCTTGCGTCAGGCACCCAGCCTTGGCGCACATGCCGTCGCTTCTCAGTCAGCTCTCTATACTGCTTCTTGTTGAAGAACCGCTAAGAACCCACCAAAAAACAACAGTATTCTTTCTTATAAGGGCAGCATAGGGAGTATCATTCTTTATTTCTCTAAGGGTTCTTAAGCGGATATAAATATGTCTACGGATAGTCTCGTACTGCCGTCTGTTCACTCTGCCCAGCTCGGACTTAGGCGAGGAATCAGAGAGTTGGCAGCAGGCTGGCTTCGATACGCTCAGGTTCACAAGGTATAGCAAGTCCGAGCACTTATATATATATATATATAGAGACACACACACACATATATATATATATACATATATGTATATATATATGTATATATATATATATGTATATATACACTTTTTTGTTTCCATCCCTTGGCAAGGAGAAGACCAGCATGATGCGTGAGCTGCAGCAGCTCCGAGAAGAGATCGCTGGCCTGCAGGGGCAGCTTTTGGGACAAAGGCACGACCTGTGGGCTTTTCTTGCTTTTCATTGCGTTGCACAGAACAAGTTTCTTATAACTCCGGTGAGGTTAAGGAAAGCCAATGGTGATGCCACGCACTGCGACAGTGCCGTCAGGCCAGGAAACAGGGAACATAGCATTGACTTCCCTCAATGCGCTCACTCGCCCCGTTCTGGCTTGAGCATGATGTTGAGCGCTTTTTAAGTGATGGAGGTCTCCCGAGGCTCGGCGAACGAGCGAGGAGACAGCTGGTCTTGTAAGTGCCTCGGTGACGGCTGCCGATCCAGGGGCACGCGGGCATGCTTGGTGGGGCCACGTCTTGCCTGTGCTTGCGCCCGAGTTGTCTGTGGACGGCACGTGGAAGCAGCACCAGGCTAGACGTGCTATTCCCTCGTTCCAAAATAGTTGAATGCTTGGAGCAACGCGTAGATATTTGCTCTTTATGGAAATCTTAGAAGGCGCAAGCTCAGCAACACCACCGCCTGATGTCCCTTTTGGCTGAGCACTCCCAACTGCAGGCACGCCGAACATTTGTGCTCATCAGGGTTTGTGCGCATTCTCTGACCTACGTAGCAATCTGAGGGCTCGGGGCATGCTTCTCAGAGAGGAGCTCAAGCAGGGCTTATGCATGTATGCCGCCTCTATCTCTATCGGATAGAGGCTATCCTCTCTTCCTGCACGCAAGGCTGAGCAGCAAGACACACAAGCTGAGCTCACCGCGTGCCACGAGCACCTCAGTCGCAGGGGCCTTGGACCGTGTTGCGAAAGCACACCCCTCGTCAAAGGGAACGGAGGGGACAAGCCATGGCCGGTATCCGCAGCCTCAAAGGCGTGCCATGTCACGCTATCGAGACGTTTGGGGCCTTTGCTACTCGTTGTACCAGAACCAAGCCGGCCAAGTGGAACTCCGCAAAACTTGCAGATGTCGATAGTCGCAAATTCGCAGAGAGCATAACGGTAACGAGCGTAAGCATGCCGGGCTTGAAGGGGCAATGCCGAAGATGTCGTGCCATTTCCTAACTGCCAAGCCCTTGATTCAACTCGCCAACAAAAATTGATGGATTTACAGTAGAGGGCCAAAAAGTGCCGCTGGAAAGAACTCCTCCAAGCCATCCCACTTTGGTTACGCTCGATCCCCCCAAAAGGCTGGCGGCGGAAAGCTTCGGAGTTTGAGAGCCAAGCCGCCTTGGCCGAGTCTGGCCGTGATGAAGCGGAGCGTCGAGTGTGGAAGCCCAGAGCTGTGACGTGCTTTGGTTATACGAATAGTCCTTAATGGGATCATAATAGGGGGTACCATAATCCGTATCAAGGACTGTGACTCCCGTGACGTACATACAGCATGAGCGCACAGGCTGCGCGCTCTGTATGCGCCGCACCAAGTGAACGCAATGTGCATATGGACTGTGTGCTCCGGTCACTCTTATAAGAAAGAAGCACGCCCAGTTTCCAAGAACACGCAACAAAGTTGAAAAACATGTGCAGTCGTCGGACATGTAGACTCGTAGCCGTGCGAACGCGCCAACTGCTCGTACGCACACGCACACATCGTGCGCAGCGCTCGCACACCACGCCTGCATCCTACCCACGACATGGACCCAGAGATCTTGGCTTTGGATGCGTCTGCATCGCTTGAACCATCTTGGACCTGCGAACTTCTGTGGTTTGTTGAATCAGCTGGTTCTCGGTTCTGGCAGACCCTGCTTCACTAGTGTGAGGCCCGATGTGTCCAAGTGACTTGGTAGCAATCACGTGTTGATCATTCAGTGCTCACTTTTTGTTCTCGAACTGTGACTGGCTACATCATCGCGTGCTTTCTTCCCTTGCTTGAGCGCGCCTGTCAGCAGGCAATTGCTTCCCCACTAGTCACTAGACGGTCACACTTGGATCACTTTGAGCTTACTTAGGAAGAAATGCGGCAGGCCCGCCCCATGCAGCAGTGGCTGAGGGTTACGCAGTACTCAGTCGGAAACACAACTGACAGGCTCTGAGATCGGCTGCATCAGCCAAGGGCCGGCAAAAGGAGGCCGAACGCGTTGCGCGCCAGGAGCCGGAACCGATGGTGGCATGTCATGTCGGTCCGGACGCCCGCGTGTTCCCACATCTCTCTTTCTCTCTCTGTCTCTCTCTCTCTCTCTCTCTCTCTCTCTCCTCTCTCTCTCTCTCATTATATATTCACGTACGATGTAGTACAACTAACGTAATAATGCTGGATGCTGCCAAGGCCTTTGACTAGTATGTGGCATGCAGGTATTCTGTGCAAAGTTACGGCTGTGTGTGTGTGTGTATGTCTATGCGCGTCTTGGGCGTTCGTTGAACAAGTAGGCCAGTGGCTTAATGAGACATACAAACTTGGCCAGCCCTCTGCGCGACTTTCTGCGACGGGCTTTCCTTAGGTCTTTGCACTGAAAAACTTTCAAGCGTTCTTTGCCGACATCACCTGTGCAGCACATACACCCGAGGAGGTACTTTACATGCTGGTGCGACCGTTACATGGAATTGCCATATCACGGAACAACTGTGTTGGAAAATGTTAGCAACTGTCACCACACCTTGGCGAGACAAAAACCAGCAAAGCCGGGAGAAAAGGCCTCCGCACAGAACAATTTGCAAACATGGCCTGTATCTGGTGAGGATACCATACGGAATGCCGAATGCATCTGCGTGACTTTTGTGAAGTCGCCTGAATCACCTCGGTCTTGCTTGCGTTGTGCGAGTGTGAGAGTTGAAATCACCTCTGGGACGTTCTGCTGGCATCCTGGCAAGGATTGAATTTAGCATGAGGAGCCTACGGCAGCG